CTTAGTTACTTAGTCTATTTTATATATATTACTAGCGAATTAGTTAGGATATCTATTCTAAAAGGTTTCTTAGTTTAACTTAAAGAGATTATATTTACCTAAACTCTTAACTCTATATATTATTATATTATAGGATATATATAGTTCCCTTACTTCCTTCTAATAGGATAGGTAGCCTCTAGTATTTCTTTATAATATAATTAAGTTCGTATAGATAGTATTAGATAATTAGTAAGTAGTTTAGTTAATAGTACTATCTAGCGAACTCTAATAGATTTTAGATCCTTATATTCTCGCCTATAGGATTACTATATTTTCTTCTTTATCTTATAGCTCCGCGCGGATCCTATTTTTCTCCTTTATTAGAGCTAGACGTCTTTTAAGGGTCTCTAACTCTTAGAGTTCCGTCTCCTTATCTACCTTAGTTAGGGTTATTAGATCCGGCGGGTTTCCTCCCTAAGGGTTATCGTTAACTCCCTATATCTCTACCTCTTCTAGTAGGGGTTATAGGGGTCCCGGGATATCGTTCGTTTCCGCGATTAAAGTTAAGGTTCCCCTTAGGCGGTCGCTCGTACGTTAAGTTATCGATATTACGTATTCTAATAGTCTAGTTTAATTAAGATTTAGCGATTAGAATATTAGAACCGGCGTACTAACGGGTCCTAGTAGGTAATATAGAACTAGAGTAAAAGAATAATAGGGTACTAATATATTTATAAACTAATCGCTAAAGAGCTAAGTTCCCTTAGTAGTCTCTATATAGATAACCTTTAGCGGGTTATAGGACTAGGTCACCTAACCCGGTAGGACTTAGTCTCTCTAGTGCGGTCTCTAGCGGGGGGTTATATTACCCCTACTAGGTTATAGGTTCTAGGTCATAGGACTAGGCGGGATCTAGCCTATAAGGCACTCTCCTAGTAGAGGGTCGTAATAAAGAGATTATTAACTATATAAAATAAGTAAACTATATAGATATAAGTCTTAAAGAGTTAAGACAAAAGGTATAAGAAGAAGAGGATCTTTACTAATAGTTAGAGGAAGGATTTTTACTATTTAATAATAAGTTAGAAGTATTTAATTAGGAGGATCTATATACTTAGTTATTAGATAAAGTCTATTACTAGCCTTTAGTTATATATCTAGGCGTTAAAAAGATAAAGAAGCTAGTCTCCGCTTATTATTACTAGCCTAGATAGGCTAATAATATATAACGATATATAGATAACTATCTAGTATATAAAAGGATAAAGTTATAGAGAGATAAGATACCTAGATTTCTCTATCTTTTATTTATCTCTAATTAATCTTAGTAGTATATTTTAATAGATTTTAGATTATTTCTAAAAGATTAATATAACTTTAATATAGTATTTATAGTTATAGACTATCTAAGTAAGCGACTAATCTTAATTCCTTATTATAAAGATATAAATATATAGTAGATAGTCTAACTCTTTATAGACTATATTATTTATATTTTAGGAATACCGGAGATTATTATATTAGATTAAGGTAGATAGTTTATCTCTAAGTTCTAAATAGAGTTCTATTAAATACTAGAAATTAAGAGAAAACTATTAACTATATACTATCCTTAAATTAATAGCTAAAGTAAGATTATAAATTAGTATATAGTTTAGTATTTTTATCTATATATAGAACTAAATTAAGATAATTAGTTAGAGGTTTTATCTATAATTAACTTTATAGTATCTATTCTACTATAAGATACTACTAAGAAATCTCCTTTCTTTATAAAGAGGGGGTATAAGCTTATAATAACTTTTAACTAAAAAGATCCTAAGTATATCTCTATTAATAAATAAAGTATAGTAGATATACTTTTATAACTATAAGATATATAGTCTAAGATAAAAGAGTAGATTAATAAGTCCTAAAAACTCTAGATCTAATAAATAAATAAATATCGTTAAGAAAAAGATTTCGGGATAAGAGATCGAGTTTTTATTATAATAAAGAATTAGTTACCTAATAGACTAAGTTAGAAGTTATCTTACTCTATAAGTAGACTATATATAATTATAGAGAAGGTTAGGAATTTATATAAGTTAGATCTCCTAGGATTAATAAAGATATACTTTATTTTCTATCTTAGTAAACTATATAAAGTATCGAAAACTAAGCTATTATAAAGGTAATATAAAGATCTAATACTACCTATTATAATAAATAAAACTAATAAATAGGAAGTTAGTAAGATCTTAGATATTTATATATATTATAAGAAGCTTTAGTACCGAGTAGAGTAGGTAGGATATAATATAGACCTATAGTAGTATCTAGTAGGTAATCTAAAAAACGTACCGGAAAAGGTTAAGGAATTCTATAAAAAATATCCTATAAAGCCCGGACCCTTAGTATATCTACACTACTAGATTAAAGCTATAGAAGGCGAGAAGTTATTATAGGATTATAAAGATAACGATAAGCTAGTATTTAGAGACTAAATATAATTTAGATAAAGGAGTATATAACGATCGTAGATAGGAAACTAAGTTATATAACTATAGCTATCGTAGAGTAGATCTAAGGTTTATAAAGTTTATAACTTAAAGACTCTCTAAAACTTAGCGATAGTAAGTTTCCTTTTCCTCTTTTCCTTTCCTTCTCTATCTTAGTATTTTTCGTTAAATTATATTCTTTTATTAAAGATCTAGCTTATAATATTCTAGTTCGATTTAAAGAGATTATATTCGCCCGAACTCTTAGCTTTATATATTATTATATTATAAAGTATATATAGTTCCCTCGTTTTCTTTTAATAGGATAAATAGCCTCTAGTACTTTCTTATAATATAATTAAGTTTATATAGATAGTATTAGGTAGTTAGTAGATAGTTTAGCTAGTAGTATTACCTAGCGAACCCTAATAGACTTTAAATCCTTATATTCTTACCTATAGGATTACTACGTTTTCTTCTTTATCCTATAGGTCCGCGCGGATCCTATTTTTCTCCTTTACTAGAGCTAGACGTCTTTTAAGGGTCTCTAACTCTTAGAGTTCCGCCTCCTTATCTACCTTAGTTAGGGTTATCGGATCCGGCGGGTTTCCTTCTTAAGGGTTATCGTTAACTCCCTATATCTCTACCTCTTCTAGTAGGGGTTATAGGGGTCCTAGGACGTTATTCGTTTCCGCGACTAGGGCTAAGGTTCCCTTTAGGCGGTCGCTTATACGTCGAGTCGTCGATATTATATATTCTAACGGTCTAATTTAATTAAGATTTAGTGATTAGAATATTAGGACCGGCGTACTAACGGGTCCTAGTAGGTAATATAGAACTAGAGTGAAGAAATAGTAGGGTACTAATATATTTATAAACTAATCGCTAAAGAGCTAAGTTCCCCTAGTAGTCTCTATATAGATGACCTTTAGCGGGTCACGGGACTAGGTCACCTAACCCGGTAGGACTTAGTCTCCCTAGTGTAGTCTCTAGCGGGGGGTCATACTACCCCTACTAGGTCACGGGTTCTGGGTCATAGGACTAGGCGGGATCCAGCCTGTGAGGCACTGTCCTAGCAGAGGGTTATAATAAATTAACTGAATTAACTAAATTAACTGAATTAACTGAATTGACTGAATTAACTGAATTAACTGAATTAACTGAATTAACTGAATTAACTGAATTAACTGAATTAACTGAATTAACTGAATTAACTGAATTAACTGAATTAACTGAATTAACTGAATTAACTGAATTAACTGAATTAACTGAATTAACTGAATCAACTGAATTAACTGAATTAACTGAATTAACTGAATTAACTGAATTAACTGAATCAACTGAATTAACTGAATTAACTGAATTAACTGAATTAACTGAATTAACTGAATTAACTGAATTAACTGAATTAACTGAATTAATAAAATTAACTGAATTAATAAAATTAAGATTTATAAAATTTAATAAAAATATAAATCAATAGAAAGATGCACTGACTTCTCTCCGTGTAAAATATATATATTTGCATATTGATTCTCTGTCACCTGTTGAACCCCCGTATTAGGCTAGATCAGGGCCGGCGCCGAGATCCTCCGCGGTAAGTATACAGACTTAAACATATGTAAAGAACAGATATTAATCAGTAGGTTTATAAGCGCTAAGACTGTCTTTATATATATAAATGGGCTTTAATAGGGGCCTTATAGGCCCCTATAATAGGCCATAGGCTTAGTTAGGCTTAGGCCTCCGCACCAGCCCGCAAAGCCCAAAGCCTAACCCGCCCTAACCCGTAAATAGGCTAGGCTTTAGGCCCGGTCCCTAGGCCTATCGGTGGCTATAGGCCTAGGGTAGAAGCCCACTAGGCTCTTATAGGGGCCTAATAGGCTTTAAATAATATAAATATACTAATATTTAGTAGATATATAAGTAATATAGATTTTTCTAGTATTTCTAGGTATTTAGATTACCCCCTAATTTAACTACCTATAGGTGCCTAAAATAACTAAAATGACTAAAATAACTAAAATAACTAAATTAACTAAATTGACTTTAGATAAGATTAATAAAATTAAGATTTATAAAATTTAAGAAAAATGTAAATTAATAGAAAGATACACTTACTTCTCTCTATATGAAATATATATATTTATATATTGATTCTCTGTTAACTATTAAACCCCCGTATTAGGCTAGATCAGGGCCGGCGCCGAGATCTTCCGCGGTAAGTATATAGACTTAAACATATGTAAAGAACAGACATTAATCAGTAGGTTTATAAGCGCTAAGACTGTATTTATGCATACAAATAGGCTTTAATGGGGGCCTCATAGGCCCCTATAATGGGCCATAGGCTTGGTTGGGCTTCGAAGATAGGGCCCATAGCCCACTGCTGGTTGGGCTATAGGCCTGAGGTCCGGGCCCAACCAGGCCCATTGCGGAGGTCTAGTTGGGCTTCGAAGGTAGGGCCCAACTAGGCCCATTGCGGAGGTCTACTCACCCTAACCTTGGGATTTGTACCCTATAACCTCTTCTATACTTTTACAATATGACCTCAGCTAGTGTAGCATCTAATACATACGACCATAGGGTGTGGAAAATAGGGCTTCCCGTCCGCTCAGCCGTACTCAAGCCACACGCCGGTGAGTTAGTAGTTGGGTGGGTGACCACCAGCGAATCCTCACTGTTGTATGTTTTTGTCTTTTTGCTTGTTATGTATGCCTCTAGCTACATGTAGGAAGGGCGAGTGAGTACTTGCCGTTCTATTCCCTTTCGACAATAAGCTTGGAAATAGTCTAGCATTTCAATTGATCAGGGAATAGTTTAGTTTATAAGATCTTCGGTGATCCCACAAACATCTCTTTTGATCTTTCTTTCTTAGCGAAGGCCGACGATTGTAATCTGAACGCCTCCAAATTTCTTTAGAGCTACCATCCGATTTAGCCCCGTCACTCTGTCGACGCTTCTTCTGCCAGTGCTCGTCGATTTTGTTTGCGAATCGCTACCTCTGCTCATGGCAATTCAGCCTCAATCACACTCTCGTACCCACGACCGTCAGGGTAGTACTTGACAAGCTTCAGACCAGCATCCTGGATCACCTTGCTCCACACAGCCTCGGTTCTTTCATTAGCCGAAGCCTGTAGTACGAGACAGTCCATGGCCGCTTGGTAGCAACTGGCACCCGTAGATGGGATCACAATATCATTGATAAGCACCTTAGAATAGCCAGGCTTCATGACAGCAGCAATCTGCTTAAGAATCTTCACAGATGTCTCATCCGACCAGTCATGCAAGACCGCATGCATGAAGTAAGCTCGGGCCTCTAATAATTTCCGTTAATATCGCGAATTGCACTATAAGTGGGATATTGTATGGTACCTTTAACGGGCTGCTGAGCCCCCTCCTCGAAGAGGTCATGGGCCACAGTTCTGATCTTGTCGGTAGTGAGTTTTACAGGATCCACAACCTCTGGTAGGTCCTCGAGCACAAGAGAACCAGCAGGCAAATCCGGGTGTTTCTCGGCCACGCGCATAAGATCTATGCCGTGGTGACCGCCAACGTCAACAATAAATGGGCTACCATTGCTCAGATCGGCACCGTCAAGCAGTGCTTGGGTGTCGTAGAATTGCGGCCAAGGTCTCTTCCCTTTGGCCCACAAATCCATGAAAGATGAGAAGCTTTCTTGGTGCACCGGGTTGGAGCTGCATCGTTCAAAAAAGCTCTTCTTTTCAGGGAATGTGTCGATGTAGCAACTGGCCTTGTCGTCCACGGGCTTACGGTAATTTGTCTTGGCCAGGAATTCGGGCCAGTGCACAGCACATGGTGCAACGTGGTCTGTTCTAGTAAACGACCCGTTTTAGCATGCTGGGGTTTAATAACCACAACTTCAACACAACTGCTACAACTTACCTAATGCGAAGGCCGTCGCCGACTGACGTATTCTTATCTCCAATGGCGATGGAGTAAGGTGTAGGTAGATAATGGTCATTTGATGTCTCTTGGATGATGTGGTTTGCGGCCATCAGCCGCAGTTGATGACCTGGCACGTTGATTAGGATACGTGTTTTTCTCAACATTCATGGCAAAAGTCAGAATCTCACATAAAAGCTCAGGTTCGATGTACTTTTTGCTGAGCTTCGCCAACTCGTGCACATCTTTTTCACCGCCGCCAGCAGCGATCCAGCTCTCAAACAGACCAATATCAATGAGGGTTTGGAGCACAGAGAACATAATTGGCTCTTCTATGGCCAATCTCATGGTCTTTTCCTCCTTTGTTTCCAGCTTGTGGAAGAGTTTACGAGCTGCCAGAGCCAGCTGCTGTCTTGTGACATCTTGCTCCTCAAAAATACCCACCTCGATAGCCTCAAGCTTTTCGATCAGTTGGTCTGTACTGTCGGCCATGGTAAGAAGTGCTTGAAGTCTGATTTGATACCTGGGTGCGGAATTGGATGTGATATCGATGATTGCCAATTTGGTCAAATCTTGGTATTTTATACTTGATCAAATCACTACTGGCCAGAAAGCCGAACGGGTTGTCGCACATGTACTCCGCACAAGACCCGGTACTATGCGCAACACGACAAATACGATGCCCAGGTGGCAATCCGATCGGTGCAAGTTCTCGGACTAGAGTTGGCTAGCGCTGACATTGGGGGCAACTTGCATGAGTCGTACGCGGGGGTGTAAGCAGTATACAGCACCGAAAACTCCAAATCGTTTAATTAACCCGGCCGAGCTCTCCGAAACCTCGGTGGATGTCCGCGGGGCGCTAGGGATCGAGATCCCCAGATAGCCAGAAGAAAAGATCTAGACATACTAGTTATTTGAAGCTATTACAGATTAGGGAAGTGATCTACAGTATGGCTAAAATAGAAAACGATATTCAGTACGCTGTTGACGTAGACTAGAGCATTCCTTTTGAGTATGCTTAGAGGTCGTCTCCACGACTGATAGCCTCTTGGACGGTAGGTCTGGGTAGAATAGTCCGATCCTGGTATTCGTGGGTTGTCTTCTAGAATAAACCTCCAGCCCACTTAAGTGTTCAGACTGTGCCGTATAAGTGTCTTGCTTCTCATTCAAAAGAGGATAATCTCCAAGAATTCCTGATTTCACAAAACTATTCAGCTGTTCTTCTTTCGTCAGTCAAAAAGTCAAAAGATCCAATGTAAGTTTTGGATCGACGTACACCAAGGAAATACTTTTCCTATCCAATCCTATCCGTAAAGCTTCAACGGAAGGGGGGTGTGCTGAAGTTCTTTCTAACCGCCCCCAAAACGGATTTAGCAGAGGATAAAGCCAAGTTCTTTGGATTCGCATACACCGCGCATAGCATGGTGCGAGACCTCGCCTCCTTCCATCTTCTATCTTCGTCATGTCATCCGACTTAATAAGGGGGACAGTTTTAGTGCCATGAATAGAATATGGAAGAGTTGTATGCCCGCACAAGTTCCGAGTCGCCTTAACCGGGTGGGTTTTGCCGTCGATTTCACACTTATGGCTTTCCATCGCATTCCGGATGAGTATTTATTGCATCCTTAGCGACCTCAAGTAGATTGCTGTAGACTGGATCGAACGCCATCGTGAAAGCGCTATCAACGATCTGTCCACCCATATGAATCCTGATATCGACTTCCAAGTATATCACTTTATTCAAGTGTACTTTTGGAGCCGGCGTTTGGGCTGTAGTGGGTGACAACGTTATCAATATTTGAGACCTATCAGGAATCCCATACCGGCTTCTAGAGAGTCCCCTTTAGAAGCCCATCATGATCAAGGATACGTCGCACACTGTCTTCGATGCCGTTAGAAATCTCCAGCAGCGACTGATCGGGCTTCATACTTCTCTATGCCCACTAACGAACCTGACGATATGCCCCTGCTACCTAAGAATAATCGGATAGGGAGTGACTATTGAGGTTGTCGAGGTATCCTTTCTTCTCATTAGTGGATCGCCATAGATTATCCTTGTATTCAACCTCTTTGCCTTTGGGATAGGCACTATCTGGGAATAGCTGGGATCGGACAATCGATGGCGGATTGGTCTGAGTTTTCGCTTGCTTTCACTTGCTTTTTCTTAGGTACTTTTGTTTTTGTTCTTTTTTTCTTGGCGCCACTGTTCTCACCAGGAACTACTGGGGTGCCTTTAGCCACATCGTCGTCTGAGTCTTCCGGTTCCCTTGCAGTCCCGGTTATTGTAGGAGTGGCGGACATAGGAACAGGTCCATTTTCACTAGTACCTGTGCTCAAAACGCCAATTAGCCATCTTCAGTAGGTTTATTTGTGTGCCAATCCCATAATTTTACACTCCTACCATCGATCTTCAAGCCCTTGAGAAGCTTAGGATCTGGAGAGATCTTCTGCACCAAAGACCGTAAGCGGCATGCGGAGACGAAGAACATAAGAGGGGTAGTAGCAAAGGGGTGGATGGTAAATTGCAAACAAACCAGACGATGTAGGCAGTCGGGGATTGTCACGCATTAGTGTGCAGAATTAGCGCTGCAAATACCAGCGTTAGACCTAGATAGGACATTGCAGTATTACTAGGTCTCATCCCAAGCCCAGATTACCACGCATACCCCACTACTTGTAATGGTAATATTCACTCTACAAAACCTAGTAGAGCCTGGGAAATACGGGGAGTTAAGTGTATGAGCCAGTTATGCACGTCCAAAAATGAGACCATTATCCATATCACGCTGTCAGACCGATCACCGAAGCCCCTCTCCTAGTCCTCTCAGCTTTCGGTGGTGTATCGATTGTGATTCTCAAGTTGCCTTTTGAATTGAACGATTCTCCGATTAGGCCAAACCCCGTGCATTGTTGGCAAAGACAGGACTCTCGCTTTTGACCGGACGTGCCATGAATATGCTCGTTCACGACTTGGGATTCTCCCATAGGGCCTGCGATCGGTGCCATGGCCAAAAGTTGCGTTGTCGACGAGAGAGTAATAACAGCAATTGTTTGCGCTGTACAAGAGCGGGCGTACGATGCACTCCACGGCCAATGAGAATGCGGTCTCGTGCGCAATCCAACAAAAACGTTCCTCAGGGACAATCGCAAACTGTTGCAAATGGCGAGATCGAGCAATCAAATCATGGTAAGTGTACAATGCACGAAACCTGGCTCATCGAGTGCAGTTCAATGATGGTGAGCTAACCTGTCAGTCAACGAAGATGAAGGAACGAATGATACGAACAACGACATTTCAGATCAGTTCAACTATCTCCCTATGGGCATGTTGGATATGCAAGCCGATTTAAATATTGAATTGGACTCATCCTTACAGCCGGATACTCATCCTGCACTGACCTCTCGCTATGGTCCTGCAGAGCCCGAGTCACGCGGACATGATATCCACACGAATCAACGACGGTATTCTCAAAGTCAAGCCCATTTGAGGAGTGTCGAACAAGCTGTGCAGACACGCTGGTGTGATATTCCCAGTCAAGGTACTTCGGACGACTTGTGTGACTTCTCATTACCGCTCACCATGCATTCATCGTTCCCCTCGACCTATCCCAGGCATCACGTCTCTCCGGCGAGAAACATCACCGATCAGAATACACGGGAAGGCCAAGATGGTATTATGGTAGACTTTGATCAATCACGAGCAAACTTAAAGAGTTCCGATAGTAACGATCCAAGTACCGACTCTGGCTATGGTAACGAACTTTCTCCTTCCGATCTACTGCGCTCACCCTATGGGGACGGAGACGACCCCAGCTTTGAGATGCAAGCCCATAAACAAGATCAAGAGGAGCTATCCAATGCAACTTCCGGCACGCACCCCTCGAATATGACTTCCTGGATTCGAAAGCTGTCAGACACCAATATGCTGCTTCATAATCATATGCACTCAATACCCTCGGTTGAAGCGAGACACAGAGCGCGAAGTGGTTCGGAAAACTCCCTAAGCTCCTCAGAGGTCGAAACACGACTTCCAGTTGATTCCACATTTAAATTGTCAGCGCAATACACAGGCCTCTTGACTAGTATCTGCACCCGGCTCGAGGCAGCCAGATCATGCAATGACCCCCAGACAGTAGCACAGCTCACACTGGACCAATCCTCACAATTGCTCGTTCTTTCGGGCTATATGTGTCTCCTTGAAACCTATGATAAGATTTTGCAACACATCAAGGCGTGGTTAGATGTGCGGCTAAAGCTGGGGGTCAAAGGCACTGCTACTGTGGGTGATGACGAGAGCAACTTCTCCTTTCCACTCCAGTTGCCGAGTCTAGCTGTGGGCTCCTTTAAAATACCGAAGACTTCGGCGATCCAATCCATTGTCCTAACGTGCGTTCTTGAGACAAACATTTTGCACATGCATTCTCTTATCAGCGAGGTTATGAGACCCGCTTGCAATAGTATCACTGGATCGGCATCGCAGGCTACCCTCTCCGGGAACTCGGTCGGTGAGAGGCGCAAACTGAATGGGAGTGTGGATGGTGGTGATGGACTTTCTAGCGTAGCGAAAGTCACTCTGCAGGCGATCGAAGCCAATGAAGATTCCACGTTACGGCTGGTGCATCTCGTTTCCAAGCTGGCTCATCAGCGGGTTATGCTTTGATCAAGGAGTGTCAGATGCCGATGGAGAGAGATTTGTACCTTTTCCTTTTGTTGACACTTGGTGAGAGGGTGATGGCGCGTCCCAGGGGTAGTTTGCGTTTGTTGGACATTTAGGGAGAGGGGATGTGCTTATATATCAGATGTGGTGGATCAGGTATTTGTGTGCACCGACGCTTGATCAATCTATTTGTGGCCTATTGTACGGAGTACTAGAAGATTTGATACAACAATTTCAGTCCATTCGGTCCGTAAAAGATTTAAATGTGCCATAACGACAATGTTCAGCTATGGCGCTTTACTCATTTCCTCAAAGGCCGAGAAAGTAGGCTTGCCAGCATCGTCGATGTTGACTACTTTACCGCCACTGACGTACGTTTCAACCCAACCGATACTGATTTCTGCGCCCTCACTGCTGATATATGGACCCTCTTCTGCCTGCAGCGCCTGGAAATCCCCGTCTGCCGCTCCTTTGTAGAAAGTTTCCATGTCTCGAAACAAAAACTCTACTTGTGCATCAAAGTCGCGAATTCGCCATGGATTCCCACGCATGTTGTTGAGTTCCGACGTGAAGTCACGGAACGACTTGGGGGCAAAGAACTGAACATGGTGTTATTGTCATGTTGACTCATGATTCCGGATTCCTTGCACAGCCAAGTACTCACGATTGAAAATCCCTCGATTCCATTCTTGGCATGGAGCTTCGCTGCACGCGCGGCATGCTGTTCGGTCACCCAGTTATAGAAATCTTCTTCACTGACGTTGGGCTGGCGGTAGTGCGCTACCGTCATACGCAAAAGGCGCTTTTTCTGGATGGGTTCGGCCATTGAGTTTCCAGTTCAGGGGATGTTTGTCGGATACGAAAAGCGCGAGGCTGCTAGTACATATCTTCGCTACGGAGTACATCTGGCATTTATAGTAGATTCCGGTATTAACTTCGCTGGTTAGGCGAGGGTGACCTAGGTATTCGGCCGTGATAGCCTGATCCGGCGCATTCCAGGTGCCGACCTGGGAGGACTTTCGGTGCTTCTTAGATACCCGGATATGACATGGCCTTCATTTCTACGTGGATCTTAATCGGTAATACTATTGCAGAATACACCGACGCAACTCAAATGCGTTGGACTATCGGTCGATGCTCCTGCTCTAGAACCTTTTTTGCGGTCCCACGGGAGTAGATATGTACATGTAGGCATGGAATCTTATGTCAATTGAGGGTTGAGGGACATCGAGACTGAAATTAAGTCGTAGAAAGAGAATATGTACAGAGATGAGCTCAAAAAAAGAACTAGGCTCGCATATTGCTCATATATTGCTCATAAATCCAACTAAATTTGTCTCAACAAATCAATGACCATTTGAGGTTGGAGTGTCCAAGGCAGTCGACAACAAGAGGCAGCTATGCCTCTGTGGCCCGGAAAGATCGTATGCAGCCAGATCAACACCAGAGAAGCCGGTTTGCTTGAGTAATTCACCCCATTGCTCAGGAGACTGCAGGGGACTCTCTGTTCTTCCCTCGCCAACGCCAGCCCACCACCCAGACAGTGGTCCAAACGTCAGGTTATAGAACGGTGTCAACCTCGTGAGCTCTACAAGACCGAAGACACCACCGGGCTTGAGTAGTTTGTGCACATTGCTCAGGGTTTTGGCTAGACGTGTTGTTGCATGAATGACATTTGCCGCAATGACCAAGTCGAAAGTGTGTTCTTCGAAGCCTTGGCTAACAGGGTCATGTTCAACATTCAGGACTTTGAAGCTTAAGAGAGACTCCCACTTCTTGAGCGTTGTCTTCGCAGTGTTAAAAAACCCTGGCGACAAATCTGTGAACACGTATTCGACACAGAATTGCTCGCCATTAGGACTGCATAGGTTAAGCACTTCTGTAGTGGTACCACCGGTCCCAGCGCCGATCTCCAGAATTCTGATCGCTTTCCTCTCCGAGGTGAGGATTCTGGTGTACTCAGCCGCGTAACGATTAGCACGCCGACCCTCATCCGAGAGATACACGCGGAAAAGCAAATCCTCCCTCATGATATGCGCAAGGGCGTGTGTCTTGCCAATAAGAATGTTCACGATCTCTGGGCCCATTCTTGCAATCACCTCGCCTTCAATCCCTAGTCTGGGGATCAGGTTCTCTACTCCTTCCTTTGTCAATGAGGCTTCCTCGATGGTCTTTTGGGCCTCGTCGGAATCAACGAAATCCTCCATCACTTTCCACCAATGGAGGCGATAATCCTGTTTGGGACTCAGTCCGCGTCTTCGCATTTCTTTCACTGCGGCGTCAATGTAAACAGCAGTAGCGGCGTTGACCAAGGTAGATTTTTCCGCCACGGTCATGCCAACCTTGTCGGCTTCCAAAGGAATGTGTACAGATTCGAGCATCGCAGGCGTGAGTTGGACACCGCCAACCGTGCTTGATGGACTCGAGACATCGTTGGTCCCATTTTTGGCGCCTTCAAGAGTTGTAAAGCTCATGCTTGACCATTGCGTCTCCAGTTCCTTGATGAGCCAAGGCTCCAAATGTACCATTCCTCCGAAATAGAACATAATTCGGGACGGCTTGCCGGGAATATTGGTACCGACATACCAAGAGCCTTGTTCGTGGGCATGCTTTGCTATCAATGTGCCAGCCCATACATCCTCAACGTGTGTCGTCCAAGCATTCATGGCTTCGTTGGACACGTCGATCGTGGCGAGCCCATTGCTTTCCATATGCTCTATGGTTTTGCCGATCCAGCTTGCAAATGACTCGAGACTGACAGGTTGGTTTCCCGCGGGCAAATGTGGACCACAGACAACGAACATGTTCGGATATCCATGAACCAAGACACCGGCAAAAGTCTCAAGTCTCTGCGACCAGGACTCTCGCAGAGATCTATTCTGGCTGCCTCTGATGTCGATCTTGTTCATTGCGCCCGTGCCTGTATCGAAGCCCAGTGCGAGGATAATGATGTCAAGCTCAAATTCTTCGCCAGAGACAGTCTTCACACCCTTTTCAGTAATCTCGATTTCGGTTTTGCTGGTATCAACCAGTTGGACGTTCGGCCGATTGAATTTTTCATAATATCCGTCTGCGCAAGGAGGACGTCTTGCGCCGAAGGGATAGCTTGGGCATAGTACCTCGGCGGTATCGGGGTCATGAACGATGGACCGGATCTTGCCACGAATAAATTCCGCGGTGGCCGCGTTGGCATCCGGGTGCATGAAAGGGTCATCGAAAGTGCCCAGCTGGAAATCATAACATCCACGCGCCCAGCCAGTCTCGAACAAATCTTGAATTTTCTCTGGGTCATCCATACCGGCGACCATTCTTCCCGAATGCTTGACGGCGTGACCAGCCAGATTCACCCTGGCGATATCCCAGTAGGCGTCGAAATTCGCCTTGACATCTTCTGTCTTCTGCTCGTCGAGGGAGTAGTTTTGAGCCGGGAGAACATAATTTGGAGTTCGTTGGAAAACCGTCAACTGTTCAGCAATGGGGGCAAGCTTGGTGATGACTTGAATGCCCGTTGAGCCTGTGCCGATAACACCGATTCGCTTGTTTTGGAGATCGACATCACGCTGTGGCCAGGTGGAAGCTTGATATATCTCCCCTTTGAATGACTGAAGACCAGGGAATGACGGCTCCTTGGGGATCGATGTGATGCCTGTGGCGGGAAGGAAGTATCGCGAGGTAGCCACACGGCCATTCGCTGTGGTAATTGTCCAGACATGATCACTATCACTGTAATGGGCGGAATTGACCTCGGTGTTGAAGTCAATGTTCTTTCGTAGATCGTAACGATCGATGATACGACCTAGATACCATTGAATCTCCTCCTGCGTGGGATAACGCTCGGTAAAGTCCCATTCTTCCAGAAGCTCTGGCAGGAACTTCAACGCGTATACCCACGCCTCCCCATCAGTTCGACATCCGGGGTAACGATTCCACCACCAGGTGCCGCCGACGTCTGAGCCAGCGTCAAAACATTTGGCTGTCAGGCCTAGTCGGTCAAGCTCCCAGAGACATCTCACACCACTAAAGCCTGCTCCGATGACAATTGCATCATAGTCTGGAGTTGCGGTACTCATGTTCAACAATTGGATTCTTGCTGAAACACCTGAATGTGAATCTGAGGCTCAAGAAGCAAGGTTAAGGTACCTTGAGCAATAGAATACCCGGTGAATCGCGCGTCACAATTCTTTGGTATAGCTTCCCCCGGGTTTAGGGCCCGACTTACATCCTCACTAGCTTGGTCATACCCCAAGTATTCCCCGAACTTATGCCGGTAGTTTGACCCTCGATATCTAGTATCAACCGGAGTTCGGTGAAGCCGAATCGACCCTAATGTGGAGTGTTCGCCGAACTACCAACAAGTCAGCATTGCAAGTCTTATAATACGTGTTTCTGTAGAACAGTGGTCTTTGTCTCTCTTGTGACAAGCGTATCAAACTGTTAGCAAAATGTACACCCTTCCAGCGGACATGCCACAAGCGCTTGGTGTCAATGGTTACCCTCAATGAACTTTTTTCCGATGATCTCGGCGTCGATAATTGGAACGCGGAGGCAATATATATATTACCAAGCATGTTCAGGTTGTAAAGTCAATGTGCAAGTGAATTGTATCCAACATGACCTCTGCATTCGACTCAAACGAGGTGTCTCGGCTAGGGACGGCTTTGCTTCGTATCTCGCCACTGGTCATATCCTCTGCATCCTTGATGTTCAGCTGGTCACAAGATATTTCTCTGGGAGCATTCTTACACCCGTCCCTACGTGATGATGCAGCTCACCCCAGTGGCAAACTTCTTCCAAAGTATTTGCCTGCTTTCATGGGCCCTGGGATCTGGGGTATCGGCCTGACATACCCCCCTGCGACCATCATTTGTGTTACCAATGGCCTCAGCAATCAAAGCCCCGAGGCCCGCAAACTATACTTGGCTGGTGCGCTGTTTAGCATCGCCCACTTTTGCTGGGGACCAACTATGTTTGCTATCCTTGGTCGCATTGGCGATGCCAGATCCGCCGGGGCTCCAAATGAGAACGCGCTTCAAGAGTGGCTGCCCAAACACCGGGCGCGCACTTTATTGGTCAACATTCCAGCCTTTGTCTGCATTTTGGGGGCTACTTTGGCCACTCTCACTGAGGGACTTGCATGAAGTCGCCTGAGTCTTGGTATTACTTGGTACGGGGGTTGTGGCCATTTAGTCTTGGTTTTGTCATGGTGTATGTAAATGCCTTGGTGTGTGAGTGTCTGGTTCGATTCACATATGGCAGTTGTACACTATCAACAGAGAGACTGTGAACGTGTCGTTCCGTATTCGGTAACTTCGCCGAGCAAATTCTATCGCCGAATGTGTATGGAGTACCATTACCTAGATACAGGGTCGTTCAGCTTATAATACTAGTAGAATACGCCTTTCTCGGATATCTGAGACACACAGCGTTTGATTCATATTGCTGACAGGGTATAGATGTAAGATCAAGGGTATTAGTGCCATACGGTATGTAATGAAAATGACCCCAAGTGGATCTTGTCTCTGGTCACAGTCCAGACTGTTGTCGCCAACGTACGACACCTTCCCTTTCACAACTTTTCCTCTCTCATCTTTCTCTGGAGGACTTGTCAAATCTGATTTGATAAGCATCCCATCAGCTTTCCGGATACTGCATAGTTCGAGTTCTCACTATTCGCGATGTCCGAATCCGAGAAGAAGTGCGCTGGGGCCGATTGTGACAATGAGGCTGGGAGCTTGCAATGTCCAACCTGTCTGAAGCTGGGTGTCAAAGGCAGTTACTTTTGCACTCAAGACTGCTTCAAGCGAAACTGGGTGAGCTATTTCCGCGCGGCTCTCATACCTAACTGAAAATCTAACATTGACGTATCCAGGCCACCCACAAGGCAGTTCACAAGGCACAAAATGGTAATCACCTGGTCTCAATTAGATGGACGGGATTTTCATGACTTTCGTGGCTAATCGCGATATAGCTGGCGGTGTTTACGATCCTTTCCCGGCATACCCATACACCGGCTCGGTCAGGCCCGTATACCCACTTTCCCCGCGTCGGCCCGTCCCTAAAACAATCAAGCACCCAGACTGGGCCGTGACTGGTATTCCTCAGCGTGAGCTGCGCTTGAGTAGGTCGAAATGGGATCTCTTGGATACAAAGGGCCAAGAAGCTATGCGGAAGGTGTGTAGGTTAGCTCGAGAAGTACTCGATATAACCGCTGCGGCGATGAAGCCGGGTGTGACTACAGATTACCTGGATGAGATTTGCCATAATGCTTGCATCGAGCGAGAGGTACGTGTTGATCTATACCTTGAACTTAATTATTTTACTAAACTATCGAATAGGCTTATCCTTCTCCACTTAACTATAATCACTTCCCTAAATCGCTATGTACATCTCCTAATGAGGTTGTATGCCACGGTATCCCCGATGGTCGTGTTCTAATTGATGGTGATATTCTTAATCTCGATATCTCACTATATCACGGTGGATATCACGCGGACTTGAACGAGACCTACTATATTGGCGACAAAGCCAAAGCGGATCCGGACTCGGTCAGGCTCGTCGAGACCACACGAGAAGCTTTGGATATGGCTATCGCAATCATCAAACCCGGCACACCGATCCGAGAGTTTGGTAAGATCATTGAAAAGCATGCCACCTCTAGGGGTCTCGTTGTCATCAAAACTTGGGGCGGGCACGGTATCAACTCGGAATTCCACCCTCCTCCTTGGATCCCCCACTATGCGAAGAACAAGGCCGTAGGAACCTGCAAACCTGGTATGACATTTACAATTGAACCTATTCTCTCGTTGGGTACCAACCGGGAAAAGAATTGGCCAGATGACTGGACGAACGTTACAGTGGACGGCAAGCGGTCAGCACAATTTGGTACGTATAATCCTCTCGAACCTCAAACACTACTATTCGGCCCGGTATACTAACTTGAAATGTGACAGAACATACTATGCTCGTTACAGAAACGGGTGTTGAGGTTTTGACGGCCAGACTGCCGACCTCTCCAGGAGGCCCCATCCCCATTCCCGAGGTTTCAAATGGGGATGCGGACGAAAAGGAATAAAAATGTGCCCAAGTGGAGTTTGGGCAAAAAGATGGCCATTGGACAGCGATTGGCTAGCTAGTCAGTACTTGTCTGCAGAACTACGTAACCCGTGAAACTGAAGTTGTGCATCATGCTGTCATCGGACCTGATCTTGCTACATATTCCCTGCTCTATTCTCCAAACAATCAGCATGATACATGCGCCAAAGCCGTCTATATCGTGTGTTCCCGCTGCAAAAGAGGCTTCCCCGCCAGCTCTGAACATCCTTGCCCAACCTCGCCTTGAAAGCCTTCAGACCCGGGGTATCAGCACTTGCCAGTTCTTATCCAGTCCTCTGAGCCTTTTAGCTCGCCCCCTCAAGCAAAGTCAGATGGAAACTCACATATCCACTCTCACATCCACCGGCCTTTGTCTTAAACATCTCACGAAAGATGCCCACATGCCCAGGGTTATGCTTCTCATAGTACACCTAGGTCTGCTTCTGTAGCGGCTCGAGCGGGAATTTTCGAATGCCTCCCACATCTTTGAAGAAATACTTGATCGATGTGGTGTTGTTGGAGCTGCGCTCACTGTCTCGTCGATTCTCAATAGCCATTGGCCCAAGCTCGGCCATTCGACGGGTTATACCTCTTGTAGGGCTTACAATTGGGTTGAAATCTTTGGCATGTGTGGTGCTGGTTGGATTGGATTCCGAGGTGGAAGACTACCACTGATCTGTTCCCCGGCTCGGGCCATCCTGGCCATTTTTGCATAGGATCTGGGCTACGGCCTTTCCGGGATGACTGCAGCCATGAAAGAATTTGTCCTTGGCTGTGAGCGGTTCTTGATCGTAATCAGGGTGGATATGAGGGTGGAGTAGTTGAGGGGGATGATGACTATGTAGCCACTGACCAGCCAACGCCCTTGGTGTAATATTCTAACTCCATATGCCTATATACACGATTTTGCTGGAATTACGAGTATCTTCAGGTTCTACAGGTTTAGTACCATGAGTGGACAGTTTATCAAGGCCTTACAGCCACTTGAGTCTGTTTTACGCGCTTATGGATTGAGTGAAAATTAATCGTCAGGAAATATATGAATAGTAAGCAACCGGTGTTCTATGGCAGGGAACCGAGATTTTCGGCCCTGTTTCCATTCATGGTCGACCGAACCTGGTGCGGCTTCATGCAGTTAATATGGAGCAATGCCAGGGCACTTGGTGTGGGCTACCAAAAACGTTGAAATCAAGTCACAGTGCCAACTGGTGAGTAGGTTCCCCATGACACGAAGAGTGGAAGTACATAAGTCCCAATTACAATATAGAAACCCCCGAAATTATGACATGGAACATGGAAGAAGCGAAGGCTCATCTAAAAGAGCATGGTTGGGTGAAGATCCCCTCCGTCCTCTCGAGCGAGGAAGCTGAAGATGCCCTCAATCGCCTTTGGGAAGCCAAAGCTGCCATCGAAGCGACCGGCGAGGACACATTCCAACCCGTGTTGGATCCCAACCCTGCCAATGTTCGCGTCTTTTATCTTCCAGAGATAGATGAGTACTGGCGAGACATGCTTGTCAATCCGACCGGACTAGACCTGGTCAAGTCCCTGCTGGGCGAACAGGTGCTCGTCAGCAACTTCTCCGCCAATATCGCTCGTCCCGGCGCCGAGAGCATGGCCCTCCATTCCGACCAGAGTATTGTCCTTCCAGCGCCATGGCTGGATATCTGGGCAGTCAATGTCATTTGGTGCCTGACTAGGATGACAAAGGAAAATGGTGCGACTTTGTATATTCCCGGTTCAAACAAGTGGACCACCTGGGACGATGTGCCGGCTAATGCACCTGATTTGCTCGTCCCTTTCGAGGCGGATGCTGGCGATATCGTTGTTATTGATGGGCGTCTGTGGCACACTTCCGGTGCAAATGTGACCAAGGAAGAGGATCGCGCCATTCTCTTTGCCTATTACTCCGCGCCTCATATGCGACCTCTGACAAACTGGTCGGCTAAGCTGCCAAAGGAGCTTCAGGAAACACTGAGTCCGCAGATGAAGGAGCTCCTTGCGCTAAGCCATATTGGATACATTGTGAGGGGCGATCTCACTTATATGGCTCAGAAGTACGCACCAAAAAGTAATATCGCGGCGGTTGGCGCTTGAGTCGAAAGTGGATGAATTCCTATATAGATAAATGAATCCAACTATCATTATATTGGAGCTGTTTTGGCTGGATTTGCTGTTGCGATCTGGAATAATATTCTGGCTCAATGTTTCGTCTCAGGAATCATTTGCATCCGGGCAGAGTAGCAAGCTTTGCTGGTACGTACGTGTTAGATGAACGTAGCAGCTGCCCGACGTGGGCTTTTCAGGCAGAGTTCTGTCTCAAGAAGATCCCAGTCTTGAGTCAAAACATGCCAGATGCAGCCTAAGGAAACCAGATCGCAATATCTAAATGGATTAAAGCAAAAAGCAGCCCGAATCTACTTAATTCAATTCAATAGGTATAGCTTGGGACAGTGTATATGATTTAACACATCTCCACTCTCATATCGTACCTCTCGCTTCAATCGCCTTGTGTTTGCCCTGGTTTCTTTCGAAGTACTCCCGAATCTTGATCCTGGCGACCTCGACAGCCATTGGATCTTCGATTGTACTTGGTATCTCCAAACTGCCTTCAAGGTCCCCGTAAATCGCATTTTCCACCAATTCTCGAAGTACGCGTCGCAATGTCTTCCCGGACCTTGTTTTGGGTATCATACATTTCCCTTGCACTATACCTCCCAGTGCAGCAAAAGCACCAACCCGACTTCTCACGAGTGACTGAATCTCTGCCGTGATTGTTGCTGAAGGTATGGCTGGGTCTGAGTGTTCTTGTATAGATAAAGAGATGAATGCGAATGGAAGTTGGCCTTTCAACCCGTCTGGAATAGCGACCACACACGATTCTGCGACCTGAGGATGTGCCGAGATGGCTTCTTCAATGGCACCTGCGAATAGTTTAACTTCAGTGATTAGAAAGATCTAAAAAAGGGGAGGAAAACCAACCACTTGATAGTCGATATGCACTGACGTTCAAGACATCGTCATTTCGACCCATCACATGAACATATCCATCGAGATCAACCCACCCTGCGTCTCCGGTATCCATAAACCTGGATCCAAACCGCTTCAGATAGCTGTTGTAAAACCTCTCCTCGCCGAACCACAGTGTATTAAATGCTGTCGGACCAAGAGGTAGGGCCAGAACGATGTTGCCCATCGACCCTTTTGGCACCTCTTCACCGTTGTCGTCTACTACCCGAACATCGAATCCAGGCATGGGCTTTCCAGCGCTTCCTGCCTTCATTGGAGGGAGGGTTTCTTTCCGCTCAAACTCTCCTCTTAGTCCGATGTGAGGTGCAATTGCCCGGCCGGTGATGGGAGACCCGGCTTCAGTTGACCACCAATTATCGATGACATTTGCGCCACTCCCACCATATCTCCCAAGAAGCTCTTGATACATGGATACCAGATTCGGCTCTGACCGCTCGCCAGCGAGGAACAAGGCTCCCAGCGATTGCAAGCCTCCACGCTCCCCAATCACAGACAGCCTTTTATTACCAGGGTCGTCTTGCTTGATCGCCCGCAAAGCCGTTGGGGTCGCAAACATGGTATTCACCTTGTACTCCTCGACAACCCTCCAAAAAGCGGATGCATCGGGTGTTCCTACTGGCTTGCCTTCGTACAAAACTGTAGCCGCTCCTGCAAGCAATGGTGCGTATATAATGTAGGAGTGACCGACCACCCAACCAATATCCGACGCCGCAAACATGACGTGGCCAGGGCCGTGGATGTTGAAGATATACTTTATGGTGAATTGTAAGCCAACTGCATGGCCACCTGAATTGCGCACCACTCCTTTCGGCGCCCCTGTCGTTCCGGATGTATGCATAACATAGATAGGTTGGTGGCTTGGAACGGGTACGCAGTCTGCTTTGATACCGCGTGACTTGGCACTGTTCACGAGCTCTTGCCATGATGATTCTTTAGCGCTGGTTCTTTGACGGAAGAGGACTTGCTGTATCCAGCGCCACACGCGCTTCCACCAACCAGACCTTGACTCGCTGAAGTTCCACTCCAGCTGGCCGCGCTGCCATACGATTGTTTGTGAAGGCTTGTGGAATGAAAGCCTCATAGCTTCTTGAACGAGTGGTTGGTAGGCTATCGGCGGCCTGTTGCCAACTATTCCACACGAAGCCGTGAGAAATGTATCAGGCTTACACGCCTCAATTCTTTGCGCAAGGGCATTTGGTGCAAATCCACCAAACACGACTGAGTGGATAGCTCCCACTCGATTCACGGCAAGCATCCCAACCAAGGCAGCCGGAATCATGGGCATATACAACATAACCACATCACCCTTCTTGACGCCGTTCTCTGTCAGCACTCCGGCCAGAGTCTCAACCTCACTGAGCAGGGTGTTGTATGTGATCGTCTCTTTTGTATTTGTGACGGGACTGTCATAGTGAATCGCAGGTTGGTGTCCGTTTCCCGCAGCAACGTGCCTGTCGACGCAATTGTAGCAAGTCGAAATTTCCCCGTCCGGAAACCAGTCCCATGTCGGATGAGTGGCTCCATCTTTTAAAGTCTTATGTGTCGTGCGAAGTGTGATATCGGGTTTTCTGTGCCAGTGAAGGTACTCGGCTTGGCGCGACCAGAACTCTTCCGGGTTTTGCAGACTGTTTCGAAACACCTCATCTTGAAGGTAATAATCAATTGACGATGTCGAATCCATAATGGTTTCATTCATTGCCGGAGCGAACTGACACGAACACAGAACTTCCCCTAGCAGAAACTCGGAGCTACTGAATAGAACCTTCACGCTCACTATTAAATGCTGATTTCATTATTTTATCATTGCCGAATGATTCCTTGAATCCTATGCAGGTGTTGTCAGCTGCAAGTATCGAGGCATGTCTCTGAGCCTGGGTTCGGTGCACGATACCTAATTCATCGCCGACAATCTCCACTGCCGAACGCCCAAGGACGCCGAGCTTAGCAGTGGACGAGCCAACGTTGAATCTTTTTGCCAAATAATTTTGTATTTTCTTAATTCTTGACAGGCCATATGCTCACAGCGATTGGACTTGGGCGTGTTGACGGCAACGTCTGTACATATCTTGCCCCTTACAACGCGATGCTCTCAAGGCAAGGCTGTAATGCATGTGTAGGTCGGGGATTGATGGATATAATGCGTATTCTTAGGAACTAGTGCAATCGAATTGCGAAAACTGGGATCCCCTGGCAAAATTCGATCGCTGGGCAGAGCATCATACACATGTAGTTAACTACAGGAATTCGTGGTTGACACCTCCCCTTTCAGGCATCCAATGCTCTGTTTTGGCCTCCAAATCAACGAACCCCCTTTCCCAAGTTGCGATTCCTATCCCGCGATTCCAACCAAATTTTCTCAAACGCACCGATTCGCTCATATTATTGTCTCGCTACACAGGACTGGCATTAATCGGACTCGGTTTGAGAAGGCTCGCGTGGCTAGCCTCAGGTGGCTGCTCAGACTCGATACGGCGAAGGAGGTCAATGTGACGTTGACTGCGGGGCTCGACCTTGAAGTTGAATGGGGCAGGACGATTGACCATACCCGGATGGGTCTCCAGGGTGACAGGGATCTCATTTCCTTGGTCGTCTAACGCCTTGCGAACGTCGAAAACAGCTAGCAGGTGAACCACCGCGATGTACACGCTCGCATCCGCAAAGAAACGACCAGCGCAAGATCGTCGACCATAACCAAACGCGATGTCACTGGGGTCTGGATTGTTGAAGGGCTCCATGTATCGCTCTGGCTTGAAAACTCGCGGTTCGGGGTAATCTTTCGGGTCGTTCAAAAACCACCATAGAGAAGGAAGGAGAATCGAGCCGGCAGGGATGAGATATTCTCCATAAAAAATATCTTCCTCAGACTTGTGTGCTAAGCCCATCGGTCCCACGGGATTCCATCGCCAAGCTTCCTTGATAATGCCGTCGACGTAAGGCAGGTTGATTCTGTCGTCAAAGTTTGGGAGCCTATCGGAGCCGACAACTCGATCAATTTCTTCCTGTGCCCTTTTGACAACCTCTGGAAACATGACAAGACCACAGATAACGCTCTCGATGATTGCCACTGAGCTGTCAGAGCCTGCGGCATAAAGACTGACGGCGGTCCACTTGATCGCCTCTTCATCCTCCGGACTCACTATCACCTCATTTGTATCCGACTTGAGCATGTTCTGCTCGATCAAGTTGGAGACGTATGAAGGAATATGGGCTTTGTGTTGCACCTGGCGTTTGACAAAGTCATATGGCAAATCGGCAGCGGCCTCGTTGAAGAGCTTCCACTCCTGCGCTGTCTTCCTGTAAGACATACCAGGGAACCAGTCAGGAAGATATTTAATAGCAGGCACAGAATCAATGGCCCACGAAAGTGGCACAAATGCCAAGGATAAATTGTCCATGGCATGCTCAATCAGCTCGGCTAATGGGTCGCGACTTTCACGCTCAATGGTGTAGCCATAGGTGAGCTTCAAAATGATGGCAGCAGCGAAACTAAAAGGCATCAGACAATCTGCATCATGCAATAGCGGTCGAACAGGGAAATTTTACAGTTTCAAGTGGACCAAGATATCGTCAGGTCGTTTGAAGGTCTGAAGAATGAAATGTATAGATTCATGCTCCTGGATGGGGCGGAAGCCAGCAGATACACCCTTGGTTCCAATCTCCTGTTGAACCATCTTCCGGTGCAGGCGGTATTTTTTGTTATATTGATGTGTGATGAGGAAGTTCTCGAAGCCACATAGCTGAGCAAAATTCAACTGGGGTCGGGCTGCCGTCTTTTGGGCTTTTTTGCCCATGACAGCGTAGGCAGCGTCCTGGTCGTGGAATATGACGAGTGTCTGCCCCATAACGTTGATGGAGCTGATAGGACCATAGGCATCTTTGTGTTTAAACCAGTGCAGATACTCGGGTGTACCTTTGGATGGGAGATCAAGGAAATTCCCAATAATCGGCAGTGGTTTTGGTCCAGGTGGAACACTCACTTTGAGCTGCTTGGTTCGCCTTTTGAGCACCAGCAATGCTAAGAATACTATCAGGGCCACGCCGCTGAGCTGAAGGGTAGAGAGTCCGTGGGCCATGTTGTATTGACCTATATCAAGAATGGAATTTGATTTCTAACGTCTATACCTCGGGCTTTTCAGTGTTCTTTGAGTCCTCAGTTGATATATACCAGTTACATCCGAATTACGCTTATACTTACAAGTATGTAAGCACTTAGGTATTCCTCTCGCCCTTATCATTAGGGAAAAGCTGATGAGATTGTCTACAGGGTTTCTTTCGCCATGCCATCGTCTCCAGCGCTAAAACAGCCTGTGCAGAAATCCAACATTCACGATTGGTGGCCCTGCAGCCACCGAATTCGGTGTGGGGCTATAAGCTCAAGAGCCGAATCCCAAATGCCAATGGAACAGCACCCTTCTCTGTATTCAGTTACAAGGTCATCACCGTTACGGATTCCACAACGTGTCTGGACTGAACACGAATGTCTCTGGGGTAGTCGCTGATATTTTTCATCTCGACATCTTTGCCGCATCATATCATTTCAATTCTCAAGCTTTTTCCGACAAGCTTTACTGTCTAGATCCACCGTAATATCAATTTGCGCGTGCGTCGAGGCTGCTCATACTGCAAAATCTCGGGCATATTGAAGATAGACAACCATGGCAACCGTACACAAGCTTTTCAAGTCGCCGTTCTTCGATTTCGAGTTCCTTCGTCTACTGGCCATGGCGCCACACGAAGGTGCCGAGATTGGAGAGGCCCTGGAAGCAGCAGCTAAGATCAAGGACCTGGATCCAGAGTCATGGTATAGCACACTTCTCGAAACCGGCACCAAGGCAGAAGCTATCGCGAAGGAAGCCGAGGCCTCTGGAGACCGTGTCGGTGCGCGACGCGCTTACCTGCGCTCTTCAAACTACCTTCGCGCTGCGCAGTTCATGCTCAATGAAGGCCCTATAGGGCATGACACACGAGTACTTCCAACCATCGAACGATCCATTGCCAATTTCCGAAAGGGTGTCCAGTATCGTGACGGAAAGACACTCTTCTTAGATATCCCGTATGAGGGCAGGACTTTGCCCGGTTATCTGTACCTGCCGCCTAGCTTCAAGCGCATTCCCGGTCGCAAGATCCCCATCCTACTCAACTCGGGCGGCGGCGACTCCACTCAGGAGGAAATTTACTTTGTGAACCCAGCGTACGGGCCAGACTTGGGCTACGCAGTCCTCACCTTTGAGGGTCCGGGCCAAGGCATCGTCCTCCGTCGCGACAAGTTGCCCATGCGCCCGGACTGGGAGGCTGTGACAGGTCCCGTCCTGGATCACCTCTTTGATCTAGCTGCTCGTCGTCCTGAGCTCGACCTGGATCTCGCTCACATTGCCGTCACTGGCGCGTCGATGGGTGGCTATTTTGCACTCCGTGCGGCCTCGGACCCTCGAATCAAGGCATGCGTGAGTGTAGACGGATTCTACAGCTTGTCGAGCTTTGTGGGAGGCAGAATGCCCGGCCCGCTCTTCAATGGCTTTATGAGTGGCTGGCTTTCTGACAGCATGTTCAATGGAATCTTGAGCTTTCTCAAGAAACTTGACTTCCAGGCCCGATGGGAGTTCAATCATTTGAAGTGGGCGACTGGCTCCAAGACGGATGCGGATATCATGCGTAGCTTTGGTGACTACACTCTGCAAAACGCCGATGGTACGGAGTATTTGGCGGACGTCAAGTGTCCGACACTTGTGACAGGAGCAGGGGCCAGCTTTTATTTCAATCCTGCCACCACTACAGACAAGATCTATGAGTGCTTGACTGGCCTCAAAGATGGTGTGGATAAAGAGAAGTGGATTGCCACAGACGTAGCGTATGGGGGACTGCAGGCTAAGATCGGTGCTTTTGGATATTCGGCACAGAAAACATTTGAGTGGTTGGATGAACGGTTCGAAATTAAGAGGGATCCGTTGACGGCCAGCTCAAATTTGGAAGACTTGGTTAGCAAGTAGCGCTTGATCAAAGGCAAGGAGTTCTGCGATGGTTGAAGAATGTAATCCAATTGAATGAACCCGTTTAGGTAAAATTCTCAAGCACTCAATTTATCCACCTTGGTATAAACTAGGCATATAACCACAGGCACATATCAAGTAGGTACCTCTTCTATCTCAGTTGCGAGGGAAGGTTTCCGAAATCTTCCAAGGTTCCAATGTTCAAGTTGATGACGATCCTCAAGACCTCGGGAGCGACCTCTTGCCTTTCCTTGTTATCTAGCGTTCTGAGCACCTTCCACCATGGTTTTGTCTCTGGATTTCCCATTCGTATCTATATTTGTACGTCTTAGCCTATATCTCCTCGGTTTTATGGAGATCTTACAAATTGAATCGGACAACTTGTCAGGCTGCCATATGAGGTGGAATATATATTTCCTCCAACGTTAATGTTTTGTTGAACTTTTGATTAGAAGAAACCTCTAGCATAGAAGGCAAGTTAAAATGGCTATATAAAATTGAGAATTGCTAGGTACAACAGTGGAGGCAACCATGGGAAGCGATTGTGATCTGAATAAACTTGGAGTGATTCCAAGGTTCCAGTCACACGTTCCTTGGGTTTTGCGGAGGTAATTTGTGTTTTGTGTTTTGTTACCATACAAATACGGATACATCTGTACTATACGGTCATATCATTACACCTGGTAGGAACTTGCCTAATACGGTTTGCATTCTCCGAGTTTGGAGTTTCATGAACTTCGTTGTCTCTATTCCGAGGTCCCAGATCTATGGATCCTCCCTCCAATATAGAAAGAATTGGCTCCCTTCTACTGGTCAAATGTCTGATTCAGCTGAAGATTAGCAAAACAAAGTCACAACTTCCAAGATTATGTAGGAACTCACTGAATTATCCTGTTGCTGTTTACGGGCCCTGGAGCGATGACCTAGAGGTTTTCATTGCGGTGCATATAGCTGCACACCAAAGTTTAGATAAACTCACCCCTCAGACGAGGGAAGATGGGAAGTATGTTACTACCCAAAAGCCAAAACTGCATCTTAAATCAGCGGACGCAAAGCAAGCCTACATCCGGACAGCTTGGTAAACTTACACCATACCAGCAATAGGAGGTATAATCATCGTTCTCATCATAGCTAGAGAGAAACCCGCCAATACACCGCATACCGGTAGCAACGTATACGAGAACAACTAGAACTGGTGGCTTCCATAAGGCGATTAATCCTATGGTCCACGCAACAGTGATCGCGGCCAGAGACCAACGTGCGACAGGCTGCGACAACAGCAGTGGGATTGTTTTGCGGCCTCGTGTCGCGTCGGCAGAGCGGTCACGGAAATCTTGAGCGTGGCCCTGATGAAGTGGGAAACAATGAGCATCTGGTTGGATTTTTGAACCCAAAACATCGCCAGAAACGAACTCACAGTAGTAGCGAAAATAGCACCGATCATCAGTACTGCAATGGCTTTCAGTCCATGCAATTCTTTGCCGTCGTCTTGAAAACGATCTCTATCAGCATGCGCCGCCGAAAAAGGAAATCTGATGTGAAGTTTGTACCAAAGATGATGGTCGTCCCCCAACAGTAACAACCAAGACCAATAGCTCCGATGAAATTCTTGACCACCGGAATAGTTGCCAGGCCTCCCTCGTTGTATGTCACTATCGCGATAGAATAGACCAGGGTGCAGGCGATCGTGTTAGTGTGTATGGCGGCAATCCACATCAACAGAAAGAGGGTGTGATAAAGGATGGTGGCCTGCGCTGGCGTGATTCTACCGGAGGGTAAGGGTCGATGTGGCTTTGCTATGCCATCCTCTTCTATACCGTCGAGCTGATCTGATGAGTATCCGGTATTGCTGTGGTCTGGTTGCTCGTTGAGAATTCGCACGCACCTGGTTTTTCACCTGTTGATGTCAGAATAGAGGGTCTTTGTTTTAGATGGAAAACTTTGGGACGCACCTGAAACGTGAGGAGATGTAATTGAATCCATAAAAGTCCCTTGGTGATGAGGTGGAAGGCACATGGTCCGGCAAGCACAAGAGCCACGGCTATCTGGGGTCAATTTTAGCCATAGAAATGCCCGGTGTGGGGATAGAGAGTTGACTGAGCACAATTACATACGGAAGGTAACGCTGCTGCTGGTATGTCAGACTTTCCGAATAGATATAAAGTCTTCAAAAACCGAAAGGGGAGTCTCCCTAGCTCCACAACGGGCTTCATCTTCGCCAAATAATCAGATATGGCAGTGAAGCTGCTAGATATCGATAGCTTTACAGCAATTCTGGCAGTAATGGAACGAATTTATATAGAACAGTGGATAGCTTCATATTATAGATTACATCGGCCTATCTGTCGGCAATCCTCCCGGAAGCCAGTTGTCAGCAATCCTTGCCGGTGGAATTCAACAGTTGGGACTTCTGAACGGTGATACTATGTCTGTAATACTTAATCATATGAATCTACAGTAGCAACATAGTGCGTACAGGCGAGCCCCAAGACACGGATGGTTTCTACAATGGCCATAAACCTCCCTGTTTAGGGTATTATGCCGCTATCATATTCCCTCCCGAACGGATCGGGATATACTGGGAGATGAATGAGGGCATAGACATAGCATTGTATTCACTTCATACATGGATTTAGAGAGGGATTGCTGCAGCAGGCATTACATCAAATGACAACACCCCAAGAGTCCTGACGATTAAGGGCATTAATTCGTGCGGAGAAACTAACTCCATTCTCTTTTTCGTGCTAATTTGCCTGTTTGGAAATAATAATATTTTATCGTATTTTTCTTTCTTTTCTTTTGGGGGGATAATACGCCCTACAGATACCTCCGAACCGAGTGCGGATTAGGGCTGAATGGATCGGTGCTCCGATCGCCGAAAAGCCTGAGGCCTCGCGATGGTCACTTACGCATGGACAGAGAATACACTGCTTTACCCGATATACTGGCAGATCAGATTGCTTCTTTCGGACATACAGAAAAACATTATATGGCCCTATGTACCGTAGATATTAGATACAGTTAGACGTCAATGAAAAGTAGCCCTATATTCATCCTAGTCAGGGTTGGCTAACTTCTCCTCTGTATACAATTACGCTCGAAATTAAAATGGGATACACACATTCACCAAAAGAGCCCATTGCCATCATCGGTAGTGGGTGTCGCTTTCCTGGAGATTCCACGTCTCCTTCAAAGCTGTGGGAGTTGCTCTACTCTCCGCGAGATCTCACAAGGGAAGCCCCCTCCGATTCACGATTCAACGCCAAAGGTTTCTACAATGTCGATGGTGAGCATCACGGTGCCAGCAACGCAAGCAATGCGTACTTCATCGAGGAAGACCCTCGGCACTTCGATGCTGGATTTTTCAGTATCGCGCCGCGCGAAGCCGAATCCATCGATCCACAACAGAGGCTCTTGCTTGAGACCGTGTACGAAGCGATGGAAAATGCCGGCCTGACGCTGAATGGAATGAGAGGCAGCGAGACTTCAGCCTATATGGGTGCCATGTCCGCTGATTACACAGATACTCAGCTGAGAGATATCGAGAACGTCTCCAAATACATGATCACTGGAACGTCCCGGGCCCTCTTGTCGAATCGCTTATCCTACTTTTTTGACTGGAAAGGTCCCTCTATCAGTGTCGACACGGCGTGCTCGTCAAGTCTGGCAGCTGTGCATCTTGGTGCCCAGGCCTTGCGCGCGGGGGAGTGCAAAATCTCCTGCGTGGGCGGCTCCAATATCATTCTCAATCCAGATTGCTATCTTGCCGCCACCAGCCTTCATTTACTTTCCCCCACCGGTCGTTCTCAGATGTGGGATGTGGCTGCGGACGGATACGCTCGAGGAGAGGGCGTTTGTGTGTTCTTCATGAAGACCTTGTCTCAGGCATTGCGAGATGGAGATCGGATCGATGCACTGCTCCGAGAAACATGTGTCAACTCGGATGGGCGCACGCAAGGTATTGCACTACCTAGTGCTGAGGCACAAGTTTCCTTGATGAGGACTGCGTACAAGAATGCCGGGCTAGACCTCTCAAAGGCAGAAGATCGCCCGCAATATATTGAGGCCCATGGTTAGTTTCAACTATCGACGATGGTTTGCTCATTGATGACCAAATGACTAACAAAATTTGTCCTTCGCAGGAACCGGTACCCAAGCTGGAGATCCTAGAGAAGCATTCGCCATTGGCACCACATTCTTCCCACCCGAGGAAGACCACAGTCACAGACCCAAACTCATTGGTGGGTCAATCAAGACCGTAATTGGTCACACTGAAGGATGTAAGCATTTCTATACCGGTTCTCGTGATATTGAAGCACTAACAACTTGTGATATGCAGGTGCCGGTATTGCAGGAATTCTGAAGACCATTCTAGCTATGCGACATAAGACCATTCCTCCCAACCAACATTTCCACAACCTCAACCCCAGCGTAAAACCTTCTTTCAGATATCTTTCCATTGCCACCACACCGGAGGCTTGGCCCATACCGCCTCCTCACACCCCACTGCGAGCAAGTGTGAATGGATTCGGCTCCGGAGGTACTAATTGCCATGCCATTGTGGAAAGCTATGTGCCCGAGATTCACGACAATGGTCCTTGGGGAAAGCCTCAAGGGTACCAGTGCCCCTCAGACGCCATTGCTGCACCCCAAAGCGATTTCTCTGCAATCCCTCTGCTATTCTCGGCTAACTCGGGCTCTGCCCTGGTTACCATGCTGGAGAGGTATGAAGAGTACTTGGACAAGACAGACGTGTCAATTCAACGCCTGGGCATGACGCTCAACTCTCATCGTTCTACTTTGCCAGTGAGGATATCTATCCCTGGAGCCTCGAGAGCAGAAGTTCTCAGCGCAATCCGGACACAACTTACCAAAGTCCGCTCAAGTCCCGGAGCGGAGATTGGCACCCGGTCCTCCCTTCCAGAGTTTGATCGGGTCAAGCGGCCCAAGATTTTGGGAGTGTTTACTGGACAAGGAGCTCAATGGGCAGGTATGGGTCAAGGGCTTTTGGAGAAAAACGCGTTGTTCCGAGAAGTCATCGAGGTGATGGAAGAAGCGATGGCACAACTGCCCGACGGACCCACGTGGTCTTTGAAGGAGGAGATAATGAAGCCCCCGGGAACATCGCGCCTCGGAGAAGCTGAGATCTCCCTCCCTGTCTGTGCAGCACTCCAGGTTGGCCTCGTCAAAGTCCTCTGGAGTGCAGGAATAACTTTCAGCATGGTTGTCGGTCACTCCGGTGGCGAGATTGGTTCTGCTTATGCTGCTGGTAAGATCAACGAGGTTGATGCAATCAAAATTGCATACTACCGCGGTGTGTACACAAAACTCGCCATCGGTAAAGACGGAAAAAAGGGCGGTATGATTGCCGTCGGATTTGGTTACGAAGAAGGGCTCAGGTTTTGCGCCCTCGAGCAATTCGCCGATCGCCTCACTGTTGCCGCCAGTAACTCACCCAAGAGTGTCACAATTTCTGGAGACTTGGATGCCATTGGAGAGGCGAAAGAAATGCTAGACGCGGAGGGCCTGTTCAATCGTGTTCTCCGGCTCGATACAGCTTACCACTCTCATCACATGTATCCTTGCGCGGCGCCTTATCTGGCGGCGATCGAGCGTTGTGGCCTTGTCGCTGGCAAGTGCAATGAAACTGCTTGGGCATCCAGCGTGTATCAAGATAACAGAATGATCACTCCTGCCCAGGATGCGGACATGGAAGCAGCTTACTGGAAAGACAATCTGATTGGAAGAGTCTTGTTCTCACAAGCCGTTGAGCGCGCCTTGGACGAGGGCAACGGCGACTTTGACCTCGCCTTCGAGGTTGGACCGCACCCTTCGCTCAAGGGCCCGACTCTGGAGATTATCAGGGAGAAGCTTGGCTCTGAAATCCCCTACTCCGGCGTTCTAGATCGGAAGTCTGATGACATTTCGGCCCTGAGTACCGCTCTCGGGTTCGCGTGGGTGACATTGGGATCTGGGATTGTCGATTTTGCAGGTTATGCGTTGGCATTTGACCCGAGAAATGCTTCCATCTCAAATGCACCCGCTCTTTCTGACCTACCAACATATCCATGGGATCACAAGAAGATCCTGTATCGCGAATCACGGCTTAACAAGAATGTCCGCAACAGGGCCGATGCACCTCACCCGCTTCTTGGTAGCAGAACCCCCGATGATACCGATTATGAGCCCAGATGGCGAAACTTCTTCATCACGGATGAGTTACCCTGGTTACGAGACCATTCGATTCAAAATCAGATCATCGTCCCGGCGGCTACCTACTGTGTCATGGCGCTTGAAGCTGCGAAGGTTCTTTGCCGGGGAAAGAATGTGCACAGCATTGAGCTATCCAATGTAGCCATCTTGCGCCCAATTGTTTTGGACGAGGCGTCTGATGGCACCGAGACATTGTTCTCTGTGCAAAGCAATCTTGATTCCAATAAGAACGAGGGTGAGATCCAAGCCCACTTCAGTCTCAGCGCTGGTGCGATGGATGACAGGCATTTAAGAACTGCCGCCACCGGTCAGATTCGAATCGTCCTTGCCGACCCTGCTGCTGGTTCAGAATCCCTCGTCCCGCGTCCCGATCTTCGTCAGAAGGCCAATCTGGTTCTATTGCCAACCAGTGTCGATCGGTTTTATACCTCAATGGACGAGATCGGATTGAGCTACAGCGGAGCCTTCAGGGCTATGAAATCCATGCAGAGACGCCTGAACTTTGCATCTGCTACCGTAGCTGTAAACAAAGACCTGGCTGAAGAAATCCCTGTTCATCCGACTTGGCTCGATGCCTGCTTCCAGACCTTCCTCGCAGCATTTGCCGCTCCTCTCGACAATTCACTATGGACCGCCTTTATGCCAACCACAATCGGCCGGATGGTTTTGTTCCCATCGGAAAATTCTGAGGGACCCGGGTCTTCAGTTACTGTGGACGCGCACATTACCGAGTTTGCGCCAGGTTACCAGGTCGCACTGCCGACACTGACTGGTGATATGAGCATATTCAACACGGACACCAACCAATTGCAAGTCCAGATTGAAGATTTTGTCATGAGTTCGTTCCTCCCTGCTTCTGAAAGTGATGACAGGATATTTTACTTGAAGAATGTGTGGGGACAGGAGATTCTTTCCGGGGCCCTCTGTGAATCTGAACCCAGAATCGACGTTCTGGAATGCGAGTCAAAGGCCATCGATGCCTGTGAGCAAGTTATACAGTATTACCTGTCCAAGCTCAATACCCACCTTGATGAACTAGCCGAGAAAATTCCCGGGCTTCGCTCTCTGATCAGCCAGATGGAGGCTCGCGCCACTAGCGTCCCGACGCAATCTGATATTAACTCCATTCTGGAAGAACTGGGAGAACACATAGATCTTGTTCTAGTCCGTACTATCGGAGAAGGCCTTTCGGAAAGTCTTTCCGATTCAAAGTCTGAGGGCCCTAGTTCAGTTGCTCCCAGAGCTACCTCCTTATCGATGCCTGCCCTGATTTCTCGTTGGCACAATGAGGGCTTGGGTTTCTCACAACTACAAAGCCATTTCGTGGCTGCAGTGAAACAAATTTCTCACCAGCACGCCAATTTGAGAATTCTTCAAGTTGGCCCATCTTCACCAAATCTAGTCCGTGCTGTTTGTCACGAGCTGGGTCGCAGCCTGGAAAAATATACTGTCATCGATGACTCTGAGCCCAATATCGAGGAGATGAAGAGTGCTCTTGCTGCAGACCAGCTGAGAGTGGATTTCAAACAAGCCAGTGTGGAGAATGGGCTTGAAGAAGTTAACCATTTGACTAACCATTTCGACTTGGTCATTGTCCACAAAGCATTCACCAAGAAAATTACCGCTTTGAAGACTATTCGTAGCCTAGTGCGGCCTGGGGGCTTTATGCTCATGATGGCTGCGACTGGCCCCCAGCTTCGTTTCCCATTCATGTTGCTATCTGCACCCCCCTCGGTTGATGAAGATGGATTTGTCCAAACCAAATTCATTAACCCCACGCGTGAAGAGACTGACAAGCTCCTTCGACACGTTGGATTTTCTGGGGTGGACTCCATTGCTCTGGACAATGTGCTCGACAAGCATACATTCTCTGTCGTCGTGTCGCAAGCGGTCGATGATCATATAAACTTCTTGCGCCACCCATTGACATATCCCTCGCCTTTTCCCCTCACCGGAAAGCTCCTGGTTGTGGGTGGGCTGTCGCGAGATATCGCCAAGCTTGCGAAAAGTATACGATCAAAGGTGGCAAGCGTGTGGCAGGGAGAGATCGTCGATGTTCGAACCCTCGCTGAGGTGGGTGATGAAGCGAGCGGTGTGGAGGCTGTCTTGAGTCTGACTGATCTCGACCGTCCTGTCCTGGAGGATATCAGGTCCCCGACCTTGAAAGGTCTGCAGTCGCTATTATCAATTGCTAAAACGGTTCTCTGGATTACCGAGGGGGCGAAAGCTGAAAATCCGTATCAAAATGCCACCATTGGTCTTGGCCGGTCGTTCCAGTCCGAGAATCCACAGAAAGTCCTCCAATTCCTCGATCTGGACACAATTGATGATGCTGATTCAATGATTGCGGAGAGTCTTCTGAAACTCGTTGGCGGTGTCAGCTTGAGGAATAGCGATTCCGCGGATGCGACTCACCTGTGGGCAGTTGAGCCAGAGATCTCCCTTGAGAAGGGCAAATATCTTGTTCCAAGACTTTTCCCTGATACGAAGCGGAACGATCGGCTGAATGCTGTCAGGCGCAAAGTAGAGACACTTGCGACTGGCGAGGAAGTTTGCCTCACCAGATCCGTACAAAATGATGGCCAAGTCTCTTATGCAGCTGAGGAGGTCCACCGCCGCGTGCATCTTGAAGAAGATACGGCCCATCTGATTGACATTCAAGTCGAGCTTTGCTCTTTGGAGCCTGTCATCCCCAGTATCGATAATGAGGGACTTTTTTGTTTCCTTGGGCGCACTCCAGAGGGAGAACAAGTCCTAGGCCTATCTTCATCCAATGCTTCTATGGTGAAGGCCTCTCGGGCACAGATAATACAAGTTGATAAGGCAAACTTACAAGACGATGAAGCCTTGTTGTCCGAGCTTCTGAACGAGATCAAGTCGGTCGTCATCACCAAGTCCATCCCCCCTGGATGCACTACCCTGATTTACGAACCCGGTGCATATCTTGCCGCTTGCCTGAAGAGATCGGGCCACGCGAATATTTCGTCAGTCAGCTTCAAGGCAAGCTCAGCTGGGGCGATGGCAGGTACCCACATCTCCATCGAGCCACATGCCTCTAGAAAAGAGATACAAGCGAAGATATCCCCCAAGACTAAGATTCTCCTTCATATGGGGCTTGGGACCGAGAAACGGGAGTTTGCGGTTCTCAGACACGCTCTTCCCGCCTACTCGACCGTTGTCGCTTTCACTGACCTTGACGCCCATAGATTGAGGCCTGATCAACTGCTTATGGAAGCGTTTGCTGTGATAACAAGTGGCTTGCCGCGCGAAAGTATTCCATCTGACTCCAGTGTCGTGGTGAAAGCCTCCGCTTTAGTGGCAGAGGGCATCAAGGAACATCCCAACGCAGTTTTCGTTGACTGGACAGGTGCTCAAAACATCACCATTAGCCAGAGACCCATTGACACCACCAACCTTTTCTCGCCTGATAAGACATATCTTCTTGTGGGCCTTACTGGGCATATTGGGCAGTCGATGTGTCGCTGGATGTCGAGGAGTGGAGCTCGGCATATCGTCGTTACAAGTCGGTATGTACCCTGTTGTTTGGAAGACTTAGGTGAGGTGAAGTCATTAACGGTCATCACAGAAACCCAGAGAAGCAAGGCCAGCTGTGGAAAGACGAGCTAGTTAGACAAGGAGTAAACATTGTCATTGAAGCGGCGGATGTTACTAACAAGCATCACCTCACAGAGCTACGCGCTCGCATCGCTAGCTCGATGCCTCCGGTTGGTGGTATTGCCAATGGTGCCATGGTGTTGGATGACAAGATGTTCATTGACATGCCTTTTGAGAGTTTCAAAACTGCCATCAAGCCCAAGGTGGACGGTTCAATCTACCTGGAGGATGTTTTCTCTGGCGATGACCTTGAATTCTTTTTGTTCTTCTCCTCTATTTCGGTGATGACGGGTCAGCGGACACAGGCTAACTATGTTGCTGCCAACAACGTAAGTCCGAGGTGTGCGGGAGATACCGATGCGTTTTCGGCTAATCTATTTTTTAGTTCATGGTCGCCATGGCAGAGAGACGAAGAGCCCGTGGCCTTCCTGCTTCTGTCATCGATATTGGCATGGTATCCGGTATGGGTGTTATTCAGAGATCCCAAAATGAAAAGGGTGTCAGCAGTATGGAGAACTCGATTCGACAGATGCACTATATGCCCGTATCGGAGGTGGATTTGCATCATCTCCTCGCTGAAGCCATCCTCGTTGGCCAAAGTGATGAGTCCCCCGAGCTTATCACAGGGTTGGAGACCTACAAAGCCGTGGCAGGAGAGACTCCCTTTTGGCACAATAATTTGCGATTTTCTCATCTCATCACTGACCCTGACGCTGCGCAGACTGGTGCGGACTCTCTCAATAGCACCAACAAATCTCTGAAAGAGATGCTGCTCAGCTCTGGTGGCCCCGATGAAGCAACGAAAGTCATGGAGAATGCTCTTTTGGAATACCTAGCATCTTCACTGAAGGTGAGTGCACGCGAAGAGACCCTTTCTGAACGTTCATGTTGCTAACAATAGCCAGCTGGCAATTGAGAGCATTTACACAGATGTTCCCATAATTGATCTGGGCATCGATTCTCTTGTCGCCGTTCAAATTCGCAATTGGATCTGGGGTGAAGCCGGATACGACATACCTGTTCTGAAGATTCTGGGTGGTTCTTCGGTCGAACAGATTTGTGGTGAAGTAGTTTCATCTCTGTCATTTGACAAAAAGTCCATCGCAGCTGCCAAGGTCGAAAGCCAAGCAACACCGACTCAGCATGTTCGTCCTTGGGATAAACCAACTGACAAGACTCCAATGGACGATGCGATGACCGCGCCCAGGTCAGGTGTGGCAGCCAATGGACATAACACCATGCCGAACGGTGCGTCAAACGGCATTTCCAATGGTGTGTCAAACGGTGTGTCAAATGGGATATCGAAGAAATCTCCGATCTCTGCCAGGAAGTGCAAGTCTCAGCCGAGAGTTCAAGACCATGCGATTGCCGCGAAGAAAGGCCCTCGTCCGACTCCGATAAGCACACATCCGCTCTCATTGGGTCAATCACGACTTTATTTTCTCTCTCAGTACCTTGAAGATGACGTCGTCTTGAACTGCGTCATTTCCTACACTCTTTCTGGGAAGCTGGACGTCCCCAAATTGGAAAGGGCCATTAACGAGGTGATTCAGCGTCATGAGACCTTGCGCACCTCATTTTACATAGATGAGAAGTTAGGAAAGCCTATGCAGGGAGTCTTGGACAATTCACCCTTCAAACTCAAGGCTGTCCCTAGTGCCAATGCCTCAGATAATGTCGAGGACGAGTTCGATTTGATCCGTTACCGTCAGTATGATCTCGAGCAAGCGGACACTTTTGCCGCTACAATCTTGTCACACCGGGAAAATTCTCACACTCTTATCTTTGGATACCACCACATCATCATGGATGGTGTCAGTTGGCAAATATTCCAGAAGGATATGGCCATGTTCTACAATGACTCGGACTCAGTTGACTTGCCCAAGTCTTTACCAGCTCAATATTCCGAGTTCACTTTGAAGCAACAAAGCGACATATCGGATGGAGCGTACACTGAAAGACTCGAATTCTTCCAGAACGAATTCCGAGAGCCTTTGGAAGCTCTCCCTCTTTTCGCTTTTGCGAAAGTGAGCACACGTAAGGCTGTGAAGCAGTACGCTGTTCAAGAGGTTGTTACCCGCCTTGATGCCGATGTGGTGAGCGCGATCAAGAAGGCGAGCCAGGCCTCTCGCACGACTCCTTTCCATTTCTACCTCTCTGCTTTCCAGGTTCTGTTGCACAAACTCCTGGCCACAGACAAGATGTGTATAGGGGTGGTAGATGCCAATCGGTCTCAACAGAACTTTGTGAACACCGTCGGGTTCTTCTTGGAGACTATCCCCTTATTGTTTAAGGTCGACGAGAATCAAAGCTTCGTCGAACTGCTGAAGGCAACACGTACTAAAATGTATGCTGCTTTATCCCAGACAGGTGTTCCTACTGAGGAGATTCTCAAAGCTTGTGGCATTGTATCGTCAACAACGGAAACGCCCCTCTTCCAAGTATGCTTCAATTATCGCATGGGAGCTGGCCGCACTTCTCCTTTGCAGGGAGTGGAGATGGCATTCTTGGACTATGTTGATGCCAAGAACCCGTTCGACCTCGTTGCGACTGTCGATGATCTAGACGACGGAACCGCCATGATTACCCTCTGTCTACAGGACTACCTGTATGATCAAGAGGGTGCTAAACTCCTTGCCAGCATGTATGCGCAAACGCTTGAGGTATTGGCAGAAAACTCCGATCGCCTAGTTGGCTTTGTGTCAATTTCCCATGCGAGCCTGGAAGATGAGGCTATTAAGCTCGGCACCGGGCCCAAGTTGGACCTCACGGCTCCATTTTCCAGTACTCTATCGAGCATCATTGACACCTGGGTTCACAAGGACCCCCACGCACTTGCTGTGAAAGACACCAGCGGTAAGACAAAGACGTACTTGCAGCTCTCGGAGAGATCCAACGCTATTGCAGGGGCGCTGTTTAATGCTGGTGCCGCGCCTTCAAATACCATCGCTGTTCTTCTCGAACCTGGGGTAGACACAATTGCCGCGATCCTTGCAATTCTCCGTATTGGAGCTACCTATGTACCTCTCGATACAAGGAGCTCAGATATACTGCTTGCTGATATTCTGCGAGAATCCCAACCGGTAATTGTGGTTCACCACACTGCAACAGCCCAACGTATCAAGTACCTTGTGAGCTCCGCTTCGAAAACAAAGTTTGTGACTCTGAACGCGGTCCCTCAGAAGACTGTGAGAAAATCGCAAGACGTCTCGGTCCCAGAAAGCATTGCGATGATTCTCTATACCAGCGGTTCCACTGGTAAGCCGAAGGGGATCCCACTGACGAATGCCAACATCCGCACACCTATCTTAGGTGTTTCGGAGAGAGTGCCACTCGGACGAGAAGTGGTTCTCCAGCAAAGTGGACAAGGATTTGACGCTGCAGTCTACCAGATTTTTATTGCGCTTGCCAATGGCGGCTCGTTGATCATGGCAGACAATAGAGACGATGCCGCAAAGCTCGCCGCCCTGATGGCTCGCGAGGCTGTCACTTGCACCACTCTCATTGTCTCTGAAATGCAAGCTTTGTTGAAGTATGGTTACCATCAACTTCGCAACTGCTCTTCATGGCGTGTTGCAATGGTCGCTGGCGAGGCATTCACGATCAGCCTCTTAGACCAGTTCCGTGACCTCAACATGCCAGACTTGAAGGTGATCAACGCGTATGGTCCGACCGAAGCGTCCATCTGCTCTTCCTTGGGTGAAGTCTCGTTGGAAAAGACCGACTCGACAGAAGTGAGCATTCCAATCGGAAAGGCTCTTGCCAACTATGGAACATATATCGTGGATGATAATTGCAAACCCGTTCCCCTTGGTTGGCCTGGTCAAATCGCAATTGCGGGGCCCGGTGTTGCCAGTGGCTATTTGAACCTCCCTGAACTTACAGAAGCTAAGTTCAAGACTTCATCTTTTCTGGAAAGCGTATCCGGGTCAACTGCTATTTATCTTACCGGAGATAAAGGTCGGATGCTTTCCGATGGCTCCGTTGTCATCTCTGGTCGTGTGGATGGAGATGATCAGGTTAAAATCAGGGGTCATCGAGTGCAACTCGGGGATGTCGCCAGGGCTCTCGTTCAAGCATCTTGTGGAATATTTGTGGATGCGGCTGTTTTGCTCAAGGGGGACGACCCCTCAAAGCAGCAGCTCGTCGCTTACGTCGTCTTCTCGCGAGCCAGTAATGCACAAGACAAGCAGACATATCTCCGTCAACTCAACCAGGATCTTCCTGTTCCAGCATACATGCGCCCGGCAATCAGCATTCCTTTAGATACTCTCCCGGTGACGGATCGTGGCAAGCTTGACACTCGGAAATTGGCTTCTTTGCCTCTACCCACTATCGCCGCCGACGAGGATGAGGATGAGGAGCTTACATCAACAGAGACACGGCTGCGAAACGTTTGGAAAAATGTTCTGGGTGAAATTTCTTCATCCATTCCGGTTGGTCGTGCTTCTGATTTCTTTTCAGTTGGCGGTAACTCCTTGCTTTTGTTGCCTTTAAAGGCTGAAATCACTCGCGAGTTCGGGATTGAGCTTTCGATCCCAGAACTCTTCCATTCCAGCACACTTGAGCTTCTCGCTGCGCGATTGAATGGTACTTTATTGTTGACGCAAATCAACTGGCATGAGGAGACCGCCCTGGATGAGGCAACCTTTACACTGCCCCCCACCACCAACGGAGCGAACGGAGTCAACGGGCACAAAGAATCGAACGGTGACTCGAAGGGAATCTCTGTTCTTCTCACAGGCGCCACGGGCTTCCTCGGGGGTCACATTCTGCGTCAACTTGTCGAACTTCCCGATGTTTCGCACGTTCACTGTGTGGCCATCCGACCCAGCGCGGATGGTTCAACTCGACAATTGAGCGTTGATTCACCCAAGATCACATGTTACGCAGGCGATCTTTCCCTTCCTGGTTTGGGAATGAGCGAGTCCGAAGCTTCTTATCTATTCAAGAGAATCGATGTCATTGTTCACAACGGCGCTGAAGTGTCGCACATGAAGAACTACCGCAGTCTCCGAGCTGCGAACTTCTTATCCACGAGAGAACTAGCCCGGCAGGCTGTGAGCCATGGAATCCCGATCCATTATGTTTCCACTGGAGGTGTGGCACGTCTGAGTGGTGCTGATGAGCAGCCGGAGGAATCGCTTGCTGCATTCTGTCCTCCCATCGATGGATCTGACGGATACGTGGCGTCCAAATGGGCAAGCGAGGTTTTCCTTGAGAAAGTTCAACGGCGCTCCAAGCAGCAGTTCTGGATTCACCGACCTAGCAGCATCACCGGTGAAAATGTTCCGGATATGGACATTGCGCATAGTCTGCTTAAGTTCTCTAAGTTATTGGGTGCTGTACCTGACCTCACTGGGTCTACTGGATTCTTCGATTTCATCAACATTGAAACTGTTTCAAAGAACATCGCTGCCTGCGTGGTCAATGGCAGCGAGGAGACTGGCGCTGATCTGGTCTACCTTCACCACAGTGGCGAGCGAGTCATCGCTGTTGGGGAATTGCAGGAGTATATTGAGGAATTGGAAGGGCAGGATTTGAAGGTTCTTCCTCTGAAGGAATGGGTATTTAAATCTATTCAGAAGGGTCTGGACGAGGTCTTGGGGTCCTTCATGCTGGCATCCAAGGGAAAGATTCGAGCACCTCTATTGCAAAGGGCCAATCAGGTCGTGTAGAAAGCTCAGGGTTTCTGGTGATTGAAGCAAGTGTCCACTGGTGTCTGATAGGTTCATTTGTTTTTATCGAAATCTTTAGTCTCATGAATTTCAATTCGGAATACCAGTTCACAGACTTCCAAGTACGGAGCACAGATACAAGGTGTAGGTACCTTAGGTAGATGGCATTTGAGGTCTGAAAACGCGCATGTAAAATACCAGATCACGCGTTACAAGTATTGTGACCCAACAGGCATTTTGTATTGGTGCCTGACTTCTGCCTGACTTATACTACATCTGTCAGGTGACACTCCTTTTTGATACAAATGTATGTAATTTACGTATCGCACAGATGCGACGTGTTTTTGCCGTTTGGTTTGATAGGAATCTTAGTTTGATAGGAATCTGTGTAATTCAGGTGTTCCTACTTCGTATATTTCAATGTCACTTGACGAATTATCAGCTTGGAAGCCCAGGCATGCAATACACTATCCACGGTATACTCCATCTGTCACGGTCACGAGTTTGGCCGTATTATCCTTATTCTCTTCCAAGGTACACATAATGGAGTCAGAGCAGGTTCAAGCGGATTTCATTTGGACAATAACGCGTTCATATTTCCAAAGGACATGATCTGAGAGACATTATCTGAACGACTACTGACAACCTCTCAAGCCTTCTGGCCAAAGGCAATGACCATCTCAACTTGGCCTCCTTGAGTCTGCAGCTCTTCCTTAACACGCGCCGGAAGCGTATCGAACTGCTCACTGGTGAAGGAAGATGGCACAGTCCTGGCCACACTGGTCAACGGCACGATCGGTCCAGTGACACCATGAATGCTGATCTCTTGGAACTCTGGCTTCGCTTTCTTGCCAAGGTTGACAATGACGCGCTTCTCCTGCACATTCACCAAGCCGGCCTCCTCCATTAGGGATTTGTTGTTGTTGGCGAAGTCACCGACACCAATACCGGTGAACATCTCAGACGCCATGGTGGCAAAGTCCGTCATTGCAGGACCGTTCTTCGGTGCGCTGAAGCCATTCATTTCCATGAGCTGAATCCAACCACCAGACTTCAATAGCGTCGTGAGGTTCTTGATCACAGGGGCCGGTCCCTCGGGGGCGGAGCCCGCCATGCTGCCTCGGATGTGGACAAGGTCGAAAGTGCCCAGGTACTGCTGGGGCCATGGCTCCTTGAACGAATGTGCGAAGTAGGTGATGCCGTCTGTATTCTCGGGGAATAGCTCGCCTTCGACGTCGCTACCAAAGTACTCGTGCTGCGCTGATTGCTTGCTGCGTACTCCGCGAAGCCAAGTTCCTTTCCAATCGGTGTTAACATCATGGCAGGGGGAAATTAGAAGCGGACAACTTACCGTCAGCGGTTCCAGAGTCCAGAATCTTCTTTCCAGGCTCGTTCATATCAATAGGAGCCACCACAAGTTTTCCCTCCAAGGCATCATCATAAGTCGCATCCAACGCAATCAAACGCAGCAGCTCGGGCTTATGCCCGAGCTCTTTGGTCATCTGCATGAAATTATCCATTTGATTTCTTATCTGTCGATAAAATGTTTGGTGTCTAATAATCTCTGCCCTGGTTAGAGTTAAATATACGACTATGATGCAAGGTGAATAGGAACTAATTAAGTTACAGGTTCGTCCGGATATAGCCGACTCTGTAGGAGGGCAAATAGCTTCGGATAAATTGCCTTTTCGTTTTTCCTCCTCGCAGGGCATGATTCTCAGCTTGGAGACACGATATTTTACCGAAATGCGAACGGAGAGCAGGTGTCCGTTACCTGTCCGAACGGCGTTATTCCCGCATGTGGGCAAGTTGCCGAAGCTGATGTGCACGCCGAATGGTCATCTCCCGCAGCTAGCGGGCCGTGGGGAATTGCGTCCGTTATCCTATGAGGCAATTGGGAATTTTTTTGTATTCGGATACCTTTTACGGACTAAAATTCGAGGCACTGTGCTGGCCGCCAATCTATAGTTTTCCATCCACATGGATTTGACGATCCAGTCTCGAAGAGTGATTTTGTGAGATTTGATTCAATCATAATAGGGAAAAGCAGTCGAGATGGTTTACGTTTCCCTCTATCAACTGCTGTCGCTTGTCTTCGTTGCATTTATTGTTCAGTATGTTACTGGGATCTTAGCAAACCATCGACGTCGAAAGGGGGCTAAAGTGCCACCCGGGCCAAAAGGTATACCCGGTGTCAATTCAAGACCCGAGATATCACACTTTGTTTTAGTCGGTGGCTAACAAAAACTCAAGGTTGGCCACTTCTCGGTAGCGCGCCAGCGCTGGCAGCCGTCGACATCAATGGTATCATCGGCATTTTCAAAAAATGGGCTAAGCAACATGGTTCAATCACTCAATTTAGTGCGATGGGCGATAAGCAAGTTATTCTTACCGAAGAAAAAGATGCCAGGGAGCTCTTTGTTAGACGGGGAGCAAAGTATTCTGATCGTGGAGCTCCCTATGCCGTTGAATATATTTCAATGAAACAAAACCCTGGTTTCAGGCCAAAGGATGGTAAGCAACTTGTTCCGGTCATGACGATAACAGTGTATCATGTCCCTGTTCCAGAACCGTGGGCTGAGTATTGATAATTGACAGATGGATGGCGCCGCCAAAGAAGCATGATACAAAGTGCTATCAACATCACCTCTATCAACAAATACCAGAGTCTCATGGATGATGAAGCAACTTTCACTGTCAACGCGTTGCTAAAGTCGCCAGAATCCTTTCATGGGGAGTTCTTACGATACTCCTACTCAGTGCTGACGACGTCTCTGCTTGGCTTCTCTGTCCGCAGTCCATCCGATCCTTTCATCAATCACAATGAAATTTTCACGGCTGAACTCATGAACTCTTTCCGACCTGATTGCTTCCCCGTCAATGTGTTCTCCGTGCTGAGGAAGATGCCAATGTGGCTCCTGCCAAGCTTGAGGACTATGGAAAGGCTCAGGAAAGAGTATGTAGGCAAGATGTGGGAGTTTAGAAGCAAGATAGAGAAGCTTGTCAAGGATGGCTCAGCAACAGAGTCTATTTATAAACACTTTCTTCTCAACCGGAAGGAGTATAGTGTCACTGAAGAGGAGTCGGTTCACACTTTTCAGGCCATGATTGACGGTGGAACTCGCTCCCCCCACAACAATTTGTTAACCTTCTTATTCCTCATGATGGACTATCCGGAGTGGCAAAGGAAGCTTCAAGAGGAGGTTGACCGGGTCGTTGGTAAGGATAGAATGCCAAGCTATTCGGACATTCCTCATCTGCCTACTGTGAGAGCTATTGTGAAGGAGACTGTCCGATACAGAAGTATTGTCGCAGAAATGGGTATTGGCCATTGCCTACAAATGGACGACATTTACGAAGGCTACTTTTTTGAGAAGGGAACTGTGTTCAACGCGATATTTTCGTAAGTCGCTTGTCGCAGTCATTCATGCATGATTGCAAAATCTTAATATTAATCCTTGTCAGGTCTATCCTTATGGACAAAGACACTTATCCAGACGGGAAACTCTTCAATCCTGCCCGCTGGCTGGAACCTAGTTATCCGACCTACAAGGAGCCCCTGACCACTTATCCCAATTGTCAAGGTTATCCGGCATTCGGTTACGGCAGGCGAGCATGTCCAGGCGTTGACTTCGCGGAGAGGACATTGGTCATCATGTTTGCCAAACTCGGTTGGACATTGAATATTGAATGGCCAACAGATGAGAACGGCAACGAGCTTCGGGAGAAGCTGCAGTATGAGCCGGTGCCAGCTCCGAGGCCCTTGAAGTTTGGTTGCAAGCTTAAGGCTCGAGATGCGGATCGAACCAAAATAGTCGAGGATGCAGCGGCGCACCTACGTCTACAATGAAACGCATCGTCTCAATGTTAGATAATATCGTGAAGAGTGTCACTTGCCTAACTCTTGATTCTCATGCCCCAGACTGTTGGATTGTAACTAGGCTGGTGGTGGGAGAAGATTCCCGTTGAATTGAATATCTTAGGAGTCTGAAAGAGAACTTGTTTCTATGTCTATCATCACATCTTATCGTGTCCTATTCCAGAATGCCATGGCTATTGAGCTCACATCTCTCGATCTTGAAATGGGAATCTCGTGCCCTCCGCTCAGAACATGAGTCTCCAAGGCTTCTGTTCCAAGTATCTCCGCGGCGTCCGAAGCACATTCATCTCCGACAACAATAACGTCGTTAGTCGCCACTATCAGGCATATCTTTCCGCCCGTCAAACCCGGCAAGGAGTCTCCTACTCGTCTTTTGGCGAGCTCTTGAGCCAAGATTCTCCATGTTCTATCATGTCGTCTATAAACCAGGGCGCTGCGAAGTGTACTTAGGTAGGTCGGTACAAAGCCGGCATTGGCCCCTAGCTGCCATCGAATCACATCTCCCACAGTGACTTGTGGCCGGTCCTCTGCTATCGGCACATCATCAAAGGCCAAGTCGTCCTCGTCCTCCTTTTCTCCTGGAACATCTGCACAAGCCGCGCCATTCCGTGGCTCCAAACTCTCACGGAACAGTTTGAGGCGCAGCCACTCTGGTATGAGCCTAGCAGACGAGTACAGAGCTTTGTCTAGAGGCTTCATGTGCGATGTGCGAATGAGGCCTCCGGGACAAACCAGGGTGACAGAGCGAAGCATAGTCGCATGGTAGGCGGCGAAGGCCACGGCGATCGAACCACCAAGGGAGAAACCAATGATGTGGAAGGCAGTATCGCCGGTCCATGACAGTGGAGAGGAAGAGAGTACGAGCAGAATTTGCGTAGTGTAGAGTCTTGCATCACAAGCCAGATCATTAGGCGCATCAGAGTAGCCCCGGCCAAACAGATCTGGGATTGTTATGTCAGTCACAAATCTACTTCGAAAAGTCTTCCATGACTTGCTATACCAAGCACAGACACAACTCACCATAAATCATGACTCGATAGCCTTTGCGAACCAACTCTTTTGCCATGCCACCCAGCGCGATACAGGGTGTACCAAGGCCGTGCACGAGCAGGACTTTCTCTCCATCTTCAGGACCCCATTCAAAGACATGGATCATCCCGTATACAGTTTTGAACTGCCTACTTCCCGGGAAGGCGTCAATTGGATAGACCGGCTTCGTAAACATCTCGCCTTCTTGCTCGGTTGATCCGACACCTGCAGCAGTGAAAGTATGTTCTTCGGGCATGTATTGTATATCTGCCAGCGACAGGCAGATCTGCTTGTACAAGGTGACACAAATCGTCGCTGCAATGGCAGTTATGGCTAATGCGAGTCCCAATTCCATGATGAAAACAATAAACACAATCCCGGTCAGTTGTTGCCAGATTCAAGATGTGCGATCTGCCTTATGCTTATAGGGCTCAATATCTGACATACCAACTAGAGTCATTTTTATTTGAACTTTTACAGGATTCTAGATGCACAACGGAACACCTTCCCCGTGTCCATTGTCAGGTGGCAATATCCAACGTCCGAGTTGCTAGGGTGAAATCTTCCTGCCTCGTATCCAACCTACTTCGCAGATCACTGTACTGTATTGCACGAGCGCACAGCCTTCGGTGGGGACCGAACCTGTTTACGCCTCATCGCATCAACCTTTTCGGCCTCATTGTTCAAACTCCTACCTCTCGTTTGTTCGTTTTTGGAATGTGGCGTCAGCCTGAACATTTATCCCATCTTCTAAAGTGGAGCAATCTTTTTGTCGCTTTAATTCATCTCCGGTGTTCTCTCGTCGCCGGATATTCCGTTGATGACCGTTCGGTCTACATGCCTAATTAGGCAATTTATGAAACTATGAGTATATCCATTTTACATATGCTTGCGTAATCGATCGATTCTTTTTGGTTATTTCAGAAGATTATTGCTTCTGCAAATATTCAAGATATGTTTGGGCAAAGATGCTATAGAGTATCTATGTTTGTAGAGGTTCCACAGTAGCAACATGCTCGGTCGACTCAGACGTCGGCTCCGATAGCTCAGGCTTCTTTTCGGGCGGATTTCCAGTAAGCTTAGGCTCATCCAAGAGCTGGAATTTCTCCGTGACAGCCGCATATATCGGCTGGTGGCAAACCATCTCGTACCAACGAGACACGTTGGGGTTCTGTTCTCTCCAAGCTTTGCCGTAGAAAAACTGGAAGCCGAGAGAAATGTTTCCAGCACAAAACAGATCGGCGAGTGATAGCTCTTCACCAACCAAGAATGTGCGGTCTTGCAAATACTCTTCGACCACATCGACGGACCTTTGGGTCATTTTGGTGAATAGCTCAACCTGGTCTCTGTCGTACGGAATTATACCAAGCTGCGGCAGTAACACTTGAGTCATCAGAATGACGATCTCAGTATTGAAGAAAGACATCCACTTGATAATCTCGGCATATTCCTTCTTGTCCTTTCCGAGTAGGGTTGTCTGCTCGTTTTGCGAGGTGACTTTGGAAGTGTGAGCTCCATGCAGCGCCAGCAAGATCAGTTGAACTAACAGTAAAGAGCGATTGCCATGCTTTCAAAGAGCTTGAAACCATCTGCACCTTCGAATGCGGGGACCTTGCCAAGCTTGCTAACACTCAAATGCTCAGGAGTCCGGGGCATTTCGCGAACTTCAAGATCGAGGCCATTATGCTTGGCGACAGCCTTGATGGCTATCGTTCGGCACTGATCGCCCTGTAACGAGATTATCATCTCAGTCCTGCGTAGCTTGGTAGATACCTTTGGTAATTAAACTTACAGGAAACGTGTATATAGTTCCAAAGACCATTTCGAATGCTACCGATCGTGATGAGTGGAAAGCCAGATCACCGTACCTCTGCGAGAAGGGCTGATGATTGAGCCCCCCTATATACTGTAACCTAGATTAGAAATCACGCGAGTCCTACGAACCTAGTCAGCTATGGCGGTTCTCATTCGGACAACGCCTGTCACATTTCGGCGGGAAGACTATTTCAGGCTTAGTACAGACTCGGGCTTGTTAGACCTACGTGTAGGTACGCACGTTTCAAGTACGGGTGTAGAGATTGGTAGGCCAGCATAAATGACATGAGTGATAGAGAACACTCGCTTATACGTTATATAGAAAGTTCATAACTTAGAAATCATACTATTTAAATTGAAATTCCGCTTATTAAAAGAGTAATACTTACTTCTATATAAGTGAAATATATATATTTCTCTCTATTCCCAATAACCATTTCCCTACTCTTTGTATAATGCCACAGGAAATGTGATGATTAAGTCTATATAGTTTAAAGTACTGCAAAACGAGCGGATCTATCATGGATCTATTCAGGAATACATGCGGATTTACCATATATGATGCTTTTTTGCCAGGTAAAAATGGACAACCATCACACCAACAACGATAACACAGCGCGTGATAAGACTTATAACAACAGCTTCTAGCCTCACTACGTCAGCAATAAAAGCCATCATAAATCCAGAGCTTTTGTCCCCTTTCCACTTTGTTTCTAACTCGACAACTCTCCAGCGAACTTTCACATCCATTCAAAAGAGTCTTCTGCTATCTCGTACCTGGAACTCGGTGAGGACATGACAGAGGAGGTCAGTACCTGGGCCAAATAATTTTGATTATCAGTCTGGTTTGAACAGTCATTTCAATTGATGTCGATATTCTCCATGAAGTCTTTGATAGCAGCGCTACAAGCGTTGTTTTAGCAACTATTTCTAGCCTACATCAGTAAAGGTACGGAGTATGAAGGATATTGTTGTGATTCTCAAATGGGGGAAACCTGAAGCGGGATACTGGCCTCAGTACTCCGTAGACAGTAGACTGCCGCGAGATTGACTCGAAGGGAAAGAAATGGGGTTGTCGACCTCCTTTACCGCCCTGCTCTCCATTCGCTTCCAAGTGGGAAGCTGAAGTTGCTCACCTTCCATCCTTGTGCATAACATTTCTAGCTCTCTTTGTTCCATTCTGTTTTTGGGGGAACTCAATCCCAAAAAAAGCCCACCAATATGGCCTCATTCGTAGACGGCAGCCTTGCTACGTGCAAGCATCTGATTGTTGTTTGCTGCCATGCCATTTACATCGGAGGTCAGGGGCTTGGATCTTCAGAGGACGAATGGTTGGTTAAATAAAACATTTCTCTCTATGTATGGGAGAGGCAGCTCATAACTCAAGTGCAGGCTTATTGAGTCCTTCCAAAAAGGAGAAACGCCCACATTCATCGATCATGTTAAAGCCGGATTGAGAGCTCTAGCAGATGACAGTCGTAGCTTACTTGTTCTTTCCGGGTAAGATCGATTTCATACTTTCTTTTTCAATGATTGCGGCCATTCACACATCACGAAGAGGAGCCACCAAAAAGCCTAGAACTGAGCTCAGCGAAGGTCAATCCTACCTTGTAAGAAGCCCCGATTCCCTAAACCAGAAAACCAGAAGACTCATGCATAGAAACATCCAGAATTTAGCCAAGGATAACAACTATTTCCAACATGTACCTTCAATCGCCACAATTGACCCATCAAGAGTCATAGCGGAGACAAACGCCACTGATTCATATCAGAATCTATTGTTCTCGTTGATCCAGTTCCGTGTCGCTACAGGCGTTTACCCACGGCGAGTCACAGTCGTGACGCACGAGTTCAAACGGGCTCGATTCATGCAGTGTCACTTCCCGGCAGTGGGACTCCTACCTGTTGACTCGAAACAAGAAGATTATACGAACAACGTTGCGGTGATCGGTATCAACCCACCCGAGGAAGTCACTCCCCTCGAGACCTTGACCCGAGGTGAGCTAATGAATGGGATTGGGCTTTGGAAGCAAGATCTCTACGGAGTCAACCCGGATTTGGTGAAGAAACGAGCGAGACGAGGCTGGTTCCCTGGAATGGAAAATGATGTTTTCTCCAACTTAGGATTAGAGGATGTGGTATGGCAGTTGGTCCGATACAATGGGGGTGATTATTGCAATAAGTGGTTCCTGGGGCGGGAGATTTTGCCTTGGTCTTATGTTAGACATGATACGGCCGAGGAGCTTTGATTTGCCTGGAGAAAAATATGAATGCTTCTTGTAGAATGAATGGAAGACCTTGATCCTTCTTCCCGAAACGCCGATCCATAGTATCTTTCGTGTGTGATCATAAAGTGACACCGAGAGCTTAATCTGCCAGCCGGTAGCTGACCAGAGTCCCCACTCGATGGTTGTTTGTGCTGAAGCTCCTCAACTGGACCTTTTCTGCATTCTTAATTTCCTTCGCGTCACTGTCGCCCCATTCCACGGGCACGTCTGAATCGGCATCGGCATAGACAAGCACATTGAAGGTGCAGTCACCGTCAAGAACAGGGAGGAAGGTAACAGAGGCGGTAATCTGACGGAAGATCGCTTGGATCTCCTCCTGGATCTGCTTTTCTGTCTTCTCGATAGGCTCGGGAGATTGAGTACTCGCATCTCTATCGGACAAAAAGACGGCATATCAACAAAATGATCGAGAGAAACCATGGGATTGTAAGGACTTACCCCGATGTACTGTTCTCCTTGTCGCCGGCTTTCTGGGAACTCTTGCTTTTGGATTTCTTGCCGAAGATCTCAACCTATTCCATCATGATGGTTAGCCACTGACCCAGACAGACAAAAGCGTTGGGGTAATTGGGTGCATACATCGAATTGCCACCTCTCCACATGTTCACCAGTCTCCTTGTCTGTGATTACTACCACGAGTTTTGATATCTTTCCTCCCTGCATCCATTCTTTCAACTGTGACATAATCTTCTTGATGTAGGCTTTGACCTGGTCATCGGCCGAAACTGATATGTGTTAGACACGTTGACGTCGATGGGACAGCACATGGGTCACAAACCCAACATATTGAGGCCATATTTCTTAATCCTGTTGGCAATTAGATTGTTGCACTATGGTACACCAGCTGAAAGAAAATACTTACGCTGTAAAATCCTCGGGAGGATAGACTCCTCGTTGGAAGCTGAACATTAATGCGATAAGCCAGTGTCTTGCGATGAGCACAATCTGCAACTTACAGGATTGAGTTGATTGAGTATTCAAACTACATTCATTAGTACTTAAAGATCCTTGGCGTAACCAAAAAGGCAACTCACGAATTCGGAGACAAGCTTGGCCGATCCTGTTATCTTGTGAGCTTTGAGCCCTCAGGTAATCAGAAGAGAGTGACCAACCTTTGATCGACAGCTTGTGCACCTTTGACTTGTCCTTTCTTTCCACCATGATGAGCTGATAGACTGTAGCAAACGGAGAACTTGAAAATGAAAGGTGGGAAAGAGGTTTGTTTATGTCGATAGGTCACCGCAGCAATAAACCGTCACCGCCCGCGCATCCGTTTTTTCTCCGCAAATCGTAACCAGACCACCAGCACAGAAACGCTAATCGATTGCCCCTCGGATACGCTTTGCTGTGACCGATTGCACATAATCAATCCCTCCTATGCCACCGCAGAATTCCCGATGCGAGGATGTCTGCAGTTAGGCCGATGGCTGAGCGCAGCGCCACGCCAGGCCGCGACCCTCCGACCATCAACTAGTTTGCTTTTGTATAAATACCACCGCGCTTTCTCTACTGCTACAACATACTATGGGCGCTCGAAAACCACCCCGATCAAAGCGGATATAGACCTCGAGAAACGAATTTCCGCCATCCCAATCGAACGTTTTCGCAATTTTTGCATTGTTGCACACGTCGACCATGGCAAAAGCACTCTTTCCGATCGATTGCTTGAATTGACCGGCACTATTCAACCTGGAACAAACAAGCAGGTGCTGGACAAACTCGACGTCGAGCGGGAGCGAGGAATCACAGTCAAGGCACAGACGTGTACTATGATCTACAACCACAATGGCGAAGATTATTTGTTACATTTGGTCGACACCCCTGGCCATGTGGACTTCCGGGCAGAAGTGTCGCGAAGTTATGCCAGTTGTGGTGGAGCCATTCTCCTGGTTGATGCAAGCCAAGGTGTTCAGGCGCAAACAGTCGCCAATTTCTACCTGGCGTTTGCACAAGGCCTTGAGTTGATTCCCATTCTCAACAAGGTTGATCTCCCCTCATCAGACCCAGAGCGGGCTTTGGAGCAGATGAGAAGCACGTTTGAGATTGATACAGAAAATGCGGTGATGGTCTCGGCCAAGACTGGGTTAAATGTTCCGGCCGTGCTACCCACGGTTGTGGAGAAGATTCCTGCGTACGTCTGACAAGCGACTACTTGAACTTCTGACTTTACTAACTGGACACTAGACCTATTGGTGATTCCAAGAAACCACTACGTATGCTGCTCGTAGATTCCTGGTACGACTCTTACAAGGGTGTGATTTTGTTGGTCCGTGTCTTCGACGGTGAGGTGCGTGCGGGTCAGCAACTGATCTCCTTCGCTACCGGTCTCAAATATTTTGTGGGTGAAGTTGGAATCATGTATCCAACTGAGACTGCGCAGACCGTTTTACGGGCAGGTCAGGTTGGATACATTTACTTCAACCCAGGTATGAAGCGAAGCAAGGACGCCAAGATCGGTGATACCTTCACAACAGTTGGCTCAGAAAAGATTGTTCAGCCTTTGCCTGGATTCGAAGAGCCCAAATCGATGGTCTTCGTGGCTGTATATCCAGTGAACGCTGATCTTTTTGAGCATTTGGAGGACAGCATCAACCAGCTCGTGTTGAATGATCGAAGTATCACAGTACAGAAAGAGTCTTCCGATGCCCTAGGCGCCGGCTTCCGTATGGGCTTCTTGGGAACTCTCCACTGCTCAGTCTTTGAAGATCGTCTACGACAGGAGCATGGCGCCAGTATCATCATTACTCCGCCTTCTGTCCCAGTCAAGGTCGTATGGAAAGATGGTACCGAGGAAATTATCACAAATCCCGCTAAATTCCCCGATGATGATAGCGTCCGACTCAAAGTTGCCGAGGTTCAAGAGCCCTATGTCCTAGTCACCTTGACATTCCCAGAGGAGTATCTAGGAAAGGTCATTGAGCTCTGCGAGGCCAACCGCGGTGAGCAACAAAGCATCGAATATTTCACAGCGACTCAAGTCATCATGAAATACGAGCTGCCCCTGGCCCATCTCGTTGACGACTTCTTCGGCAAATTGAAAGGAGGCACCAAGGGTTATGCCAGTCTGGACTACGAAGAGTCTGCATGGAGAGCCGGCAACATTGTTCGGCTACAACTTTTGGTCAACAGAGAGCCAGTGGATGCCGTAGCAAGGATCATGCACCTGAGCCAGGTGAGCCGACAAGGCAGAATCTGGGTAAGCAAGTTCAAGGAGCATGTCGATCGACAGCTTTTCGAGATTATCATCCAGGCTGCGGTCGGCAAGAAAATCATTGCTCGTGAGACTATCAAACCATACCGAAAGGATGTTTTGGCGAAACTGCACGCTAGTGATGTAAGTCGACGACGGAAGCTGCTTGAGAAGCAGAAGGAAGGCCGCAAAAGGTTGCGCGCAGTTGGAAATGTGGTCATCGAGCACAAAGCCTTCCAGGCATTCTTGGCGAAATAAACATGTAAATTAGCAACCAATATATTGTATAACATCGTTTCTGATACGTTGGTCTATTGATTTATGCCCTGCAACATGCAAGTGTATACAACCTTCACAAGCTGCTAGCCGCTTATGTTGGCGGTCAAAGCTCCGCCGGCAGAAAAAAAGTTCATGTCAGACCCCGCCATACAACTTCTTCCTTTGCTCAATCTCAGTTCAATTCATCTTGTCTAAACGGCATCGCTCAAGATCGTGGGTTCTCTCTGAGAGTATATCAACACAATACTGGGTCTCTTTTTGCTTTGAGTCCCACTTCTCGTTTCTGGCGGCTGAGTCCGTCTATGCCGATCGCATCATCTTGAGTCACCCTGCCATGCTTTGCAACTGACGACGGCCATGCAGGCTCCAGAGGGTGTGCAAATAGACCTGGGCAAGGCCCAGGTCATTGACAGTGTCCCTAAGGTGATCAAAGAATTGAAGTTTGGTGTCTTGTACGCACTCACCCATATATGTGCTTATCGCGAGAGTTTGTCGCAGACTTGATTGCTAACAAAGAAATTTGTTTCCAGAACCAATGATGACATTGTCGCCCAAGCAGTAGTGGAGGTTTCCGACAGAAAGTTTTTCGACCTAGACCAGGCCCGAACGGTCGTTTCGAACGGACCTCTCGATCAGCGCATGGGAATCTCCAACAAGACCGACGCTTGCGCAACATGCGGAAACAATCTTAAAGACTGCAATGGCCACTTTGGTCATGTGAGACTAGTTTTGCCATCATTCCACGTCGGTTATTTCAAGCGCGTTATCTCGATCCTCCAGGAAATCTGCAAAGAATGTTCAAACATCTTGCTCCCCGAGGCGGAACGCCGTACCTTCCTTCGCGACATGCGCCGACCGGGCCTCGATAACCTCCGACGGACACAGATCGCAAAGCGTATCAACGACCGATGCCGGAAAACCCGCGAATGCCCATACTGCGGAGCGATCAACGGTGTTGTGAAGAAGACCGGAACAAGTGCTCTGAAAATTACCCACGACAAATTCCGTGCATTCAATGTTTCCACTTCGGTCAAAAAGCAGGCACCCATTAGTAAGGATGTTTTCGACAATTCGTTCCTCGAGGCAAGAAGCGCAAACCCAGAGGTCGAGAAACACTTCAAAAAGGCACAGGACGATATGAATGCTCTCCGCGTTCTTAAACTATTCAAGAAAATGTCCGACTCGGACTGTGAATTGATTGGTATGAATCCGAAGGAAGCTCGTCCGGAGATGTTCTTGTGGCAGTTTATTCCCGCTCCACCAGTTTGTATTCGACCTTCGGTAGGACAAGATGGCGCCTCTACGGAAGACGACTTGACTGCCAAGCTGGGTGATATTGTACAGAGCAATATCAATCTTAAAAATGCCCTTCTTAAGGGTGCTCCAGTCCAAACAATCATGGAGTGCTGGGATTATATGCAACTTCAGATCGCCGTCTACATCAACAGTGATGTGCCTGGTCTTAACAAGGCCGATCTCGGAAAACCAATTCGAGGCTTCGTTCAACGTTTGAAGGGAAAGCAAGGTCGTTTCCGTGGAAATCTTTCGGGAAAACGTGTTGATTTCTCCGGTCGAACAGTCATTTCACCCGATCCAAATTTGCGGGTAGATGAGGTTGCTGTTCCGGAGCTGGTAGCAAAGAACATGACTTATCCCGAACTTGTGACCAGATACAACAAAGAGAAATTGCAGCAACGAATTTGCAATGGTAGCAACAAGTGGCCCGGTGCAAACTTGATCGTCAAAAAAGGAACTGGATTCAGACAGATGCTGAAGTACGGTAACACCCAGTGGATGGCTGATCAGTTGCAAGAAGGTGACCTGGTTGAACGTCATATTGAAGATGGCGATATTGTGCTGTTCAATCGACAGCCCTCCCTCCACAAGCTTAGTATTCTATCTCACTTTGCGAAAGTCCGACCCCATAGGACCTTCCGATTGAACGAGTGTGTTTGCAATCCTTACAACGCCGATTTCGACGGAGATGAAATGAACCTTCACGTGCCACAAACAGAAGAAGCCAGAGCAGAAGCAATGGAGCTAATGGGTGTGAAGAATAACTTGGCCACACCCAAAAACGGAGAACCCATCATTTCTGCCATTCAGGATTTCATTAGTGCTGCCTACGTACTGAGCAGCAAGGACAACTTCTTCAACCGCGCCTCCTTTACACAAATCTGTCTCTATATGCTTGGTCCTGAAACAAGATTTGATCTCCCGCCACCATCAGTCTTGAAGCCTCAGATGCTCTGGACTGGTAAACAGGTCTTCAACATTCTCATGCACCCCAACAAATCCGATCCTGTTCTGGTGAACTTGGATGCCGCATGCCGTGAATTCAAGATGCCCAAGGATGGCCGTCCCAAGGACTTGGATCCCAATGATGGCTGGCTAGTCATCCGTAACTCAGAAGTCATGTGCGGCGTGATGGATAAGTCTACGATTGGTTCTGGAAAGAAAGATAACGTATTCTACATTATGCTCAGAGATTACGGTCCCCCAGCAGCCGCTGAGGGCATGAACCGTTTATCGAAACTGTCTGCCCGATGGTTCACCAACATCGGATTTTCAATTGGTATCGGAGATGTCTACCCCAGCGCAGGTCTCGTTCAGTCAAAGAACGATCTGGTGGAAGCAGCGTATGCGAAGTGTGACGAAGTCATTGCTCAGTACAAGGCAGGAACTCTTGAAAAGTATCCTGGATGTGATGAATTGCAAACCATGGAAAACCAAATCTCCGGAATTCTCAGTAAGGTTCGTCAACAAGCTGGTGACGAGTGTATTGCGCAGCTCAGCAAATACAACTCGCCCCTGATCATGGCTACTTCTGGATCCAAGGGTTCTAGTATCAACGTGTCCCAGATGGTTGCCCTCGTCGGTCAACAAATTATCGGTGGTCAGCGTGTACAGGACGGCTTCCAGGATCGTACACTGCCACATTTCCCCAAAAATGCACGACAACCTCCCTCGAAGGGTTTCGTGCGCAACAGTTTCTTCTCCGGTCTGGAACCCCAGGAGTTTATTTTCCACGCTATGTCCGGTCGTGAAGGTCTGGTTGATACAGCTGTCAAGACCGCTGAAACCGGTTACATGTCTCGTCGTTTGATGAAGTCTCTCGAAGATTTGTCGTCGATGTACGATGACACTGTCCGTAACTCATCTGCCGCTATCGTTCAGTTCCAGTACGGTGACGATAAGCTGGATCCCGTGGATATGGAGGGTAAAGCTAAGCCCGTGCATTTCGACCGAACCTTCATTCACTCAGAATCTACTACATACAACAATGACGAACGAAGCTTGTTGCCGATCGAAATCATGGAAGTTTGCGAAGAAATGCTTTCAAAGCAACGTGCGAAGCTAAATCGCAAGGATTTGCTCGGCAATGATCTCGAATATATGGATCGCAGTGATCATGGTATCGATCAATTTGAAAGTGCTCGCGATTTCCTCGACTCTATTCAAGAATACGTGCAGAAGAGAGCCGACAAATTGATCTCTCGTGGTGGTGATATTGACCCTTCAGACCAGCGGAGCCGAAAGGGCTTGGACCACACAGGAAAACTGACAGAAACCACACTGCGGGCCTTTATTACTGCTTGTCTGCTGAAATACAAGAAGGCCCAGGTTGAGCCCGGTCATGCTGTCGGCGCCGTCGGTGCCCAATCCATTGGTGAACCTGGAACACAAATGACACTGAAAACTTTCCATTTCGCTGGTGTTGCCGGAATGAGTATCACGCAGGGTGTTCCTCGTATCAAGGAAATTATCAACGCATCAAAGGAAATCAGTACCCCCGTCGTGGCTTGTGAGTTGGTCAATAAGGAAAGTACCATTGCTGCACGTATTGTGAAGGGACGTATCGAAAAGACTTTCCTCCACGACGTTATCCACTCTATCACGGAGGTTTGGTCCCCCGACGATGCCTACCTGAAGGTTGTTTTGAACTGGAAGACGATCGAGGATCTGGCGCTGGAGATCACAACGCCTCAGATCGTTGAAGCGATCAAGAACAGCAAGCGCTTCAAGGGAACCGATCTCAAATTCTCGTGCAAACAAGCTTCTATCAAGGTTCATATGGATCTGGATCCGGCCAGCAAGGCCTCTCTTTCTAAGACAGAGATTGCCGCCACGAGCGCCGACCCGTTCCTGCGCCTGAAGCATTTGAAACGTATCCTTCCTAATATCCAAATTCTGGGTCACCCACGTGCGGCCCGTGCTATCATTCGCACGGACGAGACATCGACCACGAACACTTTGCTGGTGGAAGGCTACGGTTTGAGGGAATGTATGACTACAATGGGTGTGGACGGCCTCCGCACCAGAACCAACAACATCATGGAGGCGCGAGAGGTCCTCGGTATTGAAGCAGCTCGAAGCACAGTCGTCGTGGAAATCAGCGAGGTCATGAAGGACATGGACATCGATCCTCGTCACATGCAGCTTCTTGCCGACGTGATGACTTATAAGGGTGAGGTGCTGGGTATCACACGTTTCGGTCTGGCCAAGATGCGTGACTCGGTGCTTCAGCTTGCTTCGTTCGAGAAGACTGCGGATCACCTTTTCGACGCCGGCGGTCTCGGTCGCACCGATCTGATCGAGGGTGTCTCGGAATGTATTATCATGGGCAAGACGGTGTCACTGGGTACCGGCGCCATGGAGGTTGTGCGTAAACTCAACTTCTATCAAGGCCAGATTGGCCCTCGAAAGACGGTCTTTGAAGATGCTTGGACCGAGCATTGTGAGGTGCCTCTGGCCAAGAGACCCAAAAGAAAGGTCCGGTGAATTCAGTGACACTGTGCATTAATTTCGGCGTTAAGAATTTTGGCCTTGCGGACAGGGCTTTGTACATGTAGGGAGACTACTGGCGATTCTTCGAGCGTTAGTAAATTTCATGATATGATCAATGCTATTTTCTTCTTTTCAACACATGTGCTGCTGTTGGCCGAGTGGGAATGTCCCTAATCCCTAATCCCCCAGACACCCTCGTAATTGTATAGGCGCCTAGCGTTCGCACCTATCAGAATTCCCAACGCCCTTCTCACATTGGGGTGTGTGTGGGCGTGAAGCTAATTTCCAACGCAACTGTAGAAAAATCCAGGCACAAGCTTCTCTTCACCGGGTTATATTCAAATTCGTTCAGCCTTGCACAAAGTTCACCTGTTCTAACGGAATGTCTCGGATTCGCTGGAGGCGAACTACAACCAACTACCGGTAGCTCCCAGACCAGGTTCTGCTCCCTGCTGCGTCCTGTCTCTGGGCAGCTGCACCTCACCGAAAAGAGAAATCTAGCAATACGAACGTGGAGCCTCTAGGACCCCGAAGAAGTGGTTTCGGGGAGCTCTCTTGCTGGAAGAAAGCCACCCAACAGACACCCTCACGAACACTCGCCAATACGCACGAACATCCATGTCCGGCGTGACCAGGGAGTGAAACCGCCCTCCAATCAGCATCGTGAAACCCCTGAGGCCACCATGGATATGAGCCTGTGGCCATCACATCGCTTCGACCGTTCTTTGTTGCCCTTGGCCATTTCCGGCCACGCCACATCCGTAAGCACTCGGTGGTTTACATGTTTCTTTGTTTCCAGTGGGCAGTGAAACGCCCGGCGAGGTATTGCTTTCTAAGTACTCAATATCCGTGGGTCGCACTTAATTCTTCACTTCTCTCACGACGATCTCCCCGGCCTCCCCGAGAAACCCCGGATTTACAACTTGGAGCCATGGAGTTTGTCGAGCCCAAATTCACTAGGAAGCGTGAAGTTCGGACCCGAGCTCCGACAGCCTGTCAGACCTGTCGGCTGCGCAAGACTCGATGTGACAATACCAGGCCGATCTGTAGCTACTGCGCCGTGCAGGGGGTCGAGTGCAACTATCCCGAAACCTCACCACCACAGAACCAGTAAGATTATATCAATCTTTAGGGGAACTACTAAGCATTAACCCACATCCACAGAGCTAGCTTTGATTCCGGGAACCCTTCCAACCAAGAGGTCCTGCAACGGCTGAATCATATCGCCGGTTTGTTGGAAGAAATCAAATCAGAAGGCTCCACGAACTCCTCGACTCGCTCCCTCAAAGAATCATTTTTTGAGCTGGGCGTGCAACACACTAGCCCCATAGCTGATTCCTTGTCGGGTAGCAACACACAAGGAGACAGTACCGCTAGTTTCGACGATCGGGGAACCGACAATGATCCCCGAATCCTCTACATGGCTAGCTCCGGGGAGAACATGCTCCGATGGCCTATTTTCAACAAAGTGATCACCGAGGCTGAAAAGCATATTCGATCCTTTCTGCTTGACTCGTTGGATAACCAACCCCACACTATGCCAGCACCCCGGCAGGTGGGGATAGGAAGCTTTGTGGATGAGATCCCTCGACTTTGCAGGAAGTACTTCATGCTATGCCACCGGAGGAACCCAATCCTGGACCTCGAGAATCTAGACCGGTATGCAAAAGAGGTCACCGTGCAGGGCCTTGGATGGGATGGCCCATCGTGTCAAGTGGTATGTCACATCAGGCCTAGACCTATGAGGTCTCACTTTACTAATTAATCCCCTTGTTCCATAGCTCTTGGCATGTGCTTTAGCTTCTTGCACGTCCTCCAAATTTATTCCTCTAGATGCAATTCCAGCAAATCTCGATGGACTCCAACCCCCTCCCTTGTCAGATGCCAATCTCGATCTGGCTGAGACATATTTCCACGCTGCGAAACAGAGATTCGGGTTTTTACATACGTCTCCGACAGATATCCAATGTTTTCTCCTGGCGGGAAGCTACCACAGACATGCTATACGGCCTCTGCAGGCCTGGTTCTGTTACCAGCAGGCATCGTGTAGATTAGAAGTCCGTCTGCGCTCGCTATGTCGAGAGCAGTGGACCGCTGACGACAACTACCATAACCTGGAGGCGCGGCTGTACTGGTCCTGTATCCAAGCAGAACAGTAAGATTTTTTCTTCTTTCTTCTTTCTTTTTCCTTTTTGGGGGGCTTTTTTTATATGATCATCGACTAATTGGAACAGTGAGATGCAGAGCGAGCTCCCTCTCTGGAGTAGTGGGCTTGAGACGTTAGGCTATTCAGATCCCTTTCCCAAATTCTCTCGTAGATCCCCTACCTCATATGACCAAATGGAGGAGGATCGGGATTTCTCCGTCAGGCCAGGGCTTGAACTAGATGGAACCGAAGAGGAAAGAGGCTGGAGATTCTACATCGGATCTATCTGCAACCGCCGAACCACCAATGACCTGGTCTCTGACATGTGGCGTCATGGAGAGAAGGGCTGGACTCAAGACATTCCCGATCTCCTCAGAAGAACGATGGGGGCTGAGAACGTTGTAACATCATGGTACGAGGCCCGAAGTGTCCGAGCATGATAATGATAGGTCTTCGGCTTTCCCCCACTGACGCTATACTCACACCAGGTATCAAATCTCGATTGCCGGAGTCCAATCCCAAAAGGATAACCCAGACCTGGAGTTCTTCATCCGGGGCCGGTACCGCATGGCTCTGGAGAGAATCTACCGACCAGCTTTCTACCTGGCAATGCACTTCCAGAGCATGCCGACCTTCATCAAGAACAACCACCGAATGTGGGTGGAAATCTTCGGACTAACCCAAAAGGCCATTGATAACTGTGTCGAATTGATTCCAAATTACTGGTATCAGTTCCGACACGAGTGGATTTGGAACGTCGTCCGCGCTAGCTTTGCTTGCGCTCTGCACATCCTCGGTGCTGTCTTGTATCAGCTCGAGGCATCTCGAGATCCTAGTACATGGCAGGTGCGTATACCGCCAAACTGGGCCGCTTTGATCAGGGTGTCGATCCGCACCTTGAAGCACTGGGCCCCGGAATCTATCGACCTGGAGGTTATGAGGTCGACTCTAGAGAGGATGTATCAGGGAACTTGTCGGCTGGCTAATGTGCGCCCAGATCTTCATCTGATCTGATTCTCGGATTTATAATTGTTACTCCGGTGCTTGGGGCTACGGTGCTTGGGGATAGGAAAATATTGACTGGGCTGTTATATAGGGCTGGGCTGTTATAGGGTGCTCATTGCGTCCACATAATTACGAGATATGCCACCTTATGTGAAGAATTGAAGAAATCAAATAATTGAAACGAGAGCTGCTTTTATCTTCTATCTTCTATTCTCCTTGTCAATGTCAAAGAATCAATTCACTCGACGGCCGTGTCGCGTATACTCCGACGCCCCACCCGGAACTTTTTCTCAACTTCACTCTTCATTCCTGACACATTCCACTGCAACACTCTCACAATGGACGAATACAAGCCCCCACCTCTCCCTTCTCCCTTCAACAACACCTCCCCCCCACCAATCCTCCTCACCCAAGGCGCAGAAGCCCATCTCTACAAAACCATCTCCCTCAACCCCTCCATCCCCGCCGCGCTGAAGATCCGCCCCTCAAAGCCCTACCGCCACCCAATTCTCGACCGCCGACTGACCCGCCAACGCATAACCCAAGAAGCCCGATGTCTCGCGAAACTCGTGCGCGAGGGCGTGAGCGTCCCCGCCCTGCTAGCCCTGGACTGGGAAGGACACGGCGGCGAGGAAGGCGGGTGGGGCGGCGCCTGGCTGATGATGGAGTGGATTGAGGGGCCTGTGGTGCGCGTGGTTCTCGAGCAGTGGGAGGCATGGATGAAAAAGAACCAGGCCTCGTTGGATCAAGCGCAGATCGAGAAAGAAGAGGCGCGTGTGTGCGATTTGCTGAGGAGAATGGGCTCCGCGATCGGTATCCTGCATAAGGCTGGTGTTGTGCATGGTGATTTGACTACGAGTAATCTCATGTTGCGCCCGTCTACTACAGGTGCTGTGGATGAGACTGGATCGCCTGCGATGGAGGGTGATGTCGTGCTTATTGATTTCGGTCTTGCGTCGCAGAGTAGCCAGGATGAGGATCGCGCGGTGGATTTGTATGTCCTGGAGCGTGCGATTGGGAGCACACATCCCCGCTCGGAGCCTTTGTTCGAGGCGTTGATTCTGGGGTACCGGGATAGCTACAAGGGTGCTCCTTCGACGCTGAAGAGGCTTGAGGATGTGCGTATGAGAGGACGGAAGAGGAGCATGCTTGGTTAATGCCAGTCTCATTTGATTATTTGGAGATGGATGCAAATTCCCACCAGCTATGATTTTAAAGCAAGAGAAAAAAATATGAAACGCCACGCTTGTCACGACAGATATCGACGACGCAAGAAGAAAGAAGACTCATTTATACCCGCTCCTTGACACATGTGCCGACGTCGGCCAACGCGAAATATCCCTTGTTCTCGACGACTCCGCGATCCTTCACGACTGCCGTGTACTTGACCACCCACTGTGGCTCGATACTTCCCTGGATGCCGTCGTTGGCCTCGGGCGACGAGGCCAGGATGCCCGCACTCTTCTCCGCGGGACCCAGGAGTTCTCGCGTTGTGCCGACAGGGAGGATATCATGGCAATCGTTATGGGTGAGAAGTTGAATCTGCTCTTGTTTCGCATAGAGAATCAAGTTTTTGGGAACAACACAGCAATCCTTCAGATTGATCTGGTCGACCGAGGGCTTGACCTTGGTATGCGGCAGAAAGCGGGCCAACCGTTCGCTGCCGAACTCGGCGACGCCTAATTGCGCGATCATGCCCTGCTCGTGCAGAGACTCCAACACCCGCCATGTCTGCACCATGCTGTCGAAGTCGTCCGGTTCCCCGTTGCTCATCTCGTGGTCTTCCTCTTCGCTGTCGTCGTCGGCGTCGAACAGGATCCCAGGGAATGACACGATCAGTAGATCGATAGACTTCACATGTAGCTCTTTCAATACCAGATCAATTGCTTCTCTGGTGTGCGCGCATCGCCTCGATACCGGGATTCCCGGTAGGTAGAATAGTTTTACTGTGATATCATATTGATCGCGCTCCTCGGACAGACCGTTCTGGGAGAAGTCGATCGCAGGAATATAGAGAGCGTCTTCATTTTGTAGTGTCCATGAGGGCGGGTGCGATTTGGCAGATTGTCCGTTTGTATTCGAGTCGGTGCCGTTGGCCGGTGAAGAGTCAATCTGTTGCGAGGCAAGGAAGTTCGATCGGAGGGAGTTAATCAGTTCCACGTTGGACTTTTGTGTCAAAGGCTGGCGGATAACGGACTGACGCCCGGCTTGCATAATATTCCTGCGACGGGTTAGCGACTTGACTGGGATCGCATGGAACGATTTCACTTACGAACTGGATAGAATCAACTTCATGATGGGCAAGCGAAAAAGATCAAACTAAATCCAATGGAATCGCAAAGAGAAGAAGTGGACTGAGAAGGGAGAGAGTCCGAAACGAAATCCACCCCGCGGAGCCCCTCCTGACAAATCCAACGTTCCTGATTCCGTCTACTGGCCACTATATACTTCTACTTCGCCAACGTCTCCATTCAATCCTCGTCAACGGTCGGATCCCAGTCCGTGGGCGAATACTCTCCTGTATCCAGCAACTTCATATCCTCAGCTGCCAGCTCAAAGTCAAAGACATCGGCATTCTCCCGAATGCGCTGGGGCGTGGCAGACTTAGGCAGAGGCACGAATCCCTAACAATATATGAGCATCTAGACACTTCAATATCGCCAGGTTATTTTGAGGATGAGCGCGCCACTGACCATTTGTAAACTCCACCGAATCAACACCTGCGCCGGTGTCTTCCCATACTTCTTCCCGATGGACGCCAACACGGGCTCTCTCAATCGGCTTCCATGCGCAAGGGGGGAGTATGCCTCGACGATTATGTTTCTCTTCTGCAGCCACTCCACGATATCCGAGTGGTCCAGCCATGGATGCAGCTCGTACTGACCTACGTCGATCTGGCCACCTCCGCCGCCGTGGATGTAGGCCTCCAGTTCTTCGAGATGGTGGATACCGTAATTAGACACCCCGATGGCTTTAGTTTTGCCTGCATTCTGGGCTTCGACTAAAGCATCCCAGGAGCCTAGACGGGCTTCCTTGCCGCCATATGGGGCATGGATTAGAATCCTGGGGTTGCATTTGGTTGATTAGGGTTGGGCCTTTTGTTGGAGGAAGTTCTGGTTGTTTGATTTTTGTGACTTACAGGTCGAAGTAGTCTTGTGCTGCTTCTCGTAGACTCGAGTTGATGGCCCGCTTGGTGGCCTCGTAGCCCATTGATTCGGGCGGGATCTTTGTCGTGAAGAACACCTGCGATCGGTCCAGTGGGGAATTCAGGATTGCCTTTCCGCAGGGCTTCTCGTTGCGGTACATAATCGCTGAGTCGACCTGATATCTGTTGTTCAGCTTGGACTTCTGGTAGTCTTAGGCCGCAGACGTACATGGCGGAATCCAATGTCCAGGGCTTCAAGGGTAGCCTTCTCAGTCGCAGACGAGGGACTATTGGTGGCTTAGTGACGCTTTTTTAGGAAGCGTTTGGATCATATACATACATCAGATACACCTGGTGATATCCTGTCAGCTCTGCTCTTGGGACTATCATGCGGGGTACCTATATGAAGATCACTTGTCACTCACCCCATATCCAATGACAGGGATTTCATGCCCCGACTGCAGTCGATGCTTTGACTGGAGAGTAAGCTTCGTCATCCTTTGTTTCCTCTTGTTTTGGGAAGATTCAGATGAACGAATGTAGAATCGTGATGAGCATCACCCTGAGATCATAAGTGGGGGTGCTGCGATCTACATTGTGGCTCACAGGCTCTGGCGAATCGAGGCCACGTTTCCGAAGCTGATGAACGTTTTGGGAGGTCAATATTGAAGTTGACCAGTCTCGTTTCCAGTTCTTTGCATTCATCGGTGGCGATTGATTCTTCGCAGTATGGTATGAAGGAGAGGATGGGACTCTATGTTCGCACCCGTGGGCCGTCTCTTTGGGCGAATATAACAGGCGGATGTGCGAGTTAGAGCTCGGCTTTCTTCCTCAGGAGAGAGGGCCTGTGTGACATCTAAAAACATCAGATCCCCATTTCCACGTGGCACTATATACAACGGGATAGCAAAAAAAAGAAACCAAAAAATTCCTCTGACCCGGGATCGAACCAGGGACCTCAAGATGATCCGGAGATCTTAAGCAGTTACAGTCTTGCGCTCTTCCAGCTGAGCTATCAGAGGATTGATGGAATGATATTTCCTTTTTGACATTATCAGCCTAGACAAACTGTGTCAACATGTGTCTGATATCGTCGTTAGACATCACTCTGCTGGAGATGGACTCTGGGATTGTCGATATTGGTTGAGAATGAAGATGACTATATACTTCCTCTGCAAATGCTCTATTGTCTGGAGCAGATTATGAGGAATTTGCCGGTCTTGGAACGATTCTGGTGGATGGCCGAGTATATATATGCTACATTGTTTCTATATTTTCTATATCTCGGGGCTCAGTTGGACCTGGGTTACTCGAAAAGCAGGCAGACATCGAGGAACACGACCACTACACGTGTATACAAACAGTCACTAGTCCCAGTGTAAGTTGTCCCGCAAGCACTAGACATTGCGATAACCAGAGCTACTACCGATGATCTGCTTGGAGTCCCTTAGGGTCTTGCATGATTCGTGTGTACCGACTAGCTGCGCCTGGAGCCATGAAAACAATACCACATACATTAATCCACTGATCCATAAATAACATTGAAGTCTTTCCTGGCAAAGATTTACAATCAAACAATATACACAGATAAACGAGAGGAACCGATCATGCGAGAATGTATGCGAGTCCAGCAACAATCGTTGTCAGCAACGCAGCTCCTGGCAGGTTCAAGGCGCCCGCTGCGCTCTTATCCGCAGAGTCCTTGTCGTCCGCAGAATCCTCAGAGTCCTTGGAGTCTTGATCGTTGGTCGAATTCTTCCCGTCCTCAGAGCAGCCCGAGGCAGCACATCCCGTGCCCTTCAAGGCAGCTGAGATATTTGAAGCAGCAGCGGAGTCAAACCCGGCTGCACATGGCTGTCCTTTAGCCCACGGGAATTTCTCTGAAACGACCGCGCAGGTGTCATAGCCACCCCAATTGGTGCCTTCCACCTCCAAGGTGCTGGTAACGTTCCAGGCAGCAATACCCTTGGGACAGGTATCATCGTTGCTAACGGCAACAAGATCCGGCTTCGCAGCGCCGCTCTTGGTAGTGAAGATGATACTATCGATTGTGAAGTTGCTGTTGTAGTACATCATGTCTCCCTTGGACCCGGTGCAACGTCCATACTCGACGAACCAGGTGAGTTCCCACACGTCCTCGGTGTCGACGTCGGTTTTGTTGTAGACGAAGTGAGAATCGAGGTCGGAGGAGCTGGTCGAGTTCATATTGAACAGAGTTGTCTCGGTCGTGTTCTCGTAGATCCCAGGAGGCGTGATCAAATAAGTGACCCTCATGTTGAGAGGTGCAGCGAGATGCGGGTTCTGGATGGCAAACACAACGGGCATGTCTGGGGAGGGCGCATAGGTTTCATTGCGCGGGAAGACCAAGTCGACTTCCAGGACGCCCGATGTAGCCGAGGCGCCCATGACCCTGGTGCAAGCCTGCAGGGCCAAAAGGGAGCTCAGGTAAAGTTTATTATTGTACATTTTGATCAAGCTTCCCATATACTGAAAACAGAGGAATGGGGGTGAAGAGGGTTGAAGAAAGAGAAGACTGCTCCGTGGGCACTACATGAGCATATTTATTTTCAGGGGGCCGGAAACCGTTTCAGACCAATGGCAATATCCTTCTGGGGGCCAAGGGGCAGCTGAATTAGGCCAAGTCCAAATGATTACTTCATATTCCTCATAGGGAAAGTAAGCCTCTCGGGGAAAGGATTGGCCCAACTGAGACATTCGCGTGATGTTACAGCCGCAGCCACTCCCACTAGCGCTCTACCGTTCCTTGGCTTAACATAAGAAACCCCTGAATCCCCCATTTCGGCCATATCTATCAGTGAGGTGCTCAAGTGCGCATTGATAATAAAAAGATCTACATACGGAGTACATACAGATCAACGGCGGGGAAACCCGTGGGTCGGATCGGAAGTACCCGAACCTTCAAGGGAAAGGATGACTACATGTACCTTCTTGCGGCCTATTTCAATGACGATAACTACTCAAAACTAAGCAAAAAAAGAAAGCATTTATACGTATCAAATTATGTCGGTAAAAGCAAAATCATATATTAAATGTCATGTAGTACATGATCATTTCTAAAATCCAACAACAGCCCTATCTATGTATACAGATACAAAAGGATCTTCGACCCACCAAACTAGATCTTTCTTTCCTGCTCCTTCTGAGCCTCAGCCTCAACTTGTTCTTGCAACTTGCGCTGCTCCTCGCGTTTGAGCTGATCAGGGCGACGAATAGCAATGTCCTTGGGACGGAAGTCGCTGAAGAAGTGCTTCAGAACGTTCTCAATCAGCCAGCAGCCACCGTAGTCGAAGATCATCAGCACGGTCAGGGTGATCTTGAACTCGTTGGTGAAGGGCACGAGACGCAGCTTCTCGTTCAGCTCCGGGATGAACTCGGTGGCGCAGGAGAATGCGACGGCCGACGCACCGACGAGACCCCAGTACATCGCCTTGTTCTCACGAATGGACTCGCGGAAGGGACGGCCCTGGTAGTTGATCGAGAAGGTGGAGATTTGCTGAATCAGTTGCAGAAGGTAGATGGCACTGTTCAGGAGAGAAGGCTCAAACTCGCCCTCGAGGTCAATATCGGATTCTCTCCTGTTGGTTCAGTTAGCTCTGGGCTAGGACAATCAAGATGGGGAAGATGCTCGTGACGTACGGCTCATGCTTATAAACATAGTTGGACAGGTAGATCAGAGTCACAATGTGGATGGCAAATTGTCCAAGAACAGATCCAATGATGTAGACGTTGAAAATGTTTGGCTGAGGACGCTCCTTAGACAGACCCTCAACAGACTAAAAGCATTCAAATATTAGTAAACCATGCTTGATAACATAGGAGGCGATAAAATACCTTTGCGCGGGAGATAGACAGGAAGCAAACACTCATCATCATACCACTGATGGTAACTTGTCCATCGCCGAACTTAATGCCATCCAAGTAGATGACACTCAAGCTGTAGGCACTGATCAAGCAGTTCAGAGCAAGAATCTTGTACATCTGAATTGTCGCAACAAGGGTACAACGGCCTTGACGGATGATGTTTGGGATGGCAATAACGTTGGCCAACTTGCTAGTGAACGGAGCGGCGACGGACGCATCACCTAGCTTGATGGTAGGAGGCTCGCTGTCATCCAGCTCCTGCTCCAGCATCGAAGCTGTAAGCTTATCTGCAAGACCAGCTGCGGCAGCCTGGGCCTGCTGCTGTCTCTGCTGGTGGGGAGTCAAGTTGGATTGCTGCAGGGCCTGAGCACCGGGGGAAGTGATGGTTGGAATAGCTTCGGGGCTACCAGCAGTAATAGCGGCACCCTTGCGCTGAGCCTCCCGCTCCATAGCCTTCTGGTAGTGTGGGTTGGTAGGGCCGGGAGGGTACAAGTGGGCGATGTGAACGGGCACTGGAGGAGAGGGCTGATTGAATCTTTGCATCATACTGACTTGCTTCTCGTACAGCTCCTTCATCTTGGTAGTCCGGTAGTGGTCAGCGATCTTGGTGAGATCCTCCTGTGAGCCGTTCAGAAGTGCAACACCAATGTGCGCTTGCTTCAGAGCACCAACATCGTTGGTACCATCACCGCACATCAGAGTCGTGTATCCAGCGTCCTTGAGACCCAGAAGAATGTCTTCCTTTTGCTTGGGAGACACACGAGCATAAACCCAGGTATGACGGAGGAGGTCGGGAAGAGCCTTCTGGTCCTTGAACTTTGCCAAAGCATATCCAGTAATACAAATGTCCTTGGTCTTCAAAATCTCCGGGTCGAGAGGCTTGGTGGGGTCAACGTCAATATTGAGCTTGTCATCAATAGTACGCCAGACAATCCTGGTTCCAGAGTTGTCATGCTCCGGGGCATCAAGAATAAGAACCTCACGATCGACGATTTCGACTTTGCGTGCAACGTGGACAGCAGTCAGTGGGTTATCACCGGTGATCATAACCACACGGTGGCTACTTTCATTCAGCATACGGACAGACTTGATAGCATCGTCCTTCAGGGGACACTGTAGGACAAGGAAGCCAGCAAAAATTAGATCGGATTCGATCTCTTCGCGAACGTAGTTGTTAATGCGACCCTGAGTAAGTTCGGATTCCTGGGAAAGGTACTTGTAGGCAATGGCAAGCACACGAGCACCGTTGCGCGTGAAGTGCTTGAAAGTCTCTTCGTAATTGGGAGGTGCGTTGACCAACATGGTACTGATGGTTTCGGGGGCACCCTTGACACCAACAAAAGTGGACTTGACCTTTTTGGAGGTTTTGCGATCATTGGTCGTAATGGTTGCAATAGTACTTTGGCGCTTCAGGGCCGAGGAGAACTGGAATCTTCTCTTGATTTGAACAGACTCGACATTGCGACCAGAGATGACCGGGGCGTTGGCCTTGGGGGAGAGAGTGTCGTTCTTGCCCAGGGTCCAGCCGAGCCATTCCAGAGTAGCCTTTTCCATAGGGTCGCCAACAACATCGCCCTCATCCAGCTTCACCAGAGCGTGAGCACTAGCAAGAACGAGGGTTGTGTCGGGTCCAGCAGCAGAAGAATTGGCCAATTCAGTGTGAGCGCCATCAGCTTCGACCTTGGAACCAGCCTCACCCAAAGTGAGACCAGCGATACCATCGACAACAAGGTCCTCGCCAGTTAGGGTACCGGTCTTATCGAAGCAAGCCACGTCAACACGACCAGCGAAGGGGATACGGAAAGGCTCAGTGCAGAAAATGGCAAATTTGCTCAAAGCAGCCAGACTGGTGTTGACAGCCAAGCTCAGCTCCATAGGCAGCTCAGGGGGAACAACGCTCGTAATGATGAGGACACAGTCCAGCAAAAGCTTGGATCGCTTGCGGTCCCGGGTGACACCCTCCTGCCACACATACCAAGAAGCGGCAATGGCGAAAATCAACAGGAAGAGAATGAACAACAAAGCCTCGACATTGTTGGCAGAGACACGTTCAGTTGAATAAATCATAGTTCGAACAAGACTACCTTGGCTGGTTTCGAATCCGGTCTTAACAACTACACCCAAAGCACCATTGTCGGGGGCCATAGTGACGCTGCTAGCCAAGTTCTTCAGAGCAGAGTCGCCATTCGAGTTGGGATGAGTAACCTGCAGAACCTTGGTACCTCCGTGCACAAAGGAAAGCTTATCCAATCCATCCGGTTCAATCAAGTCATCGCCGGGACGGAGCTGAACGGACTCTTTCAGAAGCGGTGTACTCTCACCAGAAAGCATGGCCTCGTTCACAATTACACTGCCTTCAACCAGAAGAATATCGCAGGCAACGCCGCTGTCCTCCTTGGTACGATTCACCGACATGAGATCACCGGGGAGAAGCTTGTCGCTGGTAATCTCCTGCCATTTGCGTTCACGGTAGACCCAGACATCGTAGGGCTTGATGCTCATTCCACGGAATTCGTTCAAGGTTCTCTGGCGCTGCCATACAACGGTACTCTCAAAAGCAACAAGCATGAACAGCGTGAAGAGCGAGTAGTACCAGTATTCATCCAGCATCCACAATCCGACGCAGAAAATTTGGAATACGAAGAACGGCGCGACAGCATGCTCTTTGAATAACTCGACGAAGCCGGGAACGGGGATGTCGAAAGTGTTATCGCCGTAGTGGTGGTGGACGCGGTCAACCTCGGCCTTAGATGCCAGACCCTCGGTGAGCTGGAAAGTCTTGAGAGCGGGTTTCGGTTCGGCATCGAGGACGTAGGACAGAGGCGCGAAGGTGCGAGTCTCGGGATAGAAGAGGAAACGGCGCTTCTGGAAAAGGAAGGAGAGGGTCCTCTTCGGGCCGGTGGTCTCATTGATCAAGGTACAAATCTCGGCAGAGCCAGCATTGGTGATGGGGACTACCTTGATAAGCCGGGCGGTGTCGATTGACTTGGCGCGAGTAGTGGTGAATAGCGTGTTGATGTCAATGTTCCACTGAGTCATCAACCAGAAGAGCGACTGAATCGTAATGATAGATCCAGACCAAACGAAGGTCCATTCCTGTCCCTGAATATAGGTATCATAGCGCTCGGGGGAGAGATAGAAGGCGAAGAACGCGGGCCATATAATCAGGAATGGCCAGACGTATGTATGCAATTGCCAAGGGAGCGGGTTATGCAACGAGGCATTATGAATCTGAGGGTCGTCCACGAGCTTTGCCCTATGTACTGTTAGCTGCAGTCGCGAAGACTTGGATGTTCTGAAACGTACATGGTGGCGAGTGACCGCAGTCAGAGTCAAACAACCAGAAAATTAAATACTCATAAGAAAGAAGAAAGCAATGATAGAATCCAATCACGGAAGAGCCTAGATTCGAAGAAGAAGCCACCTTGTAGATACAATTTTGGTTCCAGAGGATTCGCCGCTCGACGCGCTAGCATTATGTCAGCCTGTTCCGATCCAGGCGGTCTGGATAATGTGGCATTATTGGGCAGCCGTTTACAACAGCCCGGCCGGGCTAGCTCAATCGGTAGAGCGTAAGACTCTTAATCTTAAGGCTGCGGGTTCGACCCCCGCGTTCGGCTATTCCTAAAAACAAACCTCAAGATTTCTTTTTTGCCTTTCTTTTTTTGGTTCCTACTATATCGAATTTTAGTGCAGGCATTGTCGTTGAGCTGACGAGAAAAAAAAAAACTGTTTGGGTGAGGGGAACAACATCCACCTGTGTTTTTATAGAGAGCGAACAATCGAGTCCTTGACCTAACATAGTATATATGCGTAGGCCAAAACGAGGTACCTCTTTCAATTGTGCACGACTTGATGATATATACTCCGTATAAAGCGTACCTTTGCTGTCCTAAATCGTCTCATCCATACCCTTCCTTTCCACCTTCTCTACCAATTCCTTGACTGTCTCCGTCAACATCTTAACCTGCTCCCTCAGCTCTCTGATTTCGTATAGGCAACTATCAACCTTGATATCTGGCGTGGATTCAACGACCTGCTGTTTCCAAGTATCGTCGAGATCGAAATTAACCTCCCTAGCCACATGCTCCCATTCCTGAGCGCAGTCATCATCTTCTTCGCCACGGTGACGGTTCCATCGAATCTGGTGCGCTTGGCGGGTTTCAACCCAGGCAGAGACGACAAGCAGAGGGGAGTAGATCACGCCCATTACAAAGTCATTCAGCTTGGCATAGGTCTCCCGTGAAAGCCACCATTCAAATGGAGCTACCAGAAACAGAATCTCGACGAGATTGAATGCTATTATAGTAGTAAATCAGCCATACCATATACATGCAATGCAGATTGGAAAACTTACGTGGGATGAAGACGTTCTCATCTGGGGCGCGAACGAACTGCATAGTCTTTTGTGCGAAAATGGACAAGTATTCGTCGGTTGCATTACCAGAGATATCTTCGTATGCACTGTTGTACAAGGCGATGAGAATGTTCAAGAGAACTAAGAATTGTTAGTATTACTCAAAACAAACCAATGGCGAACTGACCGGTCATGACGATGAAGTTGAAAACATAGTAGAGAATGATACCGAAGGGGAATGCAAACTCCTGAAAAGTGCTGAACTCAGGACTCTGCATGATGCTATTCATCATTCCCTGAAGGATATTCCGGTGGAGAGAGGTATCATCCTCCACCTGAGCCATGCCGACAAAGGCTTGGAAGAAACCAGCCATAACCACAAACAGAAGAGCGAAGAAGATTAAGCTCTCTTTCATCATGACGCGAAGAACCACGAACATGGCGCCGAAGAACCGGAACGAATCAAGATATAGCATCATGCGCATCCAGAACATAGGGCCTGCAAAAGCTAGGAAGTTGTAACTGAGCTCGTTATATAGCTGCCGTTGATGATCATGGGTAGATGACGAGTGTGCCAGGGCAACAAAACGGAGGATGAGCGACACTGCAAGTATCGCGTATAGCGTGGAGTTGAATGCATTCCAAAATTCGAGATAATTCCATCCAACCTTCCAGAACTTGACTAATTCATCGCACATGAACGCAAGAGTCATACCATAAAGAATGCATTCGCCGATATCCAGATCACCAGTTGGGTTCACGGTATTGATAACTGCGGTATAAATCGCAAGGTAGATCAAGGAGAACAGAATTTGACAAACATTCTGATATAGAGGAGTCCTCATTCGATCAGGGTGAAAATGAACCCAATAGCCCGTGTTACACTTCTCCTTGTAATCAACAAAGTTAGTTGGATTGCCCTCTTCCTGACAGATCCAGCCTCTCCATAGATACTGGATACATTTCTGGTATCCAGCCGAGCTAATGATTCTCAGAGCATGAAGATCTACCGCGCGTTCAATGACATTGGCAGGATCAGTTTCTACCCCTTCACTGAAAATAGAGTATCGTTTGAGTAGAACGTCTCTTAGTAAGTAGTCTTGATCCTCCTCGGATTCAATGCTATATAGGTTAGTGAGTGAACGTCATAGGATACGAATAATGGAGGGGGATTTTACATGCGCTTGGCAATGACCTCGCAAGCAACAGCCCGAACCTCATGCAGATCGGAATCCCAAAGCTCGACGTTGGATTGAATCTGGAACCATCGCAGACAAATAAGGAGGCAATAAACGACACAAGCTTTATAGTCATCACCGCCAGCTTGCCTGGCGGTTGCAACGACGTCGTCTGTGATGATGCGGCTGTTTGGGTCCGTCAAGAGATTGGCCTCAATCTCGCAGGAGACAACCTGCTCGATTTGATATTTCAGTCGAAGAGCAACCTTGGCAATTTCCTTTGACGTGTGAGAGGCTTGGGGCTCATCGGCACCATTGACAGGGAGCACTGTGATTTGTTAACAGTGTTCCGCAGCGCGTGTGCGGGGATGACGTACACCGACGACGTTCAACCTCGAGACGGTGCCGGGTCCTGCCACGATCGGCACCAAAGAGATTCCTCCAGTGACCCATATTGTGTCGAGTATGCAATCACGAGAGATGAAGAATAGAGGGGAGATCCAGGGGGAGATCCCAGGCTCACCGATGTTTGGGGTAAATGGAGGAAGCGCACCAATGATCGGCAGTACGGAGCAGATAAGCTTCAGCTACATATTTCCCCGCCATTCGAGTGCATCCAATCTTAAGAGTCTTCGAGAGGTAGGACTTGCGTAAGTCTACAGATAAATAGTTCCTACAAGGATCCCATTTGCATTAAAAAGCATCACTGGCATTGAACGTTTCGGTTGCATCGCAAAAATATGTACATCAGAACTTGCACCCCGTGCAGACCCAGCATCTTTGACAGACGCCGGACACGAGGATTTCGACCGCAATTGGCATGCAGCGCATGCACGGGCGTGGATATCTCATCCCCAGACCCGAGGTGCAGGCGACTGCCCTGGGCTGAAGGGCGAGTTCTGACTGCAATCCTGCCCATCAACACACTGAGCCCTCGAGCCCTTCTCCGAAATGTGCAAGCTTTTTTCTATCTATTTTTGCCCATTCTCCTCTTGCAGTGATTCGGGCTTTGGATGCCAGCGCCGATGAACCCTGGATGCCCCTCGAATCGGAGTTGTTACTCGTTCTTTACTCGTCATCACTCTCCGAATCCTCATCTCCGCTGACTTGCATGTTCTCACGCTCACGCTTCTCCATAAGCTCCTGCAGGATGGCATCATCGTGCTCGGTAACAGCCTTGGGTGCCATCTTCACGGTGCAGGTACCGCCGTTGGCCTTGATCCGCTCTTCAATCTTCACAATTGCTGCCTCCAGCATCTTGATGCCGTGGGTTTTGTCAAGACATTGGCTGGCCAAGACGTAGAGAGGAGGAGCCACCAGCTTGACCTTGATCTGGTTCTCGGGGGTGTTGTCGGCCTCAGCGGTACGAAGGGCATCCTTGACGGCATCGATTCCATCGTAGCCGAAGCAGGTGACCTCGATATCGGCACGGACCTTGGTAGGGTGGGGGGTAAGCTTGCTGCTGATGTATTGCTGCAGTTCCTTCTTGACGGCATCGCTGGGGAAAGTGATCTCATCCCAAACAGAGGGGTTTCTGGGTCGACTGTCAGAGGGAAATTCAACCATATTATGTGGCAGAACAAGACAGAAGCTTACGTGATGGAAATCTTGAAGGCATCGTGCGCGTGGCCGTATTTCTGGTTCAAGGGCCACCCGATGGTCTCGTATAGGTTCTCGAGGGGAGTCTGAGTTGCCTCTGCGACATGGCGCATGATAGAGTGCACTGCCTTGCTCTTGTTGTACCGCTCCTCGCACTTGATCACATCCTCGGGGGAGACACGGCGCTTTGAGAGATCAATGTAACCTTCATTTTCACAAGTTAGCTCGCAGGTCCCCTCCAGGCGAATGGTGAGATCTTGCCTTTCTCCTTGTCAACACGGAGTACGATAACAACCTCATTGCGCCCAATGCGAATGAGCTTCTGAATACTGCGAATACGTCTGCGGGAAAGTTCTGAGAGCAGGATCATGCCGTCGATGTTGTCATATTCAAGCAGCTTCACGTATGCGCCCATCTCGGCGATCTAATCCATTCACAAAGTATCAGTGCCTGTCGCTTTGATCTCTCCGTTCTCACATGGCTCAGTTTATCCGTACCTGCTTGACATTGACCATGACGAAGCTATCCACCTCGGGATACTTGTCCTCATAGAATCGACAATTCGTGAGAGACATCTTGGCGGGGTTCTTTTTTTTTTTCGGGGAAATTTCAGGTGCGAAGGAGACGAAAATGATGGCACTGTCCAGCTGAGTGAGACGGCAACCGATAGAGCACAAGTGAGCGAAAAGTCCGAAAACGAGAAGCGCAGGAAAGATAGGCGATGTGAGCGAGGCACAATCTATCTCTTTGTGGCGGGCTCAAAACCCACATTGATCTCGACGGTCATGTGACTGGTTATCACGTGACCCAGCGCTACACCGCCTGCCCGTGATCAAGTGGCCCGGGCTCAGGCCGTGACCCATGGATTACGACATAGAAACCAACGGCATGCCCAGATGACCCTTTCTGCCTGTATACCAGTGGTCGCTTTCCAGTACTCGATGACATATGGTTCTTCTACGAATCGGAGGGTTGCTTGATATTATGCTGACCATGATTTCTCTCAACTCCACCACACAACCATTCTTGTTGAATTAGTGATAACATTGTTTTCCCCGCTTATCGTCCTAGCGCGCCCTTGCCTAACTGGCCAAGACTCTTGGGCTGTCATTCCAACTTGAATTGCTTTTGCTTTTTATCTCATGACCAGTATTTATGGAGGGCCCCCTTGGAATCCCACTGTTTAATCTAATTCCTCCCAAACCTCAACTTCCAAAAGAGAATGTCTGAAACAAGCTCGTTGCTCCCCGGGGAGTCTGATGGAGTCGGACGTCGGCCACTGCGAGACCGAATCGTTGATGCATTTCGTTCCACACCTCAAACCGGCCCTGGAGTTTCGACAAACAACAGCCATGAACATTCCACCACCCAGCATGAACAAGCTGGCACTGAAGAAATAGGCGAACCAGACGTGAGAACTCGGCTTCTGGAATCGTACAACCAGGTTGGCCCTGCGTGTGGGGAAAGGCGATGCAGCCATGGCACATTCTCTCCACAGGTAGAAGTTGCGGGAAATTCGTCATACAATGAGGGCTCCGGCGGTAGATTTGGATATAGTGGACATGATGTGGCGGACGGTGCGGCTGGTCGCCCGAGGGGAATCGTAGACCATCCAGAGTCTAGCGCAGATTCAGAGACCCCATCACAGATGAAGTCTTCTTCCACATTTCCAATAGACGGCACAAGAAAACAGTACGGAGTATCCTATTCTCCAACCTGCGAGCATTCCGTAGCCCGTCCCATACCCGGTAACTGACGAGTCGGTGGCAGGTACATATCATATTACGTTCCTCTTTTCAATTGGGTTGGACAATACCAGTGGTCATTTCTTCGTGGAGACCTCATGGCCGCCTTGACCGTGGCGTCCATCTATATTCCGATGGCCCTTTCTCTAGCCTCCAACCTTGCCCATGCGCCCCCCATCAGCGGCCTCTATTCGTTCGTGATCCACCCCATGGTCTATGCGATCCTGGGGAGCTGCCCTCTCCTGGTAGTCGGACCAGAGGCTGCGGGATCCCTCTTGACGGGAGCCATCGTCAAAGCAAGTGTCATTCAAGGGAATTCGGGTGAGGACGATGCTACTGAAACCGCTCTTATTGTGGGAGTAGCTACTGCAATGTCGGGCGGTATGATCCTGATTGCTGGATTGACTCGCCTAGGATTTTTGGACAATGTGCTCAGTCGACCATTCTTGAGAGGATTCATTACTGCCATTGGCTTCGTGATTTTTGTGGACCAGCTCATCCCAGAACTGGGCCTTGCCGAGGTGGCCAAAGAAGCCGGTGTTAGCCATGGCACCAGCGTTGAAAAACTGGTGTTTATCGTCCGAAATGCTCAAAAGTCCCATGGAATCACTGCTATCGTTTCGATTATCAGTTTTACGGTCATCATGGTGTTCAGGTGCGTATCATAATAGGGACAAAAGTGCTATTCTAATCGGCTACAGAACGTTGAAAAAGATGCTCGTGCCGCGTATCCCTCAAGTGATCTTCTTCCCCGATCGCTTCCTGGTTGTTGCTTTGTCGGCGGTGTTGGCTTGGCACTTTGACTGGGAGTCCAAAGGACTTGAAATCCTTGGACCCACGGAGGTTGCAGCCGGAGGACTGTTCTCCTTCACTTGGCCCTTCCAGTTGGCTTATATGAAACACGTGCGCACAGCATTGAGCAAAGCGTTTATCATCGCGCTCCTTGGCTTCTTCGAGTCATCCGTTGCAGCCAAAGGGCTGGGCGAAGGCAATTCCAGTGGAATCAAAGGGATGCATATGAGTGCCAATCGCGAGATGGTTGCCTTGGGTGTTGCTAATGTCATCGGAGGCTGTTTCTCTGCTCTTCCTGCGTTTGGCGGATACGGACGAAGCAAGCTCAGCTCCCAAACAGGAGCACGCTCACCCATGACTAGTGTCTTTATCAGTATCATCACCTTCACCTGTGTGATGGTGTTGTTACCCTATCTCTACTACCTTCCGGTGCGTCCCACTGAAACTCCAACACCATACCCAAATGTTGTTTTCAAATTCCGAGCTTGCTAACAATCCGACAGAAAGCAGTTTTGTGCTCTATGATCTCTGTCGTAGCCTTCACCTTAGTCGAAGAATGCCCGCACGACCTGCTATTCTTCTTCCGCCTGCGTGGCTGGACTGAGCTCGTGCTGATGCTTCTAATTTTCACGGCAACGATCTTCTATTCCCTCGAATTAGGCATGGCAATGGGCATCGGTCTGTCAGTGATTATTTTAATCCGACATGCCACCTCACCTCGCATCCAGATTTTGGGCAAGGTCCTTGGAACAGAAGCGCGCTTCGACAACGCCGAGCATCACCCGGAAAACGTGGAGCTAGTTGAGGGCGCTCTGATCGTCAAGATCCCTGAACCTCTCACATTCGCCAATACTGGTGATCTCAAGAACCGTCTACGACGCCTGGAACTATACGGCTCCAGCCATGCCCACCCTTCTCTGCCACGCATGCGTGCTCCAGAGCATAACAAGAATATTATTTTTGATATCCACGGCGTCACGAGTATCGATGGGTCTGGTACCCAGGTTCTCTCGGAGATTGTGGAGGCGTACGCGAAGCAACACGTCAGAGTGTTTTTCTGCCGCTTGCCGAACAGGGATGTCTTGCGCATGTTTGAACGGAGTGGGATTGTCGAGCAGTGTGGTGGATTGACTCATTTCGTGCCTAGCGTTGATGATGCGCTACGATTGGCTGAATCTGAGAATCAGACGTCGGAGATCTAGTTTCTCCATGTATCTTACTAAAAGTGGGTGGATTTTGTTGTTATATGCGTTGGAGCTTCTTTTCGGGAACATATTACATTTCGGTCAGTTGAAAACAATCAAAATAGTTGCACTGAGTGACTTGGCGTCACAAGGCAACACACGAAACAAAACGTTCATTTCGTAGCGAGTAAATTTGTTTTTAAACCTCATGGGAACTAATGTATATCGCCGTGCTTTGCACGCCCATGTGTTCTGCGCGCATACTTGGCGACCACGACTAGTTTCCTTGCCATAGCTGCATCAGACAGCACCACTGCAATAGTGGTCCGGATCATAGTAGTTGATAGTCGAAAATCGACTGCCCAACTTGCACTTGCTCGCGGAGTCGCGCAACAAGCTCACTAGCGGCAAGCGGGCTGAATGGCCTGGAGCGAAGTAATGACCTCATGGATTTGGCGGGCATTATTGGTCAATTTACACGGCAAAGCGGTTGCTCATCCCGCGCCCTGAGATATTGTAGAATGTCCCGGTTCATACTGGCACAGTAAATTACCCAGAGCTTCATGTAGCGGGATTATCTCCGAGAGCAGCTTTCCGGATCAACGACCGGAGAAGCAGTTCCCCAGCCTCGAAGGCAAGTTTGCCTTTGTCTCTTCGGACTTGGCTCGCCGACTCCTCATCCATATCACGATCAGCAGCCACAACCAGCTTCACACGTCCTTCACTGCCCAAAACGAATGCAGAACAGGCAACCTTTGACAGTCGTACATGCTGCTTAGCGGTCTGATTCGAGGACGAACCGTCAAGATCTAGCTTCATGGCAAGATGTGTCTCCAAGTACGAAGTTAGGTTCGCAATCAAAGGGCTCTGCAGTTTGCGCTGGAGAGTGCGTGACTTTGGCGCCGACTGGCCTGACTGATCGCGAAGGAATCCCGAAAGTGAGGCACGCGCCACACTGACATTCAGAGACCTGAGGGCTGGTGCAATCGAGGGCGAAAAGGAGAGTGTGAGTTGTAACTCCTTGATGACATCTTCAGCTGTGTCATTGTCGCCTGACCCTCCTTGAGTACGCAGAGCATCGACGTATGTATCCAATCCCGCGCAGAGGAAACTCGAAGGAAGTCGGAGGGACGAGTAGTAAGTATCAAAGTTGGTAGCTAAGAAGGCGAGGAATGTTTGCCGTAGCGCGGTTGGGAATCTGGTTAGGAGGAGAGGAACAGATGTGGATCCCGTGCGTTGATTGGGGGAGGATCCTGTATCTGCAAGCAAAGCTGCTTTGTAGGTGATATTCTCATATTCCAGAGTCACTAGGATACCAGGAAATGTGATCTCCTGGGAACTGCTAGTCTCTTCATCGCGTGCGGATGATTGGGGGGAGATTGGCTGCCATAGACAATCTTTGAGGGCGCCTGTTTTGGAGAGCGCATCCTCATCTGTTGCGCCAGTGCTTGTCTGGAGCCCAGCTAGGACATCTCCTGTCAGATGGTCACGAAGACGCGTTGCATATGTTTTTAAGGCGATCTGGTTGTCCAAGAGGGTTTCACAGTCTTTCCCGTGATGGAGAGGGGAAAGACGGTAGACAGTCCAAGAAGTATTGAACAACTGTCGTGGACCCGCTTGTTCCATGGCAGCCAATTTATGATTTAGACAGCGATGACCTTGACTGTTACTGTTTTTATGGCGAATTCTAAGTATGTCGTCGAGGAAATTGATACTGGCGATGTACACAGCGACGCGTGCCGGTTGCAAACAAAGCAAACATCTCACAACCAGGGCAATGGAATTGCCTCGAGAACAGTTGCTATGACTTTTCTTTGATTTTGAAAAGAGAATCGAATATATTATAATCCGGAAGTGAAATATATTGGCTCAAATTTTATTATATCCCAACTCCAGTATAGCCCCCGATATAAGAATCTAGACCCAGACGCCGCCAACAGCTAACAGCTTTGCTATGCCTGCCATCCTCTTGTGCGGTGGCAATCCGGGCATCCAAAAAGAATCGGAATGTCATTCCAGCCCTGGACATGCTCGACATCGTGCGGTATTGCCTGACGGGCTTTCAACTCAGCCTCGGCAGAAGCAAACCATATATCTTGGACAGAACTGTGCAAGTTCTGCGCCGTTGCGCGTGCAAAGACAACCGAGTTCATGTGGTCCTTTTCATACTTCGTCATGTCGTTATAGAAATTATACATAAAGTCTTTGCGTTGTGTTCTTTGGCTCCCACCGTCCCCAATTTCAGCCGAGAAAAACTCGACAATTCGCACAAAGGGTGAGAGAGTTAGCAATGAGCTGATCCATGAGTCATCCAACTCAGTTTGGCCCTCCGGAGACATGGCGTAGTGTATGTATGACACAAGCAAGTGCATACAATGGTGTGTTGCAACCAATGTCGCAGTGTTGGTGAAGGGAGGGCTCTGCAGAATCCGGGTTTGTAGCTCAAGATACATTTTCTGGCGTACATCGAGTGGCAGGGGTACCGGCAGGTGGCCCGCTTCGTATTTTTGGACGAGCTCATTCGTATGTTCTCGTCGAGCGGACGCGTATGATTCGAGGAAATAGAGGGTGTAGTACCTGATAGAGAAGATATCAGTGATTTGTTGAACCAACGCGATTGTACTGGATTCTTACATGAGTGGCGCAAGATGGAACCATATCTTAATTATGCCACATTTGATAAGTTTGTTCCGCTCGGGTCGCTTTACAGGCAACGAGGCCGGTTCAGTTTGAGTGAAGCGATCGAGAATCCGATCCGCTAGGTAGTAGCGGAGCTTTGAGCAGAGCAATTGTCTCCGTCGTAGGCCATGCAAGTACTTGAAGGTATAGAGGTGGCCGCCCCTGGCACTTTTGGAGGGTGGAAAGAGGTCCGACAACAGCACGACATCGTCTGCCGGGTTTCGAGTATAGATACGGTCGTTATCGATCGGGGAAGGAAGAGTGCCGTGGCGACGCAAGCGGAGATATTGTCGGACAATTTCATGCTCATTCGAGGTGAGTAATTTATAGAAAGCTTTGCAGACAAGTCTCAGCGGAAGAAAGTCAGTGATGCCGGAATATGCAAATATCCGGATTTGAATCTCGACGGGGAGGTCCCACGGGGACGAAGGTGGGAGGTCTGCATGGTCCACTCTAATGGAGAGTCAGCTTCGCGGTTTGACCAGCTGTCGCATCCAAGAGCTCACCTTAGAGACGATCGCACACCCTTGGCACCCGCCTTCCTCCTATTGTGGATCGCGGCCCGGACTTTCTGAACAGAGATGGCGAATTTGGCAAAGCCAGACATTCTTGAGCCCTGGAAAACATGGATTGACAGGCTTCCAACGAGAAGCGCACCGCGCAATAGCTCGTCAAAAACAAACAGGTTGTTTGAAGGGGCTAAGGTTTAAAATAGCATATGACTAAGCCTCTCGATGGGCCCTTCTGAGACATCGCATATCGGGCTCTTCGTACGGATCACAAAGTGGCTATATCGAGATAAGGAAATCCCGGGAGATACATTTAAAGCTAGAGCCCAGATTAGATGCCGATGTCTCAGTCTCATGAGACACATCGCCCTTGTGTTTGGTGTTCGCTATAAACCGAAGTACACACTCCGTACATGTACTTACATTATGTATGTTATGTACATTGTGTAGGTAGGTACTTAGACTGCCAAGATGAATTATCTAGCCAAGTATAAAGCATACATCATAGCCAAGTCATAGTCGAACATGGATATGAAACAACATTTGAAGATTTATATCTCTATCTCTACAAGTATGTTGTACATCTTTGTACTTGGGCTCTGTGAGCTAGTGCTGTCGAGGCCTGCAGAGAAATGACGTCATTTATGTTCCGCCAATGGCGTGATAAATGCACCCGTGAAGAGTGTAACTGACTGATTCGACTTCCTACCAACACAGATTCCCCTGTGAACGACTACATAGCCAGGATCATACCAAGCTGGGTCTATTCAGTTGATATTTGATCAAGATGACCAACAATATCCTCATCCTAGGTGCCACTCGAGGACTGGGTGCCTCACTTCGGACACTGTACTCTGGCAAAGCATCTACCAATGTGTTTGCAACATCACGTTCTTCCAACCCAGAACCAAGCCAAAGAGTTACCTGGATCACAGGCATTGATATCGCTCAACCAGACGTGGGTCAAAAGCTTGTCTCGCAGCTTTCATCTACAAAGATCTCGACTGCCATCATCAGTGCGGGGTACTTTGGCTTTGAGACATTCGATTCTCCCGACTGGGAGAAGCAGGTCCAGATGTATACCACATCTGCTATAGGCCCTGTCTTTGTGGTGCAAAGCCTTGTAAAAGCGGGCTTGCTGGACCACGGAAGCAAAGTTATCCTCGTCAGTAGCGAAAGTGGTAGCATCACGTTGCGCCACGAGAAAGAAGGCGGAGGCAACTTTGGCCACCATGCCAGTAAGGCTGCGCTCAACATGGTCGGGAAGCTTTTGAGTCTGGACTTGAAGGAAAAGGGGATTGCAGTTGGTCTGGTGCATCCTGGCTTTATGCGAACAGAGATGACGAAGAGTGTTGGATTCGATAAGTACTGGGATGCAGGTGGAGGTGAGTCATTCTCTATCTGAACAGGCTTGCTATGCCAGACCAGTGGGAGCATGTTAAAGCTGACCCGATCCTATACGGGAAATAGCCATCACGCCGGATGAAGCAGCGCAAAGGCTTGCATCTTTCATTGAAGAGTTTGATATCAGTAAAACTGGAGAGTTCTGGGCACCAGGAGGGCCAGGGTAAGATTTTTTGGTCTCCTGCCAGAACGCAAGCTAACGTGTCTATCACAGAGATATTGGCACCGCAGAGGATGTTCTTGGGAAGAACCTGTCAACTCCCTTGCAGCTTCCATGGTAGTAAGTACACTGATGAGCGAAAAGAGACTGACGACAGACAAAGTCTGTCCTTTTAATTAGAAACAAAATACAAAAGTTCACGGCCAAGAGTAGTCGCTTCACTCTAATGATTAATGCTTAAGGTCTCGCACACATGAATACCAAATCCCTTCCCATGTCTTTTCGCTCCTCGCGCCCAACAACCTCCACACCAAACACATCCGCGTAGAACTTTTGTGTACGCTCGTCGTCGGTAAGCAGCATAATGCGACGTAGATACGGCATGTTCTTTTTCGAAAAGGTCTCCGCAATACAAGCCACAAGCCACTTTCCAAGTCCATGGCCTTGGTATTCTGGTAGCACATAGGTATCCGACAAATACGCAAATGAGCAACCATCTGTGACCACACGAACAAGACCAATCTGCTCAGTATTCTCGGTGGACGGAGTGGTAGATCCGTTCGCAGCCTCTGCGGGTTGGGTCCACCTGTACACGCCGAAGCTCAAGGAGCCGTGGAGCATCTGCCATAGAACATCCTCTGGAAAGGGTTCCTTGATCCAGTAAACAAAGTCGCTATTGAATGCGTCATTGACTGCTTTGACAGAGAGTAACTTTGGCTCAGTTGAGATGAAAAATTCACTGTTGTCTCGTGTCCACGTTTTTGGTGGCAGTCCACTGGTTGGTGGGGCAGAGGACATGACGGACGCGAGAATATTGGGACGATTGCTTGTGTTTGAGAGTATATGCACTTGGACTCCAAAGATCGGAATATTGATCAGAAATACAGTTGACTCATAGGGGGAATAATTATAGTCAGAGCTGCCTTGAGGACCTCGGGCGATGATCAAGCCTTACTAATGACTCAATCTAGCCCTGCGGACTCCCTAGGACACCTATAGCTTTCTACGGGGTTCTATTGTATTTTCACTTCCCATAAGCATCTATTGATACAATACCTAGTGGCTCTAGCATTACGCTTCGGTACTTGGGTATCGACAGCGATACCATAGTTTCAAGCGCCGTTGCTGTATCTTGTGGATTTTCCCTTTTTAGCCTACTGTCGATTTTTCACTGCCTGTCTTGCACCGCAGCTATATCAATGGGATTCAACGACTGATAGCCATAGCTGCAGCAATACCCGGCGCTAAATAGGGAAATTTCGTAGATCCGACTGGGAGGTACCTTGGCACTATACCTACGTGTAGATACTTCGATGGGACCTCAGGAGAGACATCTATTTTTGAGGTAGACCATAACGAGACCATAGTGCGAGAAAGAAAAAAAAGCCATAGAGGGGGGATGTTGCTCTGTTTGATGCTCAGTTTCATTACGCCGCTTGAGGATCTTCCATGTTGAGGGGACATGATGATTGAGCGGTATAGTATCGCCGGAATTGAAGCCTTTGAAGAATCAGCTGTGCAGAGTTGACGGGATGATAGCTAATAATCATTGGCCGAATAAAAATGGTTATGCCTAGGTGATCTTCAGTGGAAAAGACGGAGAGTGTCATGGATGTGCCCGCTGTAGATGCCGGCCTTCTTAACCAGGGGACCGCATCCATAACGGGACGCGGCAGCAAACTTCACGCCGTAGCTTTCGCTTTAAATTGATGGGGCCAATGCATCCTCTTTCATCTTGTTGACATTCATCTTTTCTTTCCACTGCCCAATTGATACACCTTTGAGCTATCCAATACCAACACAGGCGACCTCGGACGCAACGGCGATGGCAAAAGCAAATATTGGAAGGAAGATCACCTCTGCAAAATCTACGACCGTGGTAGATGGCCGAACAACCGCAGAACCAAATGATCGTACCCACCCCAAGACGTCCCCGGGCATGAATACCCGGATGAATGCAATTGAAACGTTGTTCCATGAGCTCACATTGGACAACCAAAAGCTCAGAGAAGAGAATAAGAAGCTCAAGACGAACACATAGAGGCTCAGATCGGAAACCAGGGAAGCTCAGCTAAGAAAGACAACAGCTGGAGGGTTATTTGAGACAGTCTCTGAGGCATTCATGTGTCATGGGTACAGAGTCCATGGGGCGAAGGAGCAACGCTATGATAGACCCAAAGCAAAGGGTATGTGGCAATGGATATATAAGCCTCTGTTTTTATGACGTTGTTTGACGCCCTCGCTCTTTGATCTTGCTATTCAATTTTGCTGAGTCCGCGAAGAAATTGTTGCTATTCAAACAATGAAATGTGTTTTGGTTTGCTAAACTGAAGCTGGATACATATATCCTGTTTATTAAAAGGATAATAAATAGAAATCCATCTGTGAATAATTATTTACACTTTCTTTCCATATTGTTCATAGCTGATTGATATCTCGTCTGTCCTTTCAATGACTGCTGCACCCTGAAGAATATCTTCATCGCTGGTATTGCCTGCACTATTCTTGGTGACGATTGTTTGGCAGGTAGTGTTACACCGCTCGTCGGCCGAAGACTCAAGGCCGGGATTCGAAAATTTATCCCATTGTCTACCACTGCCATATATTGGCAGCTTGTAGGGGGTGTTGCCAGTAGAACTGCTCTGGCTATCCCCACCGTGCCTAAGGCGGACGTAAAGTGGACGCAGGACGGGGATTGAAGAGCACATTATTGTGACGCAGCTTTCGGTGGCAGACCAAATAAGCATTGGTACCGTATCATCTAGAGGCAGGTCAGATCTACCATGGGAAAACGGTCGTGAGACGTACGTATATACTCAGATGCATTCAGTCCTCCCAGAGCTTTGGTCCTGATGATACCACATATTCCAGCACTAGAGTATGTCCGTCAGATGACTTCCACGAGGGGTGAATTACAGCAATTCCAAAACTCACAATACTCCAAGACTGAGGCCACAAGTGACGGTGATCTTCTCCTTTCGCTTCATGTTGAGATCCCAGACCACGAACCAAGGCAGAATTGCAAATGAGAAGTCTGCAGCGACGAACCATGCTAAAAAGCAAGACAGATTAGCTTACATGGGTCCAGTACTGAGGTAACATACTGAAGTACTCACATCCAATAGTATAGGCAACCTTGGAAAAGTCGAGCCAACAACGGCCCGGTACAGATGGATTCCATGATCTTTCGACTGGGATACACTGCACTATGACGGTAATGCTGGCAAAAAGCGTAATGAACGCAGTAATTGCCAGACAAGCCCAGATAAACCCAATCTGGATCTTATTCCGCACGATTCGAAGCAGGAAAACGCCAACGGCCGCTTTACCCACCCCAATGACCATAATTCCAGCTATCTGGCTGAACAGTTCATATTTGACAGCGGTGAAATAGATGATTGGATCACCAACATCAGCATAGAGCTGGCCTAGGCCGTATACACTTGCTACCGTCACGAAGGCAGTGTAGAGAATTTGCAGAGCCTGCAAAACGTCAGAGATTGTACAATGAAAGCGGCATGAAATTCTTTTTTCTTTTTGCTCTTACCAACGCAATCAAGACTAGATAATCGTCAAACCCAACGGAGTCCAAAATGTATTTTCGCGTATAGAGCCTGAGCCCTACAAAGAGAGCGAAGACAATAACCTCTATCCAAAGGACTGCGTTGGTCATGGGACCTAAGCCTCCGTAGTGACCCATATTGAAGATGATTGCAGCAGTGATGGTGGATTTCAAACTGGCAGATGGCAATATTCCATATGACCTCAAACAACAAGATGCGGCCCTTGAGATATTAGTATAGAACGATCATCGGTTAGTGTATGCTTAGTACAGGGTATGGGGTACATCATTGAGATACATCAGCTCCCCCTTTTCTATTCGCAAAATATTTCCTGCCAATAACTTACCTATCTTGACGGTAACTCGATAATTGCATACCAAGCCTGTTAGTTCGACTTCGATGGAGGATCAATACTAGACTGGCCGTTACGGCACTCCGTGCGGATAAGTGACCCGAGGATCTTCACTCGGAACAGCTAACGAGAAATCCACGCGTAGCTCATACAACGTACCAAGGAGTGTTAGCTTGCACGCCACAGACCCACATGGCTTTAACATGCTACTCTGTACTCCGTAGAGCATAACAGATTATGATTGCGCCGATGAGCCTGCGGGCTATCCAAGAGAGAGCGTGTACTCCGTACAGGGGTTATGGCATGGATGCTATTGTGCAGAACGACGGCCTACAGAAGTCTCCCGGGGCATGGAACTGCGCAATGCCGGCAGTTGGTAGGTGTGCCTCCGAGGGCTACAGCAGTCTCGCCCCCATCCAGCGATCTTTTCTTTATGTGATTAGTCGAGTAGGAATGTCTCCATGAAATTGTAAGCTATCGCCGATCTACTACGTAATGGCACGGCATACCAATTGATCCTTGCCTGTGGAGAAGATGAGCTCCTGATACACAATTCAATTCGCTCATCGGCTATTGGACAATGCGCTAGAAACTACATAACAATGGGGAAAGGAGAGCCCCCTAAAGGCTATGTGCCGGGCTTTAGCAGATTGTTAGGAGGCGAGCTCCACATTTGTACTCCGTACAGTAGTTTGAATTCTTAGTCTGGCTGGGACTGTCTTACATTGGCCCATGGAGTACGGAGTATATTATCCTATAAGCATAAGTACCCCTGTCCTCTTAAAATTCAAGACAGAATTAGAATTACAACATGACATCTCTAACAGAAGTGAGTGATGCCTTTGAGGCAACCAAGCCTACGTGGTTGGACGTGAAAGTGAGGGAGCATATGCTGCCAAGTTGTGATGCAGCAGATTCACTGGCGTTTGAGACCGACCGATTGATCGCCTCGCTTGACTCAGTTGACCCTGAAGCGTTTGGCGGCGATGAAGTTCATCGCCTTAAGGTACGCGCAGCTGCACGTTGACCGCTTGCACGAGTAGAGACACCATATGAACGTGGCTGGGGCTTCTGTTTCGAGCAACCTATTGTCTTTGCAGCTCTTCAAACATGCATCGACATGAGTCTTTGGAAATCCTGGACTGCCGTAGGTGGTGAAAAGTCTATCGACGAGCTCGTCGGATTCACCACTCCCCCCGTCGATACAAATCTGCTGCGTAAGTCTCGGCTTCTACTTTTGGTTATTGGCAAGCTAATGAGCAGAACATACAGGCCGATTGTTCCGTTTGCAATCTGCTTTCAACGTGGTGGAGACAGCGGAAGACCGATTCAAACCAACTCCGTTCTCCATCGCTATCGGCGACGAGAGCACCAAGATCCGCGCCTCGCTTCAAGCAGCGTGAGTATATCTTCAGTCATTACTTCATATGTTCACCAACGTTCGTGCGTTTTCCATAGAACAAATCAATACATCGCTGCCGATCATAATCTCCCGAAATATTTAGCAAAGATGTCTTACAAAGAGCCTACGCAAGTCGAAGTGAACAACCACTCAGATAGTAATCCAGAGAATCTCAACTTCTTTGGGCGATTGCAGAAAAGCCCCGCTTGCTATGAAGCTTTCACGGGCCACATGGAGGCCTGGACAGCATGGAAGACTCGGTGGACTAAAGTCATCGATACAACAAAGTTGCTGGAGGGCGCGAAATTAGACAATGGTTCACCGTTTGTGGTTGATGTCGGTGGAAACACTAGTATCGATATTTCTCATGTCCTCGCTCAGCATCCGGATCTCCCTGCCGGGTCCTTGGTTTTGCAGGATCTTCCAGAAGTGATTGCCAAGGCCCAGGTCAATGAGAAGATCACTGCTATGGCTCATGACTTCTTCCTACCTCAATCGGTGAAAGGTGACCAGCTCTGACCAAGGAATTTGGGTTTAACTTCTAATATCCTAGTCACAGGGAGTCGCGCTTACTTTATGCACGCGGTTCTTCACGATTGGCCAAACGACAAGGCCAAAAAACTGCTTGTGAACACTAAGGAGGCAATGGTTAAGGGCTACTCCAGGTGTTTTATCTATGACATTGTTCTTCCCTCCACAGGGGTGAGCATCAGTCAGTCTACAATGGATGTGCAGATGATGTCGCCGTTGTCGGCTTCCGAACGTACTCAGACCGCATGAACAGAGTTATTGGCGGATGCTGGTTTGCAAGTCGTCAAATTCTGGCCTGACCATCAACAATATGAGATGGTAATCGAGGCCGAAATTCCATAGATTTGGTTTCCAGGGTTGGTCCTGGAGAGATCGAGGACTGTCGGGTTTATGCAACGTCTACCTCATGTTGGGAAACTTCACTGTGCATTGTTCTTCATTTATTTTCTCATTTTGATTCAGAATCAACGCACAAGTATATATAATTGAACATTGGAAGATGCGTTGAAGTGAAATTTTTGACTCCAAAATCCTTGCCAGGCATGTCCTCGGTATATCTATCGCTACCCTCCGTTATGCCCTATGCACAAAGAGCTTGAATCGGCCGAGACAGCAAATGGCGCCATTGAAAATCCATTCGACCCCAACTACTCCGTATCTCGCAGCTACCTAGCTATCTCGCCGCGACTCCGACCCCGCGATGGCGTGGGGAGTGGAGAGAATGGTGAGAACCCCGGCACGTCATCACTGACGGCGATGGTGTTAGCGACGGCAAATCAGTCTCCCGAACATCGCAACCTGGGCGCATATTCGACCCCAACGCTTCAATCCAAGCTGATCGGACTCAAGGATCAGAGTTGTAATTCGCATTAAGTGGCGTGTGAAATGGTCTCCATGGCGTGCAATCAAGCGAGGGGTCAAGTCGGCTACAAGAATGCCGGCCCATCCAGCCCAGTGTGACCGCGGTGGATATTTTTATGCTGTATTTTTCTTCGTGAATCTGAGCAAGAAACAAAATCAGCGATCGCCATGACTCTTGTACAGTCCCCTGTGGCTCTTCCCTCGCTCTCATATGTCGGACCTACCTCGGAATCAATCAAGGGCCCTTCCGACTTGAATGGAGGAACTACTGTGACCGTGGATAGCGATATCCATGAATCATCATCAGAAAAGGCCGAGAAGCTTCAGTTCGAACTAGAGGAGCACCCAGTGGATGTGGTGCGACCCATCAAGGTGGGTATCATCGGTGCGGGTCTTTCGGGGATCACTGCAGGCGTGTTGCTTCCAGCAAAATTACCAGGACTGGATCTTCGCATATACGATAAGAATGCCGATGTGGTATGTTTCTGTGCACTCACAGCTTTTTGTTTTTGGGCTAACCGCATTTTGTAGGGAGGCACATGGTTCGAGAATACATATCCCGGTGTTCGATGCGATATCCCCGCGCACGTATATCAATCCAGCATCTCGCCAAACACGCAATGGACAGAAGAATTTGCTCAAGGCGCTGAGATTAGAGAGTACTGGCAGGGCGTTGCGCGGAAGCACAATGTGTACCAGTACCTTCGCCCCGGGCAAAAAGTACAGAAGGCCGAATGGCAGCCTGAGAAAGGGAAATGGAAAGTCACAGTGGAGCATGTGGATGGTTCAAAGGTAAGAGATAACTGGAATCAACCCTTGAGGTTACCTTACTCACATCAATACAACAGGTCTATGAAGAAGAGTTGGATGTGGTGATCAACGCCATCGGCCATTTCAATGCCTGGAAATTACCCGACTACGAAGGAATCGATAATTATAAGGGAAGCCTGTTTCACTCTTCCAACTGGGACCAAGGCATCGATCTGAAAGGCAAAAGAATTGCCCTTATCGGCAACGGCGCTTCTGGTTTGCAGGTCTTGCCCTCAATCCAACCGTTTGCTAGCCACGTCGATCATTACGCTCGGAATCCAACTTGGATTGCGGATTCTTTCAGCAGCGGCAATGTGGGAGTTCGTCGATTGGAGCCAAATCTGTTCTCTGAGACCCAGCTTGATACATGGAAAGATCCCAATGCGTATCTGGAGTACCGGAGGGATGTCGAGAAGGGATATTTCCAACGCTTTGGAGCTATCTTCAAAGGCACACCTGAGAATCAAGCACTGCGTGAGAAATGGACCGAACTGATGCTGAAGCGCATCGCAGGCAAGCCTGAGTTGGGAGAAAAAATCATACCAGACTTCCCTCCCAACTGCCGTCGCCCAACGCCAGGGCCAGGATATCTGGAGGCATTGGCCAAAGATAACGTCGACTACATTCAGACGCGCATCAAGCGATTCACCGAGAAAGGCATTGTGACCGAGGATGGTGTGGAGCGAGAAGTCGATATCACCATCTGCGCAACAGGAGCCAACGTTGATCATGCACCTCCCTTCTCCATCATCGCCGATGGAATCGATCTGAAGACAGCCTGGAAGAAAGATGGCAAATTCGGATTCCCTTACTCATATTTGGGCTTCGCCACCCCTGGGTTCCCCAATCTCCTCTGGCTTGGCGGTCCTTACTCCTCTGGCCACAGCGGGACTGTTCCCAACAACGTCGAGAACCAAGTCACATACATCGCCAAAGTGCTGCGCAAGATTCGAACTCAGGGAATCAAATCTATCGTTCCGGCGAAACAAGCGACCGATGATTTCGTCGAGTACTGCGACCAGTTCTATCCACGCACTGTCTGGTCGGCGAACTGTAGTTCGTGGTATAATGGTGGCCAGCCCGGCTCTCGCATTCATGGTCTCTTCCCTGGCAGTGCATCGCATTCGAACTATATTCGCAGAGATCCTCGTTGGGAGGACTGGGAGTATACCTATGTGAACCAGAGTGGCAATCGGTTTGCATACTTTGGTAATGGGTGGACTCAGAAAGAATTGACCCCTGAGGCTGAATTGACACCCCATTTGAGATTGCCTGAAGATATTGATTTAAAGTCTCATATGGAGGGATGGTGGGATGTTTGAATGGATGAAGGGAGGCCATGGGCCATTTCGGTACAACATCCCAATTTGTCAATTTGTCACGAACTAGAGTATTCAAATAGATAGTATATTAACATTAAGATTTCTTATATCTTCTTTCAATTGTCTATCCTCCGAGAACACATCTTTACATAATCCCATAGCTTAGCACGTCCCTATACCCTATGGGAGGTCAGAGGAACACGGGCTTCGCCCATGTTCCAACGGTCGTTAAACAATACTACCTCTACTACAGGTACTACTATCCTCCAAGAACATCCATCTCGATCTCCCTAATCACTACAAAATTGCACAAGCCAATGACAATTCCTCTAGACTAGAGTGTCTTTGGAGATATAACTAATTAATTAGGAATTTGTTTAATCTGAATGTTCCTGGGATGGAAAATGGTCTTGAAAGCCAACTGAATTTCTATGTCACTAGCAGCAAGAGACGTACTGCTAGATCTCTATTTACAAAAGACATGTATGTATGCTGGAACAGAGTCTACTTCGACTCTTCCAACGCGTAAGGAGGCACCTCCTGTCCCTCCTTCCAGAAGTATTTGGCACCAGGGTGCGCATCAGGGAGTCTGGACTGACCCTTCTTCCCATACATGTTCTCGCGGAAAGTTCCTCCCTTGACAGCATAGTCTGACCAGAAAAGTCCACGGCGCTGCAACTCTGGCAGCAGCAAATTAATGATATCATCAAAGGTATCGGGGAGACTGGCATAGCTGAGGTTGAATCCATCCACATCGCCGACAGTCACCCACCTCTCCAACTCATCAGCCACCGTCTGCACGCTTCCAATGATCTTGACACCATTACCACCGAGAACCAGATACTCGGCAATGGTCTTTTTATCCCACTTCTGGCCCTCGGTTCCAGGAACCGTGCTCGCCCAGTGGTTTACCATACTCCGCACAGCGGGCAGCTCCACGAACCGGAAGTCCTGGTCATCAGAATAGGTCGACAGATCATACCCAGTCCAGCCACCGAAAAGAGCGAGCGCACCTTCCCGATCGCCGTATGTCTTCAATTCCTCGAACTTAGCCTGTGCGGCCTCGTCTGTCTCGGCGACGATAACCAACGCACCCGCCACAACCTTGATATCTTGCGGGTTTCGTCCGATCTCAGCTGCTTGCTGCCGGATGCTATCGACAGAGGGACGAACAAGCTCGGGCTTCTGGGCATGCAAGAATACAGCCTCGGCATGCTTGGCTGCAAACGCTTTGCCTGCAGTGGATGTGCCAGCCTGCAGGATGAACGGGGTCCGTTGCGGACTCGGCTCACAGAGATGAGGACCAGGCACCTGGAAGTATTTGCCCTTGTGGTTGATCTCACGGACTGCTTGGGGGTCCGCGTATCCCTGTGTCTTGCTCTGGGTGCCCTGCTTCCAGGTCACTGCATCGTCTCTCCAGGATGCCTCCCACAGCTTGTAGGTGACATCGAGGTATTCATCGGCGATGCGATAGCGCTCGTCGTGCTCGACCTGGGTGTCGAGGCCGAAGTTGCGCGCTGCTGAATCCAGGTATGAGGTGACAATATTCCAGCCAATGCGGCCGTTGCTGAGGTGGTCCACTGTGGAGAAGCGTCGGGCCAGGGCGTAGGGTGAATCGTAGGTTGTTGAAGCTGTTACTCCGAAGCCGATGCTCTCGGTAGCTGCTGCCATGGCGGGAATGCTGTATAGGGGGTCGTTGATTGGGAATTGAGCTCCGGAGGGGATCGTAGGATCGAGATTAGAGGGTCCTCTGTACACATCGTAGCCTCCTAGGACATCGGCGAAGAAGATGGCGTGGAATTTGGCATCCTCGAGCTTCTTAGCTAGTGCGATCCAATGCTTGATGCTCTTGTAGTCTGCGCCTTGGTCTGTTGGGTGGCGGAACAGGCCTGGGTTGAGGTGACTCGGCGATTGCATTGCAAACGCGTTGATAATGAGCTGTTTCTTTTCTGAAGACATGATGGAGATGTATGTCTATCGAGGTGATAGGCAGATAATTTCAGAAGGTCGTGAGGTATTTTTCCCCGTCAACAGGAGGGGTAGATCCTATTTATTATCCCTGCATATCTGGTCGAGCTGTCAACCCCACGGCTCATTGCTGCGAGACGTGCGAAAAGACGTGCAGTTGGAGACCGATGGCGTCAGCATCGTTACAATGGCGGGGGGTCAACACAACCACTACCGGGCCAATGTCCGGGATTTGGGGAACTCTGACGACGAGCTGATAGGATAGATAGCCGCCGATGCCTAGGCTGGGAGTTTTTCTCGTGCGAGTGGAGTATGGCGCAACATTGTCCAGGTGTGCCTTTCCACCTGTAACTGTTGATATGGCTTTTGTGCCTGGCCCCTAAGGCATCCATGTGTTTAAAAGACTCGGCTTGTTGCCAGTTCCCAGGTTAGTCTTCCTATCCTACCCTGTATCAAGTCCCCGGTTCTTGCTGGTTTCAGAGAGTCATAGCTTCTTCCTCCTTCCTCCTCTCTTCTCCTCTCTCGCTTCCAGTAGCCTCACCGTCGCCCAGCACTATTTACTATTAGTCATCCTCTTATCGGGCCCCCTGGTAGAGCTAACAGCTCGGTATAACATTAAATGAAAGAGTGTCATCAGGCTGTTGGCTATGTAGTCTTTGAACGGGAGGGCTGGTGATCGCCACACGATAATGCTGTTAACTCGACATGGATAATTTTGGTCAGGAGGGCCAAGATAAGGAATTTACCGGGAAAGGAAAACACCCCCTTTTCAAGGCGAACCTAGCCTCAACTCGGTATATCCCTGTTGATGCGATTCTGGGCTTGGGGTATTTAGGCCTTCTGATTTCGTCTTCAGTTCCTGTTGGATTATCTTGCACTGAATCCTCAAGCGGGTGTGCGGTTTGCTTCAATGTAGAGTATACTTGGTGACCTAGCCTAGGTACAGAGGTGAAATATATATCGTCTGACAAAATCCGAAACTCCACTTGACAAATCATGTACAGGTATCTACTGGCAACCGCGACATGATATAGCAACCTTGCAACTCATGAGCGGGGACGTTTCAGACTTATGGTCTGTTTTTTTTTCTGGTAAAAAAAGAGACTCGGGACTTGATAACCCCCGAGTCTATCAAAGGAGAAAAAAGCAAAAAAGAAATGTGCATCATCCGTGAATCGAACACGGGCCTCGTCGATGGCAACGACGAATTCTACCACTAGACCAATGATGCTAGTTCATGTATTGACCCTTCATATTATGCATGGTAAAGCAAGACAAGCTATTTATCATTGAACCATTGAGCCTCCATTGGACTCCATACTTGGGGATGTTCTCGCGATCCCTATCAAAGCGTCCATCCATACTCCGTACCGATGTTATCTCGGGCCGTATTTGTCAAAAGCCGAGAAGCTCTGCACTGCCTTGAAGAGCATCGAAGATCCGGTCATTCATATTTGCCCTCGAAATTGAGTTGGGCACTGCCTCGCAGTGTTGGCCCCGAAGCCAAGGGGGCCAAGTCGGAAACCGGGGGCCAAACCGATCCTATTGACGTCAGACCAAGACCATTGGTTCTCACAGTTTCAATCTGACGGCGAATCAAACAGATTGCACGTACTCCGTATTCGTTTTCGCTTTCCATTCCAATCTTGGATCTCATGTGATAGGTTAGAGCATGGCCATGGAATCTGCCTCGTTGCCTTGCGCCTCGGGGCCTCAAGAGTCTCTAGAAACATTTGAAACATTTGGAACGCCCTCTCACGTGCCTGTGGTATGTTCGGAACCCGGACTTATGACAGCCCAAGTGTGCCCGAGAATGTACGCCTCGATGCGAAGGGGGAATGGAAGGAATACGAGACTACGTGTAGCTACCTACCTAGTACGGAGTATACGTACATGGAACTAGCGATGCTACCTTCCAAGGTTGTTTCAAGCATGATATTAGATGCAGTACGGGGTACATAGCACGGGGGGCTACTTAGGAACCTGCATGTACCGACTCCGCACAAGTACGTTGCTAGGATCATGTAGCTATACGATGTTGATGTTGATCGGTGCCGGTGTGACCATCCCAACAGTCACGACGGTCCCATCGGCTAGTCGGCAGCCTCTCCGCCAATCTGCAGTGCGCCCGAAAGACTCAGCCCTGGGGAGAGGCTTGGAATTAATCTCTAGGTCCAATCATATCGAATCCTGTACTAATTGCTGCAGATCAAAGAAAGAGCAGGGGTCCACTCCCTTGTGGAGAGGACGAAGCTCCCGTTGTTCACTTTGCATTTAAATCTCGTGATTTCCCCTCTCTTCTTGCCTTTGAGTTATCTCATTCAAACCATCTCACATCTTTAACACTCACTTGTCATATATCACCATGTCTGTAAACGGCGCAAGCACCAGCAAGGCTCCGGCCCAGGACCCTCGAGCACCTCCACCGCTGGTTAAGGTTCAACCAGCTCGGATGAACGATCTGCAGCCCAAGTACGCTGCGCGAATCCAACACGATGATGATAACCCCGATGCGCATGGCTGGTATGCTGGTTTCAGTGAGTTGTGCCAATTTTTCATATGCCTCGCGATTTTCACCCTAACCCATCTCCTCTCATATAGTCCACAGTCTGGGTGAATGTATCGGTTTCTTCGGAGCTATCCCCTGCTGCTTCTGCTGCCCCAACCCCTTCAAGCCTGTCGACCAGGGTGCCGTTGGTTTGATCTCACGATTCGGCCGGTAAGTGGACACCCTTTGATCCATGTCCTCGAACGTCAGGTACTGACATTGATTTTCTAGCTTCGAGCGCTCCGTCGACCCTGGTCTGGTCAAAGTCAACCCGCTCAGTGAACATATCACCACGGTGGATGTGATGATTCAAATCGTTGAGGTGCCTCGTCAGGTCTGCATGACCAAGGATAATGTCACCCTTAACCTGACCTCAGTCATCTACTACGAAGTAGTCTCCCCCCACAGGGCCGCTTTCGGTATCAGCAACGTGAGACAAGCTCTCATTGAACGTACCCAGACCACACTGCGCCATGTGATCGGCGCCCGGGTGTTGCAGGACGTCATCGAGCGCCGCGAGGAGATCGCTCAGTCGACATCGGAGATTATCGAGGAGGTCGCCTCCGGCTGGGGTGTGAAGGTCGAGTCGATGCTCATCAAAGACATCATCTTCAGCAGCGATCTGCAAGATTCACTCTCCATGGCTGCACAGTCTAAGCGTATCGGTGAAAGCAAGGTCATCGCGGCTCGTGCTGAGGTCGAGTCGGCCAAGTTGATGCGACAGGCCGCCGACATTCTGTCTTCCGCCCCCGCTATGCAAATCCGCTACCTTGAGGCAATGCAGGCCATGGCCAAGACTGCCAACAGCAAAGTCATCTTCTTGCCTGCCCCAGGCCAGACTGTGCAGACCCAGCTTAGTGCTGCCGAAAACGCAGGCGAAGGCCCCAGCAAGTACGGCATCACATCCCAAGGGGATGGCGGGCTCCAGCATGCAGTGAATGCCCGAGTTGTGGAAGACATCTAGACATGATCTAGATGCCTACGATGTGCACTTTCCTCTCCACTTTACTTAATTGATTTGGTCTTGCCTGCATGAAGATATGAAATTCCCCCTCGGTTTGTGATTTACCTTGCTTTCTTTCCCCTGGGAAATGCGGATGCAAAGCGTGTGGTTGTTCTTCAACAGCTCGTCTGTGTGCACTACCCGGGGGTTTTAGTTATTTCTGTTTTATGGCTGGATGCGATTGGATCTATGGCGATACCCACCTTCGTTTGCCGCTATTATGGCGATATTAATGTTCCCAGGACTGCTTTGGTGCTAATCACCAAGTCATTATAATGCAAATGTACTCTTTGTCGTTTACTCTCTTCTATCATCCCTAGGTCACCATACAGAGCATAACCCAGGCCAAACAGACGCAAGGATGAACGATAATATACCCCGCAGGACCGAATTGGGAGAAGCTGGATGCAGATCCGGAGTTATCTTTGATTTGACGTTCTGCAGGTGGGCAAGTGGACCCAGTGGAGAGCGCAAGGGGGATGTTTTTGAATTGAGAAGGATTAGCTGAATTGGTTTAGACTACTCCATACTCCGTACGGAGTAGTCAATTACGTCTGCACACCTGCAGCCTTATTTGCTGACATATTCTGTATCTCTTTCCTCCTTCCAAGGTTCTTTGTTTTGGACCCAAGCTCATCGCTGCCTACGTAGGTATGTTATATGTTGTAGGTGCATTATAGGTCCATTTTCTACCTACAATCATGCACCTGCCTAAGGAGGCATGCATGGAGTCGATATCTCAGAACGTGTTCCTGACGTGCGTGGCGCCCGCTGGCTTTCGCCTACAGCCCGAATACGCAGTGGGATCTCGGGGATATGCATTGTCTCGGGAATACGCATTGGAATCTCGGAGTATGCAGGAAATAGAGGCCCGAGACACTAGAACATTAGGGGAAATTGTCATGTACATCCTAGTCGTTTGATGTAGATTCACCACGGACTTCTATCAGGGCAATTGCAAGAAAGATCCTTCTATAATCTGGGATTTAGAGCCCTCGAGCCCACACCTATGCTCATTGTGGCTTGATGGACAAACATCCACAGATTGGAAACAGTGATCTAAATTAGCGTTAGCTCCCAGTGCCGAGGAGCTAGAATAAGTTATAAATCATTCAAACAGATCAGAATAAGCCCCCCTTTAGACGCGGGGGCTGAATTCACAGCATAGATTTTCGCTTTTCTGTCTCTTCTCCTATACCGAGTATCCTGTCTTCCCTAAAGAGCTACCCAGCAGATACTTGAATTATGACGTCCACTACAGCGCATTTGGCTGTAAGGCAAACGTCCGAGTCGGCAGAAACCCTTACCACTCTAGCCATGTCAAGCCTCTTCAATCCTCCTGCCTCATGCTCACAATCCTGGACATGGGAACCACCGGCTGCGAACCTCATCTTGCGTGGCCTCTTGATACAAAACGCCGTCGACAATGACCAGGCTGATACTGGCTGTTTCCCGTCGGGCTACAATCAATTCGGAAGAACTAAGCCATCTGTCATATATAGCCCAGGCTGGTGTCCAGTCGGATATACTGCGGCCAATCTAGTTGTCCACAACCCGGTTACCTCTGCGATATGTTGTCTCTTGTAAGTAGGGGGCGGAAGGACATTGTCTGGGATTTGACACGATTATTGACCTCAGCAATCTAGTGGGTTTAATTATTATACACAAACCAGAACCGACAATGTCATATTCGCTGGATGCACGAGCGGTCTGTCTGCTTCAGAAACTACCATTGTGACAGTTCGCGAAACCACCGGCGAGGCCACTCAGATCGTGGGGCCAATCACCATGTGGGCACAGCCAATTCAAGTTCAACTTCAGGAAAAAGACTCGAGCCTCTTTGTTACCTCCTCTCCAATCACAACAAGCGAAGCAATGACAGGTGCAACACCATCCACAGCAGATCCCAGCAGTCTATCTCTGTCCTCCGCGTCTAAGCCGACACCTACTGTGATCTTCACGGACCCAAGCCCCACAAAAACATCGAACAGCCCGCCGAGAGCAAGCTTTGCCGTAGGCGTAGGGGCCAGTCTTGGCACGGTGTCACTTATTGTCATTGCCGGGCTGGCATTTTGGTTCTATCGACGCCATCAGGCAAAGAAAAAGCTAGGCTTGACAGAAACAGATTAATTGTACCGTACATAGTGCCTCTGGTTTTCTTTGGATCTTTTGTTACAAACCATTGTACGCAAACTTGATGCACAGTTTTCTTTTTATTTCTTTTGATTGCCCGTGTTAGAAAATTTGAATTATACTCCTTTCTCGCGCAGCACTTAATCCTGTCACACTTCTGATTGAGATGAGATAGTGGAAAGGCTGAACTTATTTGTACAATCTGTGCGCATCGTCACTTCCATCGGAGTTCTTGGATACTCATATCACTAGTAATCTGAGATCTGTGCAATGCATTCATTCTAGGCTATTGAGCCCATGTCAGTACATGCCCTCTGCAAGATGGGCTCTAGATTCTGAGCACATGCTACTCATCCGCTGTATATATAGCTCAGCTCCAGAGCTAAAACATTGGATCATTACTTTTGGCTCTAACATTTGCTGATTGCCAATGCTTTTCCCTCTGCTCCATATTTCTCAATGTTCAGGTTGAACTACTCCGATATGCTCAACTGCAGTAGCTCTTCAGCCACAAAAATGAAGAAGGAACACATAATGTGAAAGCATAGCACCTCAAAAAGGACTCTATATGCTGTACTCCGTGAACCTTAGAACCACGCACACTAGACCTAAAAGGCACGCTAAACTCTTCACCACAAAGCACAATATAACAAACCTTGGAGATCGTCACAATGAGCTAATGAGTTCCGATCGAGGTTCTAGCTCAATAGCTAGCTAGCTAGCAAGTTCAAGTCGAATCATTGGCTCAAGTTGACGCCTTGGCATCAACAGCCAGCGCTTCCAGGGCCATTCTCAGGCGTTGAGGGCCGCCACATCGCGCCGCTAGTGCCAACAGCCAATGATTTGACTTGGGGTGTGATGGGATCACTTCAGGCCTGGGTGTGTTGCTTATTGGCTAACGGGGCGAACCAGTCATATTGCCCCAACAGCATCCTTCTGCATTGCTGTCAGCTGTGGTCAGGCAGAAGAAACCATTTTGCCTAAGATATATGTGATTTGAAATGCTTGAAATGCTTGACTTGCCCCTCATTGTCCAGAACAGCCCAACATAAAAAGAATACCATGTCAAACGTGAGGATCAGTTGGTCTTCCTCCTTCAAAGCGATTGTGCCTGAACAAGGGCGCTAGTACATTTTGGGCTCCATTGTTCGATTGCTGCCTGAGAGATCAGGCAGGGTCCCCGCCTGGGCCATCCACATCTTCAATCTCTCTCTTCTTCTTCCCTCATCAACCCTCCGTCTAATCTTCGATTCTTTCTTTTCCTTTCACTTCCCCTCTCTGCATTCCTTCTTTCTCAGCAGCTCTTCTCGTTTTATGGAAAACAACTCAAAAAGCATTTATCATCTTTGCAAATAAGTCCTTCCCGATTAGTTCCGCCCCTGAGGAAAAACGCTCGCGTTTTGGCCGAGACCCGAATCCATTTCGATCCCGCATTTCGGTTGCTTCGAGACACAAGCCATTTCTTTGGCTAGGTTCCTGAACTCGATTTCTTGGTTATTCGCATAGCCTTGGGTTGTTTGGTCGTGACCTTCACCTAGTGTTTCAGCCTTCAAGTCTCCAATATCCGGCATCGCGTCAACTACTCTCACTTTTTTCTTTTCCATTCGACTAGGATTTGCAGAGCATTTCCCCTCGGAAGTTTTATCTATTATTCAGGGTCTTGCTTCACGCGTGACTTTCCCCTAACAATACCCTCTTAATTGCTTTTTTCTCTCTTGCTCTTTCGAAGTGTCTGTCAACCAACCACCAACACTTCTGTTTCCTCGCGATATACTCGAGATTGCGACCTCAAAATCAGCACAGTCCTTGTACAGCTTGGTTCTATTGGCATTTGCCATCTTCGTTGCTAGCCGCTTGCTCGCTTTTGCATTTCTTCACTTGTGATCGGTACGCGTTGTTGCCTGACTATAACTGTGGGATGACACTGACGAGTTTTTGATTGCAGAAAACCCGACTCTCGCGTCTACGTTTTCTTTTTCAGTCGTTGAATATCGATCTTGCAGGCATATTTCGGCGCTTGTCCTTGCATAGACATCATAATTCCTTAATCGCCGGGAAGTGAGTCCAGCTTTGTGGTTGACCCCAAACGCTCACATCGAATCCGGACGTCCAAAGACACGACTTGCTCCGCTTGCATTCTATTGCACATACCTACAACCCGCCTCTCCCAATTGAATATGAGCATGGACGCTGGCGGTCTTGCTCAAATGGCTTACAATTCCTCCTTCAACAATGGCAGTTCCCTGGGTGTGCCGGGTTCTGGCTTCGCTTCGCGCGGCAAAGGCTCGCACATCAAACGTTTGAGTATGCCTCCCCAGGTTGCTACCATCGACGAGTCCCAGGCATCGGCCCCTCTCTCCACTCCGCGTACCAGTCGGTCTCATCTCTTGGCTGGACTACGTACTGCTCCCAAGTCCGCGACAATCCCCTCCGAGCACCAGCAGCGCAATGGAATGGAGGGCGCGCGATTCTCCGGGTATTCGACCCGAGGGACTGACCGGGTCCCGCGAACTGCGACCGGAACTGGATTCCCACAGCAGGCTTACACGAGCAACCACAACTCGAATCGCAACTCGCATCACAACCGCATGATGTACACTATGCCGGAGCAGGTGCTTGCGCCTCCGATGCTTGAAATGGCCGGCGGCGATATTCCCATCGATGAGAACATGTATGCCGAGTTGATGTCAACCAATCTGTTCCTTGCCGCGCAGCAGCAACGCCTGCAGCAGCAGTTGATCAGCGTCACCGCTGCGGCCCAGCAATTCCAAGGTCTCAATCTTGGCATGTCTCTTCCCCAGCAGCAACAGCTTCCTTCGCTTTCCATCCCCGGCATGGGATTCTATCAGCAACAGCTCCAGCAAGGCGTCCAGCCTATTGTGCAGCCGGTTCCTGGCCAACCGGGAATGTTCTGTGTCTACAATCCTCTGACTGGTCAACAAAGCTACATCATGGACAACAACTCCCAGGATGATCGTCAGCAACAGCTCTATCAGGATGTGCAGTCTCATCTTAGTCAACAAGTTCCTCAGTTCCGGGCAGAGATTTCCCCTCCTGCGGAGTCCGCGCACTCTACTATGCAGTTCCCGCAGCCGATCTCTCCTCCGGCTGGCAGCCCCTCCCCGCCGCACGATTCGTCTGTGAATGCTCTTCGCCGAGGTCACCGCAAGAATCCTTCGTTCAACCCGGCTATCAAGACGAGCATTGACACTACAAAGGCCAATGTCGGACCTGGACCTAGGTCTGCTGCCCTGCCACCGACACCGGCCACTGGAACATTTGGACCCGGTCAAGGTCGTGCTGGCGAGCATCCGATGCGTCAACCCCGTGGACCTCCTTCGCTTGAAGATCTCGTGTCCAAGCCCACATCAAAGCACGAAGGCAGCAAGAACTTCGCGACCCGCCAGCGACGTCGTGCCGTTCATAACCTTGTCCGTGCGGGGATCGAGCGTCGTGGTGATACGCGCAGTTTCGGATACCATAGTAGCGGAGGCACCAATACACCTGCAAGTGAAAAGGAGTTTACTTTCTCGGATGGCGATGATGCCACGGTGCGCAGCGGTGGTAGCCTCTCCAGCAAGCCTAGCCTAGGCAGTCTGCGAGCAGTTGCTAACGGCGCCATTGGCTCCGAGAGAAAGGAGAAATCTGGCCGAGACCGCAAGTCCCCGGACAGTCCCTTCAGTATTGCCACCCCGACTAGTGAAGACGGTGGCTATTTTGGTTCGAAGTTTGTTGATGCTCGAGGGGATTATGCTCCCTCGCCTAGTGCCAGTGGCACCTCGTCGCCCTCAGTGGCGGCCGTTGTTGCTGGCCAGGGGCCGGCAGCCCAGGCACCAGAACGGCGCAAGACGCCAATGCTGGTCCTGTCTAGCGCTGAAAAACGCAAGACCCCCTTCATGTAATGCCGAACATCACGCGACAGCGACGTATGACTTTTTGTCTTCTTTTCTTTTTGCCAATTGGGTTGGCTTTTCTGGCTTTCTTGCCTATCAGACCCTTCTTCAAAGGCCTCGATAGTATCTAACCCTCTGCCACTCCTTCTCTCATTATTACTCTATTGCTGGCAATTCATGCCAAGATTATGTTTTCGTGACGAAAGACCTTGATCGGTCCGAAATGACTTATTCTTACTTTCTTTCTTGCTTCGCTCAATTTCTTCCACTATGTTCTATCCTTGTGTTTCCTAGCTTTATCACAGCCCAAGCTGTGCAGACTGGCTTTACTTTCTTGGCTAAGACATGATGAGCTTGAGATTGAAAGGGAGACCTGCTACAGCAATCTTGTCTTCTCTCTTTTTCTCCTCTTGGCTTCTGATGTACATCTGGTTATGTACAGACAGCTCTCCCCGGTGCATTCTCCAAGTCCAGATCACCATGGTGAATACATATCTTGGCAGCAACTGTCTGATTTTCAAGTACCTTTCTTGTATTTGGTTATGTTGATCATACTCCATGAACAGTGTCAGCACATAAGTAGCTCTAAATTCAACAGATTCTTTTATTCAGAACATGCCATTCTGATACATGTGGATCCCCCGAGTATATCGCCGCATTCTTCCCATCCACCCAATGGGAGAAAGTAGAGTTGATTTACACCAGCTGAATTCTTTCAGGTGCATTACCAGGACTGTGGATCATCCGGGCTTTGGAACGTAGCCATTCCCATATAACTTCTGGCGGGAGTCCACTCGATCTCCAGAGTGCCATAGTCTTTTCAAGAAAAGTACTCATAGACACCAATACCACTCCCGCGACATTCATGCCTTGATTCTTACAACTCTTCGCCAGGGTGGTCAGCATGTTACCCGTATTTTTCAGAGTACCTCCTGCAATACTGGCGAGGCTCTCTATTGCCTCCAGATCTTTCTGCAACTGCGTCTTCAAGTTTCGATATTCTTCCCGAATGATTGGGTGAGGATTAGACTCCAGATCGCCGTGGTCATTTATAATATCATTGAGGTCTTGCAGGTGCTTTTTCAAGATTTTTTGCGAGTCCTTGAGTCTTTGTGTCTCTTCTCGCAGCTCCGGGTCGTCGTCACGAAACGTACGCTGTTTCTGTCGAATGTCGGGGATTACGATTTCCCGGAGGAAGTCACGGCGTTCAATCAAGGTATCGCGAGCTTGTCTCAACTTCTCGGTTTCACTGCCGGTAAAGGCATTGGGGCTGCTGACTGCGCCTTTTATGTACCGATCCACAATATCCCCCGGAATTTTGAGAGGAAACCGAGCAACAATATCGGGAGAAATCGAGAGTAACAATTCCCTCGCGCATGTGGCTGCTGCCAGCGCAGCGTATGAATGCCAATCGTCGTTCTTGTGCTCGTCTGCGTAGTCTGAAATTCCCCGGATGGGAAGACAAGGCATGATGTCCATGATTCCGTCGGCTTCCATTTCAAAGCAAAGGATCTTCTCCCTTCTGGCGACCGTATCGCGCATTTGTGCATTCTTCATGACCACGTCATCCGACCCAATAGCCCCTTGGAATACCCTGACCGGCTCTCCATGGCGTCTGCCGCGCGAAGAAAGCTTCTCTGGCAGCTCCGATTGAGCCTGCAGGCAGTCACATACTGACTCTGTATGGGCGAAGCCCGTCTCATAAAGACGGTCCTTGGTCGGTCGAGAAAATTCAGCTCCATGCTCGGCTTCCGAGGCGATACCTTCGATCGACTTGGACAGAAGCAGCCCGTCGGGGGACCAAAAGCGTTGGTCAAAGAATGTGATCACTTCTAAAAGCTCTCTTGGTGGTACTTTGGTCAACCCAGTTCGTTCGAATCCATGCTGGGTCCATTTTCCAGTGTTCCAAGGGATGACCTGAGTTCCGAGAACCACGTCGCCGAGACGAACATCCTCCTTTGGCGAGGGTGCTCCTCCAGCGATTCCTACGATAAGAACAAATCTCATCCTCGGAAAGCTGCTTCGCATGTCGTGCGCGATTTTAGATGCGCGGATTCGACCGTGCCATCCCGATGGAGGGGTATTGATAACAACGTAATGCTCCCCAACTCGACCGTGAATATAGTGGGTTTGATCTCCCTCCCCGCGGGCCAGGGCAACGTTGTCATAGATTTCATCCAGACTTGCTCGTGCCGCTCGATACTCCTTCTGGAGCACGCATATCCAGCCGATCGTGAAATCTATATGCAAAGGAGACCGTTTGAGAGGTGGCGGTGGTTTGGTTTCTGAAGCCATATCTATAGGCTAAACATAAGCAATTGGTTTTGGTGGTCAAACGATTGGTTGAAAGATGTAGGACGTTCGTAAAGAAACAGCTGTCCGCAGGACTCAGGTCGGAGTGGGCGATTAAAATCTAAGAGATGGAAGTGAAGTTCCGCACAGTTTACATACGTTAATGACCTGGCTACACTGGGGGCCAGAATGCCTGTCTATGCATCAATAGCCGATAGCGTCCGGCCATATGGAGATCTGCCTTTCTGTATGTTTGCCCGGGTGCGCAGTAGCTGCGCCTCGCGATATCCGAGGCTTAGTATACTTTTCCCCGTCCTACTTCTCATCCTAATAGGACCAAAGCCCCAGATTTCCTTGGCAGGGGTCAAAGCCACATAAAGCACCCATTTTAATGTCGTTGACTATTTTGGTCGTTCTGGGAGTCAACTTTCTTGATCTTACAGAGCAATCACGCTACGATTGCTCGTCATCTTCTTGCAGTGGGAGGTCATACGTTGGTGACCTAGTATACTGACACTTGGTAAACTTGTGGGTACTAGCATATGAGCGCCTAGGAAGTCCCATCAGACTATATTTACGGAGTACTCCGTACTCTGTCACGAACGAGCTCTTTTCTGACTGCTATTTATAGCTCATTTCTGGGAAATGAGGGGGCCGTAAATTACGCCATAGGTGGCTAGATCGTCTAGTAGAGTACGGAGTACGGAGTATGTAGAGTCATTTTAGAGATGCCTACGGAGTAGGACACTAGAACTTAACTCGTATTCCCATGACCAACCGGAAGGTACTCCGTACTCCGTAGTAAGAGCGATAGTTCATAAAACAAAGCACTGCGAATGGCCTAGTAGATGCCTCAAAATGCCTTATTGGTGCTTTATTTTAAACAGGCAGAAATTGAAATGCTTGAATTAAAATGACATGTGTCTTATCTTGGAAGCAAAGTACCCAAAGTGCCCAAGTCCAATAAAATGAAGCTATTCCCACCATACAAAATATTACGAACCCCCCCCCCCCCCCCCCGACCTGGCAATGAATGCATTTTTATTTGACAATACTCCCTTCTCTTCTCTCTCTCCTCCTTCACCTCTTACCTTAAGGTAAACCTCCGTCCTCCGTCCAGCTCAAGAATGGTCCGAATAGCTTCATTGGTGGTTGTTTGTTGGAGAAAATCGAGTATCTCGGCTTTATAAGGCTCGATATCGATGTAGGCTGGCATTTCTGCGCTACGACGATGCTTGGAGATGACAATAGCTTCGGGGCGATGATAATGATGATAATGATGACGGGAATAGCTTCATTTGCAATACACTGTATAGAGCGGTAAAAAAAAGACGGTCTAGAAACAGGCATAATTACGGCATCAACTAGGCCAAAAAGTCCATTGGGACATTGGCCGTTATTCCCCTTCGCAGGGGCGCACCAAAACGAAATGGAAAAAAGTCATCTCCGGCCGTTAATATTCTGGTATATATGTGGTCTCATGGTTACAAAGCCGGGTTGTATCCTAATTATCATGGAGGGTGGCTCCGAGCTCGGATTAGCTGAAGACATATATTTACGCTTTACACTCTTCTTCTCTTCAAAACGGGATATAAGGACTCGGCTTGTCTCCTGAATTACTTGTGAAGTGATACCATAAGCGTTTGCCGAACTGCCTTGGATGAAGGATGAAATGGGCAAATCATCAAAATGTAAGCAATGTGAGCCCTATATGGCTGGAATTGAAAATTCTAGTTACTTTGTTACTCTCGGACGAAGCCAACAGAGCTTATTCTCCGTCTACACCATTGAGGTATGAATCATTTGTTGGGCTGTAGAATCCAGCCCAATTGTCCCGCATGCGTGTAAAGCGCTCCGTAGCTGTCCGATTACCTGCCAGCATCAGATAGATCTCGGTATTTTCGACGTCGAGCTTGGAATGTAACCATATGTGAATATTCAGGGATATACCTAGGTATCTCTGTAAATTCATAGTTGCTTGCTTGCTTGGCTTTTTTTGGGGGTGGATCTTTTGAGGTCTACATCATATATCGCGAACCATGGTACTACCACGGGCCTTAAAACCTTGGTGCAAACTCTAAGTTAACAGGATGTTTGCTTGCGCATATGAACTTATCGACGTTAATTGATAGATCTTGACAGGAGAAATGATGTTACAAAAACCTCGAAAAAGGGACCTAGCGTAGGTTATCATATACTGGTTGCAATCTCAAGCCGAAGAGGTTTGCCGTAAATAGACCCAAGATATTCTGATAGCTTCTAATTTGAAGTAAAACGAGTTTCCAAATCGACAATGGGTAGGCACTTTTAGATCATGTAATACTCGCTCTTGGACTATACAAGGAGAACCCAACCTGCTTAGTTCGAATCTGTCCTTACCCGAGGATAGAGCAGCCGAACCTCCGTGACACATGCGTCTCACGCAGAAAATATATAGTACCCAAATCAGCTCTGCAGTCCAAGCTTAAGTATTGGTCCCTGCGTCTTTGCAGGTCACACCATCATCTCCGGTACGGCTGGTCGGGGGAGAGCGCCGTGTGACTGAAGAAGAGAGAGAGAGGGTGGCACGGATGGTTGTGCGGTCGCATTGTTGCATGAGAATATGGGATAGGTGTGGAAGAAAGCATATAACTCAGGTTTGTGGGTATGGAAAATATGATATATCAATCCGATCCGGGAAGAGAATAGATCATGCCTGGTATACTTTACGTTCGATAATGGAGATACCGTGGAATAGACTCCCCTGGTGCCAGCTGATCCACTCAACGGCACCAGGAGCTACTTTGGAAAATATCCAATCGAAAGGACCGTGAGATTGCCACACCCGAGAGCGACACTGGGCCCTGTTTTAACCCCCTGACTGCTGACCATGACTAGGACGCATCCAGGACCAGTCAGCAGCCACATCTGCAAGGTTAAATCATCAAAGCTCCCTCAATGTAGGTTTGAGGTAGCAGACCTTGGGCTATTTTCATTGCCTATATAAGAAATATACATCATTTTGTAGCACAATGGCGAGTGACGAATAGATAGTGGACATGTTCGTTGACATCATGAAAGGGGGCATTTCGAGCATTCAAAAGTGCATGTGTGCTTGTTACACTTTTCCGAGGTCACTACACATGGCTCTATAATTGAACGACACACGAACAGAGAAGAAGAGGGAGAAAGAGAGAGGGAAAAGAGATACGCTTCCAGATATTGGTGCGACCTTTTCATCTGTGGTACCCTGTACATTGCCGTGACAGACCAGAAACCTTCAACAGCCCCACTGGGGTTTGAACACCGAGTCAGGTCTCGGAAGTCTGTCGGTGGTCAATCAAAAGTATGGGTACTCACTTACTTCGTAGTGGAGAACATGTCGGAAGGGATGTAGATGGCAATCAAGTCCATAGGATTCCTCCTAAAAGTGTGATGACATCTTCAGGGCTCGACAATTGATGTAGACCTGCAGTACGTAGGTGGAGAATAAGGGAGATTGTGATCTCTACGTAGTTTCTGACTTGATTGATCGAAGTTAGGGAGTACCAGGAAGCATGTGTCTCGCATGACACAACTGTTTCGCCTGTCGGGTGATTCGATTCCCCATGATGTCAAAGAGGCACAAGGGATGACTTGGACTGGTTCACCATCGCATCTCACAGGTCAATATAAGAACAGAAAAGGAAAAAAGCCCTGAAGAGAATACCACGCCTTAGTCAACATGGGAAGACAAATTCACGCTAAAAAGAAGGGTTGCTCCACTGATCTACCTTGACCTTCGATTGTGAAGATCCTTCTTCATCTCCCGTTACCCACACACCCCTTGGGCCTGACGCGGCCATGAGATTCTGTTTTTGACTCTGCGGACTTGTGGGACCTCATGGGCTTGTGAAACCCCTGGTCTCTTTCACAATGAGCTCGGGCCCCTGTCTCTCTCTCTTTTGGGGTGATTTTCTGCACGGCCAACGGTCGAGATCTGATGGGTTGGGAATATACGATCCAGAACGTCAGCTGTGATGAAAATCAAATCCCTTTCTGGTCTGAAAATTGGGTCTTCTTCAAATGATGTGCTAATCTCCCGCGATATACCCGCCAAAGGAGATATCAGATACCTACAATATTCACCATTACAGCTGTCAGTTCCCTGACTCGGCTATTGCTCCACACTTGCAATCGAGATCGCCAGCTGATTGACCATCGTGGCAAACTTGTGAGCTCCTGGCAAGGGTATAGCCGGCTACACGGCAACATCATGGCCCAGGAAAAACCACCCCCCTCAATGCAGTCTCATTGGGCCTCTGACTGTTCTTGATATGGCCCGTGTGCTGCCCAATAAAGTAGAAAAGTCTTTTTTCTTTTTGTTTTATCTCAGTCCTGCCTCTAACCGACAAGACGCTCGTAAATATAGAAAGTCCTGCATCTCCGACTTGGGTCCACTGCCTCTTTTATATTGATTTACCTTGCCTGATCTCTTCCCCCCCCCCCTGCCTCTTCCTCCGAGGTTGCAGATGTCGTTATTTTCCGATATAATAACTGGTATCTAATTATGTATCTGTGACATAATTCTCGTTGCTGGTAGGACTTCCTCCGATCCCAATCCCCCTTCCGGAGAAGCTCTAGAGCTGGCGTGCAGGTTCGTGCTAGTTCTTTTTTTTTTTGGATTTCGCGTCAGTGTCTCTTCCTGCTTTATGTCTCTTCATTGAGCGAGGTAAGCTCATGACGTGTTTGGTTGCCAAAGCTCCTAAAGTCTCCGGGGACAAGAGTGCTCCCCATGTTCTTCAACATAGCTGACCGTTGCCGGGGTACAGTTGATCTCGGGACCAACTGTGCACATGAACTGCACTACCCGCGTTTCTCTCTACAAGCTCGGTTGCCCAAGAGGTCTGTGGGCTCTACTGAGTAACAAAGAAGTAGATGTCATTTCAAGGGAAAGGATTACACCAACATGGCGGGAGGTTATTTTGACCTTCCGATCTCCCGCAGCGGCTCTGATGAAAGATCATCAAGCCTATCGAGGTCGCGTTCCTTTGCATCACCGCGGTCCAGTGATAGCTTTCAAGGACAACCCGTGTCTCAGACGTGGAGACAAAGTGACGCAAGTGCAGAGGAAAAGCATCGGAATGTAGGCATTCTGAAAAGCACGAATCGCACGAAGCTTACGGCTAACGAACTTAAGCCTAGAGAACAGAGTGGGCATACGGTCGAATTCCGACTGGACCAAAGGGGCACCGAGCTGCCGCAAAGACCATTACCCACTGCCAACATTCCTGGCTTCCAGGAAAAGGTCTCCTTAAGCTCCCAGTCGGCAACGCTAGTGGAAGATAATCCCTCTAGCGCATCAGTTGAGGTAGCCGGTCTGACGATCAACACCAGAAATAGCTCTCCGGGCAGTCTAGGGGAGTATCAGCTTGATAAGGGTACGAATGACAAGGGGCAAGCCATCTGTTTCGCACATGCGAGGGCCCAGAAACTCGCATCCCTTCTCAATTATTCACAGAAATCCCCGAGGCAAAATCCACGCTGCAGCCTAGTGTCATCCATTACCCCCACTCCCACTGAAGTGGTGTACCCACTTGAAGATGGGGATGGATTTCCTATAATCAGTTTCTCCGAGAAACAACAACTCTTTGACGACTTAGACGAACATGAAGCGGAATTCCTAGATCAAGAATCAACAAACCGCACATCTGAAGCCCATTATCTAGTGCATCAAATGTCACCTCGTGACCTGAACTTTTTGACTCGCCTTCGTTCTCCTTCTCCCAACTTACAATCTGGCGACCAAGAGACTTTAAGCGAGGAAAGGGACTCATACGAATCCTCTGAGCGACCGACGCATTACCGCAGGGGCATCCTTTCATCGCTACTCAAACTTTACGACCAACCTCACTCTCGCCATAGTCGAGATCGGGGGCGGTATGGCCACTTTCGAAAGAGCAGCTTTTCCGAGTTCAGTGGACGTGGCCTGTCCCCGGACTCTGTTTGGAAACCGCAAAGGAAGTGGTACGATAAATCTTCTGCTCGTTCCAGTATTTCCGTAGCTGGCTCATCCCGGCACTCCGGATCTCCTGCTATGCTCACACGCTCCCGCAGCAGTGGTGCTGCCATTCCGAGTTTGGATAGCCGCTCACGTCCTAAGCGTCAGTTCGAAGATGAACTTCATATCACTGTTCATATTGCCGACCTTCTGGCTCGACAACGGTATTTGATCCGGCTTTGTCGTGCTTTGATGAAGTATGGAGCTCCAACACATCGTTTGGAGGAATATATGCGCATGACAGCTCGTGTCATCCAAATCGATGGCCAATTCTTGTATATACCCGGCTGCATGATCATCTCCTTTGACGATGCCTCTACACACACAACGGAGGTGAAAGTCGTCCGGTCCATTCAAGGTATTGACCTGGGCAAGTTGGCCGACGTGCATGAAATCTATAAAGAGGTGATTCACGATGTCACTGGAGTTGAAGAGGCAATACAGCAGCTCGATGAAGTTATGAAAAAGCCGAGCAAATTCCACACTTTGTTTCTCATCTTTGTCCACGGCTGTGCCAGTGCGTCCGTTGGGCCCTTCGCCTTCAATGCCCGACCGGTTGATATCCCAGTCGCATTTTTGCTGGGGTGCCTCCTCGGCGTGTTGCAACTGATCTTGTCAACCAAATCAAGCTTATACTCAAATGTGTTCGAGATTTCCGCTGCAGTACTGACGTCGTTTCTGGCCCGTGCCTTTGGGAGTATCAAGTTTGAAGGCGAACCTTTGTTCTGCTTTTCTGCTCTCGCACAATCATCCATCGCCCTCATCCTGCCAGGTTATACCGTACTATGTGCTAGTCTGGAGCTTCAGTCACGCAGTATAGTTGCAGGGTCTGTTCGAATGGTCTATGCTATTATATACTCGCTATTCCTCGGGTTTGGCATTACCATCGGGACTGCCGTGTACGGACTCCTCGACTCCCAGGCCACAACAGCGTACACCTGTCCTGCCAGTCCCATCCACAACGAATATCTGCAGCGGTTCCCGTTCGTGATTGTATTCACTGTGTGTCTGGCGATTGTCAACCGTGCCAAGTGGAAGCAAATGCCAATCATGATGCTGATCTCTCTGGCCGGATATGTGACCAACTACTTCAGCGCCAAGCGCCTGTACTCCAATACTCAGGTATCCAATGCCTTGGGCGCGTTTGTCATTGGCGTAATGGGCAATTTCTATAGCCGACTCCGCCATGGAGTTGCCGCTGCAGCAATGCTGCCCGCAATATTTGTCCTTGTTCCGTCTGGCCTTGCAGCTAGTGGTTCTTTAATATCAGGCATCACTTCTGCAGAGGAAATGACTCGGTCTCCAAGTGCGGTCGTCAACAATGGAACACAGGGATTCGTCGATGCGGCAAAAAACCTGTCAACCGACGAGGCGAGAGACCAGAGCTACGGAGTGGCTTTTGATATAGGATATGGAATGGTCCAAGTCGCCATTGGCACGACGGTTGGTCTTTTTCTAGCTGCTTTAGTGGTCTATCCGCTAGGCAAGAAACGAAGCGGTCTCTTTAGCTTCTAAGCTATGGAGCCTCTGACTACATCCATTTATCCCCCCATAAGGGTTAATGGCCTGTTTTTCCGCCTACTTCTGTCTTATTCCTCATATTCGTCATCAAAATGTCTTGGAAGTTTACAAGTGTGAGCCCTATTTTCGATGAATGGATCTTTCTTGGCTTGCTGCATTTATTGACAGTTTCCCGTTTTACGAGCATTGCATATGCAAAGGAAATTGGATTCTTTGCTGCTGCTTCTGCCTCCTCGTCAATCAACCCTATATTGACTCACTATCCCGACCGTCTCCCGTCTCCCATCTCGAGACATATAGAAGCTACGATTCTCACGAGTCATGATCAAACCTACCTCAGCCCTTCTTTTTGTGTGTTTTTCTATGCTCCTGATTCTTCATTCCAGGTGTCATTACTGGATATGGAGGCCGAAGAACAGGACTGTCTTGTCTAGTGATTGTCTTCCCTATATCTACTTGTCCTTGCTTGCTGTTTGTGTGTGTGTATGTGTATCTCAGCGAAATCTCAAAAGAATCTGTTCACGAAGCGGCATTATCATTCATATTCGTATATTGCTGCCAGCAGCGTCTTTTATACTTGATTTGTCTTGGCTGGCTTTACATACTCCGTCACCTCTGAGAGACCTCGGCTCTATCAGCTTGTTATTTTAGCGCGAAATCAATAACATGATTTATTACAATCAAGACAATCAACTCAACTCCTATTGGATACTTAATAGATTCATATGTATGCATGTAAACCCACTGCAAGGGGGACTATGTATGCAGCCGGCTGGCATTAGCCCTAAATCTTGAAATCCTGGGCATCCAACCGGGCCCCGCAGGAGCATCGAGGCGAAAGTCGACCTCTTGATTGTTATTACCTTGACGTCCTTAAACCAACAAATTTGATTTAATCATGGATAGCATGCATTGAGCATCATTTAACTACCTATTTACCCCCCCCCCAATTCAACTTCATGTTCATTCCAGGCTCGCCTGGGCAGATCCAATGCACCTCGTGGAGCATCGGATCTCAGAGAAACGCAAATCCAAACCCCAAACGCCGAGCTTCTCAAATGATTCGAATGCCATGCCATACCGGCCCCGTAAATGCGCCATTTCCCCAGCTCATGATACCAGGCTGGGGTTCGTCAAGATCATCGCTATGAATTCGTTCGTGAACCCCCACAATTAGATCAGGGGGAACAAAATGGGGTGATCACAAAGGGCGCTTCGCCATAAAACAGATTATTGAAAATATACGAAGAAGAGGTCCCTCGGGAAACGAGGTTGGATGGTAGTTTCTATCGTCTTTCGACCCGACTAAGTGCTCCTAGAATGAGACCCAGATCTTCCTTCATTCTCACTGGTGGTGGATTTTCATCACGACTACCTTCGATTGCGAGGCGATTTTGGGTGTTTTGAGCATCGCGCTCTTCCAGACGTTGTGAGCAAATGCGCAGTATTCGGGATGAAACGGTGTCTGCGGAGGTGCGGTATAGCTCGATATCATGCACACCAGCTGCGAAGGCATCGAGCGTCGGTGCTAGCCCAGATGTGATGCGAGATAATTGAGCAGAGACAGCAGATGGAGAAATAGGTGGACGGGTTGTAGATGGGGTGGAGGAATCTCCTTCTGATGGTTGAGTCGGAGGATTGAGAGATTTCAGTATGACTTGTTGAGAGGGGTCTAGGAGAGAGGGATCGATGTCTTCATGTGATGGTTGTTTATGTGAGGATTGTTTAGGCGCGTGTTGGTCGTTGGATTGCGGTTGTGCTTTGAGAGTTGGGATCGCTGGCTGTCGAAGAAGTGCATTCAGGGATTGCCTTTCTTTTTGTAATCTGAGAGTTCATTAGCCCCATGCCCTCGTGACAGCTCTCGGCGGTATACTTACTTCTGTATATGCTCCTCCAACTCCTTGATCTTGTCTGTATTTTGCACGTTTCGCGGGTTCGGCTTCTTGACGACCACAGCTGGAGGGTTCAAATCTTCGCGACTGAACCAGTTGGAAAGATCCGAGTTGCTTGAGAATTCCCGAAGAATTTCTTCTTGAATTACACGAGCTGTAAAATGTCAGACTGAGCTCCCTCTCACAATCTCACACAAGCCAATAATCCCCACTTACCTGCTAAACGCGCACTTTGATCATCGGAATTTGAGCCTCCTGAGGGCTTCTCTCCTATTGCACGAGTCGCACACCAAATCAATAGTTGTCGCATCCTTCGGGGCTCTGGAAGCCCGTCATCGGCGATGTGTTTGTAGAAATCTGCTGTGCCGACCTCTCGGTGGGGTAATGCTAAACAGGAAAGAGAACAAGAATCAGTATTTGGCCTTTACAGCCTGGTCAGACCAAGGAACATACCATTTGATGTCCCTGAATCAATCAAAGAACTGGCCCTTCGTCCTCGCATGCCTAAGCTGCTCCGCCGTCGCCCTCTATCGCCTTTATCACCCTTTCCGCCCCGAAATTCTTTATTGCGCTGGATCACCGGAGTATCAGCGACCGGCAGTGCCACTTTTGTACCTGCTGGTGGTTGGACCGGGGATTTATATGCATTTGACTCCGGCACTGGCAATTGCGACTTAGTCTTTGGTGGTCGTCCTGCTTTCTTCGACTTCTTCATTTCGGGCTGGTGCTCTGGACTGTCGCGTTTCCGTGATGAGCGCATCGTGTTTGTTGTTTGAATTTCTTGTTCTATGTGCGTTGTCTTTGCAGTTCCCCTCGTTGGTCTCCTAGTTGGAAGCTCCACGCTTTTCCCTTGTGCTGGTACCTCACTTGGGGTCGTCTCATTCCCCGTTTGATTTTTCCGTGGTCGTCCTCTCTTCGGTGTTGATTTGGGAGGCGCATTCTCTGGAATCGATTCGATTGATGGCCTGGACTTCTTTGACGGTAGCAGAGAGAATTGAAATCCTTCCGCATCTTCCTCATAGACTACTGAGGACAAAAATTAGAATATCTCCCTTCTTTTCCGGTCGTCGCGCAGCAACTTTCACTCCCGGTAAGGTACTCACCAGCTGGTCGCTTCCCTAGCTTTTTTGTGCTTTCTTCGAGCTCTTGTTTACTTGCGCTGAGTCGCGTTGTCTTCCTTTGCTTGCCCTTTCCGGTTCCTCCGGACACGGTCGCGGAGCGCGATTGTGACTGCGGAGCAGCCATTGTCACCGTCCTCAGTGGTTCGCGACGCTTTGTCTTGGTCGTTGTGGTCGCCAGGACCGTGGTTGTCATGTCAAGAGGGGTTCACGCGGGGCTATTAGGATCGGAGGCGAGCGTAGGGGTAGCGAAATCAACCCCACTGTTCCGATATTGATGCGTCGCTCCGTGATATCTTGTTTTCTAGTCAAATACCCCTGGTTGAAAACGCTTCGTAGAGAGACAAGTGCGCCACCCGTGTGCATACGAATACCGGAAGGTGCTTAATCCCGTTAAGCAATTGAGATAGCTGGACTTGGTATTGACAAACAAGGCAATTCGTAGGTCGTTAGGTATTCGACGTGTATATGGTTGTGGCACAGTTGAGTTGGGATCGGGTCGGTCGGCTTGCGGGCAGAATGTTAGGCGCGGGTCGCGTACCAATTCAGGCCTGCAGCTGTAGAGCAGCCGGTCAAGCGACTTATTTGGTTCAATCGCGAAAAAGACACGCAAGGGAGGACCAGGCGGATCGCGGCGGTGGTGAGTGGTGAGTGGGATTCTCGCACGCGGTTGTTTTGGTCGGGCGCGTGGGGACTGCGCTAGTCTGCTTTGGGACTATTGACCGTTATACTTCTTAACGCTCTTCTTCGCCCGTTCGTCTACTGGTGTACTGGTGTACTCATCCAGAACAAATGAAGCTGTGTGTATGGATGACTGTGTAATTTAATTGTCGCTCATATCTTCAACTATGCTTCCTCTTCAATCACAATGTGCAGATGCTGCTAGATAAAACGCTATCAAGTGTTCACCAGAATATAGATAACCCCCAACACCGATGTTGAAAAACAATATGTTCAATGAGAAAAATAGGACGGGAGTTGAGCCCTGCCCACTCTAGAGGAAAAGAAAGACAGCTCATTTGAGTGTCTTGAGAACGGTAGAGGGGTCACTTGGAGGTGCTAGACTGCCTTCGATGCGTCGCTTGGCGTCTTGCATCTCCTCGGCAGTGATGTTCTCTGCGTTCTTAGGCATGTCAGGTTCATACTGAGGAATGTCCGGGCTATGTCCAACAGACATGCCGACTCGGATCTAAACGAGCAAGATTTGTTAGCATGTAAGCAATGGAACTTGAATAAAATGTGTGGCTCCTACCAAAGTTTCAAGAGCGCCCGTGGAGTTGGTTGCAAGGTCCTTGTCAAAGTTGACCTTGCCATCTTCAAAGAGCACCAGGAGGGTGCTACCGCCGAATTTGAAGTAGCCTAGTTCTTCAGCTCGTGAAACCTTTTCGCCAGCTTTCCGAGTGATGACTGTGCTGCCAACCATCATGGCACCAACGCAGATAACCATGACTCGGCCATGTTCGACGGAGTCAATGGGAATGATGATGCGCACATTCTCGCCGTACACATCTAAAGCGGATCGAATTGCCATGGGGTTCACTGTATAATACTCCCCCTCAATGGTCTTGGGCTCTCCCATAATTCCATCCACAGGGATGTGGAAACGGTGATAATCCTGAGGCGCCAGACGGAACACTCCGAGGGCACCGTTTCGGTATCGGGCGGCATCCTCGGGATAAGCATTGCCTAACAACCGTTCAATTGAGAACTCGCGGCCCTTGACCCAGACGGTGGTTGCATCGCTCATGCGATCAAACACGACGGAGCGACAGTCAGCAGGAGACACGACAATCTTGGGTTCATCGGGAGCGGAGCATGGCCGGGCGTCAGGTTTCAGGGCACGGTAGAAGAATTCGTTGAAATTGCTGAAACTTTCCAAAGGCAGCAGGACTTCAGACATGTCCAGCTGGTGGAAATTGATGAAGTCCTTGATCTGGGATGCTGAGGCTGGGTCGTCATATTTGCGACCCTGCTTGACGCTTAAAGAGCGTAGCACACGGCGAACTGGTAGAAATAGTTAGCAAATATTCTTTTTTTTTAACCATTTTCCATTTCCCAAGCAGATAATTGGCACCAGGGGTTGCATACTTTGCTTCTTTTCCATATCACGACTTTTGATGCCCTTGTATAGGAGACGGATTCCGAGTCGCACATAAACACTCATGCGTTCTTCGTTAATCTGACCCGTGATGCGATCTTGAACAAGAATGTTGGCCGAGTTCGCTCCAAGTTTGTATCCACCGTACGAGATCTTTGTGATGACCTTAGAGTACCACTTGCGCTGTGCCTGACTGGAAGTCACAAAGCCACCCATCACCAAGTTGTCAACCTGGCGCCAGTCGCGACTCGCGCACGTGGCAATATGCGTGATGATATCCGCATCAGAACGTTTGGCAAGGCGTGGCTGATGGCAAAGTGGACACTCGCGAATCTCAATGACGTGTTCCTCGTCCCTTTCGTCTCCGAGATCATCGGGCTGGAGGTACTCATCAGTGGAGCTCGATTGATCCTCACTGGATATGGTTGGGATGGTGGTTCTTTGCGGATCGGCATTGGAGGCAGCGACGGTGTTGGTTTCCAAACTGTGCTCATCGCTGCTTGATGGCTCGCTATCTTGACTTCCAGAGTTCGACAAAGGAGCCAGTGGGCTCTGGGGTATCATTGAATTCCGCTTCTGCAGGGTTTGAAGAGTGTCCTCCAGACAAATCACAGATTGGTCGAACGTAAGATCGTCTGTTCCGTTGGACTCATTCTCTGCGCTGAAGCGTTCGAAGAAGCTGTCAATTGTCGATTCCTTCAGCGTTGAGCCGAGAGTATCAAGCATTGTTGTCATCTCCACTTTATCAATGCGACCACTATCATCAGCGTCATATTGCTTCAACATCAACCTCCAGAACTGCTGTCGAAGAGCACTGTACGGCAAATACTTCGCCTTAACATGCAGCTCTGGCGAATGCTTGTCTTCCCATCTTTCTCTATTCTTGAGCATTAGAGGAATGGTATAAAGCTGGAAGCCATCCTGGTCGGGTGGCGGGGCTGAATCTCCGGTATACATGTTCGTTGCTGAAGGCACTTGCAAGGTACTGGCGCTATACATCTCGGAAAGCCCTTCTTCCGGAAGGGAAGAAGGTGCAAGGAGGGTTGGCGCTGGCGCTTCGAGCATCGATTGGCTTGAGACTGAAGTGGCGGAATTACGCGTCCTTAATATAGGCCGAGCCATCCTGGAGAGACTGGATGAAGAGTGCGATGGGCTGATTCCAGAGCGGGAAGGGCTATTTCCAGATCGCGTGCGAGATCGACCGGCAGACTTGGCAGCTGGGATACGATCAACCTCCTCTGGATCCTCTACAAAGTGATACAAACCCGTCTCGGGATCTGCTTCTGGGCCGGACTGGACAAGGTTTTGGAGGGGGAAACCGGCAGAAGCAACAAAGTCATTTCCTGAGAACTTGTCTCGATCCATCACAGTGAATCCGATGGTATAAGACTTTTCATGCCGCATCACCTGGAAGACCATCTTCTCATTATAAACCGGGTTTAGGTTATGGCGGATGACAGGTGTTCTCAAAGTCTTTCTTCCGAGAGAGGTTACGACAAAAGGATCCATATCGAAAGATGTGCGCGTGACTAGGGTATGGGTTAAGATCCAGTACTTTGCATGCAGAGGGAAAACTCATACCATTTCGTTCAGGAGGCAGATCAGTCACTCGAATAATTTCCATGAAGACAAGGCCTTGCACTCCAGTCCCCGAGCCTGAGAACTGGTAGGCGCGAGCTGCCAGAGACTTGCGTCTCAAGCGAGCCAGGCGAAGTCGCCGGCGACGCTTTTCGACTACTTCCGCACCTGCCAGATCGTCGGGCTCATCAGAAGTCTCCTCTTCCCGATCTAAATCCTCCAAGTCGGTAGGAGGGATTTGATCATCATCATCTCCTGAGTATACCAATTTCTTAAACTTGCGGTATATGTCCGCTGGTGTAGCGGCGGGGTTCGCAGAATCGACCAGCGAAAACTGCAGCAGGATTTCGCCCGACACAGTGCTGTCCTTCTTTTTAGACGACTTTCGCTTCGAGTTCAAGGTATACCATTTGGGCTGTGGATCGCGTCAGCGCAGTCTCCGGTTGTCCGAACAACGTGTCCCTTCACGCACCTCTTGGTTGACCTGTCCGTCGGCGAAGATGTCCTCCAATGCGATGTCAAATTCGCCCAGGTAGTCTTTACCAAACCGATCATGATCCCAGCAAATAGCTTCCAATAGCGGTACCCCCACCACAGGCATGTCGAACGAGACGTTCCATTCCGGGTTTAGGGTCTTAAAAATTGTCGGAGTTGACTGCCTTGCGTCTCCCAATGTAACCACCAGATACTGTACAAGGCGTAAGCGATCTCGGGTCGCATTGGCTGTGTGGGAAGGGTACTCACTGGGTCGCTCGTGCCACCTCGATCTTTGGCTGCGAGGTTGCGCCCCTAAGAAAACCATTGACATCAGCATCGGATCTCACCCGAACACAAGAGGTTACACAATCCCCATTCAGCACTTACGCGGATGACTGAAATCTTGAGCAGCAGAGGTTTCGTTTCTGGTAATCTCATAGGACTGGTGCTTCTGCTCTGCCCGGGAGTGGACGACGTGCTCCTCGCAGACAGGTGCGAGCTTAACCGTTGGGGTAAGGTCAATCGGACCATTGCGGATGTACACAAAATAACAAGATTGAGAGGAAGAAAGAAGAAGTGAGCGGAGAAAAGTGTTGGGAGGGGTGGCTTGTGGCCCCTGGTCAACACAGCTCCGGTGGCTTTTTGGGTAAGACCCCAGAGTTGATCGACGATCCGCTGAGTGCTTCAGGTCGATCACAACAGGTAAGCCAATAAACAGATAACCCACCTCGTTTCCAAGATCGGAATTCGAGAGTTTCACCTAGAGATCGGTGAATGCAGATCTCAGAATTGCAAAGAACCTCACGCGGGGGGAAGTGGGAGAAACAATGCAATTTGAGGCAACTGGGGTCGACGTCAAAATGCTCCACACACCGCAAGTTATTCGCCCATTAAAACAGATGCCTATTCTGTACCAGTTTACAGTGTAGACATCATAGATGTCCTTTACATTATCGTAACGTGCAAATCATGTACGGCATAGCAAAACCCTGATGCAGGCTGTGCAGTACCCCGCATCCCTATCCACGAGCTGTTTTACGGGGCAATTCGGAAATTGATAACTGCCAAGGTTGCTACTATGAGCCTTCTAGGGAACTGGGGTAATCTTGTTTCTAGTCTTGTCGTCGGTCTGTTCGTCCCCAGACCTCGTCGGCATTAGCCTTGCCCTTGGTTTCCGGCACATGTCGATAGATGAAGCCACCGAACAGCCCGGCCATGGCTGCAAATACCCAATAGACCTTCCCGCGACCACCCAGGGCATCATTGAGCACTGGGAAGAATTGTGCGACCACAAAGGTTGCAATCCAGTTGGCCCCCAGGGCCCAGCTTTGGGCTGCCCCAACGGCTTCCGGTCCAACGAGCTCGGAGGCCAGGATAAAGGGGACCGGGCCCAGTCCGACCGCAAAACATGCCACAAAAAGCAAGGCAGCAATGGCAGTCAAGATCTTTGCATTCATATAAATACCAAGTGCCAGAAGGACAGAACTGCAGCCCATACCGCAGATACTCAGCATGAGGCACGATTTCCGGCCAATGCGATCGGGCAACGGAGAGCATGCCAGCGTGATAACGAGATTAATCGCGGATATAATCACTGTGAGTAATGCAGCCGTCGTTGGTAAAATGCTCTGAAGAAGAGATACGCTGTACATCACAATGCTGTTCATTCCCGTGAATTGTTGGCCGACCATCACGCCAACCACAGCAATGATGGCCGGGCGATAATAGGGATCTTTGACTACCTGCATAAACGTAACGGCAGGCTTCTTGGGCGTCCCATCGCCTATCGGCGGGGAGAGCAAGGACTCTTCCTCGCCAGATGCAGGAACATCCGGAGACGTCCAGCTCGCGATTTCCGCTTCGATGTCGGCATCTCGACCGCGGATCCGCTGTAGGACCCGGCGTGCTTGGCTAGCCTTTTGATGTTCTGCCAGCCAACAAGGACTTTCCGGTACCAAAAACAGCCCAGCCAGCTCCAAAGCACCGATAATTCCAGCCACAGCCAAGATCAGCCTCCAAAGATTTGCTTCGCTCCAAAAGTATCCCAGGGATTGCGTCAATAAGATACCGACATTAGTCATGACCTGGGTGAAGGCACCGAAAAATCCTCGAACACTGGGAGGAGCGATTTCCGAAATGTAGATAGGACCGACTACAATTGCAGCACCAGAGCCAATTCCAGAGAGGAATCTACCCAGAATCAGGAGTGGAATCGCCGGTGCGAGTGTTTCGGCCAGGGGTCCAAGGATGAAGAACACCGTAGTCGCTCGTAATGCAAGTAGCCGCCCGTACTGGGTCGCGATGGGCCCTGCCAGCAGAGCTCCGAGCAACCCACCGAGCGTGTAAATCGAAGAAACAAGGCCGAATTGAGATGGGTTCATGGGGAGGCATTGCGGCAGACCATGGAATGTGCTGCCCGAAGAATGGATGCCTTGACGTTCGCAGGTTAGGACAGATTGAGGAGCATTGAGCTCTGCCTAAAGATGTCACATTATATCAGTGTATGCTTCGCGTCCATAGAGCAGGGGTTATCATACCAGATGGTAACCGAATTGAAGCGGACCCAGCGTGACAATAAATACAAGATACACCAGATAAGGTGTGACCTTCTGGTTTGAGGTGCTCAGAGCCATCTTCAAACAGATGCTAGATCTCCCAAGGATCTCTGGACGAGTTGGAGGTGTGAAGGAAAGAAGAGGGAGCTCAGAGCCTATGACGTTTACCGATCGCAGTCTTGAGACGAGATAATATGTTGTGATCTGTTGTCGGCCAGACGAAGAATGTCTACCTAGCTACCCAGACAGATATCACATTGGGGCTTAGTATCCGGGTGTAGTTCGAGATGTGTTGGAGATATGTTGGAGACGTGTAGCTCCCACCATCCAATCTGCGAAGTTCAATCGAGTCCGACATGTGATCTGACTAAGCGTTGACTCGCGGGGTGAACTCGTCGCATTGTACGGAGTACAATTCGGACAATATACATCGTAATCCGTCCTCTAATACTCCTAGTCTTTCCAATATCCGGTTCAAAGAGCTGGAACTCGTGGAGAAAGCATCTCCACCAATGGAGTGACAACATCTCGGCCCCTTCTGATCCACAAATGAGTCTGACAAACCCACCCTCTTCCTCCGGCTCTCTCTCACGGACCAGAGTCGGCAACTTGAAACGGGGTCTCCAGGCTACTATCGACGGTAATTATATACCTTTCTCTGTCCAGGTGCTCTCAGGTTCCATGAGTCTGGCTACTTGAAGTACTGGGTGTAATTCCTTTGGTGCATTGCCTTGCATCTATCTGTCTTTCCATCATGTTTGGAAAAGGTTTCCCTTTCCTAAATTCTGGAGGATTCTATTCTCGTGGTAACTCTTTCCCTGTGTTTCTTCTGCGATATGTGATGTTCTGTCTGGGGGATTTATTGCAATTGGCTTGATCCAGGGGCTGCAATCGTTAGCTTTATTTTCATTCTCGCCACCCATTCGAGTCTCAGCTGCCATCTGCTCGAAGTATGGATGCTGACCAAGTTCTTTTCACAGATTCGGTTGAATCACGGAGACCTGGTGGATATACCAGCAAGGTCCGGGTGCGAGATCGGTATCATATAGTAGGCTTCATCAGCAGTGGTACATATGGCCGAGTGTACAAGGCCATTGGCAAAAATGGCAAGAAAGGGGAGTTCGCCATCAAGAAGTAAGAGCCATCTTCCCCTTTCTCTCTCCATCGTTTGATTTCTTATCTCATCTAAACTCGTCCAGATTTAAGCCCGACAAGGAAGGCGAAACGATCCAGTACACGGGTTTGTCGCAGTCAGCTATCCGAGAAATGGCATTATGCACTGAACTATCACATGCCAATGTCATCCAACTAGAGGAAATCATTCTCGAGGACAAATGCATATTCATGGTTTTTGAATATACAGAGCATGATTTACTCCAGATCATTCATCACCACACCCAGCCTCAGCGACATGCCATCCCGGCACCTATGGTCCGATCTATCCTGTTCCAGTTGTTGAACGGACTACTTTATCTTCATACCAACTGGGTCTTGCATCGTGATTTAAAACCAGCCAATATCCTCGTCACTTCCAGCGGTGCTATCCGTATCGGCGACTTGGGACTCGCACGATTGTTTTACAAGCCACTTAACTCCCTGTTTTCGGGCGACAAGGTCGTCGTCACAATCTGGTACCGTGCACCGGAGCTACTCATGGGAAGTCGCCATTATACGCCTGCTGTTGATATGTGGGCGGTAGGGTGCATCTTCGCCGAACTGCTCTCGTTACGACCAATCTTCAAAGGCGAAGAAGCTAAAATGGACAGCAAGAAAACAGTTCCCTTCCAACGCAACCAAATGTCGAAGATTGTCGAAATCCTCGGTCTTCCTCGCAAAGAATCCTGGGCGGGTCTGACCTCCATGCCTGAATATTCCCAGCTCCAGTCCCTGGTGCTCCACCGCCAGCCTTCGCATTACCACCGCGGCTCTAATCTCGAGGGCTGGTACCAGAGCTGTCTGAAAAATGGCGGGTACACCTCCACCTCTAGTGCTGGCACTCCTGGTGCAGACGGATTTGATCTACTATCACGTATGCTCGAATACGATCCGACCAGCCGGATCACCGCCGAGCAAGCCCTTGAACACCCCTACTTTACCAACGGCGGTCCTATCAGTGGTAACTGCTTTGAGGGTATCGAGGGCAAATACCCACACCGTCGGGTCACCCAAGATGACAATGATATCCGCACTGGTAGTCTCCCTGGCACCAAACGGAGTGGATTGCCAGACGACTCGTTGATGAGGGCTTCGAAGCGTCTGAAGGAGTAATCTTTCCATTTGCTTTCTGTACATCTGTATGAATCTTTTCTGGCGGCGTGGACAGACTGGTCGTGATATCCACATATATTGAATTCGGCGTTGGGGTTACAAGGACTAGCGAAATTTGCATCATGATGACCTTTGCGAGAACCGACTTAGCCACTTTCCAAGTTTGTCTACAAGACTACTGTTTTGTTTCGTGTTTTGCTTTATGAACGTCGGTCTGTTCGCATTCGACAGCCATTTGGGCTCTGCTAGATAATCGCCATTTGAGCTCGTAAATCCCACCATTGTCCATTTACCGGTCCCATGTCCCATTCCCGTATCCCGTATCCCGTATCCCAATCCCAGATCCCCATCCCATATTCCCAGATATTGTACATGTTGAAGCGCCCCCATTAACACCCGATGACTAAATCCACGAAAAGATACGAATAATCGCATAAAGATGCAATCAGTAGCCTGCCATCGGAAGAAAGGATCAGTGGCTAGTACAAGAGATTGACACAAGCTCAAAATTATTGATGGTTACATACCGTTTTGCGCATCTCACTTATCCCCATCAGTATCATCTTTGCCATTACGGCCTGCAGCAGAAGCATGGTCGGCTGCATCTTTGATTCCCTGGTCGTCACCACGCAGCTTCTCAAAGTAGCCCTTGACATCTTCAGCACTGACAGCCTGCCCACTCTCTGCGAAGGGCTGAAGGAACAACTTCAGTTTGTCACGGAGATGATTGTAGGCCATTGCGCCTTCGATGGCGCGCACGCGATCCATGTTGTTCAGCGCCGCTTCGCCGCGGTCGTAAATGCTACCCGTGCCAGTACTGGCGGCACCGTTCACCTGGCCATCATCCGACATAGGAGGTTCATAGGTCTCTTCTTCCTCGCGAAGCTGAGGGTAGGGTACGAGCCTTGGGAAACACTCTGCACAGCGACACAACTGACCATGGAAATCCCCCAGAGCGAAAAGAGAAAACGATTCAACAGGTGTAGACTTGGGAAGCTCGGTGTGCTTGGCAGCAGATGGCTTTTTAAGAGTATCATTTTCTTTCTTGGCAGTCTCCGTTTCGTTTTCGGGTTTGAGTTGTTGTCCACCGACAAAGGCCTCTTCTTCCTTGGTCCGCTTAGTAGCTGGTTGGTCCTCATGAGATTCCTCGTCATCTGCCTTGCGTTTCTTTGAGCCTTCGGTCTTATCTTGTTCCTTCTGTTCATTGTTATTGGCGTCGGTCTCCTTAGATTCGGCATCCTTGGGCTCTGTGATTGACGCAGTGAGCTCCTGGGTGGCAGTTGAGTCCATTTTCAAGCCACCTTCCTTAAAAACTGGCGGTAAGAATCCAGGAGTACCCGCATAAGGCTTGATCCACGCATTTGAGTCGATGCATTTATAACAGATCAGGTGGTCGAAATCGTCCTCCGCGGGGAACCCAGGTGGGAGCAAATCTTCTTCATCCTCGATCGGAACATCATTGATAGCATCATTAGAAGGATCATTGGAAGCATCCCCACCCCCGATTACATCGGCCTTCGGGGCAGTCTTGTTCCAATCGCGCGACAACCCAATGAGACACTCTGGGTGCCACCAGTCCTCACCACATCCTCCAGTCTCAACGGTGCCAAGTCCCAGGCACTGGAACATTGTTCCTTTTTCTGAATGCGCATCGTACTGCTCACCGCAGCCACAAAATTGATTGCGGAAGTTCTGGTTGTAGGTGTTGCCTGCGGCAGCCTCTTGGGAGTGGACACCTTTCTTGCTGGTAACAGGATCTTCACGGAGCGTGCAGCAGGACGATGATGGGAAACGGGTGGTTCCACAGTCGCAGACAAAGTTGCGCTTGTTGAAGAGCTCGACTAGAGTGTGTTCGCCATGGCAGGAAATAGAGCATGAGTAGCAGACGGCAGCGGCAGTGTAAGCTTCGTCGGAGTTGGCAGGAGGGGGATTGCAGGTAAGGCAAGCAAAGAGTATCTGTCGCAACGGGCCCAGTTCATAGGTGCAGGAGTCGAAGGCCTGGAGTCAATCGGTCAATTCTGTCCTAAGTTGCATGCCACTGCTCTTTGCGACACTTACATATGGAAGAGCCTCACGCGCATCTGCCTCCAGTTGTAGTTGGGACTCGATAAACCTGATAAAGTTAGTCTTCTCACTTTTTGAATGCAAGGGAGAGTATCAGAGAATGCCTCATACTCTTTTGCCGTCTGGGAATTCTGGGAGCCGAAGCTCTCGCGGCGACCGTCTCCGGCGAGCTGAGCACCACCCGAATGTGGGGCATCCATGGTGTGAGGCTTTTTCTGGCTCACTTGTGTAGCGATGATTGACGAACAGCAAGATGTAAAACAAAAAAATGAAGAGTATCCAGAAGATGTGTGGAGCAAGGCCAAACGCGATGTGATGGGTGTGGAGGCGCGACACAACACTTTAGAGTTCTTGCCGGCAGAACCAAAAGAGGTGAATCAGGCGGTCTGGGCAAACCAACTATCTCTGTATGTACATGGTTGCATGTCGACCTATGCAAACGACAAGGTGCCTACTCCGTATTTCTATGTAATTTGAGAATATTGCTGTTTGCTCTTTTTGCTTGGCTGTATCCAGATAATTCATCCCTTAGATGGACCACGAAAGCTCCGAGATAATAACGGCGGAGTGAGAACTTGGCTCTACCAGGTAGCGAAGTGGTATATGTACATGTGCTTACCTACAACATACATGGGAGGTCCACTAATGTAGAACCCCCTTGAGCTTCCCAGGTCCCACCGAGGCTCAGGTACATGTAGATATCTATTCAGTTGCCAGGCTTGCCTCTATTATTTGATACAATTACAAGCAGTAGTCTGCACCTTGATTCTACTCAAGATTAGAACCAGCTTTGATCTATGGATATTTCCGTATCTTGCTCACTACATTATATATACTTGATGGATGTTCCTTCGCTATAATCATTTAATCACTTCCCCTGTCTACATACAAAACGACCTAGAACACAAAAAAAAAACCTACCTTCACACCATCTACCGACACTACTACTATCTGTACAATGTCTCTTTACAGGGTCTTTCCTGTCTCCTTTTTATACCCTGTGCTGACCAGTAAGTCTCGCCTCATCCACGGCCTCCAGATGTCTCTTTGGCCTCCTTCTCAGATGTTTTCTAGCCGAAATTTCTGTCCGCCACGAGAGGGAGGCGATGGCAGTCGTGAGCTAAAGTTCACTTTTATACCAGTCCCCGCATGAATACTATGTAATATTAACGTGCTTTTGAGAACGTTTTTATCGTCTTATGCTAATTGGTGAAATTGGCCTTATGTTTAACCGGGTCACTTTAAATTTCTCCTTGATGTATTTGCCTAGAGGGAATGAAATTTTCCACATTTGAAAAAAACCATTCGGAGAAGGTACATACATACATGTCCATATATACACAACATGTTTGTTTATGTATACAATTTATATGCTTTACGCCGAATTCGATTCACATGTAGTTGGATTATATACTAAGCATCTCTCCACCCTTCATCCCCAATGATCGACTGGCCAAGTGGTTAAGGCGTCTGTCTTACATTTCATATGTTGGAGCTTCACAGAAGGTCGCAGGTTCGATCCCTGCGTCGATCACTGACTTTTTTGTCTCTCATAAATACTACCATTATGGTAACAGCAGGTGTATGTATCCTAGGGCTCATCCTTTGTCATATTCTTTTATTTTTTTGGGGGAAATTTTGAAGTCCGTTGTAGTCATTCATTCATGTACTCCGTACAGCAGAAAAGAAACCAAATCGAATACATATTTATGTACCAACGTACCTGGGTGGTCCACCTTCCTAGTCGGGGTTTAATTGAAACGCGTCGCGTCCAGCACGCGACTCGCGGCACAACTCGACTTTGCCGCCCCTTCTCTCTCCCTTCATTCTATCAACCACGCTACCACAGGATTCGGGGAAAGGCGTCCCATACATATCACTTATCCATACTAATTGTGATCTGATACCTTGCTCGTCTTTTTTGCTGAAAATTACTAGTTGAAAGCCCCTCCACAATGGAGTCAGTCTCCCTCCTGAATTTTCTGCACTCAAAAGCTAATGCAATTACAGTCCGCTCCGAGCTAGCGACTCAGCCGCAAACCGTGGCCCTAGGGCCAACACTCGCAAGAGAGACAGAGAGGATGATGACATATCCTCCTCTGCACCATTGCCTCCTTCCAGTCGTATGTTTGCTATGTTCTCGCAGTTGGGTCGACTTGAGACTAACGATTTGCACGTACAGCCACCGCCTTGGGCTCATCCCCTCCTCCGATTCCCTATGATTTCGGTAACGAGGACGAGGATGAAGAGGAAGGGCTTATTCAAGATATTGATGATATTGATGAGATGGCTGAAGATGAGGATGGCATTGACCTGTTCGGCGATAATTACGAGCGGGATTATGGCAACGGAACCCAAGACCGCTACGAGAATGAAGCATATATCGATGATGACAACGACCATGAAGAGATCGATGCCGCTAGTCGTCGACAGCTGGATGCTCGGCTGAACCAGAGAGACCGCGAACTGGCACGTCGCCGTCGCATGCCTGCCGCCTTTTTACAAGATGACGATGATATGGAATTGGACCTGTCGCGCCAACCGCGACGACGCAGGCACCATTATGACGAGGACCGCGAAGATATTGACATGGCCGATGAGGGCATGGAAGAGCTATCGCTGGAGGAATTGGCAGACGTGAAAGCAGCTAACATTACGGACTGGGTGACCCAACCCCAGGTTCTTCGCTCCATCTATCGCGAATTCAAAGCCTTCCTGACAGAGTTCATTGATCCCGCTGGTCAGTCTGTTTACGGTAACCGAATCAAAACCCTGGGTGAGGTGAACTCGGCCTCGTTGGAAGTATCTTATGCCCACCTGAGCGAGACCAAGGCGGCTCTCTCATATTTCCTCGCCAACGAACCAACCGAAGTTTTGAAGGTATTCGACCAAGTGGCACTCGATGTTACTCTTTTCCACTACCCACAGTACCACGACATCCATAACGAGATTCACGTCCGTATCACTGACGTGCCCATCATCTACACTTTGCGCCAGTTGCGTCAATCGCATCTTAACTGCCTGATCCGTGTGGGCGGTGTCGTTACCCGCCGAACTGGTGTCTTCCCGCAGTTGAAATATGTCATGTTCCTCTGCCAGAAGTGCGGTATCACCTTGGGTCCATTCCAGCAAGAGGCTAGTGCAGAAGTCAAGATCTCATTCTGTCAGAACTGCCAGTCGCGCGGTCCCTTCACTGTCAATTCTGAAAAGACAGTCTACCGCAACTTCCAGAAGTTGACTCTGCAGGAGTCTCCCGGCTCGGTTCCCGCAGGCCGTCTGCCTCGCCAGCGCGAAGTCATTTTGCTTGCCGATCTAATCGACACTGCCAAACCCGGTGACGAGATTGAGATCACCGGTGTTTACCGCAACAGCTATGATGCTCAGCTGAACAACAAGAATGGGTTCCCAGTTTTCTCCACTGTGATTGAGGCCAATCATGTGGTCAAAGCACACGACCAGCTGGCTGGTTTCAACCTAACGGAGGAAGATGAGCGTGAGATTCGGGCACTTTCCCGGGATCCCGATATTGTGGATAAGATCATCCGCTCTATGGCACCCAGTATTTATGGCCATCAAGACGTCAAGACCGCTGTTGCGCTTTCGCTCTTTGGTGGTGTTAGCAAACAGGCCCAGGGCAAGATGTCAATTCGTGGTGATATCAATGTCCTGCTCCTTGGTGATCCTGGTACCGCCAAGTCTCAGGTGCTCAAGTTCGTTGAGAAGACCGCCCACCGTGCCGTGTTTGCCACTGGTCAGGGTGCCAGTGCCGTCGGTCTCACAGCCAGTGTTCGTCGCGATCCCCTGACCAGCGAATGGACATTGGAGGGTGGTGCGCTTGTCCTGGCTGATCGAGGTACTTGTCTTATTGATGAGTTTGACAAGATGAATGATCAGGACCGAACATCCATCCACGAAGCCATGGAACAGCAGACTATCTCCATCTCGAAGGCCGGCATTGTGACCACATTGCAGGCTCGCTGTGCTGTCGTGTCCGCCGCTAATCCTAAAGGTGGTCGATACAACAGCTCCATTCCCTTCTCAGAGAATGTTGATCTGACAGATCCTATCTTGTCTCGTTTCGATATTCTCTGTGTGGTGCGCGACCTGGTCGATCCTGCCGAGGACGAGCGCTTGGCCAACTTCGTGATTGAGTCGCACCACCGAGCCAACCCCGCCCGTCCCCTTCGAAACGAGAAGGGCGACCTTGTTGATACCGATGGCCATCTCATTGACCACGAAGGCTATCGTATCAACCGAGATGGCCAGAGGCTGCCTCCTTCTCAGGAGGAGGTGGCTAGACGGGCAGCAGAGAAACAAAGAGCCGAAGAAGAGAAGGAAGGTGAAATCCCTCAAGAGCTGTTGCGGAAGTACATCATGTATGCCCGTGAACGTTGTCAGCCCAAGCTTTATCAGATCGATCAGGATAAGGTCGCCCGTCTCTTTGCAGACATGCGCCGCGAGTCCCTTGCGACTGGAGCGTATCCTATCACAGTAAGTTGTCCCTTTATCCTCTATACGTTGAATTTTATTCTTACTCGAGGTTTCAGGTTCGTCATCTCGAAGCTATCATGCGTATTGCCGAGGCTTTCTGCAAGATGCGCCTATCAGAATATTGCTCTGCCCAGGATATCGACCGTGCCATCGCTGTCACCGTGGACTCGTTCATCGGCAGCCAAAAGGTCAGCTGCAAGAAGGCACTTTCGCGTGCATTTGCCAAGTATGTTTTGTTTCTTTCGATTCTTTGATTTGGTGGAATTGTAACTAACATCTTTTCAGATACACACTCTCCAGACCCAAGCCCATGTCCAAGCGTCGTGCGGGCATTCCCATCTCAAACCCTCACCTGCCGAGGGCTCAGTCCACGGCGCATTGAATAACCTGAGAAGGAAGTTTCGGGAGCTCTATGTTGTATGGTTTCTTTTGTGTCTTATACCATCTTGTTTGCATTTTCTACGTGTGGCGTTTACAATAGGGTACCGTGCTCAAATCGGACCATGATATGGTAATGAATGGAGAACCAATGATGATAATTCCAATTTTTTTGATGTCGATCTAGATTGTAACAGAATGAATTATTCTACATCCTTTTCTACTAATACCTACCTAGGTACTCCGTAGTATCTCATGAATTGGATGATGAATATTCAATGACTCCCCGGGGTCGCCTTTGCTACCGTACGTACACACACACATGAAGTTGTCAAATGAAGCAAAGCACGCTAGGGCTACCAAAGTTGGTGTGTCATCTGTTCCATGGGCAGGGAGTGGGCATTTCATCTCTGTCCGCTGAACTTGGTCATTCTTATTCTCTATAGAATTTGCGACGCATCTTACTTACTTCGCTTCTTTACTTCAATCCACTTTAGCTATCTAGATATGTCCTTGATCTGATTGTATCATTCGTAGGTACATATCTATAGAGGTGACTGTTGTATGACCCAAAAAGGAGGTATCGAGCTACCTATTAGCCCGGTGCTCTTTGGATATGTAGCAGGTTCGTGACTATTTGCCATTTCGATACTTACTATATTAGTTCCGCGCATCTAGACACTTAAAATAACGACTCAGGGTATGCCCACCGAGGTGTTAATTTGGAGAACGAGATTGCCGTTCACCATGTATATATGCAGCGTGAAAATATAGAGCGAGCCGTTGATACTACTTGATTTGCCAAGGATATAGTTTCTGTTCAGCCATGAACGTCCATGATGCTCTTATTCTTGCCAAATACCTCGACCCAAGAAGGATGTCATGGACCCAAAGTGCCCTTGTATAAGCAAGCTGATTTATCTGAATTATTTCAAGGTTACGATATGATAGTTGTCTTACAAAATTCCATGGATCTCTGCCATGTAGATATGTACCTAAGGGACCCATAGGTGTTGTTAGAAGAGACAATGTCTCCATCTGCCTATACCTATTTGTATACATATATGTATTAGGTATATAACTATATCTACTTATGTACTTAGGTAGGTATATCGGAACTAGATTGATATTGAAACCACCAGTTATTGACGATTTACCCCGATGTCAATGTGTTAGCCCGCTTTCAGAGTCTCAGATCTGGCGTCTAGAGTAGTTACAGGTAGGGACGAAAGATGCTTCGCTCAGGAACCCTGGAAGTTACCTGTAGTATGTCGTCCGTCTTGCCAGTCATAATCTCATTTCAGATCGCATTCTCACTCGAGGAATGTTCGATATCGGCCCTTCTCCATGTATGGATCATAAAGATACCGGCTGGTCTTCCGTACAGAGGAATGTTAGGCAACTCGAACTACCATATCATATCCAACCTTTAACCGTGACTTGTCCACGGCTGTAGCAGAGAGTATGCTAATCTACTACATCATGCGCTGTGCAGATCTATCCATTTCAACGGAGATGACGTGCCTTTCTCCCTTGCCTCGGCAGATGGCCCTGTCAGAACCGTGCGAGATCTGGAGATGTTCCTTGTTTCCTGCATACACGGTGTAGATGGAAGACATTGTACATCCACCAGTTCACATTCCGCAAATAGAAGATGACATCAACCGGGAATGCCATCATTCCGGCTATTTTTGGTAACCGAGGAAACTCCTTAGCACATGTGCAGCGTTCTGAGCACAGTTGGGGACATCCCAGGACATCTGTCCCCAATGAGTCCCCCCCTGTCAAAGTGGAACCGTGTCGGGGTAAATTGGCCCCCCTGAGGCTATCATCCACGAGTCTGGGGATTCTTCAACAAATAATCCGACATGGGACAATAGGATAGAGCATAACATGTAAAATGAAAAGAGAAGGCAAGAATTACCAGATCGACAGGGCCAGGCACGAGTAAATCCTTACTGGGGACGATCAGCCATTTTACGTATGCTCGCCTCTCTCTCCCGTGTTCCCCTTGTCCCCCCCCCCCTCTTTCTTTCCCCCTCTAAGACACTTCTTTTCTTTTTTTCCCCTTCAACTCACTTGCTTTGACCTTACTTTTACAAGGTTCTTGACCTGGATCGGTTCTGGTTGTGTCTATATTGCTTGGAACGCCCCTGAATATCCTTGTTTCATCAGAACCTCCTTTCACTTTCTTCCGCATTCGTGCGACACCTAACGCGGCACCTCATTGAACGCAAACAGCCTCTCCACCCACACCGTGTTTCGGTGTTTCAAAGGCCTTCATCTTTCGCCATGAATGCCCCTCCAGCGCTTGGTTATGCGCCTGGCATCTCGCTGGCCCCGCAAGGTACGTAATGTCGTCAAGCGCACATATCCCCTGGATCTTATGGTTTGTCGCTGGGATGGATGAATTTGACCCCCTGATCTCTAAAAGGATCCCCCCTTGATCTTTTGCCTCACCTTCTGGTCTTTTCAGACTTTGCTGACTCAAATACTTTTTTGCGCCAAATAGACCACCAAGCCTCTCCAACAGCAGCCAGTTTTGGCTCCAATAACCCTTTCCGGAACCGGGCCCTCTCACCCTCAGTTGTTGGATCTGTCTCAAACCGCCCGGAGCGCCCAAGATCGACCAATCCATTCTTAGACGATACTGAAGCGCTGTCTCCTCAGTCGGCCCCAGGAATATCGACCGGTGCCAGCATGATCTCTCCGATTGACCGGAATAACATGTCGAGCAACACTAGGGATCTCTTTGTATGTTTGTGATCATTAAGCCTACATGTCGAAACCAGCTCTAATAACTTCCAGGAGGCGCTCTCACTCAAGCCCACGCCCCCTCCGCCGGCGACATCCGACACCCACCATCGCACTTCCTCAACTCGCAACAGACCCCCGAGGGAGCGCCCGGAGCGTCCACCTGGACGATCGGCGACGTCGAAAGAGAAAGACCCGCTTGATATCTTCGCCGATCCCCCTACAATCCCCTCAACTTCCAAGGGCAAATCGCCCCGTCGCCCTCGCCGAAACTCGGAGTCTTCGGTAATGGACCGAGGCTCGAAGCTATTGGACGTTGATGACGATGAGAAGCGCCGACGAGAACGGCGTAATCGCGAGCGTGAGGGTCGCAGCAAAGATGGCAAATCGCGGTCAGGCCGCAAGGACCGCAGACTTGATGTTATCGATAAGTTGGATGTGACAAGCATCTACGGCACTGGAAGTACGCATCTCGGCTTTTCCCCTTGTCTTCCCCTCTGTGCGCCCGGGAATCATCTACTAACCACATTGATAGTGTTCCACCATGACGGTCCATTTGATGCATGCAACCCCCATCGCAATCGTCGCGGTGTGCGTACCGCCCCAATGCAGGCCTTTCCCAAGGGTTCTACCAACATGGCTCTGGGCGGTTCAGGCCCCAACAACTCCAACATCGATCTCAACCTTTTCCATGGCACAATGGAGGAAGGACATAACGACTTTGCCACCGCTGCTCGCCGCAACATTGACTTGGGCGGTAGCTTTGATCCCACCGCCCGAGTAGATCCAATCCACGGACCACAGAGTATGGGGTTGGGGACTAGCACTTTCCTCGATGGAGCCCCGGCTAGTCGGTCCGCCATGGCACGCCGTCAAAGCGAAAACGAGTCCTCTCTGGCACCGAATGCCGGTCTTGCACGAAAGAAGAGTTTAGCTCAACGACTGCGAGGAAGAACGGCTGGACCCGGCCGCAGCGCCTCTCCAAACGACAGCTTCTCTCTCCCCCCAGCCCCACATATCAGCTCTAGTCATTCTGCGTCCTCCAGGGGCAATGAAAAAACCCATATTTCCAGGAGCAAGACTATGATGACGAGTGGGATAGGAAGGGATCGAGCATCGAAGCTCGCTTTGAGGGCGGTCGACTTCGATCATCCAGCAGCCCCAAGCAAAGAAGTGGCCTGGAGCGCAAGCCTACTAACGACCGAGCTTATGAAGAATCCAGGCTCAACCCTGGCGGCGGTGGTTTCTTAAATCGGATGAAGAGTTTGCGCAAACCAAAGCCGGAACGACGTACCAGCGACTGAGTTGCCTAACATCCACATCTTCAGCCTGCCCTGGGAATCAATCAATACACAAAGCAGGCCTCTACCCCTCGGGAGAACATATTGTCGCACCTCTGGAACGTGTCAAGACCTATGTTCTCCCATCATTATCTCACCATCTAATTCTTCGAGGATTGATGATTCGACGCGTAATACCCAGCATCAAGCACTGCCGAACACACAGTGCTCAACATGGCGTTCACATGATTGGAATAGATTGCTTCAACATGGTTCTGATCTCAGAACACCATGAAATCCAATGCCCTCGTCCTCAGACCATGGCTATGATTCGGAGTTTCTCAAGGTTTCTTCTCTTCTTGTATTTTCCATTCAGCCTTGCTTTCAGAACCATGTATTTTTTACCCATTGCTTTATTGTTTGAATAGGACAGGATAATTGAACAAGTTAGTTCCCACAAGATTCCATTCCATGATCAGTCGGAATATATAGCATTGCCCTCTCGAGCTCAGATATAGGATCAGTGACTACCTAAGATATGTCATGGTCTTAATTTTTGGTTCTACAGGTTCCATGACAGCGGGCCATGTCGATATAAGATACCTATATACGTAGAACCCGAGAGTTTTGTGCTCATTGACCATCAGATGAAGCGCCGCGCACATATGAGCTATGTAGGCCACAATTATAGCCTCGCTCAACCTCCTTCAGTCGCCATTCGAAGAGACTGCATTGTCCTTCATACATGGTATGTATCTCTTAAAATGCAACTTGGTTGCTAGGCCTCTATCTATGCTCTGTTATTGTCGAGACCGGCGACTACGGAACAGTACCTATCCTTTGCATATCCCAGGTCCTTGTCTGACTACAGAGTGCTTCGAGGTTTCAAAACATCAAAGCCCCAAACCCAGCTTGTGGCAGTGAAACTCCTTTCTAACTCTGAAACGGCGCTTTCGCGATTTATTTAGAATCTTGAAAGGAAAAGACGGACACTTAACAGCCGAGATTTCCCAAGGCCTGGCTCTATCATTCAAGTCTGCCCGACTCCCCTTGGTATCGCTCTGTTCTACGAAGACCGACATCATGAACACTACCACATTGGCCATCCGTCCTAAAAAGTCCGTCCCCAACAGCACATACTCCGTCTACATTGTGAGTCACCAATTCGATCTCTCTTATCCCCAGAGCGACTTGGCTATATTCGTGCAAACTCAGAAAGCTAGCACCCTCGGGAAGAGAGGGGATGTCTATTTTCTCGCTTCTGACTCTAAGGGTGCTGCAGGCGTGTGTCTTTGGCGTGAATACATCACATTTTCTGAAACTGGGCCAATGAATGACAACCCAATGTCAATTGGCACTACCTCTACCTCGTACCATCCCGAAATTTGGGATAGAACTTTGAGGAAGCTAGTGGCCAATGAGTTTGATCGGCATGATGCGACCACCTGGGCTTTGCAGGGCTCGACTCTCGGTGGACTACTGACGCTGGATATTTCCCGTTGGGTCGAGAAGGCTAAGGTCTCACTAGAAGCTGCTGGACTACTTCGGCCGTTGCCATGTACCAGCCTGGACTTCCCAGATGGTGGGGGCGCGTTGAGCATTGTGGTTACGATATAGAAGATAGTCACAGAGGAGATGGGATTCATCCAGAAAAGAAGGCTGCATTTGAGATATGATCTTTGTTGACTCTGAAAGTCTCATTCCTATCACATATAAGCGCAATAGGCCTTATATAGTTCGCTACTTGATTTCAAGTACTCCGTACCCAGCTCTCTTTCCCTTTAGTTTCGATAAAAACCAAGCATGGTATGGGATTGGTAAATGCCTGCTAAATCAATACATCGATTCGTTCTATATTCATCGGTTTCCATTTCTCTCCCCCTTGTGCTTGTCTTGAATGACCTTGGTGGACGCTATCGCTACCCGTAACACCTCACCTTTCAAGCTCCAGCTTCGGAGAGTTGACTATTCACACTTCTGCATCACCAACATGGAGACCGAGCGACCTCCCCCAACACTGACCAACCCCCGGTTTACTCTTGAACTTGAGTTTGTCTCATCTCTCGCCAACCCTTACTATCTGTCGCACCTGGCAGTCACCTACCCGGGCCTGCTGGGGATCTCCCGCGCCGACGACGATGATGATTCCTCTTCGCCAGATGCTCAGGCATTTGCGGCATACCTAGCCTATCTTTACTCTTATTGGAAGACACCGGAATATTCCCAATTCCTCACACACCCTGGGCCCACGCTACGAGCACTACGATTACTTCAGGAAGACACCTTCCGCCGTGATATCATTTTACCCCAGGTCATCGAAGGGCTGGCAGGGGTCAGTGTTCCTGAACCGGCTCAGGCTGAGGCCGACCCGGCAGATGAAAAGCAAGAAGACGGTCAAAATGGAAAGACATGATGGCTGCGTTAAATCCCGAACCTACACTTGATGCAACCGGGATGTGCTTATTTCCTGGGGGCAAGAAATACGCACTTCCTGCGCCCTGGCAGATCTACGTTGTACATGACATTGCCACTGTGGCATGATTTCACTGCCACCAACCCGGCTTCTATGCTCTAAAGTTGAGCATGATTTTTACTTGGGCTTCATCTTCATGTGCGGCCGAGGATACCTCCGTTCCGAGGCCCCGAGGTGTCGATCGAACCCCCAGAACTCCAACTTTTATGCATCGCAGATTCTCTCCATTTGCCCCGACGAAGTAGCAGAGTATTGCGGGGGGGAAAGGACCAAGCGCTGGGGATGTGTTCCCCATCTCCTCATCCTGTACGGAGTACTCCATACATCGTACCTTTGTACCCTTTGAAGACCGTTATGTTCAATTATTAGTCTGATCCAATGAGAATGACCATGACAATTGCAATTATATGCATAAATATCCTGACATGAGCTCAATTTGAGAAACAGATATATCCTAGAAACGCGCCAAAGCGACCTCTGTAACCAGGCCAAAAGGACAGAAATGTACTTGCACAATCGTAGAATATAGAATACGACCGCCCGAGCATCCGGCCCAACCTTTTTTTTTTTTCGCCTTCTCTCCTGAATTCCATTTCCATGCCTCTTCTTTCCAACGCTCATTTTTTTTCCATCTTTGGTCCCTGGAGGTTCCTGTGGCTTTTCCGCACTCTCGTTACAGAGCCCCACCCTTGCCCCCCTGGTGATCGGCCCTGAACTACCTCATCAGCCCGTTCTCATCCACGTCGCGCCGTTTTTGACCTCCCACGTCCTCCCTATGGCCCTCAAATAGACGTATCTGTTGCCCCTCAGCTCGTCCCTGGGGATTTCACCCACCTTCTACCTCATCTACTGCGGATTCCCACGGTCGCGCTCCTTTTATAGGACTCTATCACCTGGGAGCTGCATACAGCACCCACACGTTTCCAATGGAGTCTGTTCGTCAATCGTGTCGGCCAAAGCATCAGGTCTTGATTTTGAAATGCTATCCAAAATATCAGAAGGGCGTGTCAGAGGTCAGGCCGAACCCCAGTGAACTCTCGTACTTGCTGTACTATACGAGCACGCGCCGCAGCAAGTTGACCAAGGTCGGCGCTTTCCTGGAGAAAAGGGTCGCTCGGGATGTCTGGAGACGCAGGATAGGGTGAGTGCAGATTTCTTCGCAAGATTTTTTTCAGCAATTCCAACCTCGAGAATATGCATGGCTGACCGATTTCCATCCACAGGAATGTTCAGGTGGCGCTGCACATCATGGCTGCGCTTATCGAAAAAGTCCCCCGCGACCTTCCAATCTACGCCCGATCGGTTATGACCATAGTCGATACCGTCCTGCAATCAAATGATATCAACATGGTGGAGGAATCTATCGTGGCATTCGAAATGTTCTGTCGTCACCAGGACATTTCGGCCATTTCAGCAGATCAGGGTCTCGCGCACCAATACCGTGAAGTCGTGCGAACATACGCCAGCTTCGCCGACCCGGAATTTACATCCAAATCGAATGCAAATTTCAGCCCGCAGGTAGCCATCCGGTGGAGAAATGCGGGTCTGCGAGCTATCAGAGGTGTGGTCAGCTCAGAGAGCTTGGCCGCCGATGGAGGAACATCGCTGAAGCTCTGTTTACCAGTCATTCTGGAAAACCTTCATTCCGAAGACGAGGATCTTCTCTCGACTTTGAAAGCCAAGCTTTCCGAAGCGGACACGAATGAACGGGAGGGGCCCAAACCCCGTCGAATGAGTGTCACCACGGTGCATACCGTGGATACGGCAGAGGGTGACCCTGAGCTGGCAGCCCAATCAGCAGATGATGCGGATCGAAAGGCGGAGATTGGCGCTCGGCTCTTGGCCCTACGATGCCTGGAGCAAGTTATCGTCTCGGGAAGTAATCGCGGCCAAATCCGCATTGCTGTAACAATCATTCTACAGTTCATCTCAACCAAGGGCCTCCCACAGAGGGAAAAACGTGACCAAATGATTGAGGGCAAAGATGGTAACTGGGCAACCTCTTTGATTGAACTCATTGCGAACTGGTGTCCGGTGCAAGTCCGTTTCATTATTCTAGTCACGGCCATGGAGATCCTACACGATACAAGCCCGAAGGAGGATGCTTTGGAGTCGTCATTTACTATTCTTTCTGTGGTGGACTGGCTTCTCAAGTCTTCAGTGAACATGATTGGACTTAGTGTCATGGACATTCTCTTTGGGCTCATGCATTACGCTTCTGATATACTCTCGCCTCCCGACCGCACAGGGTCGGCACATTCCGAGCAAAAATCGAATGGACAAGCTGCGAACGTGGTTCAGATTTCTCCCCGACGACAGCGTCTTCTCACATTACTAGAGCAGTGCATCGGAGATCTTGCCACGCATATCTACTACGGAGACCAAGTTGCAGACATGATGCGGGCTATTCTCAGGCGTTTCAAGCCTGCTTCTAACCAAGATAGTTCCATGGGATCCACATTGGCAACGGTTCACGAATCTGGAGTGGCACATGTGGATCTAACGAATTCAGGCTCTGAGACAAATGGAGAGAAATCAAGCACAGAAAGCTTCTCGCATGCTGCTGCTAAACTGACTGCTCTCCGAGCTGTCAAGGCTATCCTAGCCGTGGTTAACTCGAAAACCCCAGCCACCATGTCTGGTGCAGAATCCAGGCACCCAGTCGGAATTCAAGTCTGGGAAGGAACCCAAGTACTTCTTCGTGATGCGGATCGGGATGTTCGCTACGCCTATACCGATGCATTTCTTTCATGGCTGAATATTGAAACCAATGGGAACGACCTCAAAGTGCGAGTAGATGCACCGAGACACACCAAGACAACATCCAAGAGAGACTCTGAACAGGTGGAGAGATCGAATCGACGAAGTACCTCTGCTGCTGGGAACCCGAGGGACAAAGTGACGCTGGCGGCACAATCTACCTTCCTTCGTCTTCTACATCTAGCTATCTATGATGCAGCACTCGAAGCGCCTACCGACGACGCCGAGGTTCTGCTGCTATATCTGCTTCTGACAAGCCTCGTGGAGAACGTTGGGGTGAATGCTGCTCAGTTTGGTATCCCCATGATTATCACGCTACAGGGTGATTTGTTTACGTCCATGGAATTGAGTTCCTTCGCAGCTCGGGTGAACATTGGAAGTTTGGTACACGGATACCTTCTCGCCCTGTCGAAGCACTTCGACATGCAGTCCTCTTCTATAGGTCTTGAGATATCCAATGAGATCCACCAGCGACAGGATAAGGGATATTGGCTTTCCAAGATTCGCCTGCCTCCGGTCGGTCTCGATGACATTATTTCTGAGGGCGAGAAGAACCTTGACAATGTCTCCACATCTCCGCCTCCATTGACACCTTTCCGCAACGTTGACGGACTTGTCTATCTGATTGACGAGGCTTATCGCCATAGGGTCTCATCCCCTCCACACAGCCCTCCAGCCTCGCCAGCGCGGGGATTTACATTCCCTGTCCTTGGACCCTCCGCAACAACACCGTTGCATTCATTGGTTGAAGGCGGCCTCCCGTCTGTCGTCAAAGAGCAAATGTTGTCCTCCTGGTCTCGTGAGGCATGTCTCGCTGCTGTCGATAAGGAAAGTACCGGAACTTCATCAGTTCACGGCTCTCGGGCTACGATTAATGCTCGCAACAACCAATCCAACGGTTCCCCTACTAGCTCCCAGGATAATCGCCGCATGAGCGTCCCAGAAATATCAGCTTCTTCATCCCAAGGTTCGAGCAGAGGCTCACCTGTTCGCATAAATGAACTTCGCCGCGTACTCTCAGTTACCAACGATTCCCAACTCCGGCGCCTCAGTCCGTTGCGTGGACGACTTGACGCATCAACTGCTAGCATCGTCTCTTCTGGGAGCGATAGCATGATCAGCGGCAATTTTTCTGTCTCCGAAGTTGACGGAGATGCCATTTCTATCCGCCCAGAAAGTCAGAAAATGCTCAAGGAAGAGGGAATAGAGACACCCCGTGCTTCTGCCGCAGCATTTGTCCTATCGGGTGACAATGCTTCAACCAACGACATCTCAAATGTATCATCTCTGAGTGGTCCCGATTCAGATGCGAAAATCCCCCCAGTGCCACCGATCCCAGCCGGCTTGTCCATTCCAGGTGGTTTCCCGAACGACTCGCAACGCTCATTGTTATATGATCGCCCATACACTGCCCCGGATTCATCACAGCAGTCTTCTGTGAACGATAGCGCCGAAGCCAGTGCCTTAAACAATAAGCCTCTGAACCGTAACAAGAGTCGGTCCAACTATAACCTTGCCGAAGATGGGGTTCCCAGCCTCTTGAACGATTATGAATCCAATGCCATCGATGGCACTCACCAAGATCAGCTAAGAAAGCTTTTGGATGGGTTCCTCTCGCCCGAAAAAACCACGCTGGCGAATGGAAACCGCTCATCATCCGCCACACCTACCTCCAGGGTTCCGCTGGGCGGATCTCAACGCAGACGAAAGGCCAGCGGAGGTCTCGGCCGGCCGCCCTATTGATCTTTTATTTGAATTGTACCTTATTGTCAGTCTGAAGAGCATGACTCTTCTGGCATTTCTGCCGCCATTTCTGTTCGCTGACTCTTTATATGTCTATATAATTTTCTTTCTCTTATATTTTCTTTTTCTTTTGTTCCCACCACCGTGTCTCGGTCTGTATGGATTCTATCCTCGAGCCCGTTTCGAATGCTGAGTTGCCCGCTCGTAAAAACGGGGCCCAACTTCTCTCGGATGTATCTTTTTTTTGTTGCCTTTCTCCCATTCGATGTCTATCCTTGTCAGCTTTTCCTTTTATGTCTGCATATGTTTCCATCTTGAACATGCGGGATTCTCGTTTTAATCTGCATTCACATTTTATTTATTAGCTTGCGATAGGCTATCGCAGCATGGTGTATCTAGCTACATTGTCGGTAGACAAAAAATAGACGGGGCTAGAATCAACTTGGACAGAGCATCATATTTAGATCACTTGTTGTATGGATGTGTATCTCAATAGCCATGTGTGGCATTGGGATAGACTTCGATCTCGATGCTAACATCTAAAATACCATATAAACACAGTTGGGATATCATTGAATAAGAGAAAACGCCCGTTGGAGGAGAAATATTCAAAGCTGGCGCTGTACAACGAGACCCGGCAATGATGGGCGTGCCTGCTTCCCTAGCGGAGCAAAGTAATGCTCAAAAGTGTTGCGCAAGACTTTCTCAGATAGTTGCATATGCTGCCCGGGCACAGTCTTGAAATCCAGCTTGCCTTGCTCATCAAGCTGCTTCAGTCCCAGCCAATCCTCCTTGTAGATCGACCTCTCTTGTAGAGGCGTCACCTCTCCTGTAGTAGCATTGACCTCGGAGAAGAGAGCAGTCTCCTTGGGAACAGCAACAGTATCCTCCTCAAACATGAACATCGCAAACCGATTCAGCGATGCTAGATTCTTCTTATACGTTTCATTTTTGACTGCACGCTCGTTGTTGATATCCGCTAGGAAATTGCTGTTCTCCAGGTACAAATCCAGCTCCGTGGGATCACGGAAGTACTGCGCTGGTACGACCCGTGACTGCGCATAGCTTGTCCACCGTCCTGATCGCAACAGTAGCTCAACACTCCTACAGATCCAGTCGCTCGGCCCGCAGGACTCAAACTCAGAGATGCCATTGTGCTGGCTGCCGAATGTGACCAGATTGTGTACAGGCGGGGAATTGCACCTCTCGATGTATCCGCGTAGGAATTGGCCGCCCTGCGAGAAGCCTAGGGCGTTGATGGCAGGTGCTGTGCTGAGGATTGGGTCCGCTGCAAGCTGTTCGCAGACTAGCGCGATCTGCTCCGTTACGTTGCCAATGAAGGTTGATGAGCGGTCTTTGCTGCCGTCTTCGCCGAGTCGGATCAGATGCACGTAGGTGCCTGGATTAGTGGATTCCGCTAGTTGGGCGACTTGAATGAGGCCTTCGCGTTGGAAATCATCGCCTAGACCGTGCCAGATCACGAGTGGAAGCTGGGTTTCGCTGTCTGGTTCTGTTGGGGATTGCCATGGGAGCGCGACTGAGAGGACTCCGGTGACTAATGAGGCCAGGAGTGTGATGGAACGCATCATAAAATGGTCGAACAAACAAGATATTTTTGAGATGTCAGTGTTGTTGGTGATTGAGGATAGTCGTCGAGCTGGAAATGACGTTGCTTCGAACGCAGGTACCAGTCATGTGATGCTCGCATAAGGCAATACATTCAGGGCTACATCGATGTACAAACATTTGGAGGTTGACATCGTAAATCTACTATGTACCTACCTGCAGAAAGGAACTGGGATAACATACAGGAAAGAACAATGGCTTAGAACAACGGGACTAGATTGTACAATTGGTGAGGTCAGAAGATATTAGTCTATTCATTGATTGGTTGGTATAGCTTAGTATAGTAGGTATAAAATCCACCTTAGTGTGAGATAGAACATTTTTTCTTTCAAGGTGCAGAGGATGATAAAACACTGCGTGACACAGCCAGTTCGAAAACAGGAGATAACAGAAAAGCCAGGGGAAGAAAGGGCTGTAGATTCGAGATTACCATGAGAAGAATTCCATTGAGACGGCAAGGCGATGTGTATTCCAAGGCTGTACCCTCGAATCCGGCAGGCTGGCCGCTGACGACCTTTTTCATGGGACGAGACACATAATTCTCCGCATGCTCTGTGGACTCTATTGTATGTGCCACTAATCTGACACTCTGGATGAAAGTATCCCGTGCACATTGTTAGGGGCATAACCACACAGGGCTTATCGAGGAAACAGATTGGTAATCCAGGTAGCTGTCAGGGTCTCTTTTGCCTTATCCTGGTCAACAATAGGAGATCCTTCGTGGTCGAGTAACATTGATTGGGATGACATGCTGTTCATGACCACCTCTGAGCTGGAATTTGATTGCGCCACTGGTCGTCCGTTGATCTCAATTTGAATGTTTTCGATGGTATCCATGATCGAGAATGAGTTTCTAGCTCTTCGTTCGGGTCTAGGAAGCTCAAAAAAGGTCGATCCATTGCTATTAGCTGCTACCAGTCGCTTCCGGTCATTTTCATTCAGTCTTCGTCGCTTTCCAAACCGTTCAATTTCCTCCACGGACATGAAGGCAATTTCAAGCGGACGTGTAGCGGATACAGCTGCCCAATCGGGTTCTTGGAGAAGTCGATGTTTGACCTCGCTCAGCTCCTTGGCACCATGAGAGAATTGTCCTCCAGTCACATGTGAGACATGCTCTTCCGTAACTCTGGAGTTAGGCAGACGACAGATTAGTATGAGACGCAGCAGATAGATTGGCGGAAGCAAAGCCCAAGCAGCCAACAGTTCTGGACTGACTGATTCTTGTCTGACCCTGCCTCCTCCACACTCTGATCTGTGATGCTCGAGCCCTTGAATGGTCCAATATCTGGGAAGTTCCGAAATGGGGAGGGAGGGGGAATGACGATGCCTTTCTGAAGTCGAGACTTGGCGAAGTTCTGTTTCTGAGCTTTGGTCAACAGGCCTGAGCGGTTGTGATGACGCTGCAGCTGGCCGCCTGTCCAGTTCATCATGCCAAGGAATGGATAGTGGGGAGTGGAGGTTCGAGAGAGCAACCTTGGAAGTCTCCGACGTCAGTTCCACGCTTGAGGACTTGAGGATGTGGGGGTGTTTGTTTCACAATCGAAGCAAACAGCCCAAAGCGAGCAAACCATAGGTCACGTGACCACACCACCTACATAAATCTTTTTCGTCCTTTTCTCCCTGTCCCTCTTCCTCCGTTAATCATAACCGAGACTGCCGCCATAACAGCCTGTATTATGACTTGTTTCATGCCAACTCACCCTCTCTTCCGACAATCTCCGCTAACAGGTAAGCCCATTGTCTTGGATTCTTTTGCAATATGCACTGTTCCGAGGGTATCACCCTTTATGATGAACAAACAATATTTAAAGCATAGTTCACCTGAGATCTTCGGATTGTTGAACGAAAACATATTCCATCTTTCATTTTCTGATTCTGTCAACCTCAATGTTCTTTTTACACATTCTATTCTCTCGAACCTGGCTGACTGAAACAAAAGAAGACCGAAACATAGGAAACACGCCTGCATTGCTGCCCAACGTGGGTCTGGCTCGCCCCGTCCCGTTGTCCAGTAATCTTAGATATTGTTACCATTGGATTATTTTTGATAATTTACATTTATATTGCCAATTATTTGCATTTCACTATATCTACCTACTCCGTACGGAGTATTATTGTTTCACTTCGAGTATCAAGAATGTACATCATTCCGTACAGGATGACCTCAAGCTGCAGGTATACTTCCGTGGCGCTCAGACGTGGGAGTCTCTCCTCCATTCGATACCTGCAATCATTTTGTACATCTCATCGACACACGAGGCGACCTGCCGATCGTCCAATTCGGACATCATCCTGCAGCGTCAGCCTGTCAACTATCACCAATCATACTTCTCGCCAAGCACTCAAGACGCCGAGCCCGTCTCACCGCTAGAAAGCATCCCTCCACTCAATCGAGCGAACACCCCCCCTAATCTGCAGACTGCCAACACCGCCAGTCCGTGGCACTGGCTCTCAGGGTGCCAACAGCGCACTCGTCTCCTGCACGATGCGAGACTGGCACACGCCATGTGTGATGGCCCACAGTCCCTCCCAAGTCCGAGCTTTCGATTTTTTGTGTACTAAAAAGCCGCTGATCCCCCTCTCTCGGTTCAATTTCTCTTTTTCTTTTCCTCCTTAACTCTGGATACCCCTTTTCAACGACCTACAACTGTTCATATTATCTCACGCTACATATCCTTCTTCAACGACATACCCAACTCAGTCCCTGGACCCAGGACGATCTTCTTTTCTTTAACCCAAGATTCCCTGGTTTTTGATATTATCACTGCCACAAGGATTTCTCTCTGCCACATACTTCCCGGACAGGATTTGCTTTCTTGTTTATCTTCCAGGCTTTCTTTAGTCTGCCCTTCGACAAACACTCAATAGGTAGCTCCCGTCACATTTTCTTTGCAATTGGTTCTCCTATGCGTTGTTTTTTTTCGTTCGCTTGCCTGTTTCCCGGATCTGTACCGTCAACTGTGCTTGCCAAGGATTTCGACAATCTATTACCCAGGATGGACTCTAGATCTACTCTCGTCCAAGGACTCTGACCAAATTCGGCGACCAAGAATAAGGATCCAAGACCGAGGATACTTGCCCTCAGCACCTGCTGAGTGAATCTCTTTGAGATGTGTTTAATGTTTCGCACACTCAAATCGCCAAATTCCCACTGCCACTGGAATACTGCCATGGATGTTTCTCCTTTTGACCTTGCCTCTGCTCTAAGACCGGAGTTATGAGCGTGGATTTTTATTTACCCTTGGATCCTATTGCCCCTGGAGACAACGCCCCTGGAATGAATCAATTGAAACCTACCTAGGACTTGAAATGCTGAACTTTTTTTTTGCCTGGAACTTTGATGCTACTATGGCCACTTTCTTTCAACAATAATGGAATCTCTTTGCCCAAGGATCAACCGAGGAAACCCAAGCTAATGTGCTTGCTCGCTGTCAATGATGATTTTGAAGCATCCGCTTTAAGAAAAATCTCCCCTAGGCTATTGATATATGGACCTTGGCCGTGTATACCTGATCTGATCTGGCCACCAAACTTGAACGACTTGCTTTTTGCCTTGCCTGGACTCACCTGGATGATGATCATACGACTACTTAGTAACTTTGGCCATGATGACTCTGTTTCTCCCTACCCTGGCCACACTTAGCACTTCGTTGGACCGACAACACACCTGGATCCGAACATAGGTACGACAAATTTGACCAGGACTCTACAATGCTCGATCGGCCAAGGAACAATTTTCAATCCCCAGAGTTACTTTGGTGCGTAAAATGTAATCACGACGCGAAAGCTGATCTTATTGCTGACTTTGACCAGGTCTCAAATCACTTCTGGACTATGGAGCTTCTGTTCTTTTTTCTGTTTTGTTTTGCTTTTTACTCATTCGATGTTGAATAGTAGATACTAACCCGTGGTTTACAGTGTTTTTCTCTCTCGTACAATCACACACACACAAACACACACACAATGTCTCCAAGGACCAACAGCGACTCTGAACGGGTCTCTCTCTCACAGCCCATGCACACCTCCATGGTTTCAGGAATCTCAAATCTTGCCTCAAGATCAATCCAGGATGATGAAATGTCGAGCCATGACAGTTCCTCGTTATGCTCAAGTATCCGTACAACCCATGGAAATACCCAGGACATGAAAGACTGGACCTTGAGCCGCCAAGAATCTATTGACCAGGCTATGTCAAAAGCAGACTCACCCGAGGTGCACATGCTTTCTTTCTCGCTGTCTCAGCAGCTCATGACCCCCACGGTCGGACCACATGATGTTATGTACCCAGGTGTGGACTTCCCAGCAGTCCCTGACATGAATGACCATGAAATGTCCCGGGATCTTTATAACTCTTTCCTGGATTTCTCTTCTGTTGAAAATGATGTCTGTGTCGGCAATGGCACGCCAGATGATGCTCTCTCCATCGGACACAGCTCCCACAGTACCGAGGATGGTCACTATATCACAGGCCCAGAGTCATGGACCCCAATGATGCATGATGCCCATTACCCAGGAACTACCATGGAACAATTCTCTTCAGGTCTTTTCCAGACCGTGCCGGTCTCTCCACCACTGACCGACGCTAGCAATGACATGTCTGTCACTTCTTCTTGCTCCCACTCAGGATTCACTGCTTTTATGGCCCCAGATGATGCACTTCTGGGAGATTTTGTCGCGTCGCCTATTGGAGCGACTCATGGACTCCACCCAGCAGAGCCTTTGTTCCCTAGCAGCTCCCTCAATGACAGAGACATCAACAGGTGAGTTTTGAAGAACGGCTGATACAGAAGGCAAAGAAATACGGCCAGAACCCTAACCACATCGTAGGACTATCAGACCATCCAAGCAATCCCGCCGCTCAGCATTGTCGGCCGTTTCTCAGCACCAAGGAAAGACCGATCCCGAGTTCTTCCCAAGCCTTCCAGTGAGAGAGCCAACCCGTCAGAGATCCAAGGAGGGTGCCGAATCTCGCAACCCGCGAGAGCACCAATATTATTCCATGTCTACTCACAGTGACGGAAAATACTACTGCCCATTTGCTACTGGAGAGAAACCCTGCAACCACCCACCTACCACGCAAAAATGCGCTTACCAGCAAGTCTTCCCGTGATACAAATTTGGTAACTTTGAACTAAGCTAACCGATATCAACTAACAGCAAGTACCTGGATTCCCATTTGAAGCCATACCGCTGCAAGGTCCCCGCCTGCATTGATGCTCAGCTGCGATTTTCCTCAAACGCATGTCTCTTCCGCCATGAACGTGAAGCCCACGGACTACATGGCCATGGAGACAACCCTCACCTCTGCCTATGGGAGGGATGCGAACGTGCCGTCCCAGGAAATGGATTCCCACGGAGATGGAACCTTTACGACCACATGCGCCGTGTGCACGACTATGCTTCCTCCGAGCGCCACAGCTCGCCAGAGACCTCCCCTGGCGCTGGTCAGATTAAGAAGAAGGAACCCACTGGTCGCAAGAGAAGAGTCACTGGTGCCACCCCGGCCCCAACCATGAAGCGCACCCGCTCCGTCCACTCCACAGCCAGCTCTGTCAAGGCCCCTCAGAATTCTGCCAGCCTTGGACAGCGCCTCCAGAACGCCGAGCAGAACTACTACAAGTGCCGCTCTCGTTTGCTCGAGGATCTGGGTAGCATCTCCCCTAAGGATACCTCAATGCACGACAAGGTCAATGCCGGCCTCCAGGAACTGTTCACACTGGGCCTGAACTACCGCCACCTTGAAGCTAGCCAGGCTGTTTCTCACATGCCCAATGGATTGCCCGCCTGAAGGGACTTTTTTTGACAAGCTGTAGGCCTCCTTCCCGGAGCAAAACAGTGATTTTCTTTTTATACATGAACAACTTCACCGGAGGATTTTCTTGATTTCCTTTTTTACTCGGCGGCTAGACTGTGCTGCTTGCTAGCCATGCGCTTTCAACACACGGAGGAACCCAGTGCGATCGCTTGCGAACACAATCTTCCTCCGGCCAAAGGGTTGTCCCAGTTTGATTTCATCATCAGAACATACCCAGCCCAGTCCCAAATGGATTTTACAGCCATGGATTGGATAAAATTAGCGTGAAGCCCCCAGCTCGCGCTTGAGGGCTTGTGATCTGCCCCCCCGATCGCAAGCTGCTCACCACATGGGGATTCGGACACAGGGACAAGGGCTTCAAGGTTTCTTGTTGCTGCATTCCAAATCCTCAAATGAACATCCCAATGACACAAAAGACCCGAACTTATGCAGAGGGGGGAAAGCAAAGCGGGCTACGGTGTCTCAAAAGGGGTGACAGAAGATTGACAGTAGAGAGCCATATATAGTCCAACATTCGTTGGACTTCAATTCTTTGTTGATATTGATAGAATGCGTTGCGTTCTGTATTTTGTTTTTAATGAATTTTTTCACTTTGCATCCACCCTCCAAACAATTAGGACGTAAAAAGATATTGTAGATCTGGTATTCCAAAGTCATAACCTCGTTATTTCATAACTATCAAGTGACTTTTTCTAGCGTCATGAAAAAGACATCTAATGTATCTAATACCCAAAAGCAAAGCATCTAATCTTCAGCATCCTCTGCGACCTCGCCCGAGATCTCAGCATTAAGGAACCGCACAAATGCATCCCCAATCTGATCAGCTGTCAGCGCACCACTTCCAGCACCATGTCCCCGACCAATGTATGCTCTGTTCAAGCTAATCCACTGTCTGCGCAACCGCTGCAGTCGCGGTAGAGCCAAGATGCCGCCCGCACCGGCGAGTTCATCTGTTGTTCCGGACATAGCGATATGCGATGGAACGAGAACAGGAACAGTTCCCTCTGGGACGTCAATGGCGATTCCATCCTTGCGCTTGCTCTGCGCAAGCGCTACCTCGGCAGATGGACAATTCTGCGTGAAATTGCGGATTGCAGTCACGACTGCTGACGTCCGCTTCTCCATTGCGTACATTGCGTTCGGGTCCGTGGACACTGCTTGCACGGTGGCTTGGTGAGGGACGAGGCGCGCGCGTACTGAAAGTCCGCCGCGACCGCCACCACGAGTGCCTGTTGCTGTACTGGCGGCATCGGAGATATTGGTAGCCGCGAGGGAATCCGCTAGGCTTGGGACGGCAGATAGGGTGGGGGTTTCAGTTGAGGGGAGGACTACTCCTGTCAGGGCTTCGAAGATGTCCGCTACCGGGGGCTCCGCGTCGGCCCAGGGCACCGTGAACAGGGGCTTATCCCAACGACTGTGTGTGCTAGGTTCCTCGTAGCGGAAGATGAGGTTATTGAGTAGTTCGGGTGGGTATGCCTCCTCAGTGTCCTCGGCAGGCTGTGCGGATTCGGTTGCGGGGGTATCTTGAGCTTCGGAGGGCTGCGCATCTGGTGAGTTGGGGTCTTTTTCTTTGTTGGCATCTCGGCGCAATCTGGCGTCATTGTTGGCGACACACTGGTCGACGGGTGTTCCGACGTGAACCTGGCGCAGACAGGTTAGTTCTTGATTTTCGCAATGAATTTCGCACGTCCTGATCTCATACCACACAGCAAGTTGTTTGCGCAGCTTTCGACTCGCACCACAGCTGGTACCTCCAACCCTTGATATAATTCATTCCGTCAAGGATGACGATGCTGTCCCGCTTGAGCACACGCTTAGCTCTCGCATAGGCGACGCCGCGCGCCTCCTTCTCGGTGCGGGCATGGTCATAGACGATCCGTGGGTGAGAGGTATCGTGTGAAGCGACAATATGCACCTTGTATCTGGACTTCAAGGAGACCTGCGCGCCAGCCTCGGATGCTGCGAACACTTCATCTTGATGTTTCTCAAGCAAAGATGCTAGCTGGTTGGCACGGTAGGTGAGACCGGAGCACGGGTACCCGGTTAAAACAATGAGCTGAGCGTAATTCGGTCAGATATATTACAGAATGAGGAGATTTCTCGACGTACCGGCATCGTTGGTTGTCGCGTTGTTGGTTCCGAGGGACTTTTTTTTTTTTGCGGGGTTGTGCCATGTGACCCGCATCTATACCAAGACTCCATATGAACACTCTACACTACATCCGATCTTTCTTCCAATAAAAACTCCCTGCTTTTGCTATTCATTCGGGAACTGGAAAATCTAAATAGAAAGCGATAGGCAGCTTGGGTGGAAGGCTGGTTGCAGGCGAAAACGAGGCCCAACACGCGAGAACGAGATCTCATCTCATGTCCTATATAAGAGCTGCAAAATGATACATGCTCTTGCAATACTGCGAATCAATATTATTCCTTGATTCGGCCTTAATATATAAATTCTATCGAACTTTTGTCATGTTATCATGTCATCGTTCCAAGGGTATCAAATCAACGTTCAGACAGCTTTGGATGGATCCTCCAATTGATCCTGTGCCCATCGGATCTTATATCCAAACACGGTTCTTCGAAGCTTCTCATCCTGCAGAGAATTTAGCACCATAGCCATCATACGAAAGGGAAGGACCAAAATCTTAAACTTACGCCAGGGTCGTCCTCAAACAAGACAGCATCCACCACCTTTTCAAAGATCTTAGTGACAGTGAAGCCACTTGCCTCCGCCAGTGGGAAGAACTGTTCCGTCTTGGGCAACAACCAAGGCTGGTATGGGGTGAAAATAACCAAAGCAACCGAGTTGGGGTCCTTCTTCAAGGTCTGCTGCATGGTCTTGATCAAATTCGGGTGTTCGCGGTGACTATACACCACATCTGCCATGATCAGGACATCGAACAGGGATGGAGAGCCATCGGCAGCAGGAGGCAAATACGCCCGCAGCTTGCTCACGTCGTCACCCCATTTGTAGCCGTCCACGTGGAGACGGGGCTTTCCGTCTTCCCTCGCGGGAATGGCATTGGCTGACAAGTCGGCATTGTACTGCATGTTTGAGACCAAATCTGGATCTGGGTAGTCGGTCAAGACCACGGTGCGAGCACCCTGAATGGCGCTCACGATGCTAGGAACGCCTGCTGCGGCACCAATCTCAAGGACATCCTTGTTTCGGATGAGCTCCTCGGTGTGCTCCTCAATGTAATGAGAGCTGGTTCGGCCCGCATTCCATAGCAGGTTTCCCTACCAGAGTCCGTTAATATCTACTCCTAGCGAATGGCCATTGATATCATACATAGAGGGGGTGGCTGCCGACGAGACGGACGCGCACTTTTTGGCCGGAGAGCATGGAGTGCTCGGCAAATGTGGGTGGCTCATCTTCCGGATAGTACCCTTCCGGGTCCTGGAACAGATTTCCTGAATCAAAGTCGTCGGCCATGGTGGCAATGGCTGTAATGCTAAGAGAGGAAAAAAATATCAGTTATCAGTTTCTTATCGCCGGCGGGGTATCGTGGTGATGGCCTCAGGCACGCATATCAAGTGGGCTGATTTTCCGATTTTTTTGCACTTGTAACGGCATACATACCCATCAGGCCCACATCCATGTATACATTGTTGTACATGTATGCCGTATAAAACTGGACATGTGCCGGATCGGTCGGCTTTGGGGCTGATTTGAGATGTTTTCAACCCATGCTACTTCGAAGTGTCACCCTACGACATACAGGCTGCGAATTGCGAGCCGAAATCTGTAATTATGGGACCTCAATAGGTAGCAATGGGTTGGCTAACCTCTTTTGAGGTAACTGGCTAGGATTATAGGTGTTACCCCATGGATCTCGATTGAATGCAATGGGCTCTTTATATGTGAACATACAACATATGGGACTACCTTGTAGATAGGTACATGTAGGTATGTGGTTTGGCATCGAGAGACCATTTAGGGTTATCACGTGAGATGATTCCCCTCAGCCACCCGGGGCAAAAGCAGGGCAAAAGCAGGGCAAAAGCAAGGCAAAAGCAAGACATCGACCTTGGCCCTGACAAGTCCAATAAGCCAACCAAGCGCCAAGTGGAAACGATGCAAATCGTATACATATGTATCAGGAGCACCACGTGACGAGTAACGTGACCGTACGATCGTGTGGAGAAAGGCGGTGGAGATACAGTCACATTACCGTACGATACGACGGATAAATCTCGGGGTCAAAAGGGAGGAAATCTGCAGTTTGCCCTCGAATATGCACCCCTGAATAGATTCTGGGAAAATCTCTGACTTCAGATTTAAACTGGTGTTGATCTTTCTCATTGATGCTTGCTTTGATCTCATCGTGAGTCGTCCAGCGTCATCTGTCTAGTGGAAGTTGTCCCCGCGGCTAAATCATCTTAGCCTCTTTGCATGTCCTTGATCAAGCGGCTTCGAGTTCCTTGTTACGGTGCTTTTGTTGGGACCTTTGATCTCCTCACTGCATATTGAATCATAGAAATCCCTTTCTATTCTCGTTTGCAACTCACCAAATTCACCCTCTCCACGACCTAATATTCCCCATATCGCTTGAGCATCGGACCGCTCGAAGTCACGTCATGGATTCGACCCTACGAACAGTTTACAATCCCCAAGCACCACTTATTCAGTCCTCCTCTTCGACACTCAACCCTGCGGCCAGCCAATCTACCATGGCCACACAGACTCAAAGCACTCTAGAGGCTACCTCGAGTGCGACCAGGCAGGTGTTCACTTCACCCACGCTCCAACCCGCCTCATTTTCCCCGCAAACGTCGGCCCCCACGCAACCCCAGTCACAAGCGATCAGTAATTCCTCCAACCCGAGTGCCTTTTCCACAGGCCCCGCATCCAACACACATGGAGGCTTTCCCATGAATGCAGCCCCGGCCCCGGCCCCGGCAGCTGATCACTATCCCCATCAGATGAATAGTCTGGGGGGTCCCACTGCTACAGCACCCTTCCTGCAGGATTTCAGTCTCGTCGCTGAGGCAGCCAAGCGCGCCCAGATGGGGATTGTCATGCGTGACCTCGAGAGCGTGACTCTTTGATCTGGGGGTCTCGGCGAGATAGGGCAGGACCCGAGGGAAGGAGATGCTCTGCCGGTTGCACGTGCATCTCCGAGAATCATGGACTGGCTTCATGTTCGAGACATGTTAGGGTTGGGGTTGGGGTTACTTGGGCGTATTATAAATGGGCTTTGATTGTGCATTTTGCCATTGCGTTTTTTGGTTGAAGGTTGCGTTCGAATGTGCATCCCGTCTCATCATTGGGATATTTCGCTTAATTTTCGCGTTGATTTCAGACGGTGTTTCTTCGGATCTCAAAATTTCTGTGGCTTCCAGCCTTTATACCATCCACTCACGAGACATGCAATATCATCCTTTTAGATCTATCTTTGCAGTAGAGGATCCACAAGGGCTAGCCGTCCGAGGCATAAATGTAATTGAAGGTTTCGAATCCACCCTCGAAGTGCAGACGTTCTAGCAAGTAAGACCATGTTAGGTATGCTTTTAGGTGTATGACCTTTGAAAGGGTGACCTACTTCTGTCAAGGGTTCATGTGTACGGAGTACGGGGTACTGCGACATGGCTTGTCTGTTCTCCCGACTGAAAGCCTCGTGTACATAGAAGGTAGACAAAGAGAAAAGAGGGAAAGAAAGGAGAAACCCGAAGCCCCCTCAATGCCGGCGCGAGGCGCAGACGCCACGCTCTTAGTCAAGCGCTGGCGGAATTATAAACTGTTTCACACCTGCTACATTCTTCAACCCCGAGGATGCGAACGACGTACATAGGGATATACCGGTGTTGTACATAAGTGTCATCTGCCTTTTTGTCCAGTTCCATTCATCTTGAAAGTTGGCTTTTATTTACTTCTTCCAGGGCCTAGGCCAACGCCACATTCTATCATTATGGCCCCTTGAGTTGACCTCGACGACCCAGTTCCCAAGTCTACTACGAGAACCACTGCTTCTAAGCTTGCAAGTGCACTTCAAATCTTGGACTAAGATTCTAAGGCTCCTATTATCATCTGATGCATGGTCCTGGCATGTACGGAGTAAACAGTGGCACAAGATCACTGGGTCCTTTACCTAGATGTAGCCAATGCTACATCTAGTCTTGAAGAAAATCATATCAGCCTTTACACATAGATCCTGATTCTTCCTGGAGAACACAGGAATTGTCCAATTGACCAAGCCAGATAGTAACATAAGTTTTACTCCGCACGCCAATCCCCATGTGTGTATGGAGTAAACGAAACCCATGCCCTACTTGCCGGTGACGGCATTCCACCAGGAATTCCAGCATACTACCTAAATAGCTGGGCACGAACTATCCAATCGCCTACTAGATCCGGTGTCGCAACCGGATCCAACTGCCCGCACTTTTACTTCTGTGGGATAGGCGCTCCTGAGAAGTCGCCTGAATTTCCAAAAACATACCAGAAGGAACTGCGCCATGCTGTTCTGAGTAGACCCGGTCGCCATAATTACCGTTTCCGGAAAGTGATCGCTCCCTCCGCATTAATCCCCGGACTTCGGAGCTCAGCCGAGATCAAGGATACCCGGCTTTCTTATGTAGTTGCTGGGTCCTTTCCGGGGAGTCACTGTGTATCCAGACTGTTTTGGGGATACATAAGGGATGTAGTTCCCCACAATTCATGTCAGAATGTGAGGGGACTAGCATCGTGAAGATCTCTCTTGGTTTTGTGATTGATTGGTTCTAATATGACGGTGGTGCAGAAGAAAAAGCCCTATTTCGGGCTAACAGGAGGATGGCTTACCTTTTGGATTACGGTATGCTACACTTGACACTATGTATGTGATTGGATTCAATTGACCATGTTCTATTGCAGGTGGCATGCGCAACTGATATGTCTCTCTTCGGTTATGACCAAGGAGTGTTCAGTACGTAGTGCTGGGTAATACACAATCTGAAGATCACTAATTCCACCCAGGCGGCGTCGTGATCACACAAGACTTCCTCGAAGTCCACGATCTGGTTGGGCCTACCAAGACAACAACCCTCTCCACAGTGACAGCGATATATGACGTTGGTTGTTTCCTCGGAGCTATTGTTGCCTTTACGATAGGTGAACGTTTGGGCCGGAAGAAGGCTATTCTACTGGGCACGACGATCATGGCAGTGGGCACTATCATCCAGGCAAGTTCATTTAGTTTGGCGCAGATGTTTGTTGGCCGCATCGTCTTAGGGTAAGTGGCTCCCCTCTAGAGAGCGCGAATGATCGGCTAACATCTCTGATAGTGTTGGAAATGGTAAACGCAGCTACTGAGCCAATCAATCATCACTCGGTATTCTAACAAGAGAGAATAGGTATCAATACTGCTACAGCCCCAATCTGGCAGACCGAAACATCCCAAATGAAATGGCGCGGGAAACTAGTCATCCTAGGCATGGTGATGAACATTGCCGGCTACTGTCTTGTCAACTGGATTAATTATGGGTTTTCATTTGCAGGTGGCTCCATAGCCTGGCGATTCCCAATAGCTTTCCAATTCATGTTCCTCTTCATTCTGTGGAGCACAACGCCCTGGCTCCCTGAGTCTCCTCGGTAAGCGCCCCCGTCGTTCGATTCGATGTCAGCTCTAACCAGATCCCCGCAGATGGCTCCTTGCCCACGGTAAAGAAGACGAGGCAATCGAAGTTCTCAGCTGTCTCGAAGCTAAACCGATCGACGACCCTGTGGTTGTACTGCAACGCAATGAAATCGCATTCACAGTCCAATACGAGCGCCAGAATCCCGTCCGTTGGCGCGACCTTCTCAAAAAGGATAAGAAGAACGATACCAAGACTCTGCGCCGACTCGCCCTCGGCGTCGGCTCTCAGTTCATGCAGCAGTTCGGCGGTATCAATATCATGGCTTATTACATGCCCACTGTGCTGACCAAATCGGTCGGCTTGGACGAGAAAATGGCTCGGCTGCTGACTGCTTGTAATGCAGTTTCATACCTGGTTTTCTCGAGTATGGCCGTTCTGCTCATTGAGCGCATGGGCCGTCGTGGTTTGATGCTTCTCTCGACATTTGCACAGTTTGTGTGCTTCCTTATCATCACCGTTTTGATCCGGTATGTCGAGAATAGTCCCGATGGGACTGGCAGGGTATATGGTAATGCCTCGATCGCCTTTTTCTTTCTTTACTTTGGGGCTTTCGGAATTGGAATGCTGGGGATACCATGGTTGTACCCCACGGAGATCAATTCTTTGTCGATGCGGACTAAAGGCGCTGCGGCTGCCACTGCCACTGACTGGTACGTATTTGGAGATATCTTGAGGGTCCGTTGCTAACAAAAGATAGGATCACCAATTTCATCGTTGTGGAGATCACACCGATCGGAATTCAAAGTATTGGCTGGAAGTTCTGGATCGTTTGGACGGTGACCAACGCTGCCTTCTTACCTGTTCTCTATTTCTTCTACCCAGAAACTGGTATGATCAGATGTTGCGCCTCGGTTGATTCTTTTACTCACGATGAATATAGCAAACCGGAGTCTCGAGGATCTTGATACTTATTACCGCACCAACCCCTCGTTGATTGTGACTAAAGACCGGGATGCCATATGCCGCAAACGCCCGCAGAAATACATCGATCGCGAGGATGACGAGTTCGAGAGAACGACTGGCAAGGAAATTGTGCCTGTTGAGCCAGCGAAGCATGTTGAATGGACGGCGAGACAAAGTTCCCAGGATTAGGCATAGATTGAGATATTTGACCCCACGAATCTATCTAAGGAATGATGACCTCGCACTCCGTCCGTACCAGAAGAGCGAGATGGCTTTTTCAGCCCCCAATACCCCATCCGCCCATCCGGGATTCCAGTGCAATGAAGCTGCCCAGGTGGTCCCTCACCTGAGACATGCTGTCATCCGCGGGGGCCCGTGTGGGACGAGTGGAGGATCTCACCACCTTGCAAAAAACAAAAACAAAAAGGCGAGATACGTAATGAGCGAAAGCATTCTCGTTTCAGTATTGTCCGTTCTTTTTCCAAAAGGCCGTTTGCAGAACATTTATTTTTAGTGGGCTGACGCACGTTAGCCCACCGGCAATGCTTGGCTACGAGGAATGCAATGCCGACTGCATGGTGGCGTAGTTAGCGTTTGCTCTCCATTAGACTCGAGGCATTATGCCTGCACGCTTCAAGGGGTATTGTAGATGATATGATATGTTATTCTGATCAGTCGAATCATAACAAACGGGTCAAATATTCCAGAACCCGGTATTCCCAAACACCAAGCTATGCGCAAGAAATAGATACAACCCCCAAAACCCAGAGCAATTAATGTAATAAACCAGAATGAAAATGATCGCTGTCCCCTCCGGGAAAATAATGGATATAGCAGATGCAGAAGAACAGTGCTCAAAATGAATGATTAGACCGGAACACCCTCCTCCCCCGTGGTTGCGCATGTATGAATAGTGTATTGCACGATGACTCGATCATCGACCCCATGTTCATAGATGGGTGGCAATTTTTGGTTCCTTTTCTAAAAAAAGAAAAGATCGTGAACGGTACGTTCGCGTCATTAGATGAAAGAAGCTTGGCTTCTGTTTCCGTATTGAGTGGATGAGCCGATCAGATTCGGCGGGGAGATTCTGGGTCCTTTGGTACTGGGAGGTTTGCCGCGTGAAGAGAACACTGACAGGCGGCGAGAGATGCGTTGGCTCATTCCTCTGGTCGGAGCAGACCAATTATCGAAGGAAATAATGGACATTGGCCGCGACCGCGGGGGTCCGTGGGATGTCATTATGGCCTCGGCGCGAGGAGGAACAGTAAAACCGGGTCCGTCGGAGTACAGGGTTGAACGACGCTTGAGTTTTTCGGTTTGGCGAGAGTCCAATTGCAGCGTCAAATCTTCGCGGATATCGCCCAAGACATGGGAGACCCGGCGAAGTAGCTTGGGGGAAGCTTTGCCATAGATGGAGGGTTCTCGTCGCTCTAAGCCATAGACTTGGAGAGGAGTTGAGTCGGTTGCCTGATCCACGGGGGACGAGTAAAACCGAGGGTACTTGACAGGCATTGGGGTCCGGCGGGAGTTGAGTGATAGGGTGGAGATAGGTGGGTGTTGATAAGGGGATAGGTGAGGCTCGGAGGAGACACTGGAGGAATAGGAACTGTTTGTTGCAGAGGAAACCAACATCTTTTTGGAGCAGACGTGTCCGAATGAGAAAGCGAAGAGGAAACTAGAAGAAGAAAAAAAAAAAAAGTACAAAAAACACCAGCGTATCTCAAAAGATGGAATTCCGAAAAAGACCAAAAGTGGATCAGAGAGACGTGAACATTTTAGTCGTAGAGCTACTGGGCCCGTGTCACACGTAGATGACTGTAATTTCAATTCCGAGGATAGCTCCTCCCTCGACTCCATCCGGAGTATACCCAAGGGCCTATAGTTTGGACTATGCCGAGGATCGGTGTGGACTATTTACACTGTACATATGTACCGTGAGGATCTACGGTGTGTACCTGTTAGGAGCAAACACAAAAAAAGAGATCAAAGCACAAAGCAAAAGGTATAGATGTTTATCAGATCGTGTCTCGAAGATCTCTTCGATCTCATGACGTGGAACAAAGCCACGATCTCATTCTTCGGAGACTCGTGTTGTACTCCGTGTTGGAGGTTGCCTTGACGTTGCATTCGAAAAGAAAACACCAAAAACAAAAAAGAAAAAAAGAAAAAGAGAAAAAAGAGAAAGGCCCGTGTTGTGACATTTCCCAAGGGGCAGAGAGAGACATTGCATCCACGGTTCCCACCGGGAATTGTGGGGACAGGAGGAGCTGGGAGACTGCTGATTGGTCTGATTTCCGCTCAAGATGAATCTAGGAATGGCGCCACGTCCTTAAACTTTTTGGATGCTTTGGGCGTCTTAGAACAGAGGTACCTACCTAAGGTACCTAAGACATCAGAGACATCAGACACATTTAGACACATCAGAGACCCCAGACACATCCGAGACAGGGCATCATAGGAGAATAGAATGGTGGAAGCCTTAAATGTAAAGTTGGGTGTGAAACAGAATCTCATTCCAGAGAACAGTTATTAATATCCCCTCCGCCACCTGCAGCTGAGAAAAAAAAAAACACTGTTTTGCCGAGAGATCCACTAGGAGAACCACAGCCACACATGCGCCGGTGTGGAAGGAGATGGGGCCGTATTGCCCGATGATTGAACTACTACGGAGTAGTCCATTGCTTATTTTTTGTAAATGATGTCTGGAGTATTGAGGTATTACCCGGTCGTTATTTGCATTACCGAACGGTTAGGAGTACACATCTACCGCTCTTCCCCGCACTCGGGACCTTGGAAGCGATCTCAGGTGATTCATTTGCTAATCATGGCATCACCGAAGATGCGAAACCCTCCGATTACATCACAAAGCGGAGGTTGGTGTCTGTCGATCTCAAGTCAGCTGAAGTGCTGACGGTCACACCGTAACAAAAAAAACAAAAAAAGAAAAAAGAAAAAAAAAAACAAAAAAAAAACAAAGAACCTACCGAGAGGATGGCTACAGCTCAGCTGTGGCTTTTGCGAGTATTTCCCTTCGAGCTCATTTCGGATGGTGTTCAGCAGTTGGAGGTAACTCTGCTGCGGCCACTGTTGCAGTGATTTAATAAACGCCCAACTCAGCGCACCACGCGCCTGTCCGTCTTGGAACGTATCGGCCCTGTCTCGGGGTTAGTTTTCGGACCCTTAATTTACTGTCTCAAGCTTTGAAGGTGCTACTTACGAGGTCTGAGTGTCTTTGGATCCGGAAAACATCACTACGTCGGCCGGAGAGGTCTTGGTCATGATGGTGCGCTCACGGGCGGACTCTCCATTGACTGCTTTTTTGAAGAAATTGATGGCAGTTGAGGCGACGCTGCTGAAATCCCCCTGTCCATAGGAAGTGAACGCACTGAACAAGTCTTGAGCTGCCTCCTTGGCCAGGTTGGGCTCCTTGAGAATACCCTGCGTCGAATAGACATACGGTAAATCCAATGCGGTGCCCGAGTGGCACGAATCGAAGATTGCCGTCAGCCGCACTCCAGGCCGCAGCGGGCGTACCATGATTTCATGCATGTCATCATCTACAATATGGCCGACTACCCGATAGTCCAGTGGGTAGATGACATCGTCGAATCCATCGTCCTCGTCGCCGTCTAGGTCAGGAGTACGGCCTCCGTGGCCGGAGAAGTGGATGAATAACGAATCGTTCGGGTGCGCATCTTTGACCAACCAATGCATGGCCCGTAGAATGTTAGCTTTGGTGGGGAGGCTCATCGGGTTACGTTGGTCGTCGGTGAGAATCACCATGTCCTCCCTCTTATATCCAAATCTCTGGGTGAGGAAGTTAGACATGTTGGTGACATCGTTAATACAGCCTTTGAGCGCATTAGGCTGTCCTGCATAGTTGATCCCAATCAATAAAGCCTTGCGACAACCGGTACAGGCCGAGTACTGGAACTGGTAATTCGAGGGAGCACCTCCACCGAAATGCTGAAATGCCTGTGGGGGCGGCGGGGGCAAACTCGGGGAGTTGGGACGATGATAGCCTTTTCAGTAATTAGTAGTGTCGGCAAAGTTGAATGACAAAGAACTCACCATTCTGCGGAGCACTTAGGTTATACTGATGAGAGGGAGGCCGAGGAGATGGAGTATGACCATAGGGCGGGGCAGGACCAGGAGGATATTGGGGCGACTGAGATTGATGATAAGGTGATGGAGGATATGGAGAATGGCTAGGACCTGGATAAGATGATTGTGGTCGATGACCATAGGGCTGAGGGGAATAGGGCTGAGGCGGGGGCTGCCGCTGCCATTGGGAAGGTTGTTGATACCCCCATTGGGGGGGCCCTTGTCCTGGAGAAGGACCGTGAGGTGGATAGTACATCTTTCAACGATGCACTCTGAGATCCTGATCCTGATCCCGATCCCGGTTCTGATGGAAGAAAAGAAAGAGGAAGAGGAAGCAAGAATGGTTTTAAAGGCTGACCAGTGCCCCGGTGGGTCGGACGGTTTACGCTTTCCTCGTCTTTGTGCCCGGGGCAATGCAACTGGCAGAGTATTGAGTATTGTACTAAGGCTACAACGGTGTCGCCAGATTCAGATTCAGATTCACCTAAGGGATCCACCGGTAGGGCTGCAGGTAGGATCAATTTAATTATTCATCAAAGTCAAGGTGTTCTGATCTGACTGGACAGGTGTCTACATGGAATATGCAATCGGGAACAATCCCGTCGAGGCCTGAGGCTGTCCGTTAGGCAGCGATGTTCCCCTCAGTGGTCACGTGACCGTGTCGGCGTGCAAAGAACGAGCCGAGGGAAAACACGAAGAACAAGAGAACGCATGGACAAATGATGTAGTCCCCCTACAGAGTACGGAGTACCTACTTCGTACGGGGTACTCCATACGGAGTACTGGGGGAGTGATCCCCTAGGTAACTCCATTGGCGTGCATGAAAAGTTCTTTTCGCCTCCGAGGCGGTGGCTTGAGGAGATACGCGTCAAATGCGGCTTAAAATCAATGCTCTCGTTCCCATTCATAAAGTTGTTCCTTGGAAGCATTTCTCTCCTCTGTATGTACCGAGCAGGTAAGACACCTATATCATTCGTAGCGCTTGTTTTATCCTGCAGATGCCAACTCCACTTAGCTGCGTTGAAGATCCGATAGGACTCTGAGATCTTGGGCAATAATACGGAGTACGGAGTACACAACCCTGGACTTTATCACCCCGCGTACTCCGTCGTGTCACGAGAGATCGTGCATACCAAGTAGATATGTGTTAGGCCCAATGGAGACGGAGCAGCCCCATGGGTTTCGGAGATGGTGGGCGTAATACGGCCCAAGAAACAAGAAATCCAGATCAGAGCCTCAGGAGGTCTGTGGAAAGTGAATTCAGCCCCTGGTACTCTGTACGGCAATTAATTGCGTGACCCCGGGAGATCGTCTCTGATTATTAGTGACTCCTTATGTGACTCCAGCTCCAGGGGCCCCCCTTTTCGGTCTAGTGCGGCTCTGTCGGATCCAAGGTTTCAGAGTTCACACGAGGGGCGCGGTTCCACGGTTGGCTCCCTTGGAACTATTCCTCTTGCGACTGTTAAGAGCCTCATCCTCATCTGTGCATCTCACCTTCCCAGAACATAAACCGCGTTCTTTCCTGTCAATGGATTCGATGGATATCATTTCATTTTCTCCCGTGGCAGTCGCCCTTTGGTCTGAGACATCTTTATGACATTGGCCTCTCTCCCTTTGACGTGACACCACTCGACCCTCAACGTTACTATATAGACATGAACTGCTCAAATGGTCTGGATACTCTTCCATTCGATGTATTTTATCAGATTGCAACGTTGTTGGACGACCGTGATTTCATTCAACTCACTCGCACCAATCGCGCTCTCTACTCTTTGTCGCAAAGCGAACAAATTTCACGTAAAATCGTGGAGGTAAGTCAACCCAACCCCCGCTCGCGCTTGGATCCCGAGGCTGACCTTCATTTACAGAATGTGTTACTCCACAGCAAAGAGGGTCAGGCCGCCCAAGCAGCCCAGTCCGGCTTCCGTAAGGCTGTCGGGCATCGCTTTGCTATACACGAGGCTGTCGCCACCGCAGATCCATACTCAGTAGCCTGTGTAGGCTACGGGGCTAGTTTTCTCTACAACCAAGGTCATCTGTGCTACCGGGCTGATTATTGGATTCGTCTGCTCTACGTGCATGGCGTGGCGCTGAGAGAACGTGTCATAGACCTTCGCCAGGCGATTCCTAAACTGATGAACACCGGTCCCGTGGGCCCGGATGTAGCAGATCGTGTCACTCTTTTGAGCTACAGTGATGATATTTTGGTGTTCAAAGTGGCCGATGATGACGAAGATGCGACCGATGCCACGTTGTTTGCCGTGAACATGGCGTGGCGGGAATACAACCAGAAAAAGGCACGTCTTCTGTTTGAGGAGTCAATCTCTGCGTCTGCGCCAATATTTGTACGACATAGTGGATCCTACCTTTGGTACGGCACATTTACTGAGGCTGATGGCTCCGGCAGTGTGTGGTCTATCACTGGTTTGGATCTCATGTCTCTTGAGTTCATTGAATTCACCCTCGACCGAGTAGTTGATGGTGATCTTGGCCAAACATTGTGTTTTGAGATGCATGATGAGCATCTCTACGCAGTTTCCACTCAGGTTGCCCCGGACGATCAGGAATTGCACTCTTCTTTCTATCATTGGTTCTGCCATGCACCTCGAGAAGATGGCCGCAAATGGAACGGTCGCTTCTGGCGCCGAGAGCATCAAGAAGGCCCTATCAATGAGATGTGGACTGATCTTTCGATCCGCAAGGACGAAACAACTGGTCGGCCCGTAATATTAGAATGCCGCCGTGAATGGCGCGATGGCAAGAGTGAAAATCACCGTACATACTACACACAGCGACTTCCCACACCAGAAGAAGCCTTAGCACCTCTTTCAGGGGGCACTGTTCAGACCCCGTGTTGGATGTCCATGGGTGGTGATCTTGAAAATGACGACCCGTACGATGAGCGACCTGCAAAAAGATTACGGCGCCATTTCCACGCCGAATATGAGTCTGGAGCTACGAAACGGCAGGAGTTTATTGCGGCTCGCACCAAACACAGGAGCTACCACCTCGGTGCATCTACTTTTGTCGATATTGTCAATGATCCTGCTGGTGACAATTTGCGGTCTCGAGACCGAATCCGACTTCGCACGGTATCACGGAAGCGCAAATGTCCCATTGATGAGGAAGGGGTTGAGGGGCCTCGCAACCGATTTTTCCCGCCCACACAGTTGGACTCTGAAGGCTGTCCCGTTGAAGGTTCTACAGAGCGCTTTGAGTGCCGTGGAGTGCGCATGTGGCCTCCAGAAGACGCTCCATCTGCGTTACAAGAATTGCTCTGTCCAGGCCCACGCACTGGATCCGTGAAAAGTATTGCAGACGAACGCTCAATTATCTATTCGATTGACGCCCCGGGACTGCCACCAAAGCACCAAGCTCTTATTCTTATTAGCTTTGATCCTGCATTCCGAATTCCCATTACTGCTCCTCTTCCTACTGCTATGTCCCCTCCAGCATGCCACAATCCTAGAGAATTATTCCCCGCGACACTGAAACCACCACCCACATACTTTCCCTCTTCCAACTTGGTGGAAGAAGCACCGCCCTTCTACATGGGTATCAGGCGCGGCTACTACCTGCGTTGACTAGATATGCAAGGACAGCATTACATTATTAGCTCCAGACACGGTCGTATACAATTAGCTGTCACAAGCTGATAGGTCACTTCTTATAGTTCATAATACAAAAAGAAGAAAACAGGTTAAACTCTCAATCGGTGCACAGTAAAGCTAGTATACGAGGCCATGCATGCTTCTTTCTTCGTGCCGTTAACAATATGGCTAATCGTCTCGGGCATCTAGTGGGCCTTGGGTAGCAAATCCGAATACAGATCTTACATGAATAGATTCATTGCTAACAGTCAATTGGGTTTTATAGAGTCCTACCTCGAGCAGGTGAAGTATCACGCACAGCCCCCTGCGCACATAAGACCGTGCCCGTCCATCTCGGCGTCATCGAATTCACTAGTTGAAACTCACTATCCATTCATAGAGAGAGTACGGAATAGATACGTAATGATTGCCATAGCTTTACGACAGGGGATTCTTCGGATTCAGAGCCGAGACGAATGCTCAGCCACCACCAATCTCATCTGCATGTTTTCCCACTTCCCGGGTGTTCTGCAACATGTTCACCCACTTTCACCCACTTTCACCCATTTTCATCCACGAGGACGTGTTACTATGCTATCTGCCATTCAATTGGAGTGTCTTGAGCACTTGGATAGATTAAGTCTGGCAATTCATTGGCGATTACGGACTACATTGATACATCTACATGTACTCAAACCACATGTAGGTACTCCGTACCTTGGTCAACCCGACAGCTCATTGCATTGGAATAAGCAGCCTGCAGGTTAAGGCTCCCAGGATTGGCTTGTAACATATCAAGCGTATAATTTATAATTCATGTATTATCATCTGCACCACCGCACAGCCCATATTGGCACCCCGGTGTACGGAGTACATCGGTCCACCGATGCACCTCGGCAATCGAGTCGACAGGAAAACAAAAAAAAGCACAGCCAATCTAGATCTCGATTCTCGAAAGACGAGAAGATGAGAGGATGGCAACATATTCTCACAACGCCATATATCATAAAGGGGGGCCGCAGCCATACCCCAAAGGGGAATCAAGTATCGCCTAGGCATCAATGGGCGAAATTCTCGCTATCATGTACGAAGTACTAGCGGAACCCGGGGATGTTCATAAGAAAAGGAAACGTGAGTGCAGAAAACAAATGGAGCTAACATCCTCAACTGTGAAATTCCCTTCCAGCAGCTCACAGCTTCATGTACAACCCGGCCAGACTGTCTATGATCGAGTCCCGTTTGGTCGGGTGTATGTCGCGGAACATATCACGCGCCTCGAGGTCCTTGACCTTCGATGCGAGATCGGAGCCGTCGGAGGACGCGCTGTCGTCGCTGTCATCACTGCGCTTTGTGCCGCTCTTAAGTGTGGCGAGTAGATCGCTCGTCTCGCCATTAGAGCCAAGCATATCACTGACGGTCTGGTTGCCGCTGAGAAGGTTGTGGAGAGTGTTCTTGAGTAGATCGGCAATTGCCACATCAGCCGTCAGCGTTACCTGTTTCATTGCATTGGTGTAGTATGGCACCAGTTCCCCCTTCCAGTGGATGGATCGAGTCACTGTATCCAATTTTAAGTTGCCAGTTTTGAGCGCGGAGGCCTGCGACGCGAGCACTGGACGGAGTTTCTTGAGCATGGTGCCTATGTCAAGGATTCCAGCTAGAGGGAAGGTGTTGTTGCCTGGTTTGAGGGTGACATCCTCGAGGGTCACATTTCCAAGGACGATGTCACCGCTTTTCACGTCGAGCAGGATGTCGCCGATATCGAGTGTCAGCACTGAGGGATTGGGAAGCGTGGCATTGCCAACCAGATTGGTGCCGTCTTCGCGGGATGCAACCAGTCCAGTGTCGGAGATTGTAAATCCTTTGAATTTGTTCAATACTAGAAGGGAGTTAGCTCTTATTATTCACGCGATTCGTCTGCTTCTTCTTCTTCTTCTTCTTTTTTCCTGCATTGCTTACCTGGTGATACGATGTCCTTGTCCATGGTGACCTTGGACTTCAGCTTACCCAAGTATGAGTTGGTCGTTCCTTTGACTGCCAGTGCGGTTTCTTTCTCAAACACGACATTATTCACATATGCTTGCCAGGAGGTCGCATTCAGCAGTGGTGTCTCGACATCGGTCACGCCCAAGCTGCTGTTGCCCTTGATGACTTTGCCGTCAATATGAGCCTGGCCCCATGCATTGCTTACGCCGGCGTCGGGAACATACAGATCCAATGTGATCGGATCAATTCGTACTGGTAGTGCGATCTTAAGGTCCAATTTGGACACCAGGGTCAATGCAATCTTGTCCGGTCGCGGGTTTAAGACGGACGCATTGACCAATACTAATTTGGATTTGTTGACAACCATCTGGGATATGGCAGGAATGATCACCAAGAATCTGGCCAGTCAGTGGATTATCGTCTTGCATATCGGCATCTACTCACAGGATGGGCAAGAAAATGGCCAGGAAGATGATCGTCACCAAGAGATGCAGACACCAGAATCGCTTCCAGTGTCGCTGTAGCTTCTCTCTTTTCTTCAGTTTCCTCGTCTCCAACGACATCCCCCCGACCGATTCGACGTGGGCGAGCTGAGCGCCTTCGTCGACATTTTTGGAGACCAGTGGGCCACGATGAATGCCGAGGGTGTATCTGGCATTTTCTGAGCTCAGATATGCTGGTGTATCGGTATTCTGGCCCATGATCGCAAGCAACACACTCTTGACACATCCAAGTTCGGGAGAAGAGGGTTTCCGCGTATATGTAGTTGGTGTCTGAGGGAACAGACCCTCTGGTGCTCATTGCCATATGCGAATCCAGGGCTCCCAGACTTCGGACTGTGTCCATCCTCCGTATGGAGACCCCAGTGGACTCACCAGAAAGGAAAACCAAGGAGAAAGCGGGTTCGTGTCGGAGCAGCATTGCTTCCTTCGGTGAAAATGACGCAAAAGAAGGAGGGATCAGCACCACAGGAAATGGCGATCTACTGCTAACCGCGGCTTATTCCCAAGAGAAGCGAGACTATTCACATGGGCTGAGATGATCGACACCACTACCTCCTCTGAGCACGACCCCCGTATTCGGGAGTTGTTGTCGGGGTTTTGCGGGGGACTTTCTGGGGTTTGCTGTTGGGATATTTTTGAACTGGGATCTCTTCTTTTTTTTTTTGAGATGATATCTCGTCTTTCATCTTCTCAGCATGTCTTCTACTTCGTCCCCAATAGAGGATAAGTCCGTTGAAGCCCTGAAAGATGGCCCCGATGCGACCGCTTCCCAGATCACCAATGACTCAGGCCGTCTCCATGCTCTGGAGCAGCTAGAAGTCCTGCCCAAGATGCTCCGGGAGGGTATTCTTTTCGCAGGATCGGGTGCTGCGCTGCTGTTGCAAGCTGCCATGCCCGGCATCCGGGATGCAGGTTCCAACGAGGGTGGACACAAAGAACTAGCCAGAGAGCTCATCGAAGCCCTCCAGGCCAACATCAGCTATATCTCGTGTCTGGTCTTCGGCACCCGGGACGAGCGGAAGGCTCTCATTCACCTCCTGCAGAGTGGAAATTCGCCCTTACTCGGCAGCAGTCGCTCGAACCGCTTCGCCGAATACCCACGGCTGCAGCTGTGGATGGCAGCGACTCTGTACGCCACTGCCACCGACTTCTATCAGCGTATCTATGGCCGCGTTGACTACGCCAGTGCCGAGCGTGCGTACAGCGAGTTTACCCTGCTCCTGAACTGTATGGGTATACCTGCGGGTACTTGGCCTGAGTCTCGTCAGGATTTCTGGTCTTACTGGGATCATCAGGTCTCGCAGTTGACCGCCTCGTCCGATGCGGCGCAGTTCGAACACGATCTGCACGAGAGTCACGATATGCCGCGCTGGGTGCAGTCTATAAAGCCCTTCTTGCGCGTGACCACTATCGAGATGCTGCCTCCACGTTTGCGTGAGGCCTACGGTCTACGCTCGACGGCTGCTACCCGTGCGCTGTATCGCACCTGGATGGGTTTCTCGGTTGCCGTGTATCCGGCGATGCCGAATAAGTGGCGGGCGTATCCTTTGAGGTTTTACCAGGGTCGGCTGAAGGGCAAGTTGAATGTGGTTTGATGTGTTTGTGGTCTACAGGGCTTGTTGCTGCATATACCCGCTCGTTATGAGAAAGGTGAAATTGTTAACGTTGCGTATACTTAGGTGGAGGTCCCATTTATTGAGATTCGAGTATATATCCCTCCGGAGAATTAGAAGATTGGAAGATTTAAAGTATGCAATAAGAGATAAAATAATAGTTCGTGATTCATTCAGCCTTTCTTCATTTACAGTGAACCTAGCACGCCCCCCAGAAGCTTGGAAACATCCTCGATCAACTAGCATGCGTTAGTATGTCCTCACAGAATGAAAGATGACACGTACCGGTGTAGCATCCCCAATGAGGGTGGTTGTGTTATCAACAAAGCTCTTGGTCAACAGGCTGTGGGCATTCGTCAAGATATCACCGATGACATCCATGTTGTCGGGAGCCAGTAGCTTAGCTCCTCCATCCAGGATCGTCTGCAGCTTCTTGATATTCTCCGAGGTCAAGAGATCCTGAACACCGTTCAGAAGATCGGGCAGTGCCTCCAGGAGACCGCTGCTGGCCGGCTCAGGTGCAGCGACCGGGTTGGGACGAGGCTCAGGGGAGGCCAGGGCCAATTGAGCAAGGGCCAGAGGGAAGAGCATCCGAGAGAAACGCATGATGGGTTAATTATCGATTGTCGCTGGGATAAAAGAGGCGAAGAAAGAAAGAACCAATCTTCCAGTACCTTATAAGCAACGTTCCATCTACACTTCCCCTCGATCTGGACCTATGAGATTAGGAGATCAAGGCGACTGCCCGAGGCCGTTAGAAGTTCCGACCGATTGACACGACGATGTGCGGCAAATATGATTCTGGCCGAGGAACAAACAGACCAGAGCCATGTGAGAGAGAGCGAAAGGAATCGATGGCCAACCAGAATGGCCAATCGACGACTCGGAAGAAACTCGACTGACAAGAGGCTAAAGCCCCGCCCCCGGAGGTCTTCCCCCAGACGTCGTGTTTTCAGGGAAGATCGTCGTTGGGCTGATCACCTCCCTTTCCTGGACAATTGAGTCGGGATGCTCGCTTGTCGAGATTTTCGCAATTTTGCGATCATCTGGCCATAACTTGGACCTCTCGAATGTATCGGAGAAGAGGTTCGGTTGGGTAGAGATCGCCGAGTGTCTCTGATCAAGCATTTCACGCCCAGGCACTTAAGAGGGGCTTTGGTGCCACCTCGTCATGAGCCTGTAGAGCTCCATGTTAATTCGATCTCTTCGCAATGCCGAGAGACAGCATGTGCTTAATGCAACGGGAGATCCATTTTCAACGGATATCGTTTCTCTGCCGTATAGATCTACTAGAATTTGGTATATGGCACTCGAAGACATTCTTGAATTTCTTAAATTGAGACATATCTTGTCATAGTCATCTACTACATCGCAATGCATGTGGATCCTCTGCTCACAGAGCTAGTGCAAGTCCAAGCACTCCTAGCGCCCCCATCGCCGACACCGTCAGACCCGTGGCCTGTGCCGCTGCATCGGTAGATGAACTCGAGCTTGCTCGCCCGGACTCGGAGTTGCCATCGGTCGCCGTCGCCGTCGCTGCTGTGTTTGCAGCTGTAGCTTTGGAATCTGCCAGCCCTGTGGTGGCTGTCAATGCACCGCCGGAGATCTACGATTTAACCACCGACATGTAACTCTTGACGCCGGATGGGAGAGCGCTATACCACGCTGGAGTCGAGCCAGCCTTGAACTGACTGGCGAGGGCACTGCGCTCCGGTGGATTAATCAGTTCCCAAACGACAGATACTGGCACGACGGACAGAATCTCAGGAATGAGCGACTTGGGCGGCGGAGAGATGTTGCCGAAGTTCGCGCTGGCAGTCTGGCTGGCTACCAGGTGCTCTCTAAAATAGCATTAGTGAATTGTAACAATCTTGGAGCGAGCATTGAATTACAGCGCGCTCGTGATTGCGACAAGGTCGATGCCGTTGTCCGTAGTCGCTCGCCGATGATGTTCAGCACCACAGGCTGTTGCGAAAACAAGTAAAACTGCGGTAAACTTCATTCTATTGAATAGAAAGAAAGAATTGCCTGGTTGTTTCACACGAACGGGGGCACTCCGGAGTATATCAAATGCTTAATGCCTCTTGGCCCTCGATCCACACCCCGGGCCCTTGTCTCTCCGCACCGAAAGCGAGCAATATAGGGCATTGTAGATCTAGGCGATCAACCTCGGGCTCAACGGAATCAGATGTCAGAGGGAACCCCCTGCCCCTAGCACAATGCGTCTGATTCTCGGACAATTTGCCCAGATCCTTGGTGGGGGAGATGTGTGTAGTCGTTGGAAATGGATCTTCTGTAGATCGATGGGAATTTCACTTCAAAATTCAGCGTTAGATTCATGGCAGGTACAATATCATTTTCATCAGTAAGAAAAGACACATGTAGTACCGTAAAGGGGCCAGGGAATGTAGAAAGCGCATAGATCTGGCCGTGACTCAAAGCCGTCCTCACTACTTACATGGTATATAGTGGCACCTTGGTAGGTTAGTGGCACCTTGGTAGGTCGACGGCCGTCCCGTTCAAGTCAAGAGGCAATGATCCGATATTTTGCATTAAAGTAGACATCATACAATCACATTGTACGGCAACTGCATCTACATCATACAGATTACAACACTGAAGTAAACAAAGTACAAGTCATAACGTGGCATCAATTTGGATATCGTAGCAAGGCCATCGTAAAATCGTGGTAGTAAAACAGTCTGAGAGAAGTCAAACCAGGAAGCGTGAACCCATCCAAGACAAACTCAGACACCGCCCTTCTTGGCCATATCGGCCTCAGCACCGCGCTGACGGACCTTTCCCTCGTCGTGCATATCACGGTACTTCTCTTCCTCAACGCGGTCACCAGTGACCGCGGCACCAACAGATCCAAGAGCACCGTGGGCGCGGTTCTGAATGCCCTCACCCCAGTCCTTGAGCTGGCCCTTGGCTTCCTGTTCCTTGCCCGCAGCATTTTGTTCGGCTCCGGTGCGGCGAAGGGACTCATTGCCAATTAGATTGCCAATGGACTCCTTAGCTGACCCGACGGTTTGATCCCACGATCCGGTGTCGCGCTTAGGATCGTCTCTGGCAACGGCGCCGGTGTTTGGGTCGGCAGAGAAGGGACCCAACTTGGCGGTTGTGTGGGAGGCTTCTTTCTTGGCTTGGCCTTCTTCTTGCTTGGCTTCACCCTTCATCTGGGATGAGTTAGCGACGAGGTATGAGGTTTGATGGGGTGCAGGTTATGGATGCCTACCTGGGTGGAAGAGTCGCCTGTCACAGTGCCCATGGCACGCTGAGCAAGACCGGTGGCCTGGTCAAGGTAAGACTGGCCCGTGGAAGCGTTGTTATTTCCTTCAGACATGATGGAATGTGAGTAAAGATATTGTAGAATAGATGGTAGACGGTAGATGATAGAGAATCTTTCAGAGATGGTTGGCGAAGATGTGAAGTAGAAGTTGACTCAGGAGATTTCCCCCTTTATATATCTAATGCGATCATCCTTGTACCAGCCACATGGTTCCAGGGCATTCTCCAGCAATCTCATCAGTGAAGCTTTTACTTCCAAGCTTTGCCCTGGTCAGCACTTTGGATCGAAATGGTCATGATAAACTACGTCATGCCATGATGTCATATCACGTGGATACCACGAGATTCGGGGTGGACACGAATGACGTTGTGGGTTCTTTGTCTGGCAAGTTCAGAGATGAACTGCGTCATGTTAAACTCAGTGGGCTCGGTTGGGCGCATCGATCTACACGAGAAGGGGGTGCGAAGCTTCGAGTGCAGTATGTAAAATAAGCACTAGTAGCTTGGTGAACGCTATATCTCTGAGGTCTTCTCTGGGGTCTACTAAAATATCAAGATGGTTGGATGAAACAAGTATCATAAAATCCAGTTGATGGAGTATGCAAGGTTGTTAAGAAGCATTGTGTGCGCCAAAAATCGAAAACGTCCCCAAACACCAAGTCGCCAAGTCGCTGTGTACAACGGAAATTCCCCATGCAATGCCACGCTAGAAACAGAAACAAAGGATCAATGCAGAAACAAATCTGATGTTTGTAACAGGGATGCATGAAATCTACCAGTGGCAAATACCACCCTCGCTCTCATCCGCCGTCCATGTACCACAGAGGCCAACAACCTCCAGGTGCCCATCGGGTTGCTCGCCGACTGTGCTCAGCGAGGCAACAGACTTTTCTGCGGGACCGTTGCGCAGCAGCCGTCGTGCCCATGCATCGATAGCAGGCTCTCCAGTCTCGTCTCGAGCTTGCTTGAGAAAAGGAATGAGTGCGGTGCCGCCGGTACCGCGTAACTTCTTCTTGTCAGTCGGCACAGCGGTTGCAAGATTAGTTGCCAATGGGCGGCTCGCAGAGGAAGTCTGAGAAGACTGGCGCGCTCCGCGGGACTGCACGATGATGTAGCGTGACACCATGGTAATATGCTTGTCACGCAGAACGCGCAGCATGGCTAGACAAGCATCATAGGCAATACGTAAGGCGGAATCTCCACGTCGTGCCTCGACGAAAGCGCGGATATTGGCTACCGACTCGACTTGCTCGAGGAATCGCCGGTGCGGGCCAGGCATATAAGTGCGCATCTCGTGGATGAAGCTGTTTCGGGATTTGATGGCATCTCCAGTGCTGGTTTGTTCTTTGTCATTCCGAGTTGTGCCGGTTGGTCGGTGTTCCACTCCGAGCACAATGTCGAAGAATTGAATCAGTGAGCTTTGAGCATTGCTGCCCCCGCCATACTGCCGGTATTCGGCGTTGTGGCCGTCATCGTACAGCAGCCCATTTGGCAACCCAGCATCAGACATGTTTTTACTTCCAGCAAGGTATGGGCGAATGCGATTATAGAAGACATATGGGTCGCAATTGTCATACATTCTCTGCAGCAGTGTGCTGGTTTCATCGATGGTCTCTGCCAGTCGCTGCAGGCACTCCGTTACAACCGTACTCTTCTCCGCACGGGCAGCCGTGATTGCTCGCAGCATCAGGGGGATAGAAGAGGCCCCACGTGCTTCCATGGCGACCGAAATAAGGTAGAACCATTGTTCGTCTAGGGATCCCGTGAATGTTTGTAGACAAGCTAGGTTGTCTAGCTCGGTGGCTGCTTCGTCGGACAGGATTGGCTTGTAGTTCCAAAGACAGACTCCAGCGTAGGTTGCAACGGGGGGCACCTCCAGCCGTTCAGAGACCTCGAACAAGGGCACTGTAAGTTGAGGAGGAATCCTCTTTTCCAAAATTAGCACACTCCCTTGGCAAATAATTGAGAATCGGATGGATATATACCTCTGCCGGACGATCACCACCCCAGACATACCCATGCAGCATGAAGATAAGCACGACATATGCGCGACGCCACTCCGCCTCCGTCTGTAGATATGAGGTGGAAAGTGTGGGGAGATGCTCCACCGTTGACCGCAGACGTTTGCTCAATATCAGCGCCTGGAGATTCCCAACGATCATCTCCCACTTTGCATAATAGGAATCTGGGAGCACCTCAAGTGGTATCTCGGGGGACAGGAACCCATAGTCGGAGGTGATTCCAAACTCGACGGCATTCGGTACGGGAGGCAACATGATGATAGCGAGGGGGGGGTTCAAAGAGGATCGGAGTTTAAGAACGATTCGAAGAGATTAATCTTCCTTCACAAGGCGAGATAGTTCTCGACTGCCGAATGATGAGCTTCGGATCTCTATCCCGGGAGTCACCGGGTGTTCAGCTTTCAAGGTCTAGCTAAGGGCCATTCGATGGAAATGATAGATGATAAAATAAACCGAGACCGAGGGAAGTCGGGGGAAAGTATCCCTGTAAAAGGAGAACAGAATGGATTATAAATAGTCAGGACTGACAAAATAGATAGAACCGCTAGAACCGCCAGGAACGACCTTGGCCGATCCAAAAGGCGAATTATACGGATGAAGACGGAAGAGAAGGATAGAAGGACCGGAGCTTCAACGAATAAACGTCAGGCCAAGGGCGTAACAGTGGCAAGAGGCTATTCGACCTGCTAAATGGGTGTAGAGTTTTAAAGCACGTAATTTCACCGGGCATCCCTGGACGGCAAGTGTCCATTTCTCCTCCGTAAGCAAATCGGAGTTGGCTGAGAAGAATAATAGAGTTGACGACTCCGACATAGGAAGCCATGGGAATGTTTTAGAGGACCCCGGGGGTCTTTTAAAGAGGCGGACCAGAGGAAGACGGGGAGAGCGCCAGTAATGCAGAGCGTCATGGGTGCATTTTATACGGCTATACTATCAAACACGGGGCTGCCAAGAAGGACTGGGTGCATCCGCGAGGCCTCTGCAGTGGAGACTCATTAAGCGAGTTGGAACTGAGTGCGAAACAGAGGGCCTAAGCCATCCCTATCCGGCTGACAACGGGTGTGAAGGAGGGGAGTGAGGCATTTTCGGGCCTTTTCGCTTAACTTGGCTTCAAATTCGCTTCACTCACGCTGCTCCAGATCTTCAACGTTGATCTGTCAGGTACGGAGTCTTAATCTATGACCCCGCTTTCTACCTGCAATGTATGCGGTATGCGGTATGCGGTATGCTGTATGATGTATGCGATATGCGATATGCGGTATGCGGTATGCTGTATGCATGTTGTGCTTGCCCTCTATATCTCCGTGCCCATTCTCCGGTGTCCTCGTCGGAATGCCTATTTATTTAGACTTGGATGCCTGAGAGACGAGGCGTCCAGCTGACAAATGGCTTATGTAATGGCGAATTAATCCACATTAAATTCCCGATTCGACATGCCGAGGTCCAGGTCTCTAAAACACATACGTTCTGACAATCAAACTACATGTAGGTATGTGCACAGGGGCGAGGAGAAATAGCATACTTAGATAAGACAGGATCGTATAGTGAGCCTACTCCGTACCTAGGTAGAAAACAAACGGCTCATAACTCACATCGAGGAACTAGACCTTTACAATAGCTATCCCACGAGGTGGACGAGGTGAATTCTGCCTTGATCGAATTATTGAGTGCGAGATTGATCAAGGTTGGTTCTATCAATCATGAGCAACATGAGCTTGACCAAAGAACAAAAAGAATATGAGAAGGGCAGACTGACGGTGGAAGCTAAACTTGGGCCATCCATATTTGCTCAATCCCGTGCAAGGGTTCTTAGCGAACGCAACCCAGGCTCCTAGGAAATCGGTCAGCCTAAACAGAACCTGATATTGGTATTGGAAGCTTATACCCTGGATGTACTTGCTGGCTTCAACTACTCTGGTGGACGGTGGAATTCCTGTACTGGACAGGTTGTAGTTCCCAAACACAAGAGGTATCTCGGCTATTGTCGTATGGTCAAACAATGGGCAACGAAAGTGGCTTCTTATATTGCTTGGTCTTACACCCATGGTATGCTCCGAGCCATGGAACGGGACTGAGATTGGTGAAATTCCCGTGGTAGAGATACCTCCATGTGGGCACATTCTGATCCACACGAATCCTACATCAAGGTTAGACAAGAGGCAGCACCGAGAAGTACGAATATTCAGATTGCTGATGTGCGGACCTCGTAGATTTCTGAAGGGGACAGTTATATCCTAGTTGGCCTTGCTCATAGAGTGCTGTTTCATTGACTGAACTCTGACTCAAAGGCACAAAAGCTGAATATTCGCGTTCATTACTCCCTGCTAACGTTGGCTAAGCGTTATGGTCAGTCCGGGGAAACTAGAATAAGACGGTGCATTTGAATGTAAAAAACATACATACCAGAAAGGCTAGCTTTCCCTTTTTAGCCCTGGCAGCATGGTCAGAAAAGACGAGGTGGTTGTCTTCGATAGGATAGAAGTTATAGTTTCCCTGGGCTCTTGTTCGCACAATCTTCATAGCTGGCACTTGTCTCATGCACTGAAGAGACTTGGATCCAGTACCACACCCAAGAGTAGCAGATAGCTTATTCCAGTTCTGATGGTCAGGGTGCGTAATCAGTAACGAAACGGTCCCTGAGTGAAGCGCAAGTGCGCTGACAAGAGGAGCGTCGGGATACTATCAGATATCAATCCATATGTCGATATGTACCAACAGAGAAGCAAGATGCTTACTGCATATGAAATTATATCAGCTGAAGAAGCCCCAGCAGATTGACCAAAGAGAAGAATCTTCTCGGGATCCCCGCCGAATTTGACGATATTTTTACGAACCCACTTGATCGCTAACCGCTAGATCCATATTCAGTTCATGGTGGCAACTCCACACGACACCTCCTCAAAATTTACCTGGTCCAGTATGCCAAGGTTCTGTTTCAAAGGGTCGATTCCCGGTGCATTAGGAAACCCGAACACATTGAGCCGATAGCTCACCAGATATTAGCTATTTGGATCACAAAAACTAAACACCCACTCACTTGAAGGTAACGACGATGATATCGTCATTCTCCTGAACCAGGTTGGTGCCATCGTAGTAGACAATCGACCCAGATCCTGAGCCATAACCTCCTCCATGAACAAACAGCATAACTGCCGCTTTTTGAGGCGCCCTCATATGGCCCCGATGCTTAATAGCAGGTGCCCAGATGTTCATATAAAGGCAATCTTCAGACATGGTGCCCGAATCCCAGATCTTATACGGCAGAATACTGTAAATCGACTCGTTTGAGTACGTATGGACTTGCGGACACGAACGACCGAAGGAAGATGCATCGATGGAGCTGGGTGATTTGGCGCGTGGTGGTTCCCAGCGCAATTCGCGGATTGGAGGCTCAGCATATGGAATCCCAAGAAAGGCTCGCACGGTCTGCGCAGAATTATTGTAGATTCCCTTCAACGTGCCGGAAGAGGTGACGACTCGAAGCTCAGGGGACGACTGGCCGGCTAGGGCAGCTGTATGGCCACCGAACACGCACAGGAGGAGGAATGAATGCATCGTATAGGTGTTCCTGTTCACCAAATAGTTATCTCTTTGCGACCAACACAATCGTTTTATAGAATAATAACCCTGGTGTGCCACGAACAGACTCTCGGCAGATAAACGGTTTTAAGTTGTGGTGCATTGCCAATGCGTGCAATGAGAGACCAAGCTCACAATCGGATCCGTATAACGCTTCAATCACGCTGTTCTTTACAGTTACTTGGTTCTTTCATCTTACCAAGCCCAAGGGCTAGTGCTTATGGTCGTAGGAAATGTAAATTTTGAGTGTGAAGCTTCTTTCAAGGGCGAGGCCAATGACACATACGCTTGCCCCTCGGGACTGAGAGCGAAGTACTACACAGTAATCGGGTAGAGAGTAGTAAATTGCGAGGTGATTATTCTCAATCTGTACAAATCTGATGTTGTTACACTTCAACGCCGTCCCTTGTAGGCATTTTTGTCGAAAACGAATATTAATATGATCAATGTTGGCTCCATTCGATCGTGTTCAGATCAATTCCTTCCTGCACCAACTCCCAAAGAGGGCTGAGTTCACGCAAGAAAGAGACACGGGCCTGGACAGCCTTGAGAACGTAGTCAATTTCCTCGTCGGAGGTGAAGCGACCGATACCGAAACGGATACTGCTGTGTGCACTCTCGTCGCTGCTACCCAAGGCGCGCAACACGTAGCTAGGCTCCAGTGAGGCGGAGGTACACGCACTGCCAGATGACAGCGCAATGTCCTTCAACGCCATCAGCAGGGACTCACCCTCAACGTAGGCGAATGAGATGTTCACGCAGCCGGGATAGTGGTGCTCAGGGTCACCGTTCAGGGTTGTGTGTTCCATGGCCAGGAGTCCCTCGCTCAGACGCTTTGACAGGCGCTCGATGTGCTTGGTGTCGTACTATTTGACCAGCCTGTCAGCATGTAATTTCGCAAAACCAATACTAAATTGAAAATGACCGGTCTCCCAACTCGCCGTCCATGTGATTTACAAGATGAAAGTTGAACACCATGGCCAAAAAAACAAGAAGAAAAAAAAGAAAAAACACAGGCGAGTATCCAAAGTCTCCAAAAAGGTCGATGACGTTGCACAGTCATTGTGATAAGGACGAGGGAAGGGGGAGTGGTTTAGGTTGCTTACCTCCATGTCTTTAGCGGCAAGTCGGCAAGCCTCGCCGAAGCCCACCACCAAATGAGGGGCCAGAGTGCCACTGCGCAGACCTCGCTCCTGTCCTCCACCAGTAATAAGAGGATCAAGACGAACACGTGGGCGACGGCGCACAAAGCAGGCACCAATACCCTTGGGGCCGTAGATCTTGTGGCTGGAAATCGACATCAAATCGATGTTCAACTTGTTGACATCCAATGGAATCTTTCCGACAGCCTGTGCGCCATCAGTGTGGAAAAAGACCTTCTTGGACCGGCAGAGGCGACCAATCTCCTCCATTGGCTGAATAACGCCGATCTCGTTGTTGACGGCCATGACACTGACAATGCAAGTCTCGGGGCGCATAGCGGCCTCAAGGTCCGACATGCGAATCAAACCGTTGCTCTGTACCGGCAAGTAGGTGACCTCGAACCCTTCATCCTGCAAGTGTCGGCAGCTGTCGAGCACACACTTGTGCTCGGTTTGAGTAGTGATGATGTGGTTTTTCTTTCCCGAGCGGCCAAAGAACCGCGCCACACCCTTCAGACTCATGTTGTTGCTCTCCGTCGCACCGCTTGTGAAAATAATCTCCTTGGGATCAGCCCCAATCAGTTTAGCGATGTGCTCGCGAGCCTCCTCAACTCCCTTCTCTGATTCCCAGCCGTAGGCGTGTGTGCGTGAGTGTGGGTTTCCATAGATTCCGGTGAGGTAAGGAAGCATGGCATCTAGCACCCGGGGATCGAGCGGTGTGGTGGCTTGCATATCGAGGTAGATGGGCCGAGTGCCCTGGTCCATGACGGTAGCCTGCTTCAGAATACCGGCCGAAGGGCTCATGGCGGCGTCACCAGAGGTTGCCGAGCCTGGCAGGTTCACATCCTGAGGTGCAACACCGGACTGTTTCATAAATGACTTTTGTTCATCTTTGATCGCTGTCTCGACATTCACCTGAGCTTGGCCGACTTTGGTGCCGGAGACATAGGACCGAGTACCGCGCAGGCTGGTGGCGAACACTCGAGGAGCCCGGGTACCGTAGGTTGAAAGGCGCCTGGAGAAGGCCGAGGCTTGTCTCCAAGCAGCAGGAGCAGCGCTTGTCATTATGAAGATGATATGCGATACCTTGGTAGTGGGATGAAGAAGAAGGATCACCCCGACTTTTTGTTATCATCGCACTGACTAAAGCATCTCGGGATTTTCCCAATCAGGTTTATCCGAGATGCCTGAGGCCGAACCGGAGGTATGAGCTTTCCCGGGCTTTTCCATGCGCTGCCGGTTGGTCTTCAGCGTCAGTCTCCTACTTTTTATTCCACCTAGGACTGATTTCATGTCGTTTGTGCCTCTACAAGATCCTCTGGATCTACTCCGTACTCTCCAGTATACCCATCAGTCAATCGCAGAAGTGTTTGCCAATTGACACCCCGCACACCGAACGGAGATAATGGCGCACCCAATTATAACGAGCGGACTGGGGTCTTTAATTTGACGAACGGTTCTTGCAAGTCTCGGGTAAGGCTGCCGTGGCCAGAGAGCAGATCGGAGGATCGGGATATGAATCTCCTGCCTCTGGGAATCTATAGAGTCCGAAGCATGTATCCGTACGGCGTACTCCGTAGCACATCGACATCGACAGTCGACACGGAGGAATCCTGGCGCCTGGTCCAATCTCATGCGCCACATGATCGTAAGGCAGAACGGACCAAATAGGCCGTCCGAGTGTCCGTAGCATAAAAGCGTCCCTTAAAAGCGTCCCTTAAAAAGTGCCTAATGCAGTGTACAGCCACGCTTCTCCATCTCGAGTCGAGTCTTATGTCATTGAAAAGGTTGGGTTCCAAGGAAAAAGCTCATTCCTCTCCCCGCCCTTGGCACTTTCTCTCCTCTCTCACTACTTGGTCTTCCCCCTCATATCCTCGACTCTTCCAAGATGAGTTTCAAAGGCTTTCAGAAGAGCCTTGTACGTGCGCCACAACAGTTCAAGGCCAAATTCAACATCGGTGTGCACACCAAGGATGCAGTCTATAGTGATGCCGAGCGTCGCTTCGATGAGCTTGAGAAAGAGACCAAGAAGCTCCATGACGAATCGAAGAAGTACTTTACGGCCATTAATGGTGAGTCCGGTGTCCCGCTGACACGTGCCTCACGCCTCATGCTGACCCTCGCAGGCATGTTGAGCCACCAAATCGAGTTCTCCAAAGCAGTCGCCGAAATCTACAAGCCAATCTCCGGTCGCGCATCCGATCCTAACTCCTACCAGTTCGAAGGGAATGCAGAAGGTATCCAGGCCTGCGAAGAATATGAAGTGGTTGTCCGGGAATTGCAAGAGGCGCTGGCCCCGGAGCTCGAGATGATCGACAGCCGCATCATCAGCCCTGCCGACCAGCTGCTCGAGGTGATCAAGGTCATCCGAAAAGTTGCCGTCAAGCGCGACCACAAACAGCTGGACTTTGACCGCCATAATGCCACGCTGAAGAAGCTAGAAGAAAAGAAAGATAAATCACTCAAGGACGAAAAGGCACTATACAAAGCCGAGAATGATGTGGAGCAGTCTACCCAGGAATTCAACTATTACAACGATTTACTCAAGGATGAACTGCCCAAGTTGTTTGCCCTTGAAGCCGAGTTCATCCGCCCGCTCTTCCAGTCCTTCTATTATATGCAACTCAATGTCTTCTACACTCTGCATGATCGCATGCAGGCCTTGAACATCAGCTATTTCAACCTGCAACTCGATGTCGAGGAGGCCTTTGAACAGAAGCGCGGCAATATTCAGGAACAAGCCGAGGCTCTGACCATCGTACACTTCAAGACGCAGGGCGTCCGCCGCTCTGGGTCCAAATTCAACCCCTTGGGCAAGGGTGCCGACAGCAAGGGAGCCGACACCAAGGGCATCATCGGCCGCGGCCGTTCCAGCTCCACTGCCACCGAAGATAATCCTCCACCACCTTATTCGTCTGCCGGCATCAGCCCCAGTCCGACAGGCAGTTTCTCTGCCGCCGCCAAAGGCAAGCCTGCTCCACCTCCCCCACGAGCGAAGCCATCCCACCTCAGTAAGCAAGTCGAGACTGTCACCGCTCTTTACGACTACGAAGCCCAGGCACATGGTGATCTCGGATTCTCTGCTGGTGATATTATCGAGATTATCCAGCGTACCGATAATACAAATGAATGGTGGACTGGGCGAATTGCAGGCCGGGAGGGCCAATTTCCTGGTAAGTTTTCAATTCGTAGGTCACAGAGCATTGCTAACACTCAACCCAGCCAACTATGTGCAATTGAATTAGCCTTGAGCATCATTAACTTTCCAGCTTTTTTTTTTCTGGCGCACATGCGATTCTGAACATAGAGCGTTTGGCTTGTAAATAATTTCTGTCTTTCACTTTTGTTGTATTGCTAATTCATTTGACTCGCCTCATTTCCTTTTTGCTATGTTTTGGTAGATCGGCTGGATTCCATGCACACATTTCACCCCCCGTTCTACATTCTGCTCCTTTCTTTAGCCTTGGGGGCACCATTTGAACTTCATGGCAGTATCAACTCCTCGATATAGATCTCTTTCAATGAAGAACGAGAGAAGAAACTTTTCTAGTTCCCGCAGGCTTATGGATCTATGGTACTTCCAGCACCTACTACGATTGAATACAAGGGACAATCTTGAGAGCAGCGAAAAAAAACGCATTTTGTTTAGCATTAAGATTTAGCTTGTAATCGAAGGCACGAGGATGGCTGGGGGAGTGTGCAAAGAATTGTACACGAATAGGGTTCTGGCTAGGATTCTGTACATGGGAATCGAGGAGATCAACCTTGAAGTGCTAAGCATTGTGCCTATCACACTATCGATTTGCTCTTTTGAACTCGGTCAATCGTGACATCGTGGTCAACTGAGATCCCATAGAAGGCATCGGTGTCCCGTGAGCTTGGGGAACCCTTGCTCATACTGTGATCCGAGTAGCATAGGGTTTGTGCACCAGCCATGGTAGACAGGCTCGTCGGGCTATCCTTAGTGGAACTCAGTGTACTATCAGCACCACCGGCAAGAGCCCGCCACAAATTGCGGCGAGGGGCAGTTTGGCTTCCCGGGCGACGCGAATGCTCGAGGGCGGCGCCGGCCCAGATCGACGAGAGTGGTAGGGAGATGACCACCAAGGTCACAACGTTGGAAGGCAGCTCAGGTACGACAACATAGTACTGCATGATTGAGAAGATGGCTGGGATCACCATGGTCTGGCAGCCCATGACGAAGATGACTTTCATTGGACCAAACTCGCGCACTCCGAGTCGGTGGCGCTGTTTGATGGCGAATCCGAGCTTGGTGACGAAGGTAACGCAGAAAAAGCAGATGCTAATAGTCAGGCAGATGTTGGTTGCACTTTCTATCCACCAAGCATGAGACACATGGCTCAGTGACATGATGGCACTGCAATTCTCAACCATCCACGCGAAGCGGAATCCAATTGGCACCAGTGCTATCAGAATAGATAGCACCAAAATGATGTGTCGGTATCTGCGAGGTATTGTAGAGCAAACCACGTGGACTTGGATCACAAGCGAAACTTCAATGCAAACGATGACGAGGGTAGTAAAAATGACCGCCACAATTGAAATGGCATATGCACTCGTTGGCACGGATGAATAGTCGCCGGAGACGTATGGGTACACCTGTTCAAATCTTGTGGAAAAATGGATGACTTGGAAAAGCAGACGTATGCTGTTCAGGAACAACGCCATGCCGTTTAAGATAAACACAGATGAACGGCGCTTGTCGGAATGGGTCAACAGCAGTAGAATCACCAGCAAGGTGAGCGACGCCCCGAATTGGCAGCCGTAGTTAATGCACGCCCGGACATTGTACATAACGAAGGCATCCAGCGCTGCTACTGATACTTCGAGTTCAAACCCATCCCGGTGGCGGAAGGTGACGTTCTGCTGGAATGGATCGAACGAGGGATTTGGAGTTGGTGTCGCCGCCATGGCTTCAAGATGGGATCTTTGGCAGAAGAAATTGCAAAGCAGATCACATAGATGATTCTGAAATCTGGCCAAGAGGATTCATGGCAGTGATCGAGGATGAGGTCTGTTTTTAAAGGCTGAACACTTGTAGAAAGAAAGAAAAATCTATATACTATAGAGAATCAGTAGAATCAAGAGAATCAGGAGAATCAGGGTGAATGCTCAGCTTCACGGAAGCCGAGACAGACAATATGAGGGCAATGGATAATAATAAGCGAAGAATCGAGGGGATTCAAATCATAATGTTGGCCTACATTGTGAGGATGGAACCCTTTGAAAGAACAATGTTAAGGAGATGGGAAGAACAATATTAAGAAGCGAGACAAAGGATGTGTCCCGGCCACAGTGACGGCTGCATGAGATCGCCAGGATAGGCTTCGATCCAATGAATATGACTGGCCGGTTTGTAAAATTGGCTGCTTTCTTTGTCTCGGATGGTTGGCAATACAGGCCCCAATTCAAGGGTCTCAAGGGTCTCCAGGATCTCAAGGATGCCACTTCTCGAGGTCCTGAGAGGTTTGCTGAGGTTTAATGAGACATGAGTCTCTGGTCATAGGTTATTATTTGGCGCATCTGTCTTGTGTCTCGAGAAAGCATGAGATGGTCCCTGTGGTGATATTGGCAGGGAGAGGTAAAGAGGTAAAGAGGTAAAGAGGTGAAGAGGTGAAGAGGTGAAGTGGTGAGGGAGTGACCCCAACCCTGGTCCTTCGCTAGATCAGGATGACTCCCAACTTTTTATTTTTTGATGCTTCTGCAGTCGTATTTCTGCATGTTACTGCATATCTATATATGTACCTAGGTAGGTAATCTATGGGTTTATGCAGGATTGGAATGAATTTTGAGCGCTGGTCCCTCTTCAATTCGTCGATAATATATACCTAGGTACATACTATGTCGCTATAGAAATATCGAAAGGATCTTCTTCTGCAGCGGTCATACTAGATATGCATCAGTGATTGCCACAAATGATCAGAATCAAAGAGATCTTCACCATTGACTCAATCTCGTATACCGCGCTCAAGTACCTGTCGGTCCATGGAGGTACATATCAAAAGGCACCTCGCCAAGAAAGCTGCGGGGAAGTGCGGAGGGAACATCAGTCAACTCTCTTCCATCATTGCTCGCCATGGCGGTCCCCCAAAGGACACTCAACTGGCTCTACAGTGTCCTGTCTAAGGTTTGTCGCTGGAAATCCCTGAAAGAAGCTCCAGGCTAACTTCCCAGGATCATTACGATCCACAACAGACCTACCGCGACCCAAACCGGGCCTACCACGATGTTGCCAATGCGCTCGCCCAGTACCCTTCGCTCTCTCCTCGAACAGATGTCTACAGTGAGTGACTAAACCTATACACTGGCCCTTCTAATTCTGACTCATTGTGTGGTAGCCTATGAAACAGGATTCTCCGCCCTTCTCCTGCACCTCGTGGGCACATTGCCAGTGACTTTCCGAGGAACAACATATCGATTTCCCATTGCGCTTTGGATTCCGAATACATACCCACGCGAGCCTCCGATTGTATATGTGACTCCGACACAAGGAATGACGGTCCGGGTTGGGCAACATGTATCGCTGGAAGGACAGGTGTTTCATCACTATCTGGCACACTGGGCCGAAGCATGGGATGTCAGTGTTCGCTGCTAATACCTTGGATGCCCGATCGCTGACCCTGATGGCTACAGAGATCTACCATTGTCGACCTTCTTTCTATTCTTCAAGATGTATTTGCCAAAGAACCCCCTGTCCGGTATAAACAACAAATGCCACAGCCTCCGCCCGAAGCAGCACCGACACCCCCGCCATTACCCCCCTTCCACCAGGTGTCGGATCTTCTATAAGACAAGCTCCAACTCTGTCTGCGCAATCTCGCGGCCAAAATCAGGTGCCGCCTCCGCCTCCGCCGAAGCCAGGGGCAGCTAGTGAGCATCAGCAGCAACAACAACCACACCCGGCTGGTCAATATCGATCTCCCCCGCCGCTGCCTCCACTACCACCCAAAGAGCAAAAGCCTCGTCCACCATCCTCGGCTACACAGGTTTTCAGCCCGGGAGTTCACTCATACCAACAATATGCGCCTCCAGGTCAGACTGGGACACCGATGAGCAGCCCTCGTCCCTCAACACACCCACTAATCCATCAGTCAGCGGGGCAGTCAATATTACCTCAGGCGGTCCAAGGCCAAGCGCAATATTATAGACCAAATGGCGCTCCGGCTCCGTATACAACTGATTCTACCTCATCCAGCCAGTTCCCTTCCCAGGCGGGTCCCGCGGGGGGCAACTTGCCTACACAGTCGCAACCCGCTTATCACCCACCCCAACCACCGTCTGGCCATCCATATCCTCAACATTCTCCATACCCATCTGACTACCCCCGTCCCACCCCCATAGTCCCTGTGACGGCTGAGACACCGGACTTTCTCACTTCGCCATTTGAGGTCGAGCTGCCATCAATCGCACCCGCAGGACCGGCGCCTCCAATCCCACCTAACCCAGAGAAAGATGCACTGCTCCATGCCGTGTCCCAGACGCTGGCAGAAACACTCCGTGCCAACGCCGCACAGTCCGACACAGCAGCACAATCCCTAGTCTCGCAATCACGATCCTTGCATGCCGCTATGGCCACGCTACAGGGGGAGGTCTCGGCGCTCAATGGTCTCCACGCAACTCTCCAGTCCAATACTACTGTTTTACAGCAGTCCATTCATCGTGCTGACGCGACTATCGCCGATGCACAGTCTCGCGCTACCTCTGTCTCCACCGCTGGCACTTCTTCAACCCCCGCTGCTCCTGGCGATCTCCCATCCGGACTGCCTCCAATTGATGATGTCCTGGTCGCCCCTACTGTGGTGGGGAAACAATTGTATGATCTGGTCGCCGAAGAACAAGGCATACAGCAAGCTCTTTATGCACTTCAGGCTGCGCTAGTCCGGGGTGTCATTGGTGTGGACTCCTGGTCGCGGCATACACGTAGTTTGGCTCGTGAAGCCCTTCTCAAGCGGGCACTGATTCGTAAGATCGGCCGTGGAATGGGGTTGGAAGAGACAGCGATGTGATCATGGCAGCTGATATCATTGTTGACTGGATTTTGTGGTTGTAGATACCCTTTCAACTTTTTTAATACTACAAAATAGCTAGGTCATATCAAGCTCTTCCTTTCCTGCCTTCTACCGAGTCCACCTTTTTTTTTTCTCTTTCGTCTTTCGTTTACTAAAATCTACCTAGTACAGCAGAGTACAGTGTTGTCTACATGTATACAATTCCAATTCGTGCTGCTCTTGTGGTATTCATCATTCTACATTTGGTGTCTATGAGCTATGTATAATTCCAAGCTTGGACGTCAAACATATACTATCTGAAAAAGTGACACGGAGCGACCTCGGGAAGATACCACTAACATGATACCTATGTATACAGAGAGAAACAATTAACAATCTCATATTAGGTATCTCTTAGTGCCGAACGGCTCTACATCATAAACAAAGAATACTATGTAGGCGCAGGGTGAGTAGATCGCATCCGAACCATGTCCCCAATATCCTTCACCCAAGACTGACCTTGAGCGGTCCAATTGCGAGCATGGTACATGTAGCTTTCGATTTACATTAATCTTCTTTACGAACGGTTCTAGTACACCTAAGTAGAGGGTCCTAGTCGTCCAGAAAGAGGAATAAGGAGATAGGAAGTGTTGTCCTCGAAGATGGGATATACTCGATGACCATGGCAAATTTAAATATACACATATAGGCACAATAATTCAAAATCATACCAATGAGAGAATAGATTCAATCGACAGTCTCATCTTGGTGCCAACACTCGCTGTACACGGCATCCAAGGGAATGTTCCAAAAACATGGCAAAGTACAAAAAGCCGTCGCAGGCTGCATACATACAAAGAATCAAAGTTGAAAATCACAAGAAACCAATTGCGCCCAGTCGGTCCCAGACCCACTTATTTCACCTCATTCGCGTCCGAAAATGGACTTTCAACCCGTGCGGGTGGTGTGCGTGTGGAGTTATGCCCATCGCTCAAACCGGAAGATCGACGTGCGTCACTTTGACGATGCGAGGAACCACTCTCCAGCTTGGCAGTGGATGATGGATATGTATCATCTTCGTCCGATGAGGACCCCACGAATGTGGAGGCGTTGTGGCCAAATTGGTCGCCAGTAGTGGCCGATGCCGCTCGGTTGGTGTTATTGCTTTTACTGTGCTCGGAGAGCACCTCGACACAGTTGACCGCGGGGGGAGGGATTGTTTCCTTCTTCTTCATCGAGGGACCACGCACCATGACTGGCTTGGCTGTCATACTGCGCGCCACACACGAACTGTTGCCCTTAACGGCCTCCGCCCGGGCAAGTTGCGCAGGGGTGATGGCCGGGACAGCGGGTGCATCCGCAGGAGTAATTGTGACAGTGACAGGAGAGTCATCTCCAGGGGCGTTTTGTCCGGCTCCTCCGTTATGGATACTGACCACGGCTGCACGAGAGCGCTGGATCTGCTGCGCAGGTATGGCACTGACAATGGCATCGTTGCGGTAGATAGTGGTAGCCACACTGCTACGAAAAGTGGGGGAGAGGCTCTGGTGGCCGGTAGTGGTTGTCCATGAAGAATCACGCAGGTCACCCGGCATGAAGAAGTGTTGATCAGGTGTCGCACCGGGCAGCGGGGGAACTGGAGGCACGAGGGTGGCGGGAGTCTCTGGCGGAGAGCGGTTGGTGACACCGGGAATGTAGGCGATTTGAATAACGTTGGAAGCACGAGTGAGAACCGTGGATGCGATGGACTGGCGTTCACTGCGAGCGGCTGCAAATGAATCGTTCTTCTCTGCCTCCTGGCGTTCCAGGCGCTCCAGGCGCTTCTTTCGGATGACGAACCACCATATCAAAAACACAATGACGGCGATGGCAGCCACACCACCAACGACACCACCCGCAATGGCGCCAGTATCGGTGCCACCATCATCTGAAGGTTTAGAGCCCGTGGAAACACATTTCGTGGTTGCGCATTCATCGCAGCTCGGAGCGGTCATGGTACATATTGATCCATCGGGACAGGCGGGACAGGCGGGAGAAGAGGTTTCGCATTGTTTGCAACGCTTGAAGAGGGAGCGGGCGGGAGAAAAGGCGGAATCGACGGGCTCAGAAAACATGACGGGCGAGGTAAAATGGGACAAAGAAAAGAGGGAAAAGAGAAGATAATATCGACAAAGCCGGTCAACGGCAGGTATTGCGTAAAGTTAAAGTCAAATGAGTGTGGTATGCTCGGTCGGCGTCAAGTCGTGAGCGTCAGGATATCATCAAAGCCACAACGTGGGCAGTAGCGGAAAACGAGTGTTGTGTGTGATATGAGGGTCAAGATGTGAGGGTTAGGCGATGATCATGGTCTTTGAAATGGTTCAGACACTCAACAGCGAATGTAAATGTCGAAGACGGTCGGGATAGGGGGTCGGTTTGTTGACGTTGGTCCGACGTACATTCGCCGGATAAAATCGACTCACAAACCACAGCCGTGGGAAAAGACGTGTGAAAAAAGGAAGACGGAGAAGTGAGAGACAGCAAGAATGTTGAATGGAGTCGAAGAGACACGGGGGGAGAGGAGGATTGGGGTGCAAGTCACGGGCCAGCACAGCCTTTGGTTCCACGGGTCAGACACGGGGTAGTCAGGGACACAATTCTAGTCGAGCATACCTATATGTACTCGGTAGCCCTAGAGGTCTCAATGGGTGGAGAGAATCGAGTGATATTGTAGATATGAGATCTAGAGGGGTTTTCTTCCGATATCTAATTGAGATCTATGGTCTTTAATATATCAGATTGTTTCATCCCATGTTCACCTTGCTTGAGGAAAAGGACTTTGACGCCTGGGCAGGTACCCGGTGCAAGTGGTCTGGGCCCTCGGATCATTGATGTTCCAAGATTACGTTTTCCCGGTCTTTGTCCGGTTTGTCCTGTTTGTCCGGTTTGCACTGGCCGCCGCGCTCCCCAATCGGGATTAGTGGCCAATCAATCTGGAACAACGGGAACAACTGAGCGAGGCACTTCTCCGGTTGCCACTGGAATCTTATTAAATGAGGTGTATCAGCTGTGACTGGGATGATATATCCTGGTACGGAGTACGAGATACCAGATACCAGATACAAGATACGAAGTATCGGGTCCTCCGTACTCCGTTCGCTCGTACTACTCCGTACCAGCGGAAATCACCAGCTGAAGTCTAGCTCAACCTTAGTTTAATGATAATAATAGCCAGGATCGACTCGCACGCTAAATCGAGTCCGCTCTGCCTATGGTCAGAGTCAGGTGATCCGGAGGTCTTCAGCCTCACTCTTCACTCTTAGGTACTGACGATTGGGCTCAAGACCATACTCCGTACATTATGTACTCTGTACGGAGTACGGTGTGCCTCGTCCCTCGTCTCTCGTACCTCGTACCTGGGACTCCATAGCCAATGCCGGGGTTCAAACACAGTGGGGTCGGGGCCTAAGCATACCACCGATCCCTTAGGCAAGTTCCAAGGGTTTTAAGCCTTTGTTAGGTCGTATTGTGATTCTGAAGCTCGTCAAGAATGTGGGAAGTTCGACCCTCTACTCCGTATTCACCGAATGTTTCACCAGTGGAGCCGGTTTATTGGGTTCGGGATGTTTAGTGTTGTCAATCCTGCCCCAGAAAGGGTAATATGGTGGATAGTCTGGAGTACCTAAAATACATACTGTTAATGTATCATGACGAGAGAAAAAAAAAAAGGGGAGAGAACAAAGGAGGGAACAAAGGCCCTCCCCATGGATCGAGGAAATCAATTGAATTAAAAAAAAAAGAGGAAGCAAGAAAGAAAGAAAGGAAGAAATCCAAAGAGCGTGGGTAATTCCCCCAGGAACCAGTCAGGGTGTTGTACTCCGAATTTCATACCAACGCTCTTAGGAATGGACAGCATGTGCTATATCAACCCTTAATAGGTTGGAACACGACTGATGAGCATATTACATCCGAATCCACAGATTAAATCCAACGACTAGGAGAAAAATCCAATAAAAATAAATAAAAATAACCATCACAAAATATAGGGAAAGGGGAAACTAATCCAGGACGGGGCTAGAGACGGTCTATTTTTGACCTTTAGTCTCGCTGTACCCTCCCTTTTTTTTCCCGCCCCCTCCCCCTTCTCTTCTCTATTTTCTCTCTTTGTTCGCCCTTGATTCAATCTTCCCGATCTTGAATCTTCCTAGGAAACGCTTGTTCCTTGACCCTGCATCCCAGCCCTGGTGGCTTCACTATTAGTTGGAGATACACGCGCCTTGTTTGATTGACTCTGAAAGACATCCCTTCTTGATCCCCACCCTTTTGCGACACCATGGCCTACAACGGCTCTGGCTCACACTCACCGGGCTACGATGAAGGTCATCGTTTGCAAGACGTGCCAGCTTCGCAGGTACGTCGCAAGAGGCGGTGAAGACGTCGCTCAAGCTGACATCTGGTGTCTTTTTTTCCCCTTTTAGTATCGCGAGGATGAAGATGCAGCGCGTGGATTGCTGTCCCAGCCTCAGGGCCCCTTTGCAACACCCTTTGACGACCCCCACTCGCGGGGTGTTTCTCCACAGCGTCCAGCTTCCGGGTACAGCTTGACAGAGACCTATGCAACAGAGAGCGCTCCTTCGTACCACGACCCGTACAGCACTGGCACCGCCTACTCTGGCCACGAGGAGACTCCAGCTGCAGCGTTTGGAGTGCCCGGCCGAGTCGCATCGCCCTATGCTCGCAGCGAGACTTCATCCACCGAGGCTTGGCGCCAGCGACAAGCCCCAGGGGGTGCTCCTACCGGTGGTGGTGGTGGCCTGCGTCGATACGCGACAAGAAAAGTCAAGCTGGTGCAAGGTTCCGTCCTGAGTGTGGATTACCCCGTACCCAGTGCTATTCAGAATGCCATTCAGGCTAAATATCGCAATGACGTGGAGGGTGGAAGCGAGGAGTTCACTCACATGCGATGTACGTGCAGATCAGTCCCCAAAAAGAGTCGACTTTGAGAGGCAACTAATGAGTTTTCATCATTTACAGACACCGCAGCCACTTGTGACCCTAATGAATTTACTCTCCACAATGGTTATAACCTACGTCCCGCGATGTACAACCGTCACACCGAGTTGCTCATCGCAATTACCTACTATAACGAGGACAAGAATCTTACGGCCCGTACCTTGCATGGTGTCATGCAGAACATTCGCGAAATTGTCAACTTAAAGAAGTCCGAGTTCTGGAACAAAGGTGGACCCGCATGGCAAAAGATCGTGGTGGCACTTGTTTTTGATGGTATCGATCCTTGCGATAAGGACACTCTTGATGTTCTCGCAACCGTCGGTATCTATCAGGATGGTGTCATGAAGCGTGATGTTGATGGAAAGGAGACCGTGGCGCACATCGTAAGTGGATTGTTGGGTTAAATTACAAATGAACAGCACTGACGCCGATCTCCAGTTCGAATACACGACGCAACTCTCGGTCACACCTAGCCAGCAGCTCATCCGGCCGACGGACGATGGCCCTAGCACTCTACCCCCCGTTCAAATGATGTTCTGTTTGAAACAGAAGAACAGCAAAAAGATTAACTCGCATCGCTGGCTCTTTAATGCCTTCGGCCGCATTTTGAATCCCGAGGTTTGTATTCTCTTGGATGCCGGTACGAAGCCCGGTCCTAAGTCCTTATTGTATCTCTGGGAGGCATTCTACAACGATAAGGATCTTGGCGGTGCCTGTGGTGAAATCCACGCTATGTTGGGTAAGGGATGGAAAAACCTGATCAATCCTCTCGTGGCTGCTCAGAACTTCGAGTACAAGATCAGTAATATTCTCGACAAACCTCTTGAGAGTTCGTTTGGTTATGTTAGTGTCTTGCCCGGTGCGTTCTCCGCATATCGATTCCGCGCAATCATGGGTCGCCCGCTCGAACAATATTTCCACGGTGATCACACGCTGTCTAAGCAGCTTGGAAAGAAGGGTATCGAGGGTATGAACATTTTCAAGAAGAACATGTTCTTGGCCGAGGATCGTATTCTCTGTTTCGAATTGGTCGCTAAAGCTGGCTCTAAGTGGCACTTATCTTATGTGAAAGCCTCTAAAGGTGAAACTGATGTGCCCGAAGGTGCCGCCGAGTTTATCTCCCAACGTCGTCGTTGGCTGAACGGCTCGTTTGCAGCAGGAATCTACTCTCTGATGCACTTCGGACGTATGTACAAGAGTGGCCACAACATTGTTCGCATGTTTTTCCTCCACATTCAGTTGTTGTATAACGTCTTCAGTACTTTCCTCAGTTGGTTCTCATTGGCATCATACTGGCTGACCACCACTGTCATCATTGATCTTGTCGGTACCCCAAGCAAAAACAACGACTTTACCGCTTTTCCTTTCGGGGCGGACGCCACGCCTATCATCAACACTATCCTGAAGTACGGATACCTCGCCTTCCTCTTGCTACAGTTCATTCTCGCCCTCGGTAACAGACCTAAGGCTTCCAAATTCTCGTATCTCGCATCGTTCGTGGTCTTCGGTGTTATCCAGGTCTACATTGTGGTCGACTCGATCTACCTTGTCGTTCGTGCGTTCTCTGGGGGTGCACCCATGGACTTTGTTACCGACAAAGGCGTGGGAGACTTCCTCAAATCCTTCTTCAATTCGACAGGCGCTGGTATTATTATCATTGCCTTGGCTGCCACCTTCGGTCTCTACTTTGTTGCGTCCTTTATGTATGCCGATCCATGGCACATGTTCACTTCATTCCCTGCCTATATGGTCGTTCAATCATCCTACATCAATATTCTCAACGTCTACGCCTTCAGCAACTGGCATGATGTGTCGTGGGGTACCAAAGGTTCCGATAAGGCCGATGCCCTGCCTTCAGCTACAGTTACAAAGGACGAAGGCACCAAAGATGTTGTCATTGAAGAAATCGACAAGCCCCAAGCGGATATCGACAGCCAGTTCGAGGCCACAGTGAAACGCGCGCTCACTCCGTTTGTGCCCCCTGTCGAGCACGACGAAAAGTCTTTGGAAGATTCCTACAAGAGTTTCCGTACTCGCTTGGTCACTTTTTGGATCTTCAGTAACGCTCTCCTGGCAGTCTGCATCACCAGTGAATCCGTCGACAAGTTTGGCTTCTCGGTGAGTTTCCACCCTCCATTAGCTCTGTTCTCAGACCACCGACTAACATGATTCTAGAACACTGCTACCGATCGTACAGCTCGTTTCTTCCAGGCTCTCCTGTGGTCTAACGCTGCTGTCGCGTTGTTCCGCTTCATTGGCTGTTGTTGGTTCCTGGGCCGCACTGGTATCAAGTGCTGCTTCGCACGCCGGTAGTTCGATTCCAGCGAACAGACAATGTGTACCCATTTTCATGACCCCCCCAGACACAATGTTCTATTTCATTTTTACCTCTTTCATCCCGTGATTTGTATTCTACCTAAAGATGCCCAATTCTGTTCTCTTTTGATCTTGCAATGCCAGCCAATATGTATTCTCGTGGTTTTACCTTCACTCTTGACGTGGATTTTTGTCCAGCCCTGCACCGAAATTGCATTCGGGGGCGCTATGATTACTTCAATTTAACATATTTCTCTCGAGACTTGCCACAGTGTAAAAGTATGGAGTATCTGAGTCAGGGTGTTGTTCGTAGTGTAGCAACGGGTTTGGATACGTCAACTGGCCCTCAGAAGGCGGAGAGGCGATAAAGGGCGATTGCTGATCTGAGCCCCCCGCAAGCACTCAACCCATTTCTTCCACTTGGCACAGTTGCTCTCGGATTTCAAAGAGGTGTCTTTGTCCCTGGGGTCTTGTTGTGCCTCTGAATTCATTTGAGCGAATCCTCTGCGACTGCCAATTTCCACCGACCTACAATCTCCCCCCCAAAACCGCCCGTTCCACCAGGTGGGGTGGTGACTCGCAGCCAAGATGCTGAAAATCTGGTCCATGGTCAGCTCCTTTTGGTTATCACGCGATACTTGAACTGCTATTCACTGTTCGCACAGAAACAAAAGCAGCAGGAGGCTGAAAATGCCGAGGGCGCTGCAGGCAAGAAGAAGAAGAAGGTCACCGCGGCGCAGTTACGCGTGCAACGAGGTCAGCGACTCTCTTTCTTGTAGTGGACAGGAGTTCTGTCGCTTCTCGTCCACTCGATCATTCTAATGTGCTAACTATCTCCGTAGATCTCCAAGAACTCACCCTTGGAAGTACGATGAAAATGTCTTTCCCGAACCCCGACGATATCCTCAACTTTACCTTGACCATCGAACCCGATGAAGGCATGTACAAAGGTGGTGTCTTCAACTTTAGCTTCGCCGTCAACCAGAACTTCCCCCATGATCCACCCAAGGTCAAATGCACGCAGAAGATCTACCACCCCAATATCGATCTGGAGGGCAATGTCTGCTTGAATATCCTACGAGAGGACTGGAAGCCTGTCTTGAATTTGAATGCTGTCATTGTAGGCATGCAGGTCTGTTGATCCCTTTCTTATTGATCGTCGCGATTTGCGCTGACTGGTATCCTACTTCAGTTCCTGTTTCTCGAGCCGAATGCCTCCGACCCTCTCAACAAGGACGCGGCGGACGATCTTCGGAACACCCGTGAGGCCTTCAAGAAGAATGTACGGAGTTCCATGGCCGGCGGGTCCGTTCGAGGCATACTCTTCGAGCGGGTCCTGCCGTGAACGACATCAAGGCCCCCCGCACTTGCAGTTTCTATCGGTCCCCATATCCAGACTTCGCCTATACCCCATGGCGATAAGCATGCATTGCTGTGACCCACGCAGATACGGAATGATGATCTATGGCTTTACACATGGCGGAAACATGGTCAGCCGATCCCAGACGGGACCGCGCACTGGTGTTTCCGCGTACATATATCTGGCGTAATTAGCGTTTGAATACAATAGATCCAGTTCGATCATTTGGCTGATCAGATGTACACCAGTCAAGTAGATCGCTAGATCGCTAGATCGAGCTGCGATTTTAGGCATCACTACATGAAATGGCCGGCATGGGCCAAAGCTAATCGGTCGGTAGTCCATCACCGAGCCGAGGAAAGATAGAAATCCAGAATCAAAACAGTTTGGTTGTCCACCGGCGTATATGTACAATCGATCTCAAATCTAACCACCCACTCATACACACCCGTCGATTCAACCAAGCCCAATGGATGATGTAGTGGCATGCAACCCCATCATCGGGCGATTTTCTAAATAACGCTTTGACAAAGAAAAGAACTGGCGCCGAACGGGCGGGAAGGAGACGATCGAGAGAAGGCGATCAGGGTTGACCGATTTAACCGCGCTGGGCAGCACGCTCAGCCTCGAGACGGGCGTAGTAGGTATCGCGCTCACGAGTGCGGGGGAGGTGGAATCCTGTAGGACAGACACATGGTCAGAGATCGAGTCAATGATCGCGTGGGTTGGCGCAAAGCCGGGGATAATCTACTTACCGTACCACCAGAGGTAACCGAAGGTGGTACCGAAACCTAGCACATAAAAGATCCTGATTAGCGATAGTTCCAAGTGTTGATTTACTTGAACAAAGCTCGTGTTGTTCGTGTTTCATTCGGTCGCTCCCGAGAGACCGCGATATTCAACTTGTTGTTTGATCATGCCACCCGATCTGAATGACAACTTACCGAAAGCGGTGCTCAGGTCCAGAACGAGACCACGGCGGAGCATCTATAGGCAGATAGGATGTCAGTAAACCATTGCCAACATCTCAATTGACCTGATCAACCCGCTCGGGTTAACCCGGCCTTCAATGGAAGGGGGACGTACGCCGGTGATGGGGGGGATAGCGGCGGGCATTATGGCGAATGAGTAGCGTCAATGGATGCTCAAACAAAAACGAGGTGAATTGCGGACAGCTTAGAACCTGCCTCGGACGTTGGTGGGGAGAGGAGAGTGGGGGGTAAGAGAGGAAGGCTGAATTGTGAAGTGAAGTTGAAGCTTCGGAGCGGACTAAGCGAGCCGCCGGATTGGTCGGCCGTACACTTGGACTATGAGAGTCATCCATGTGGCACGTTCAACGTCCCTCCGGCAGGATTTTATCTCTATATGTATTGAGTCAGAACTGCTATTTACTCCAGGGCTACATAGTCTGGTATCGCCTTGTTTCAATCGACTCTCCAGTAATATGTTACCCATGTAGCTAGCTACCTAGATCCAAAGCGAAAGTTAAGCGGACCGAAGGAAGTGGTCGTAATGCACACAGCAGATGAGATGACGATGTCTTGATTTGATTCCCAGTACTATTCAGCCAGATGCAAAACGTGCCCCTCAGGTAATTAATTTATATAGTTCCAAGGTTGAAACTGCAAGTAACTACTCCGTACTCCGTACTACTGCCCCCATTCACCTTGGAAGGCTCAGGAGATGCTTACCGTCGCACTTCACCGCCCCACGTGACCCTGAATTCGATAACAAGCCTCAGCCCGACTACCAGCTCTTGTATCCGATCAACACAATGGCCATGGCGACATCGGGCGCTCAAGTGAAACGCCCTTCTTCACCCCTCGACCAGAACGACTCCAAGCGGATAAAACGTCATTATCATCATCACCATCGTTTGCAAGCGCCCGTGGATCTCCCTTCCACCTCCGAGCCAGTCGTCCAAGATGACGCTCACCTTGACATCTTGATGAATCGTGCAATCGGCCGGACCTTGAAAGATACAGGGTTTGAGATAGCTGACCCAGCCGCCTTGTCGAGCTTTCGCAGTGCCACTGAGGAGTGTACGTAACTTGAGTGCTGGACTCATTTTGAAGCTGTAACTGATCAATGGCGCGCGAAATCTTAGACATGCTACGACTCTCCACATTCATCCGCCAATCCATGTTATCTGCGCGACGCACTCAGCCTATTCCCCAAGATTTTGAACATGCTCTGAAGCGTTTCCGCATCTCTCCTGATGATCTTCTCCCTCACCTTAAATCAGCACCTTCGGACGAACCCACTCCGACATTATTACCTTCCCCTCCACCAGAAAATGAGATCTCCAAGACTCTTCCATTCCTCACTGCGCTGAGTAGCGAGGACGATTTCGCCAGCCGCCCGTACATTCCCAAACATTTCCCAAGCTTCCCCAGCAAGCACACCTATTCTGCCACTGCGGTCTTTATCACGCGAGACAACGACCCGCGCAAGATTCGAGAACGTGCTGCAGAAGATGGACGGCATGGTGAGGAAGCGCTACGAAAGTTGGCGAGCGCCGCATTTCGCGACAATCAGACGGGGTCGACCGGGCGCGATAAAAAGCTCTGGGGTCGAAGAGCGGATAGCATGGAAAGCATGTTTGAAAAGACGACCAGGGGGTTACTCAAAAGGCACGGAAAAGATTTCCACAGCACATTGACCAGCTCGGCTATGGATATCGATTCAGGACGCCCGGCAGAGGCCGACACAAAGTCCCGGCTGAAGCTTTCGTTGAATATGGAACTGGGTCCCATCGTTAACTGCGAGCGAGATTTATGGCGTCAGACACCTTCGAATGCACGAAGAACGGAGGAAAAGTCCACCAAGGCTCCTTTGAGTACCGAGCCCGCGGAGGTCATGACTGGCATGTAGACTATCAAGACATGCGGCGTATCGGCGTTTTTTTTTATGGGCTGGCGCATGTGTTTAAGTTCAGGAGCATGAGCTGAGGAGATACCCCATGGCAGTCACAAGCATTATTCAAATGTAATTTTATTCTTGAATCATTCCAAAACTTGTGATCCCATATAACCCGACTCCGCCCAATGCGCATGGTGTAATGTAAAGCAGTCCTGCCTCCTCACTGTTTCGTACTGGCTGTTGGTTTTTGTTTCGCTTCCTCTGCCAACCTAAGTGGTTCCCAGGATGTTGTTTCGATCGTCAATCCCCCAGCGCAGCTACACAATTAGCTTGCCATTCGCCATTCGATGTTCGACATGACCACTCACCGTCGGAACAATCGCACCACCGGCTTGCACACCACAACCCCTGGTTCAGGAATCCCATTTTGAGGTGGATTGCAGGAGAACTGTGTCATTTCGAGCAATGGGCACTCCTTCAGGTCGACGGGGTGGCCTTTGCGACGCTTCTCTTGGAAGTTCCGGCGGACGGTATTGACATGATCGGGGAGGGACTCGGCGGAGAAGACGGGGACAAGAGGAGCCATGATTTCGACAATTTCCTCCTTAACTGGCGAGGATAGTAATTGTAATTGACCAAAGACGTCAAGATTGGACGGTTTGGGTTGGAGAATTCGCGGAGTCGGAATTTGAAGTTCTGCGGAAGCTCCGTAAGCCGCGCTATTCTCCCCGACTTCGCTATTGTTCTCTTCCACGACACGTCTACTGGAGACCGTATCGCATGCAGTCATTGGAATACCTATGGGCGTCTAGGATCTCCAGTGATGTCAGATTTATAATATAGGCCGTTGCTCGCCATGGCCGCCAATCTCGGGGCGAAATCCCTAGCCAGTGTGCACCATGAGGGACTGGATGAGGTATTGCAGCTTTACTTCTTTGTAGTCCTGAATGCCTTGGAACTGATGAGTATCAGATTCTTTCTGCATTGGCGCATTCCTACCCTGATCACCCGAGCCATGACACACACTCGGTAGGCGTGCCTCTTCTGGATGCTTTACTCGAAATCTTTGCGCCGAGAGCATCTGCTGCGTCATCGGAAGCTATAATCCCGGAAGAACGCCAGTATCACATTGCCCTTGGCCTGGATCGATCTGTCGGCCAACAGGCTCTTGAAGATGAAGAAATGCTTTTGCGTGATGAAGTGCCAGCTGATCATGTCTACGGGCATGATAAATCACAGATGGACATCGACCCATCTGGTAATTTGTTGTTCTCTGACACAAATTCTACCAGGAAACAGAAAGTCCCCATAGTGGAGATTTCAAGCAGTCTGTCAGCCTCGGGAAAGTCACAGTTCCTATACTATCTAACGGCACTTGCCATCTTACCAAGACAGAATGGTGATATCTCAACTGGGGGTCAAGAGGCTGCCGTGGTATTTATAGACACTGACGATCGGTTTGACGCCGAGAGACTAAGAACTGTGGCTCGAGGTATCATACTGCGGCAAAGAAGGCAATTTGATCCAAATGCTCGGGTTCAATCAGAAGGCACGGTTGATCATGATCTTGAATCATTGCTAGCCTCTGCACTACAGCATGTCCATGTTTTTCGTCCGCAATCATCATCTGCTCTGTTAGCGACGGTTAATATGCTTGACTCGTACCTTTTTGATCTCTCGCGGCATCGTTCGGCCTCTCGTCCCTTGCAAATGATTGCTATCGACAGTGCCACTGCCTTTTTATCGCAAGACCGGCTGCGTGATGAAGTTGCTCGCACCAAAGAGATAGGCCGTCCTCGAGCAGATGTTGATCAGGAACGCGAGCAAAAACAAAGCTTCCATTTGTCCGACCTTTATAACGAGATGGCGACTGGGTTGAAGCGTCTACAGAATCTATTTCAATGTGCTATTGTGTATACCACAACGATCTCGGGAAATCGAGTGCCTGGTCCTGATCAATATGACGAGCCTCAGCTTCGTATTCCATCACTGAGACCTGTTCTCCCGGTACCGTGGGGTACCCTTCCTACGTTGCGTCTGATTGTCCACCGAGCTTCCGTTCGCCCATTCCCACCCAGCATGGCAGCCCAGGCAGCTCTGAAAGATGCTCCTTCACGACAGAGCGTGGTTCAGCAAGGGAAGATCTCTGTATGGGTCAATCCGTGGGGACGCGACGCTTGGTCCCGTCAGATAGTGGAAGCAATTGAGGCCACCAATGGTGGAAGCTTCTCATTTTATGTGCGGGACTCTGGAGTTGAGATGACCGACCCTGATAATTGATTGAAATAATATATTTGCAATGCATGTTTATCGACGACCATGCTTTCTCTATGATATTCTATCTTCAAGTAAACAGCTTGGCAATCGCCTCGACGGTTGTGTTGCCGCCGCTGAATACAACCGCAACATCCCATCCATGGTTGCCACCCTCTTGTTCGACTCGTCGCCGAAGGTTCTCGTCAAAGAGACAAGCGGCGAGACCAACCACTGCGCTCGGCTCAACGACAACCTTCATCCGCTCGAAGACCAGCCGCATGGCTGCCTTGATCTGCTCCTCGGTGACAGCAAACACTCCCTCCACCTTCTTCTCATTGGAGATAACTTCCCAGTTGAGTAATCCCACTGGAGTGCGTAGTCCATCCGCGATGGTGAGAGTGCCGACGGCTTCCACACGTTTGCCAGCCTGTAGCCCGCGCCGGCAATCATCAGCTCCTTCAAAGCTGGGCTCTGCACCAAATACACGTGTCTGCTTGTCTGAAAACCAGGTCGCGACGCCGGAGTTGAGTCCGCCCCCACCAATGGGAGTGATAACCGCATCCAATGTCCGAGACTCGGATTGTTCGGTATGCTGTGCCTCCAGCTCCAAAGCCGTTGTACCTTGCCCGCAAATGACATTGAAATCGTCATATGGGGGCACCAGGATGGCGTCTGTCTTTGCTTGTATTTCGGCCACCACAGCTTCACGCTCTACGCTGGTTGAGCCGCTGAAGGTGACTTGTGCACCATGAGACTGCGTGCCCGCAATTTTGGATGGTGTGCTGATGCGGGGCATAACGATGTAGGCGGGGATGCCCAGGGACGATGCAGCAAGGGCGAGGGCTTGTGCATGATTTCCTGAAGTGATGAAGCTTTAGAATATGTACCTTTGAACCGCCCGACAGAAGACGAGGGGGGAAATCAAATACCAGAGCTATGGGTGATCACCCCGCGCCGTTTCACCTCCTCTCCTCGCTCCTCTAGTAGCCGTAGCAATGCATGGAATGCACCCCGTGCTTTAAAGGCACCGATTCGCTGGAAGTTCTCACATTTGAAGAAAAATCGAAACTGTGGGCAAGCAGGGGTTTGGCCTTCAAATGGTGTTCCAACCAAGGCTTCGGGGGATTGCGGTGTCGAGGCGATGGCGTCGAGGGTCTTGCAGGTCACTAATGGTGTACGGTGGACATGGGGTTGGATCAGATCATACGCCGCTTGGACTGCGGCTGGAGTGAGCAACTGAGCTGCCACCGCGGGAGAAGTCATGTTGGGAGTTTGGGGGAAGGAGAAAGAGAGAAAACAAAAAAGAGGGTCATGGTCAAGTCATGGAGAGGATGACTCTCAATACTCCGTACCCCGGATTGTTCTCCGCGGGGGTTTCGGTGTATGGAGCCACAATATCGAAGCTACTGGAAGCTACCGAGGTAGCGACATACGGAGAAGAGGCTACAGAGAGGAATGAATGAAATGGTAAAAAAAATTTAATTTGGGGAATGGCCTGTAAAGCCTCAAAATAATATTTCCGACTTGAAACCCAAAAAGAACAGTTCATCGTACATCATCATTTTTTGAACCCCCACGGGTATCAAGGTATTATTTATTTCTGGTTCTCGGGGCGGAGAGAGCGGACAGCCTTTCCGGCGCGCCAGATCTCAAGATCGCGGATCTCCTGCATCTCCTTCTCGTACTTCTCGCGGTAATCGGGCTGAGAGTTGTAGTCGAGAGAGCGCTGAGTCTCAGTGCCGTTGTAAACGCTGTCGTAGAGGTCGTTGAAGACGGGCTTCAGGGTGTCCTTGAAGCGGCTGGACCAGTCAATGGCACCACGGCGGGCAGTGGTGGAGCAAGCGGCGTACATCCAGTCCATACCGTTACCACCGATCAGGGGGTACAGGGACTGAGTAGCCTCCTCAACGGTCTCGTTGAAAGCCTCGGAGGGGCTGTGACCACGCTCACGGAGAACCTCGTACTGGGCGAGGAACATACCGTGGATACCACCCATGAGGCAGCCACGCTCACCGTAGAGGTCAGAGTAGACCTCCTTCTCAAAGGTGGTCTCGTAAAGGTAGCCAGAGCCGACAGCGACACCCATAGCGATGGCGCGCTCCTTGGCCTGGCCAGTGACATCCTGGAAGACGGCAATGGAGGAGTTGATACCACGGCCCTCGCGGAAGAGGGTGCGGACGGTACGGCCGGAACCCTTGGGGGCGACGAGGATGACATCAATGTCCTTGGGAACATCGACCTTGGTGAGGTCCTTGAAAACGGGGGAGAAACCGTGGGAGAAGTAGAGAGTCTTGCCCTTGGTGAGGAGGGGCTTGATGGTGGGCCAAGTCTCGGACTGAGCGGCATCGGAGAGGAGGTTCATGACAATGGTACCCTTCTCAATGGCGGTGTTGACATCGAACAGGTTCTTGCCGGGAACCCAGCCGTCCTGGATGGCCTCCTTCCATGAGGCACCATCCTTGCGAACACCAACAATGACGTTGAGGCCCTGGTCACGGAGGTTGAGACCCTGACCGTGACCCTGGGAGCCGTAGCCGATGAGGGCAAGAGTATCGTTCTTGAAGTACTCCTGGAGCTTCTCGCGGGGCCAATCGGCACGCTCGTAGACATCCTCCTTGACACCGGCGAAGTCAATGGTCTTGATACCACGGACGGGAGTGACAACCGAGGAGACACGGGGAACGGCGGCAGCGGCAGCCAGGGCAGGGCGAGGGAGGGCTGCGGTGATGACCGAGCGAGGAGCGGCCACGCGGGCGAGGCGGAGGGCACGGGGAAGACCACGGGAAGCCATTGTGTGTGTATGGAAGTGAGGAGAGTGGAGAGTGAAGGAGGAAAGAAGAAGTTGGCCTGGGGAAGCTTGGGAATTTAAATAATGGGCGGAAGCTAATGGGCGAGTCGAGTCACCGTAGAAATTCTCGGAGAACAGCCCATCCTCCCCGGCGACCCACACCGACACCGGCCGCTCGATTGATTGGACGGAAACGGGGTGTTATGTCATGAATTGCGTTTCCCAGTGCAACAAGCAATGGGATGGCTCATATTTTAATGGCGCGTCTACGGAGTAATGGACACCAGATTTCCCCGGAGTAGGAGCCATCTCCGGGATATTCAAACCTCGAAGAGTCCAGACTCTGACTCAGTCCTCTGAGCCATAGGATACCATTGCACACGTGACTCCGCTTCGTACCTTCCCTGCCATTTTTGTGACTCGCTCCTTCCCCAAGAAGATCAGTTCTGCCTCAGGCCCCATTCCTCTCATCCCTCTCCGCCCCCGACGCCCCCGTGTCGGAGGGCATCTCCACAGACATTGTTTGGTCTACCCAATTGCTTCTTTTGTCTGTCACTGGAGCTCCAGTCATACCATGTCTGCAAGATGAGTTCCTTCTCATTCGGGGATCTCCCCACCATTCAAACCCGGAAAGCCTTGCTATTGCTTGACTTTCAGAATGATTTTGTCCGTCCGTCCGGGGCTTTATATGTTCCCAACACTCCGGATATAATCGAATCTCTCCCGCAGCTAGCATCGGCTTTCCGTGAAACCGGCGACGTAATTTGGGTACGTTCACAATATGAATCCCCTCAGACCATCGTTGATTGGGACTTCGGGGACCGCATTGTGTTGGATAGAGAGCCCTCGCGGAGAAAGCAGATGCCCAGCTCAGATATAATTGAAGTGGGATCAGAGCGTGATTCGCCAGAACCTGTCGACCCAGAAGCTTTTCTCTCTGCCAACGTTTCACCATGCGGTGGCCCACAGGCTCCCGGATATCAATTCCCCGCACCGATCTTGGCCGCCGTCAATATCCAACATGATACTGTGATGGATAAAACAGGGTACTCTGCTCTAGAGTCACCTGGCCTTGTGCTTTCCTTTAGGACGCGCTTTGTGACGGAGCTATATCTCTGTGGGTCGCTTTCCAATGTGTCTGTGTTTGCAACCGCTTTGGATGCTGTCCGTAATGGCTTTTCGGTAACTCTTGTCGAGGATTGCTTGGGATTCCGCGATTTTGGACGACATCAAGAGGCAATGCGACGAATGGCAGATATCTTAGGCGCAACTGGTCTCACCTCTCGAGAACTCATTCAGGAGCTAGAGTGGGGTGAGACCGAGGCAATTGCCTGTCAAGGTGCACGGCAGCCGGAGGCGATAGCAGATTCTACTGATCTCGAGAGCATCATGGATGGTCTCGAATTCTGGAACACTGCGGACATTTCTTCGAAAGATGAGTCTCTCGACGCAGAAGATACCCGCCTTCCAGGGCTCTCTTCAATTTCCCGTACACAGCGCCACCCTGCCGCGCAGGCGCGGGGCCCAGTGGAAGATCAAAAGAAAGTGCGTGTGCGAACCCGCCGTCCGAAGCGACAAGATGCACACAAAGACTCTCCAACTAGACCGCGTACTGAAGCCGGCGGGGTGACAAAATCGAATACATCCCATACCAACATCGGGGAGGGCGATTCGCGCCTTGCTCTCAATCTCAATTTAGCCCCCGACTGCTTTGAGCGTATACATACAGAGGTAGATTGGCAAAAGATGTACCACCTGTCAGGCCAGGTCCCCCGATTAGTTGCAGTTCAAGGCCAGCCTCGACCCGATGGAGCTATACCCATATATCGTCATCCAGCGGATGAATCTCCGCCTTTCAAGTCATTCACTCCTGCGGTTGATGAAGTGCGTGTGGCTGTGGAGCAGGAACTAGGCCATCCCTTGAATCATGTGCTTATCCAGCTTTACCGTGATGGTCAGGATCGCATTTCGGAGCACTCAGATAAGACACTAGACATTGTCCGGGGATCCTTCATTTGTAACGTCAGTTTAGGCGCTGAGCGCGTTATGGTTCTTCGTACCAAGGCCTCGGCATCTAACACCGAAGGACGAATGGAACCAGGTCGGACAACGCAGCGCGTCTCTCTTCCTCACAAGTCACTTTTTGTTCTCGGCCTCAAAACGAACATGCGATGGCTCCATGGTATCCGCGCCGACAAACGGCCTGACGCGCTAAAACCTAAGGAGGCGCAAGCCTACGGAGGTCAGCGTATCTCTCTTACTTTCCGACATATCGGCACTTTTATCAACCCTTCGGTCAACACGATCTGGGGCCAAGGTGCTGTCTGTAAGATATCGGACCAGGCCCGTGCAGTGATCCATGGGGATACCATCCAAACAGAACGCCTCATTGCTGCTTTTGGCCAGGAAAATCGCGAGACTGAATTTGATTGGGATGCTGTGTATGGCGGGGGCTTTGATGTGGTCAACTTTGTCACTGCCTCAACTGGGCAGCTGGTACCTAGCGGAGATCCTGTGGCTGATCTGCGCGTGCGACTTTGCTTAGGAGAAAATGGCATCCGATACCAATTGGCCAACCACCATGAGCAACTGGGTGCTAAAAATAGTGATCTAATGACATTACCGGCATATGAAGCCCCTGATGGGTCAACGGTCGCAGGCGACGCTAGTATCTTAGCCCATATGACCAATCAAGCTGCTGGTGCGACACGGTCAGGCGCAGAGGTGTTACGTGGAGGTAGTTACTTATCAATGATTGATGTGTTTCTAACCCGCTGGCGTGAGCATCGAGCCACAATTCCAGCCGCAGGATTCGAATGGGGATTCGATGACTGGGAGCATATTCTACGGGGACAGCATTACCTTGCAGGCTCTGTGTTTACCATCGATGATTGTTCTCTGTGGCCAGTTCTGCGGGAGATTGTCGAAATCCAGGGTCCATTTGATGCTCGATTCGCGAGCATGAACCAATATTACCAGCGAGTCGGGAATCGGGGTATTGTTCGGTCTATCCTGGAAGAATAAACATGTTCCATGTCTGAGAAAGGAGGATGATAATCAGTTATACCTGGTGGCTTTTGTATTTCAGTGTACTTGTTTTAGCTATGAACATATAATGAGATATTACGAATTTACTTGACGACCAATGAATTTGAATGGAGCCCGATTCACAATTTCTCCTTTCATATAGCTTGTGCGCTCATTAAAGTCTTCATATCGTCGCTATCTCAAGCTACCAGGCGGCATGAAGTCCCAAAAGAAGCTCGTTGTGTCTTTATTCTCTCCATTGTTACCCGCACCTTGCTCCTATGATGTTCTTGCACGCATCCGTTCACCTAGAGACATGAACCGGGGAAAAACGCTGTGCTCAGAGAATCCTTCAGGGCAACATTGCTGCAAACAATAGCCTTCAGGAAAGCCTGAGCCACAACCGATGCACCGGCGGTGCTGGTGTGAGTGTGATCCAATTCGAAGTACGAGTTTACCGTGGTCAAGCCTAGCGTCTCGAACCGAGCTGCCACGTACGCCCCATGGTCAATATAAGGGACACCAACCGCTGCAGCTGCTATCTCGGCATAGCCCACAAAACGCGACGGAGCGTAGGTGAAAGTGCCAGTCTCCCAGGGATTGTTGGGTGTTTGGCTAGATATGATGACATTCGCGCCCTTCGCCATGAGCGCTTTGGTGGCGTTCTCAATGTATGCCGGGAAAGTCAACACTGTCTCGGCAACACCGTTGTAGGCCGTGCTGCATGTTTCAGTCCCTGTGCCAAAACAAACGGTACGCCCGTTGTCCGTAGGTGTGAGAGAGCCGCCGTCATTGTGTCCGAACTCTATGATCACCCAGTCTCCCGACTGGACCACTGCTGCAATGGCATCAAAGCGGCCCTCGCGGGTGTATGACCGTGTACTACGGCCACCGACAGCTTGGTTGGACACTGTGAGTGTGGTATAAGGTGTAACATATTCACCCCAGCCTGTGAGTGTTAGTATGAATGGTGGGAAATCCAAAGAGAATACCAACCTGCTGTACTAGATCCACCCCCACCCTTTGCCATAGTTGAATCACCAGCAAGATATATCGTTGCACTCAGCACATTCGGGATGAGCGCAGAAAGAAGCACGGTGAACCTCATGGCGATGTCTGAAGTATAGCAGGAGCTTTGGGTGATAAAATTGAAGAATTTGACGTCCCTCAGATGAGCTTTGCTTTCTCCCAAGTTATATGTCTACATCCCATGCCAAGTATGAACGTGGATACGTGGAAAAAGGGACATTTCCGCGCGGGGGTACACCGGTGCGAATGACGAAGCTCTCCTCGTTTCATGGCGTCCGCAAAGGCGGAAAATGCCCAATGCAGACAGCGCGCAGATGAAACAAGGCCGGAATTTGGCAACCCCGCTGATGGTCCCCTGCGTCCCTGTGATTCATGGAATCTATCATTTCAGCGGAAATAAATGTCCGGAATCCTTCATGGGTCACGAACTTGGCATACGTTCTACAGAGATCGGGGTAGAAAAGCCGTGCAGGAAGTTACCAATTGTCCGTTAAATGATATTGATTATCCAGATCGAGACACGGGGAGACAATATATCAGATTTGAACATAACCGAACCAGATGACTAGATCTTATATACAGGGATAGAGGCGGGACGAGATGCATTTGCCCACACTATAGTTTCTCGAATGTCGGAGTACGCTTTTGCAAGCTCGACAGCAGAGCAGCCGACACATCCTGTGTCTGCAAAGCAGCGCTATTCCACACGCCCGTGTAGCGCAGTCCATCTTGCACCGAATGATCGCGCGAGAAGTTCAAGATCTCCTTAGTACCTTGGACAGCGATGGGGCTCTTGCTAGCCATCAGGCCGGCGAGTTTGAGTGCAGCCGTAATAGTGGCTGCCCGGTTCTCATACACTGCATTGACAAATCCAACACGCAGCGCCTCCTCGGCACCGAACTCGCGTGCTGTCAAAGCCACCTCCTTGACCCACCCGTAGTTTCCGACCACCTTGGGAAGTCGGCTGAGGGTGCCAATATCGGCTGCAATTCCGATATCCACCTCCTTGACAGCAAACCGGGCATCCTGAGCACAGAGACGCACGTCCGTGGCCGTTGACAGGTCAATGGCGAGGCCCAACGAGAACCCGTGCATGGCAGCCACAACGGGCTTCTCGCAGCGTTCTAATGAGGTGATACAGTCCTGGAAAGTGGTGATATGACGACGAAGACTAGTCGCCTTTCGTGCTGGCTCAGCGTTCTTGTCTTGTGACAAAAGACCTTCAGAAGCCGCCTTGACATCCAGCCCCGCGGTGAATGCCTTTCCAGCACCGCTGATGACGATCGCGCGAACGTTAGGATCCGTGGAAAGCTTAGTGAAAATCTTGCTCATATTCTCCCACATCCTGTATGGATTAGCGGAGCTGTCAGATCACATCCTCAAAGAACCCAGCGCTTACACTTCCATGAAGGCGTTCAGCCTTTCTGGACGGTTAATCTCCACGTGGGCCACATATTGGTGGTCGGCGGGGAATCGCACGGTGAAATATTCGAAAGAGTAGTTATCGGCCATTTTGGGAGAAGGATGAATGTTCCAATATCCCAATGTTCCAATGTTCTGTGAGATGAAGACGAATATATGTAAGAGGGTGTGATCACGAGAGTGACCTCGGCAACGTGAAATCTAGGGGAACATTGACAAATCACCGTGGATCGTGAGTACCTACCTAGGTAGGAGTATTCTGTCTGGTTTAGTTATTTTATCTTTAGTCTCCCTAATTGCTCTCAATACACATGTCGATTATCTAGGGTTTGTCATTGTGAAAAGTGAACTACGTGTGCCTCGATATAGGGGACTCTGTCCTGAGAGGACTGACGTTGTGCCGAGGTCCCCGATAAGCGATAAGATCGGATCTACGTCAAGAGCGAACTGTGCAGTTGGGAGAACTTGGTTGGATTAAGGGATGTTATTACATTAAGAAAGCAAATGAAACAGGCAAAGCGAGAGACGGCCAAGCTCCAGATGTGTCAGAGTGTCAAAGTCAATCAGTTCGTGGATCGTGTGCGGTCATTAGGCATATGAAGCGCGACAGCTGGGGGTTCATGCAACCGTGATCTTCTTGGCAACAGCAGCAGTGGCCTTGGGGACTTCAATGGACAGGATGCCATTCTTCAGACTAGCCGAAGTGTTGTCTGGGTCAACGCGAGTCGGGAAGGAGAAGGCCCGCTGGAACTCGCCGACCGAGCGCTCGCTAGCCCAGAAGCGGTGGGCGGGCTTGTTTTCCTCGGTTTGCTCGGTTTGCTCGGTCGTTTCCTTCGTCTCGGCTTGGGTGTCCGGGGTGTGGTACTCGCGAACGACACGGCCCTTCACGACCATAGTCTGGGGGTCGGGGAACTCGACCTCGATGTCTTCCTGGGCAATGCCAGGCAGCTCACCATCGAAGTGGAATCCATTCTCACTCTCACGGATGTCAAATCGAGGGGAGAATGTGCGAGTCGCATGTTGTTTGTTGGTAGAGCGGTGGGCATCATAGTCGTCAAGAAGACGGAAGAGAGGGGCAAAGTCTCCAGAGCGGGGGAAACTGGCGTGGAAGAGAGACATTTTATAGATCTTGAAGGCTTGAAAAAGACTTGGAGAAGTAGACTTTGTATGGAAGACTGATGGTTGAAGGCTATGATTGAGAAAGAAGATGCACACTTGGAAGGGTTCATGAGGGACTTAAATAGCCAGGGAAGCACCTTCCGGAAGATGGGGTGTGTTACGCAGCTTCTGGAAGGTGTGTCGCAAAAGGAAGCCCATCGTGGCTTCTGGCACTCACCTGTTCCATCTGGTGTGACGGTCTGTTCACTTCCAGTGGCCGGAACTTCGCCAACTTGCCGGATGCTTCTCCAACCTTCGATCACGTGATACAGGAAAGCGCACGATGGTCCTGGACACCGGCTGCAAAAGAGAAGGTGAATTCTTTGGAAATTATCCATGACACAGCTATGGACATCTGAGAACACTTCAGTATCCCATATCGTCCAATCTCACTAGCAATACCCAGAAGTTGAAACACACAGCATTACCAAGTATGACAGCGCATGAGTTGCACATCTACTGTACAGCCGGTGGTATTCTCCGATCTCCTTCCTTATTGCTTATTCCGACCTTCCCAGGTGGTACCAGTTAGTTCTCATCCAATGAGAGATGACAAGTGACCTCGGTGCAAAACGGTAGAGCTCCCCTCAGATAAAGGTAGACAGGCAGGGAAGGCCCCTTAGCTGCAGCCAGCGGTTGAAGGGAGATTCCAGGACATTGAATACCCGTATCTGGATGCGAGCTTTTGGAGAAAGTCATGGTGGATGTGGGAGATGGAGCATATGCAAAGTACATGGGTATGTTTTCTGGTGATGTTGATATCAAAGTAGAATTGGTTGATTTTGCGTGCGTAATCCTCGAAAATCTCAGCCTAGGAACACAGCTTCCAGCTTATTCTGATTCTGATTCGTCCAACTGCATGATCTTCTCGTCAAGGTCCTGCCGAATCCGTGAGCAATGGCACTTAAAATACCCTCAAGAGCCTGGGTGCCGGGCATACCTGATCCAGGCGAACCTTGAGGTTCTGCAGCTGGCTCTCCTTGATGACTAGGTGATTTTCATCATCCAGATCCTCCACTATGTAGTCATGTCGCTCTTCATCGTACTTCAGAATCATGGATTTAATCGAGGGATCGCATTCGATCAGCAAACCTGCCAAAAAAAAAACAGAGTTAGCAAGGGAACAGCGAGGCACAGAACAAGGCAAAACCGACCTCGAACGGCACGGGGCATGTTGAAGAGGAGTGGAAGATGGAGAGCAGAAGAGAGAGCAGGAAAATAACCTGGGGAACCTGGGAGAACGGTGATCAGACCGCCAAGACATCCGGGCCTTGGCTTGGCCATTTCAACTTTCTTGTATGTTTCCTTTCTTGTACGTTTCTTTCTTGTACGTTTCTTTCATGGACGGAGTACTCGGGATTCATTCGCATAAAGGACAAAACACTTCTTTCTGGCGGAGTAGGAAGGTCTTCATACATGAAGAGAATGCTTCATGTTGATCCACCGGTAACTCCATCACATCGTGTCCAATGACAAAAATGTTGTAGTCCAAGTCAAAGAGTCGGTAAAAAAGCTGAGGGTCTGTTTGATATCCATTAGACGATTGAGATGAGTTCCCTAAATAGAGATTGTGTCCTGTTTCATTACGAGAATATCTTGGAATGATACTTGCTCTGTCATTCATTTCATCTTGAAGCTTGATTTGGTAACTATATACAAGGAGAAATACACCATCCCTTCCACTAAAAGGCCATCTAGGAATTAGAATTTCTACAGCCCAAAAACAGATGGCCAGCGGTCGATGACCCCTGTCAAGACCTTTGCCAAGTCCGCTCGATCTCCAGTGGGGTCTGGAGTTGACCAAGTCTCCTCTTGCCACCGCAGCTCAAAGGATCGTATTTGTCCATGTAATTCAGTAGCATTGTATAACTCTGCCGGGGTTGACTTCAAGTACTCGATGAACATACGCCAGCGTGGCACGTAGTATGAAGAAACGAGACCACCCCATTGCTTGGATGCGTAGTCGGAGATCTCTCCGTTTGGCCCCCATAGAGTTATCAGATTTCGCGCATTGTATTCATAGTATGCCATCTCGGCTTCGTTGCCAAAGGCCCAGGCCCTTGCCGCATCAATCCACGTGGAAAGTCTGAAGTTTGGGTTGGTGAGGAGGACAGAATCAAGGTCTGCTAAAAATTGAAGATTATGTTCGCCCTTTTGTGCAAAGGAGTCCTCTTGAGAAAGAGAATCGTTGTAGGACTTGACTAAATCTAAATGCAACAGCGTGAAAGCGTTGTCCATGACTTGACGAGTCACATCAACCATGTCATGCTGATAGGCTGGATTGGTCCATAGCTGTGGCTCGGCCTTTGCTGCCCGGTACATATGTTGCCATACTTCCACTAGGATAGACGGCTCATAGTGGATGGTTGTGCCATGTGTAACGGGTACTTCGACTTGACCCCAAAGCTGGGGTTCAACATCAATAATGGACTTTTGCACAGCAAGCATTGTGGTGTTAGTGTTGTTGTACACTGTCTGTCGCATGGAATCCCAGGCCGTGTAGAGTTCGCTTGGGATATGATTCCGACCCGCATAGCGACTCGTCACCCATTTGTGAAAGTAGTCACGAGTGTCCACTGGGGTCTCAGACCAGGCTTGATCGAGCGTCAAGTCATACACAATCTCATTACCCTCTTGGCCCTCCATGCTGAGACCATAACCGACCATCGATTGAGAGTCAACTCGTGCTTCAGTAGCATCTTGGGTCAGATTTTGAATCTGCCCATACAGGCCCATCGTACCTCCAAAGCCGTGTAACTGGCACCAAATCCAAGGCTTTCCAAAGTAACTGTTTGTGCGGCGCCACTCTGGAATAGACTCCGAGAAGAGGTCCAAGATCAACATGTCTTCATTTGTCTCGACGCCCGACAAGTAAGCTTCCATTCGCTCATAAGTCCAAAAGTCGCGGTCGGCGTAGAAAAGCCAGCCTTGCATCAGCCATATCGCATCGGGATCCACTGCTTTCAAGCTATGCCAGGTGTTGCGAGTCATATTACGCAAATAATCCGCCTCCCCTTGGGAAGGCTGAAGTTCATTGTACTGATCGAGGGTATAGATGTGACTGACATTACCGTAGGAATCCTGTTGTTTGCGTATAAAACTGGCCTGGAGCTTTGCGAAGTTTTCGTCGAATGGCTCAAGGAACGTGTCCATTGTGTATTCAGGGGGGAAGGCGCCCCATTGCGATCCGTGAATCAGACTGGCATCTGGCAGAACACGAGAGATATTGGCAGGAACAAACCCAGTAAATGATGGCAGTACAGGGGTCATTCCCAGTTCTATCATGCGATGGATGATCTTTTTCTGCAAAGCGAATTGTTCATCGATCCACTTCTCGGGCAGATCACCATGCCAGGAGCCTTGGATATTGCCGAAGCGATTCCAGGCTTGGAAAGCCGGACCACTGAGGAAAGTTGCAATCTCTTCATCGGTGAGGCCAATCTCACGAAAGACCTCGACCAGAATTTTCTCTTGGCCGACCCAAGCAAGAGGTAGATTCACACCTCGTAGGGCCATCCAATCAAGTTGTGACTCCCAATCTTCCCATGTCCAAAAGGCGGTAGTATACGAAAATGTCACTGAAGCCAGTTAGGAAAACAAACAACATCGCAGATGAATGTGCATCGTACCTGTATTAAAGTGATACCGCCAAGGGACTGTACTGGAACCATGGATTGGGCTGGTGAGGTGAGGTAATCCGGACGGGGCAACGTCGAGTCGACTGCCAATGAACCAGTAGATATCAACATGAGCGACATCGCTGAGGTACCGGTGTAGACTGAGGGAATGGTTAGCCAGTGAAGCACTGACGGTGCAAGAATAATACTATCACCCTCAACATAACGCGCTCAAAGTGTTTCCCTTGACCCAAATCGCCCCGTTCGGAGCATTAGTGACAACGTAGGTATCGAATTTGCCAGTGAGATTAGTATCCAAAGTGAAATAGAAACTGTCAAGGTGATCGGGCAGTCGTCGTTTGACAAGATTGGAGATGCCCTCGGTGGATTGAGACACCGCGACTGCACCCAGCCACAGCAACGATTTAACCCAGCGCATGGCAGGTAGAGGGATTCGAAGAGACTGAAAAATGAAAGATCACAGGTTTGAGATAGAAGAGTACATGTATATAAACAAGTACAAACAAACATGGGAAGGTACAGGCTGGCCCCCATGTTGCAGAAGGCCGAGCGTTGTATTCGCCTTTCCGCCGCATCGCATCGCAGAATGCAAGAGAGTGCAACTCTCCTCTACAACGTCGGTGGTCTCAATTGCGTAGGGATATACAGTCTCGCGAGATTCAGCTGAGAAAATCCTGTTGCCCCTTCAGTGCCTTTGATAACACCTCCGGATACCATCGTTGTCCTACATCTTGGTGACTGGTCACTCGCGCAATGAAGGTACCCTCACCGATGCTGCCATGGAAGATGTCATTGAAGGTCGCCTCTGCATCCGATTTAACTCGAGCATCCTTCACCAAGTCACGGACGTGAGCTGGGATCTCTAAAGAGACCTTTTCGGCCGAGAGATCAAGACTCACTCCCTGAAAGACAGGGAAGGAAAACCGAGGGCCCAAAGAATCACCGTCGCTATTCTGGAAATTCTCGGGTCGTAAACTTACACGGTGCGTAGTCGCTGTGCATATTCCTCCGGTTAGCGCCTCCAGAGATCGACCGATATTCACCACCAATGTCCCTGGAACTGGCGGTGCAGGGATCCAGGTCCCGGTCTTGTTTTGAACCTCGAGGCCATGGTGTGGTGTCCCCTGCAATAGGAATGTGAGGAAACCCGAATCTTTATGGGGACCAACACCTTGGAAATTAGATTCATCGTGAGACCCAGGAGGAGGGTATTTGATTAATTTCAGTTTATGCTGCTGCGGGGTATCAAAGACCTGGTGGAATGCAGTGGGCTGGAGACCCAAGGCTTCTGCAATGAACCCTGGAAATGACTCTGCGAGGTTGCTCACTTGAGACAGATAAGTTTCGAGTGACTCACGAAATCCAGGGATTGCTGTTTCTTCGGGCCACTAATAGCAACGTTAACATGGGTCTATGGAGCAAAAGCCCGTAAAAAAGCCAGAGTACAAGATTCAGTCATACTTGGTTGGGTCCCACGATGTTTTTATATAGAGGCTCGTTTGGGCCAGGCGCAGGGAGCTCCGTTGCAAACTGACGAACGCATCAGTAAGACTTTCAACCCCTACAGAGCCCGGACTCACATCGAATTGTTCACGGTAGTCGGGTTTCAATGCGGTGATCTCTGCACCGAGTCTCGAGTAGCCCAAAAAATGTGGACTATTCACCATCTGAATCTCTAGCTTCTTCTCCAGTGGCAATTGGAAAAGATCCAAGGCCTTGCTTATAAATATCTCCTGCGTTTGGGCTGAAATAGGAGCATTTCGAAGATAGAAAAAGCCAACATTGACAAGGGCGTCGCGAAGACTTGCCAGAAAGATGGGCTTGGTGGCTGAGGATGAAATTTGCGAGAAATCCAGAACCGGAATGGACGTGAAAGATGAGGCCGACTGGTGATATCAGCATGATTGAGGTAAACAGTGGACATAACATGATCATACCATATTGAAGGGTCAATCCTAAGATGAAAGTCGGATCCGATCTATGCGAGGGATTTCCGAACCTTTGAATCGGCGAGAAGTCCCCTTTTCATCCGAATTCAGTTCTCTCCCCCATTGAGCAGGAAGCGATGGTCTTTGATTGGGCGATGATGGCGAAAGCGTGCAAAGAGGAGGTCGCAACCCCGCCCGAAGGCTACTCCCCCGGATTGTAGGCCAAGTTGGCGTTGATTTTCCGCGGTGCCTTTTGCTGGTCTTTGCTCGCCGAGGAAAGCTGGGCACCTTACATCTCGTAATTAGCGCCACTGAGGGCTATTGTAAACTTGTTTCTCCTGGGTTGTTTGCCCAGGTTGCTTTTGCGTTATCAAGCTACAAGTATCAGACGCTTAGTAATAAGGCACTTTGGCGGAGTGGTCTAACGCGCTGCCCTGCTATACATGAAAATGTCAGTCCAGGCAGTTCCTTCGGGAGCGTGAGTTCGAATCTCACAGGTGTCGTTCTTTTTTTCGTTTTACAAGTTTACGGGCGACTAACCTTTTATGCCACCCGCCTCATTTTGCAGTGTATCATATGCCTGAATATGCCTGTAATCTGCGTTATTTTATATTATCAACATGATAGGTCTATAGATATAGGAGGTAGGAATATCAAATTGCGAGTATCAGAAATCGGATTTTTAACCCATACACACCGTGAGAACATATACCTAGGTATCCATGGCGACGAAGATGCTGATGGAGAAGCACTCTCCCATACACATAGTCTTCAATGTTACCAATTTCAATCTCCTCTTCGAGGATTTGGTTGATTGATTGGAGCAGAGCCTCTTGCTCTTCTTTTGAACTAGTACGACAACGAATACCAAGGCGGATCCGGAGCCTTTACAACGTGCGAGGACTGATATCGAGGCCTTCGTTCGGTCTTAAGAGTATTAGTGATTTGCTTATCGGAAAGGCCAGCGTAGATGAAAAGCGTCTTTAGGCGTTCAACTAGAGTGCGATTTCTAGTGGTGGGTGATTGTAAGGTCCGTTCAACTCCTCATAATTCAATACGTCTCCTTATCATGCGAGGTGTAACAATAATGGAATACCTATCGCGTAGGTTCGCGCATACAGAATTGGAGAATTTGCCGGCTTGAACAAGAGAGGTACACACTTACATGTCGCCCTTACGGAGTACAAGTTTCCAATTATCACCTACTTCTCTCCCCTTTCGTTCCATTATATGTTTGCCGTTAGGAATGGGTCCCTTGTGTTATTGAGCTTAAAATAAGTCAAATTATGGTATATTATGTACCTTAATCCGTCCGAGGTCACTTACCTCAGAAACTTGAAGGTCGTGGCTTCGGTTCTGAGATCCCTGCTGCAAGGCAGGTCATATTTTATATGCGGTAGATAAGCTTTCAAAACCAACTTAGAATAAAATCCATAGAGCCCAGATATGGAGCGTCCATGAAGGGAGAAAGAAGGAGGTTCCAAAAAAAAAACCCTCAAAAAACGACACCTGTGAGATTCGAACTCACGCTCCCGAAGGAACTGCCTGGACTGACATTTGCATGTATAGCAGGGCAGCGCGTTAGACCACTCCGCCAAAGTGCCTTATTGTTGTATGAGTAAATTTTAGTTCTAAACACTGCCTAAGTATAGATAATTCAGGAGCCACAAACTATCGTAAGGTTTTTTTTATCAGATTTACAAAATAAGAGTAAGTAGAAGTCCGTTCGAATTGGAATATCTAGAATTTGGCGCATGGCAGAGAGACTTCCAGCTGCTTCTTCAAGATCTCTCATGTTGGCTGGAGGTGTATATAGGGACCGTCACCTGCCATCCTTTGAGCACAGTCTTTGATTGATGTGAATCACCGCCACATGATACGTGATGGAGTGACTGGACTAAGAGTGTCTTATGATCTTTTTAGGCGACTCCGATAGTGGAGTATTTTCCTCTTTTACAGGCTGAATACTGAAATTGAACCCATGTTACGTTGCTTGTAATAGGCACGCCAAAGATCCGCCCTTAGGCGTAAACAAGTGAGGTTTCAACCGCCATCCTAAACTCACTACCCTTAGTCAGGACGTATCATGTATGATCTTACGTGACATTAGATGGACTGTATAGTATTGGTTTTATTTCCGGGTTTCGCATATGGAGCTAAAATCACCCGAAATAGTGTTGCATGACTTTGTATGGTCTAGAAAGCTTCATGATATATATCCATAGGTACTACTGAAACAACGATTGACAACACACGGTGTGACTAGAGCAATGGAAGCAGTTGAAAAACAGGGTTAGACCCTAATATCTACAAGTATACGCACCCATACTCTGCAGTAATTTCCAACATGTCAATGGGTAACCTGTGGTGAACAAACCTCTATCTTCCGAAAGAGCAGGTAAAGTGTAGTGCTGGCCTTTCAGTGAGCAGCTCTTCTTGCCCTACTTACTATTCGGCCTCTTAGATAAATCTGTTTCTGCGTGCATTGCTGTCCAAACTCCAAGCCATACTTAAAATAATCACGCCCGGTCGGCGGCCGGTATTTTTCTGGGAAAGATAGAAGACATGCGTAGTCCTCGTCATCGGGTATACTGCCATCCCTCATGCATACAAGCTTGTCGCGCATGATGACTTCCAGTTTTGCCATTGTCCCATTCCAGAAGAAGCCGTCATTGACGGTGGCTGCCGATCGAATGTCGCTCGTTGCTACGATGCCCCGTAAAAGAACATCGCTAATGTCACAGATCTGCCAGCTGTTGTCGTCCGGTACGAACTTTCTGCCATTGAAGACATGGGAAATATTATCATCGCCCCTGAGTAATTGTGGGAAGGCAAGTTCTCCACTCTTTTCCCAGTCAGTTCCTCCCCGTTCAGCAATGGGGTTGAAATCCATCTCAAATGTGACTGTTTGATAATACCGAAACTCGGACCCAGCTCTTGGGTCGACACCAAACTTGATCAATGCCTTCTTCCATGGCCCATGCTCAAACATGTATCCACATAATGGTAGCGCTCTTTCGATATCCATCCGACTTGTAGAGTTCATCCGGTCAAGCAATACCCTGACAGTCACCACCGGCCGACGATCCAAGAGCTGCTTTATCTCGTGCACAGTTGCTTCCAGGGAATCGTTAACACCGTGCTTGAATTTGTCGCAATCGCCCTCTTGAGGAACGGCCATTCGTCTCATGCTTACGGTTATTCCTGTAAAGATCATATCTTTACCGTAAACGATATACTTCTTTGCATCACTGATGCCGCTCTCCTTGACTGAATGAATTTTGCCTATGGCAGGACTGTTTTTGGCCAATCCTGTTTCTCTCCGGTGGAAATCGACATCATCTTCATGGCTCTTCGGGGGCTGTATTAATTTGCCCGAGGTTCGAGGGAACATAGTAGGCTATCCGTGGATGAATATCGTCTGCTTAGGTTCTTCCAGGTTATATTTCATATAATGGGGTATTTACCAGGGTTTCATCACTTACTGTCTAACAAAGGAGTAGCGCTGAGCTCGGTTCGGTTGAGAGGTTTCTGAGGATAGAGGAGTTATCCCTTCTTTAGATTCTTAGCTTTATCAACTATAGAAGCTACCTGCGAAGAAAGAGAGAAGGAGAAAAGTTCTTATTCTCTATCTTCGAGAAAGCTGGGGGCTTTATGGCCCTCTAAGCTGGCAAACAACCATCAAAGGGCTCAGTCAGTATAGAGATAACGCAACCAGGCGCTAGGGGGCATCCTAATAGTAACAGTCTTTATCTTGTGATGTCCCCCTCAGTAGACTCTGGTAATAATATGCTATCTCTTTCCCCTCTGCCCTGGCTCTTTAGAGATGTGAAGCTCAAAGTGCATAACTAGGTCAATGATCCGGCATATGACTGGTATCCCGAATATTGTGTTCCAATCAGATGTAGCCATAAGCCGTAAGGGTTTCAATAAAATCTTAGAACATTTCTAGGAAGGGCTTAAGTATCCTTTGATCAATCTACGCCCCTGACTGCCTGGTAAGAGAGGTACATTGAAACCTAGAAGGTAAGTGGTTATCAGCCAACATGGAATCTATCGCCGGTCCCTCCACTTGCGAAGCACGCTGGCTTTACCGCGAAAGGTTTACCCCGAAACCATCCGAGAGCCAATATTTTGCCCTCAAGACCCATCGAATCACATCCAAAGATAGACATGTATTTAAATGGAATGCCCATTGCATCAATTAATGAGCACCAACGATCCTACAGCGTTTACCAGTATAATTCGACCAATCACATTGAAGAGGGTATCAATTACCTTATTAGCAACGGAATGTGATGCTGGAATAAATCCAGATTGAGCCTTTGTGTGAACAGTGAAGATACGCAGAAGTAGAGGCAGAGCAATTTCTTAGCTGTGAGAAAGCAGGGATGAGAGTTCAGACAAAGAAAAGAACGCGAACGTTCATTTAAGAATGCATTTTGATCTCGACGGCTTTAGTACTAACCCACATCCATCACCACACGACGAAATCCAAAATCAAAGATCATAAGAGGTCTGCCACAAAGCAAGAGTCCTGGTAGCTACATCATGGAAGACACTAAGAGTCGACGTTTAAGCCCGGTTCTACGCGAAGAGCGTGACCTCCCCAACAGCTCCAGCCAGGTTGGAACACTTACAGAAACTCAACAGAGACTTATTGATAGCATTGGCAACAGACAACTAGCGAGTCGTCTCCACAAACGCACACTGAGAATTTTCACAAGGGAAGAGCGGTTAGAGGCTATTGAGTTCTACCGGACACATGTGCATATCAACCCCCAGACAGGCGAAGAACGCAGCCTTTCAATTGCTAGCGCCTCCGAGGCACTTAATATCAGCGAATCTACGTTGGAGAGATGGATCAATGAGAAAACAAAGATCACATCTATGAGACACGGAAATCCCAGAGATGATGGCAAAAGATATATATCTGCCCCTGTGTCTGAGCGTTTCCAACCTGGAAATTACCCTTTTCTCAGACTAACACCTGAGCAACACTTTGCAAAGAAATACGTAAAGGGAAAAGATTCCTACAAGGTATCCCAGAGTTTTTCCTGAATCACCGGTCATATACTAAGTGAACGACCAAGTTACACCCAATTACCCATCCGGTACCGTTCATAAGCATCGAAGGAGGGCGTCGAGGTAAAATTGAGAGCTTTGCAGAAGCCTATAAATTTCTCGGACACGCGGAGGACACTTTGCATCCTGGACACCCTCGCGAACCTGGTTCAGATTCGGAGATACAGTCCGAAGCTGCTGCACCTTGTCTCGAAAGCTCACCAGACAATGCCCTAAGAAATGAGAAACAAACGGCACAAAAGGTTAATTCTTTATTATACCATCTTGCGCCCGATTACAGTCTCCGACAACTTGGTCTTGGACGGTGCACACCCTGTTACGAACAACTGGGAGCATGTGTCAGTCTTGTATGCAAGTATTTGATCGCCGCCAGCGACAAGGTAAGTTAAGTATCTTATATGGAACTAGCAACCTCTAATGATTTATTTGTAGATTGAATCTGCCATTCCGGTTCGAATCGGGTTCGACTACAATGAGCCCTTTGAAGGAGCACCTACACATTGGGCCATAAAACTGCTACTAAGGATAGGAGCCGAAATTTTGTTACCTCTGTCGCTCTGCCTGAGAGGTTCAATCAAGCATGAAGTACTCCCAGACACACTCCTGCTGCAAGGTTGGACGATAGATTATGAGATGCTGAAGTGCAAGACGCGAAAACGACGAAGGAATGAAGCACGAGAGAACGCAATCAGGTACTCCCAGGAGTTCTACCGCAAATCTCAGCCTATTTTTGAAAAATGTAGGCTGAGCCCGGTGCTGTATATTGAAGACGTCGAGATGCTATTCTTGAGGTCACAATCATGGAGACCTCGTCGCTTCTCCCCAACATGGACGCTCTATAGCGGTATCCTGCATTCTAGTTATCGTTCAGGAGACACCTTGACTTCGATATACGGGAAATACACAGACATAGAATCGTTTGTTGATTCGATTGTTACAAAGGTGCCACAAGTGTCTTTCTCCGCCCCAGCAGTGCAGGCTTTCCAGCTCGTTTCACTCGATCACTTCTGTCTCTTTCCCCAGGTTTCTGAAGATGCAGTCCTCTCTCAGCTCTCTAAACATCTAGAAGTTTCTGATACACGTCCAGGCAAGGAACTCAAGTTAGACTTTATCGAAGAGACGCTCAAACAAGATGCTCATACCACCCGCGAACGGGAGTTTCGCAATAAACTCGTGCATGCATTGAAACTTAGTGCTCGAAAGAGTCTAGAACACATCAACAGCGCGAGAAGATGTCTCTACTATACTTGCCCAGAGCCACAAGAGGTTCCAGTATCCTACTACTGCCGTCACCATTCTGGGTCGCTTATCAACTACGTGATGAATCCCGCCGAGCCGATAAATCCGCCAGCATATCTAAAGCAAGAACAAGAGATAAATATCACAAATCAGACTCGTGACATATTACGGCAACTGAAAGTACTATATGGGCGGCCTGAAAAGACTTGGATCCTGGATTTCGAGTACGTATCTATGCCGCGAAGGTATTCGCCCATTCCACTGCAGCTTGCAATCAGACAGCTGGACGGGAAGCTGTTATATCAAGGGAATATCGATTACGGGCTGTCCATGAGAGAATTTATGGATGCAACATCCTCGTACGTATCTGACAAGCATGGGATGATGGGAACTCTTTTCCTAAGGTGCTATGGTGGACTCAGTACCAACGGAGAGACGTCACTCCAGGTTAGAGACCAAATCATCAAAGTCTATAGTTACAACCCAGATGAGATTAGGATATTATCATGGTTCGCTGCCCAAGATATGCAGTGTTTCCTCAAGATTTTAACTGGGAGTGATGAGTTGGTCCAGGACAAGATCTCCCACAAAGGCCACGAGAACTTCCAAACCATCAACATCGGAAACCTTTGTGGAAAACTGTTCCCTGGTCTCCTCTCAACAATTCTTCAGTCAGTTCACGAATTTTTGATCGGAGGAGAGGGATCTCGTGGAAAATACCATACTGCCTCATATGACACCGAGGCAATGGCGACAATAATCAAAGCTCTTGTACAGTTGGCATAATGGTTGATATAAGATTGCTACCCTGACGTGACTAACCAAGGACAAGACCTCGGGAGGAGAAAAAAAGGGAACTGTTTTAACCACCTGCTGCTTGATTGTTCAGTACGCTACCTTCCGGAATTATTTACCACCTTAGAAATCCAAAAATACATGTATCTTTTGTATGAATTATGTGGGTACTCCATGCATAGACTACCTAGGTAGTTATTAGGTAATTAATCCCTGGCTTTCAAGGCATCAACCATCATCCGATATGCGGGAAGCTTATTTCTACCATCTACTTCTACCCATTCTATCTTACATTCTACTACCCCCATCATATACGGCTTCTTCGCAACTTCCAGATTATCTCCTCTACAAGGACGGGGACAAGGACAAGGGCATGGGACAACTGTAACCGGAAGCGAGAATACTGGAACTGAAGGGTCTGAATAATAGTATTAAGCTTGATCTTAGGAAAATTTACGATTCTTCGACCAAATCAAGTATAGGTTTGGACATGAGATCGTAAGTGGTGGCAGAAAAAAAGAGGCACAGACCTTATCTGCCTGATCTATCAGGCTCTGGGGGGCGAGGTTGTAACAATACCCAAAAAAATCGACACCTGTGAGATTCGAACTCACGCTCCCGAAGGAACTGCCTGGACTGACATTTGCATGCATAGCAGGGCAGCGCGTTAGACCACTCCGCCAAAGTGCCTTGGTGGCAAATTCTACATTTACTTGCATACATGAGGGCAATGAATCTCCCTTCGCCTAGCAACCTTGCGAACTTGTCAAGTTCATTGGGACTACTGCGTAGGGGTCATGCTACCCTAACGCATATCATGTAATAACTAAGGTAGATGTTCCGTTGGGTTTGGCGTTGTAACAGTCAGCATTTCTCAGTTGTCCTAGAAAGAAACTGCGACGAGCTCAACACGCTACCTTGCATGTTGAAATGAGAGAAAAAGCCCCACACAAAACCATTGTACAGCCTGGAGCCCCCAGCTTCGCAACCTTGCCAAGAAAATGACCGAGGTTGCGAAGAAACTCCTCTATAATTTGACAAATTCGTGTTCTTTACGTCCCTCAAGGTTGTCTCACGGGCTGTTTTGTACTCGGTTTCGCATCCATTGTCAGAGGCGTGTGCATCCATCATAGGTATTCGAAGGCTCACCATGTACTTCATACTCCGTAAAGCAGTTGCAAATGTCCACTCGATCGTAGATGTACTACCCACATACATACCTGACCAACTTGGTTCATTCAACAACCCACCATGCCACTAAGTCGCCCCCCAAAGCTCTAGAAAACTAGTAGAGAGGGCGGATCTTGATTCTTATCAACTGTCCATCCAGGCTTCCGAGCATGAAGAAAATCAGCTCCATCCCCGAAGTGGGACACCGGCCACCTACTGCCCTACCTGCCTTATCAGGACATGAAACTGCAGATGTCGGGCATAGAGAAAAGAGATGGAATTAGTCGGTTTTAACAAGGCGCGATTTGTAGAGATTTGTATACAACGTGCGTGGCCAGAGGAAAAAAAATCGACACCTGTGAGATTCGAACTCACGCTCCCGAAGGAACTGCCTAGACTGACATTTTCATGCATAGCAGGGCAGCGCGTTAGACCACTCCGCCAAAGTGCCTTATTACTAATCCTGACATGTCTTTGGTTGTATCAATCACAGCAAGCTTCTCTAGAAGCAAGATAGGTTTAAAAAATAATACGAACACAAATATCGGGTTCCAGCTCGGAAGGGTTCAGAATTTTCTCCGTAGGACCCAGAAGATTATCCGCGAATTCTGCCACCTGATTAGCTCCCGGGGGGCTCAGAATCCATTGATTATCTCATCTTCTTCAACCAATCACACTACGAAAAAGCGCACCTACTGTCTATACAATTCTCCATCACCATAAAAAAACACAAATATTCAGTACTGATTACTCTATACAGAGTTTACTCCCTGTATACATGATATTTATTGACAGTATTAAGGGTGCGTGAAAGGAGGAGGTAAAGGGGAAACAAAAAATCGACACCTGTGAGATTCGAACTCACGCTCCCGAAGGAACTGCCTGGACTGACATTTTCATGCATAGCAGGGCAGCGCGTTAGACCACTCCGCCAAAGTGCCTTGATATGATATCTTGATCAATACTGGCATTTACAAATATAAATCTGACCGTACATACATATATCGCTCAAATGTGCTGGCCTGTCTTCCCATTAGGTATACCCCAACTCTCTCCTTCTAAGCCCCGCCGATTTCTGGGCTGGCCCGTATGCGAGCCCATGTATAGAGCTGCTCATCGGGGGCATTGGTATGATTCCGACGCTCAGCCGATACCGCTGGAAAGAAAGGATTAGAGACAAAGGAAGACGTGGGGAAGCAATCTACTCCAGGATCCACGAAAAATAACCCACAACGTGCGATTTCTATTACTATAGGCTGTTGTAGAGCAGGTGATTGTCCATTAACAAATTCCACGATCAACCAGGGGAAGCGACCAAGTTCGGCGTAGCTCATCCCAAAGGCAGTGTCCATCACCGAAAATCCAGCCGATGAGTTTTCCAGACAACCCCACGACTGGTCAATTCCTGCTCATCAATTACAATCCGATGCCTTGGGGCCTGATCTGCATGCCATATGTGTGCCAGCTTCTGAAGGTGTCCATGTCTGCTTGAGGCGAATACTATTGACGTCATTATATGATGTCATCCCGGACCGTGATGGGACCCCTTTGGAGTGATCGAGATCAACAGTATGACCTCAGATCTGACGTTGAGTCAAACTCTCATACTACGGACTATACCCTGAACTGCAACATTATCAAGACGCATTGGAAATGAAATATATACACTATGTGGATCCGAGCACAGCAATGACGATTCGATCGGAAAGGGCCGACACGCCATTATAAAAGGGTGGATTATTGGACGTATGTTTGCTTCCATTATAAGTTCCCGCATCATCATTCAACAACAAGCTATCTTTATCTCGCAATGGACAAACTCTCCGGTCTTGCTTCAAAGCTCGGCGGTAACAAGGGCTCAAGTTCTGGTACTGGCTCCAGTTCTGGCTCCCAAGGCCAAGAGGACTACGTCGATAAGGGTAAGATTGGGTTATGAGGCTTCGAGTGACAAGCTTTGATGCTAACTGCTATAGCTCTTGACTCTGTCGAGAAGAAGTTCGGCGGTGGCAAGATTGACCCTGTGAAGATGCGATCCACCAACGAAAAGATCACTGACACCGCTCGTGGACAGTTTGAAAAGGCTACTGGGTATTACCTCACTTTCCTACAGTACCGCATGCGAGGCAAGACAGTGCTAATATTGTCCACAGAAAGAAGGTTCCCGAGAAGATCTCCAACTGAGCATCTTCCGACAATCGGTGGTCAACACGCAAAGTTTCACACGGACTGACTCTGGAAGGCAACATTATGATACCCCTCCCATGAAAGATGAACATATATCGCACTAGAACTGAATTCGAATAAATAATATTCACTCTCTCATTGAATACCGTAAGCAAAAGTGCGTCTATCGACATAGCCTTTGGGAACACGGTCAATAGCGCTGAAAGTTGTTTAAAAAGCCCCCCAGACCCGATCCAAGGCCGCGACGGGTGAACATGGTGTTTGCTCGGCACAACTGAAGCCTATCATTGACACGCTCCGTTACTGCTGGGTCCCCGCTGCGTATGTTTGCTACGATGCGTTCATAATACTTCTGCGCAGGCTCGTACTCTTTGGCGTTGAAATGTAAGTTGGCCATGAGCTCCAATGTGGCCTGCGTCTCGGGATTTTGCTTCCCTTTACGGTGCTCTACCCAGGCCAAATATCGCTTCAACCAAGGGAAAGCTTCCGCGGCTCGATTGTTATTGAATAGACCCTGAGCATATCCATTTTGCAGAGCGTACATGACGCCAATGTTACCCACAATGTCCATGGTGAGTGGATGATCGTGTCCCAAAGCTTCCTCTGCACTGGCCAGAGCCCGTCGAAGGGTCTCTGATGACTCCATGGTCTGCTGCATAAAACTTTGCCCTCGCCCGTAGAGGCACAGAGCGCGAATGGCATAAGGATGTCCGTGACCCAGGGCATCCCGAAGCTCTTGATAGACTTGTTGCAACATCTCCACCGCTCGCTGTACATCAGGTTGGAAACGCATAACGATCAGCGTCGTTGCATCCCCAGCTTGATTGCTGATAATGTAGTCCAAAGTGTCCAACGCTGCACTGAATACACGGATGTGGGTTTCCCCAAGGAGACGTTTTAGGCTCTCCGTGAGCTTTTCAGCAGTCATGACGGCGTTATCCCGACGACCGAGGGCGTTGTAGGTCATGCCCAGGCGGCGCCGGGTAGCGCAGGTGTCCAGATGGTCCTCGCCAATATTCATCTGCTGACGGGCCAACACGTTGGCGCAGATGGACTCCGCTTCTTGATACTTGCCATTTTGGCACAAAATTTCTGCCATCAGGCTTTCCGTCTTCATTGTCAAAGGATGCTTCGTCCCAAAGACGCGCTGCGCATTTTCAGACACCCAATGGCCCCACTCATTTGCTTTTTCCAAATAGTTGGTTTCTAGTTCAACTTCAGCTAAATTGTATGCTACTGACAATGTACTGAAGTGATCCGGACCAAGAGTGCGTAGATGCTCCTGGAAAATCTCATATTCGACGGTTCGAGCTTCGTCCCATTTCGCTTGGTTCTTGAATCCTGCAGAGCGAATAGCTCGTGGGTCATTGTCCAAAGGAATGAACATGGTCCCCGTCACCCTTTGTGCTGATAGAGATGGGCGATTGTGCCCTTGATATGGCGTGCTACTATTTGAATGTATGCGTGGTGGCACTGGAGGCGGAGATATCCCGTCACTGGTGGGCATAGATTGTGGAATAAAACCTTGCTCCGACAGAAGGGCCTGACCGACCAACTGTTTTATGTTCCCTTTGATCAAGTGGTACTGAGGACCTCGGTGGCCTATCTTGCACATCTGCGAGTGATCTGCATCGAGCTTGAGTTGCGTTTCACGCAAACCAGACAGCCCAAGGACTGCAGACTCTTCATCAACCACAAGCTTTGAGATATCAGCCTTTTGTTTGGGACAGGAAGATTCGAGGGGCGAGGGGAGATTGTCTGTGGATATATATGCTTACATGGCTGATGGATGCTGGCCCAACCCCAGCTATCTGTACCTCCTTTCCTTCAATAAAACTAATAACACGATAATCTTCCAATTGATGACGGAATCGATCAGACATTTGACGGGTGAAGAGCGAGTTATGTTCTAGGCAGTTGAGAAGGTCGTTGCTAGCATGTCCTTTGGAGACAAAGCGGGCAACCCGGGCTGCGATTTTTCCCAATTCCACGGCCTTTGCGCCACGGTGAGGTGTTCCGAAAAAGACGAGACCGGAAGTTGCGGAGCGAATTGAAGAATATTTGGGATCTTCTTTGGCGTTGAGTAGTGCCTATAGCGTTGGACAAAATTGGGTCGTCAGGAAAGGGTTATAGATAAAGTAGGAAGTACCTAGACAAGTAGTCTAACCTGCTTGATCACGAGGCCACCCAAGCTATGCCCGATAAATATCACTTTCGGAGGCATCGAACCCTGTGCCAAGTCAACAAGCTGTGAAGGTCCATATTTGCGTGTTGATTTTACCATTTGAGGACTGCGTTCCAGATCTAAGAGATTCAGCAAGGTATTGGCATGATCCTTGATGCTTGCCGTGGACATCGTCTGTGGAGTAGTGATATTGGAATTGTATCCGTATAGAAAGATACGAGCATATGGAATGTCCTGAGCGAGGAAATCCCTCGGCCAGAACTTGCCATTGCTATGCGTCCATGTCTGGACAGGATGATCATTCCGGCCGCTGGGATTCAGACCATGAACAAAGACAAAACTAAGGTGAATGAGTATTTAGGAAAACCTTCTTGGAATATACTGGGGTTAGGCATCTATACTCAATCTTGTGCGAACCAACAGGGGAGAAGACCTCCTTTAGAAAGGGAAACTCGTACTCTCCTGTATCCTGGACTCTGTTTAGAAGCCTTTCTTGCCAGATTTCTTAGGAAGGTCGACTCTTACCATTCTCAACCCTGAAGTACTCTGGCCAATCAAGGATTCGAACGACACAGAATAATCACACCGACCTCCAGTTTCACAAAAGACTCCCTTATGAAGAGAAGAAGAAGAAGAAGAAGAAGAAGAAGAAGAAGAAGAAGAAGAAGAGAGAAGAAGTGGGCTGAAAGCGAGAAACACGAAGCTGACGGGCTGAGCATGTGACTCCTCGCCAGGTGGTTATTGGGGAAGCTCGAACTTGGGACTACAAACCATGAGGCGCAGCCAATTGTACCGTGAGGCCTCGATTCGGCAAAAATTGCCTGAAATGGATGCTGCTTACTATCGACTGGGTTAACTAGGCTCGATAGAACGCTCTGTCAACGGAGTCATCCGGCGCGAGACACAAGGCGCATGACATTGGCGGCTAGAGTGACTCAATCGGGTTAGGAGAGCAAGTCTCTACCAATGATGTCTCGGGTCTTCTCGCAATCTGCATCTCACTCAGCCCCCTCTTTCTTCGATATCAGGTTCCTTAAACATGATGCATAAGCCGGGGTGCGGCGCCATGCCTCGTGTGCATTTGGTGATGCAAATAACACACAATGGCAAGATAGCGTCGCTAATACCTTCAGACGCAATTTAGCGAAGATTCATCTGCACAGCATTCAAAATGACCAGCCCATATCATACCGAAGAGTTTTTTTTTGAAAAAAAAAAAGAAAAACGGAAAAGAAAAGAAAAAGAAACCGTCCGGCCGCTGTTGGTGCCTCACTCTAGGGTATTCGTGGTATACATTGTACCCAGCCGAGAAAGGAGACCCCCCACCATCACATGTGAGAAGGGAAGCAGGAAACAGGGCAAATACAAGCCATACTAGGCCAAAGCCGCACATTAAGAGGGACACCTACGAAGACACCCATGAAGGGATGCATGCGGCAATGGACCGAGCGCGAGGGTCGCCAAAGCAGGTTGAATTGAAACGAAACTTTTGGGCAGAAACGCCTGGCCAGACTAGTAAAGTAAGAACAAGGATTTCATTTCTCATGCTGGAAGCCATAGCCTGGTGGAGATGATAGCCTAAAATTTGAGCGATGACACCCACCCTGTGTTTATGAAGACTGAGTCGTAAGACAAGGATTTAAACGCCCCTTTTCCCAAAAAAAGAGAAAGAGTAGAAATAAAACTGTGCCCTAACTTAGACCACCGGCCATCCACTTGAGAAATCGATCGTATTCCACCCAAAAAGTTTCTCACCATCCGCATAGCCCACGGTCGTATCAACATAGTGATAATAAAGTATTGGGCCAAGAGTAGGATCGGTATAAACCCCCCTGTGAAAGGTAAACTAAGCTTTCAATCTTCCAGTAAGATATAACGCGTGTACCTACTGTCCACCTGGACCGTAAACGGTGCCATGACTTTCCAGAACAATCGTCCCGCCTCCACTGGCACAAGCGGTGCCAGTTTTGTCGACCTTAATCAGAGATTGTTAGCCCCCGTTGGAATCAAGGAACAAGATGTATAGAAACACACACAAATCCGTGAGTGGCCGAGGTCGAACGGCAGACCTTAATTTTATATTCTGCTCCGCGCTCGGGGCGAGACGTATCGTACCCACAACAAATCCCGGCAGAGTAAAAGAGGAAGTAATAGCTTCCGTATTGATACATATAAGCCCCTTCTATGGCATGTGTTCCAGATGGATCATACGCCAGATTGTACGACGCGGATGAGACTTTGGTGGCATCCGAGTTCATTGGAGCTTGATATATATCATGCCAAAAAGAAACAAAGTTCATGTAGTAGGTGCCGCCATTGTTGAAGAGATTGCCATCGATAGCATTGTATGGCTTGGAAGACGAAGAGGCAATGCCAGTGCTGCCATGGTCAGTCCAAGAGCCCGACTCCATGGTAGCCGATGTGGCGAGCCCAAGAGCCGAATTCTGTGAGCCGAACGTCGATACAGAGTAATAGACATGGTACAGACCATTCACAACGTGAGCATCGGGGGCCTACCATCAAGGTCAGGATGCTTATGGCTTGCCAAACAGTTGTTGACGAAGAATTTTCTCCAGTCACCTACCCATAGATCCTCATTCCCAGGAAGATCAATCGAAGATCCACTTGGGAGCATGGATCCAATAGTAGTCCATGGGCCATTGATGGAGGATGCGCTCGCGTATGAAATCTTGTTGCCAGTCGAGAATCGGAAATACCGATCGTCGGATGACCTTTGAATCAACGTCGGGTCATGCACATTGCATGCCCCCGAACAACCCCGCGGGCTTGCATATCCATGCGCGAGAGCAGAAAAAAGGAATGCTCTAACAATGTTACCGCTGTGCATCGGGAGGATGGATTTATGTGAGAGTGTGAGGATAAGAGCGTCGCATGCATCTCGATTGGTAGATGCCTGATGCTTGTTATATATATCATCTGGAGCGGAGGAAACATGGTCATTCGTGGAAATCAAGACGCCTGATGCAATGCGGGACGGGCACAGATTCCCATATACAGTGGAGATTATCGAACACAGTGGAAGTCCAGATGGAGTGAAAAAGCGCCAGAAGAAAGAAGAAGAGGGAAAGGAATATACGCTAAGCCCGTAGCGATGAGGAACATGCGGAGGAGAGCACTGGGAGAACAGGACTGCGGGGAAGTAAAGCACCGACTGGTGGGAATAGCTGAATGTCAGTTCCTGGTGCCATGCAAAACACGCCATCGGGGAATCCCAAGTCGACACAAGCGCCGTTTCATCAGTCGGGTAAAAGAACAAATACCCGAATATTTACCGACATGGGTAAACCGAGTTTAGGCTATAGGCCAGTTAAATATGAGATCACCGACGAGCTTATGTACATTTCTGTGGATAATTAAATAAGAGGGTCCTGCAGCGGTTCCTCTTTCAATTAGCCCTTGATATCCCATGGTGAATAGTCTTTATCCCATCGGCTGCCCTTGATCCTGAGGACCTTTCAACGTCTTCAACTGAGTGCTCATGTGCCCAGTGGTTGCCGATCCTGGTACTGCTCTGCAGAAGCCTGGGGGTATTTGGAGAGATGAAAGAGGCCTCAAGTTCACAGCAAACCCGCCATCACTCGTGTCAGCGCCTCGTCCTCGGCATGGAAGGCATCCACGCCACTGGGCAACCCCACGTCTACTCCAGCGGCAATACCAGTACTGGAATGGGGATCGAAATAAAACCCACCGGCGATCTCGAAAAAGCTGCTCAGGTCCTCGCAGCCATTAGATTCAGGATTAGCCATTGTGCCAGGAGAAATTGCCCAGAATGTGTTGGATGAGGTCTGGGAGGCATTTGCCCCCGATGTATGATGAAGGCTAGGAGCGCACTGTGCTCCAGCAGGCTCTCCTGTAGTCGGCAGCGGTGTGATATCCCAATTTTCGAGTGCGGAGTAAGGCCGCTTTGGTGGAGTGGGTTGTGAAACTGACTCAGATAGCTCTTTCTCATGCCCAGAGTCTGCGCTTGGGGGATATGCGCGATGAGTAGATAGATGTCGACTAGATTCGTGATCCCACCTGAGGTTTAACCGAATTCGGTTCAAGCTGTGGATAATCTTCTGCAATCGCCGAGAAGTACGGGCGCGGGTTGCTGAGCGGCGAACCATGTCCACGGCTGTGTAGAACTCTGGCCGACAAGCATGACTGAAACGCGCCGGGGCATGAAGAACGGCCAAGAAGAGCGCCGCAAGGGCAGATAAGAGAAAATAATTGAATGGTTCCGGGCGTTGATAGTAGATGCCCGAGACACGGCTGAAATAGTGTAACATGTGCACGGTGCGCTTGGCCGTTTCCACGGCAGTCGAGGCACCTGCCATATTTTCCGATATCCGCTCGTCGCTGAGCAAATTTTGCCGATAGACGAGAATTCGAAGCTGGTTTGCCTGTAGAGCGAGAAGAACCTGAAGCATCATAGCCTGATCAGTGTGCTCTGCTCCAGCAGGAGAACGCCACGTTGGATCGAAGCGTAATTCAGGGGGAATGGAATGAATCCATTGCTGAACCTGTGCATCTAAATAGGCACAGCTGTCTGAGGTGGCCGCTTGGGACCGGTTAGGCCATCCAACCACTAGCCCCCAGATCTTTGTGCTGAGTCGCGCATGAGAGATCATACAAGTCAGATACGGGGTAGAGTGACCAGGCTCGGGCAAGTTGGTGTCAATATCTGAATCTTGAATGGAGAATGGTAGGCCCGTGCCAAAGGCACATTTGCGGTCTAAGACATAGATACACCAAAACAGTCGGCTTGCCCAGGTCCATTCCAATTCGCCTGGGAAAACACCTCCTGTCTTCTGCCACGTCTCTTGACGATGAAGACCCAGCTCTGTGCTTCCTCGAACCGCCATACCAATCAAACGCCCGGCAATGACTTCATCATCGCGATAGGAATGAAAAATCGACTGCTAGGTTCAGTCACGACACTTTCATATTATGGCATCGTGTTGACGCAAACACGCGCTTGGGATACGCACCAGCAATGTAAGAATGAGGATCTCTTTCATGTCAACCTCAGATATTTTCAACCGGCTGGCGAAGCGATCTTCGACACTGTCGGCAAGCTGGGCGGCCCGCTCACTGCGACCGTGGGATTCGACTAGCAGAGCAGTCGCCAAAAGGACTTTCAGCACTTGAACATCGCGCGCAGAGAACCAGTCCTGATCGGAGGCAGTCTGAGGCGAAAAGGAGGAAGCTGATGATGACTCCGTGGTTGAATGATAAGAACGGTAGTATTCAAGCACATATGCTCGCACTCCATCTAAATCGACACATGGGTACATTACACTCACCGTGTCTTCATAGACTTGCACCAGCCGTAAGATTTCATCTGCCCCGAGGCTTCTCAGAGGATGCCCTAGAGGATTCCCACCTCTTTCCGATGGGACGGGGCTAGGGGCCGTCGTTGAGAGGTCAAGTTCCTCGCCCTGATCGTCAACTACCCCATCACTGCTAGCCTCGTGCGATACTGATGTTTGAGCTCGAGAAAGGCCGAACTCCGCACTAGTGGGCCCGACATATGTCGGGGATCTAGGGGCATGCAAGATGCGGTGCAGGCCACCTGCGGAAGAGGAAGCTGCCAATCTAGGTGAACCAGGACTGGAGGACTGCAGCTCGTGAAAGCGGGCGGAAAGGGTCCGCATTTCTAGCCGAAGAGCTTCCAATTGCCGATCCACTGATTGAAATCGCACATTCACCCTGTTGAGAAAAAAAAAAGTGAGTGGAGCTTGCTACAATGAGGCATAGCCAGACCGAGATGCAAATCAGGAAACACACCTTTCATTTTCATCCTTGAGGTCGCTCTCTTGCGATGCACCAGTAGAGCGATGGGAATAGACACAAGGAACATGATCACGAGAACATCTCATACAGACAGATCCTCCGCTACATTTTAATTTCCGTCGCTTGCATTCGTTGCTGCGACAGTCAGTACATCATAAGCAAAGTCCCACAAAGCCAACAGACCAAGCAACCTGGGTATATTTGGCCCTTTTTTTGCGCGTCGTATTCTCTGGAGACCCCGGAGGTTCCGAAACCATGTTGATCTGGGCAAGAGGAGTGGCGGTGATGTGAGGATGAAGTCTCGGAACGCGGAAAGAGACAACCGAATGCCGCGTGGTTCCGACAACGGCACTGTAGCATACCCTATGTGGCCAGATGGACATGCGTGGCAAAATTAGAATGGAACTGATTGCTGATTGATAATTACATGGAAGGACAAAGGGGAAGAAAAAAACAAAAAAACAAAACAGAAAAAAAGAAAAAAAGAAAAAAGAAAGGGAGATGCTGTATCGTAATTCGGCCTGGTGAATTCGTCAAATACCTATACTCCGTATACAAGCCACTATATACCTACCTGTTACAACATAAAACTCGACATGGCGCAAGAAACAAAAATGTCAACTTGCTAGAAACCAGCTACGTGGAGAACTTCCGGTAGCTCAATAATGCAGCCGCGCTATGATACATTGCTTCATCCTGTTATGTCTCTCCCTTAAATGTGCGATTTCCGACAGCATTCCGAATCAGCTAACCGTGACGATCCATTCTTATTCGAGGGCACATCGAGCGAGGGGTTGGCCTCGAAAAAGTCTGCAGGTCGGATCATGAGCTGGAAGATCTCCACTGGCCTATGATATTAAGTCAGTAAGATGCAATGAAGGAAGATGGGAGGCAGAGGAAACAAATTGTTAACGTACATCACTGGCCAATCTTCGACACGAGGATTATGAGTAATGCCAAAGGAGTTCCAAACCACAACATCAGTATCGACTACAGAGTCGCCACGCCGAACCGCATCTGAGACACCTTCATCTTCAGTCTGACTCTGCAAGGTGTAGCGCCCACCGGCATAAAGTTCTCCGTCACGATACTTTGTCACCCAGACGTGATGTTGGGCAAACTGAGCTCGGCGTGCCTGTACCGATTCTGGATCAGCTAGAAGAGTCTGAGTGGCCAGTGGAATGAACTTGTATCCCACGGGGTTTCCACTAATAGCATTCTTTTTGTGAGGATTAATCATCTTGATGGTCCGATTAAGCTGCGGAGCGGCATCAATCCAAGATGCACGCTCGACGGTCTGCTTGGTGACTTGATAGAAATTGCCATTGGGGTTGGTGACCGCATTCATAGGGACGGGGTGAGATTCCTCCACGACCACGGAGTTATTGGGCCCATCGATCGCTGGGTCAATGCGTACATTGAAGATATGTTGGTGGTTCTGCGCAAGAACACCGCCACTGACGACATTCCCGTACTCACTAACCTTACCGGCGTCAATGTTGACCACGTTCAAGATACCGGTTGCCCGTGCCTCGACGGTAATTCCAGCCGACTGGTCGAATTTATATGCAAAAACGTATTCATAGTTGGCCAGTGTGATGATAAACTGGACAACAAGCTCTCGGTGTCGGGTGACAACAGCGCGCCCAGTGCGCCAGTTGGAGTGCTTCCAGCCGATTCCATTGTCTTGTTCGTGGAGACAAATCGCATTTGGGAGTGTCTGGGCAGTGCCATCTGCTTGGGTGATAATAGCATCAAAGTATTTGATAACGCCAAGACAGTCACAGCCAAGGGAAAGGTTATTGGCCATGTTTCCGCCGCCTCCATCGCCAAAATCAAAGGCCTGCTTCCGGTGGAAGGGGGGTCGAGGATCCGCATAGGGCACAGTCTACAGAAGTGCGCCAAAATTAGTCTTTGTGTCTGTGTTGTAGGGAGATAAACCATTTACCATCTCGCTGATTGCAAGGCGATGCATCACACTTCGGCCATCATATGACACATCGTGAATTGTCGCACCCTCTCGTGGATTGAAAGCAACGCGAAAGCGCCACTTCTGCCACTCTACTAGAGATTCATTTGTGACTCGGAAGGATGGACCTTCAGGCTGGACCACATTTAGTGGCTTGAGATCCTTGCGCGTTCCTCCAGGCACCAGTTCTGGGATGTATTCGGAAGGCTTGCAGTGCCCAATGATATCGCGCTTAAAGGTTTGTTCACAGAGTCCATCTCCCTTGCCGCCCGTAGCGGGGCGATCTACCCGGATGATCTCTTGGGTATGAGCGTCCATGACCGGAATGATAGGCAAAGGGAAAGAATAGAAGTTGGAATCATCATTCCCCGATCGCTTGTCTTGAGCAAAACAGAGGCCTTGGAAAAAACGTCTATTCTCATCGGTGTGATCTAAGCCACCATAGGGCCATGGCTCAATGACAACCTCGAAACCTTCAGGTAGATCGAAGTCCGCGAGTGCTTTCTGGAACAAAGGTGATTTCATACATTGATCGAGGAGAACATCGAATTCGCTCCTAATTCAAAGTTCAGTAAGCCTAACATAACGGAGGAAGGCCATGTATTTCTCACAAAGTCAGACTAGCATGATGTTGTTTCCCCACGACGGTGTGTTGCACTCGCGACTGCAAAACCACATCAACCACCGATTCGTGAAATTGCGGAATACGGTCCACTCCGATCACATCGTATTGACACAAAGCTAGACGAGGAGGTCGTGAGGTCGTTGGGCTCAAGCGACCGGCATGTTCAATGGCCAGGAACTCCTGGAGCTGAGCTTTGGGTGGTTCCTGCAGGAAGATTTCTCGAAAATCGATCACGACATCGGGATGGGCGGCTTTAATTACATCGCGCGCCAAGTTGGTCTCCTCAATGGAGAGAATGGAAAGTGGGTGAGACATGATAGAGGAAGTGCTGGTTACATTTCCCCGAGGGAGGATTGTTGACTTATAACGAAAACCCGGAAAGCTCGGAAAGATCCCGAGGTCGGAACGGGTTCCGGCGGAAGCACAAAATGCGGGGAAAAATACTGTGGAGAAAGGCAAAGATAAGCAATACAGTCCATTTCCTTCACCTTGTTTACATTGTTCCCCTTAATAGGTTCATCGATCCCTAGGTAACTGTGAAAACTGGAGTGTATTCGTAAGCCTGTGTGACTGGATACGAGGGCAAGGTATATAGACCTCGGGAGGACACCTAGTTCCCTTCGCTGTATATTCCTCGTTTATCACCTATATACTATCTGGAGATTCATACCACATTTCTCTTCTTACCTTAGTACCTTATCAACCGCTCCGGTAATGATCATCATGGATCCTGGGATAGATGTTGACGCCAAAGTCTCCAATCCAGACAAACCAATCAGTGATGAAGAACAACTCGCAGCCCTCGGCCATGTCCAAGAACTCCGCCGTGAATTCTCACTATGGTCAATCGTATGTCTTCAGATATCCCTCATGGCAACCTGGGAGGCGTTGTCCTCGGTTGTTGCCACGGCTCTGACCAGCGGCGGAGCGCCATGCCTGTTCTATAACTAGTAAGTGGTCGACCATGTTCTCCTCGAAAACCGTACGGTTTCGGAAAGTTGATTAGCTGAATCCACCAGTATTATAGCCTTAGTCGGTACCATGTTCATTGTCTTTTCGCTGGGCGAGATTGCCTCCATCTATCCTACTGCTGGCGGTATGGTCGCCTCCTCTCGATATATTTACCACAATACCGGATGTTGACACCTGGTAATTCATTAGGGCAATATCACTGGGTCTATTGCCTCACGCCGGTATCATACCAAGCAACTGCATCTTGGTTTACCGGCTGGATCTCAATTGGCGGACAACTGGTGCTTTCCGCCTCCGCAGCCTTCGCAGCCGGATTGCAACTGCAAGCCCTTATCACCCTGAACTCTTCCAACTCATATACACCAGCTCGATGGCAAGGGATGCTTTTTTATTGGCTCATATTGGCCTACTCAACCGCTCTCAATATCTGGGGTTCCAAGATCTTGCCTCACACCAACACAACGGCCGGTAAGTGAATATTCATTTTGAATAGCTCACATGTCTAATCGATGAACAGGTGTGTTACATGTCCTCGCATTTCTCGTCATCGTCGCTGTCTTGGGAGGGATGTCTGAGAAACACTCTGCGAGCTACGTCTTCACCGAATTTTCCAATACTAGTGGGTGGGACAACAATGGGGTTTCTTGGCTCGTAGGACTGCTGAGCACTGTTTATCCTTTTCTTGGGTATGTCCGTTCCAGGAGATTACAGCGACATGAGGACTGACAACTCTCCTCTAGATATGATGCAGCCTGTCACTTAAGCGAAGAAATCCCGAAGCCTTCCCGCAATGTGCCGTTAGCTATGATTGGCAGTGTTGCCATCAATGGACTGATCGGCCTGGTGTATGCGATTATTCTATTGTTCTCTCTAGGAGACCTAGAATCCTTGCTACAATCCAAGACTGGGTTCCCCTTCATGCAGCTCTTTTTGAATGTCACTGGCTCCCCAGGTGCTGCATCAGTGCTGACGCTCTGCATCACTTTGATCGCGATGGCTGCTAATGCCGCAGGCGTGACGTCTACTAGCCGTACCGCCTGGGCATTCGCACGCGACCGCGGCTTGCCAGCATCTGGATTCTTTTCGGAAGTGAGTCCTACAAGGAAGGTCCCGGTGCGTATGATCCTTGTGGTGGGCTTTCTTCAGATGCTACTGGGTTTGATCTATCTCGGGAGCTCAACGGCCTTCAATGCAGTATTATCTATGGCTATTCTGGGAATGTATGCCTCATACCTTTCCCCCATTGTGTTCATGTTAATATATGGCCGCCGAAACTCTGCGCCAATTGCCCGGGGATTTGGTTCGGGTTCATTCAACTTGGGCTCGCGATGGGGGCCCATCATCAACATCACGGCCGTCCTCTGGCTTATCGTCGCGATGATTTTCAGTACTTTCCCTACGGTCAAGCCGGTTACCCCAGATAATATGAATTACTGTATTGTGGTGACAATGGGCTGGATGATGATCGGGGGGATTTATTATTACCTGGCAGGGGGAAAGAGAACATTCACTGGTCCAGTGGTGGAGCTGGCCGAGGGTCTGTGAGAGCGCTCAAGATTCTATATATGTTGCTGGCACCTATATGTATGTACATAAGGTACATTCATGTCTACGTGCGTCAGCAACATTACATGTTCCTAACGCAGAGGCTGCTGTCCATTGATGTAGTCCACTGCAAGTCGCGACGGTATTTATGGATGGTCCTTCATGGATTGCCCTTGACCGATCTGGCATACAGTGCTTTACATAGTGATATCTCAATTTCCTAGGTGAAATGGAAGTCGAAATCATTATATATGCTAGTTACCTCCCCATCCTAGACACACGTGCAGAACAATCGATGCAAGGGTATAATGAAGGTCGATAACCCGGTGTATCTCCCAGGCCCTCGTAGGCTGTCAAACCTTCTGTCTGGGACTACAATGTCCAACATCGAAGTCATTCATGTGCCTCACTTAGGAGGGATCTGTGCGGCGTATCAGATCATAGATGCTCAAGCCATATGACAGCACTAAGCCGACAAGCATGAAGCTTTCACCATCTCCTCAGAACCTTACGGTGCGCAAATCAAAGATCGCTATCCCGATTCTGCGTTAAATGTTTTGGCTGTTGAGCCACTGGCGACAGAGATTGGTGAAGAATTGATTAGCTCGATTCCGAGTTTGACTTCGAAGCCAATCCGAGGTGTTGCACCGTCACTAGGGCTATCCATAAGCGAGAATACCACTCTCTTATGCCCAGTAATGTTGAATATCTTCCTCGAACTATTATAGGTTGAACAGAACATAAGGCATTGAGCGTTGGTGAGATCACAAATCCATCAGGGACGGAAACGACTGCTAGCTGGTATTCTATGGGAGGAAGAATTTGGTCTTGAGGAATGATTGACAACTGTTCTTCAAGACCAGTTTCTGTCAAGTGTCGGATTTTGATCGACTGTTCTACGGATTCCTGGCATATGTTTACCAAATCTTCGAAGTTCAAAATATTGCCAGCTGTTCCCAACTCTTAACCGGCCTATTGGCTCTTTTAAATCCAGTGAAACAACCAAAAATGGATCGATATCATGAATATCAGTCATAGTGATCTTTGGGAAGCTTCCATCGGATCAAATAAAAAAGAGCCCTTGTTAAACCCAGCCAGGGCGACTTTGCGCGTTGAAAAATCTGTAGAGGTATACGACCGGTCGTTTCTAAGGACACTAGAGACTAAATAGAAGGAGCAGTAGAAGATGGAAGAGAAGTGTTAAAGCTACCGAGAGAGAAGGAGGAAGAAGAGAGAAAACTATGATTCTTAGAGCCAGGAAAAACTGGGACTTTATAGTGCCTACAGACCAAAAACTAGCAAACGGAAGAGTCAGTCCGTCAAAGAGCTTAATATGTTGTATAGGTCTCTGCGTAAAAGATCAGGCATTAAGAAGCACCTTAACAAAAAGGAATTGACACTACTAGATATGATCGAAAGATTGAAGGGGTCGAATGTGGCCCAGCGGGACCTACTAAATATCTGTATACTAGGAGATGTGCACTGAGTAGTCTCTTCTTTCATTGAAGGACCATATATAGAATAGATGGCCTCCAAATTGGTATCTATCTGATTGGTACTATGTAGAAACCATGGATCCCAAATCTAGCATCAGGAAAAAGCTTGTCCTGCCCTCCCAAGCTCGCAAAAGGCGTACTATCCATACAGCTAGGTTGAGAGTCCACCAAAGAACAGATCAGAACTTGTAACACTAATTCAACTTGATCTAGGGTTGATGGTCATTCACATCGGTGTATATCGCAGGCTCAAAGCTTAGAGTCGCGCGCCATAGGATAATCAGATGGGGCTGTGAGGTAGTTCTGGATCGCTTCAATAGACGGCGTGAAGAAGTACTCTCCACCTTTGTGTACAACCCAGCTGTCAAGTTCAATACGGGCCTCCGTGGGATCCTTACCGTCAGGCAGTCCGATAGAGCGGGGTGGATGGTGAGATAGTCTTTGCCCCACGATTGCATCGATACCTGGCCCATCGCCACCGAGGAACTTGTCCTTGCGGTCTGGGAAGTGATGATTGCTTGCCCAACCTGTATTGATTGTTAGAGAGAGTGGCTAGTGGTTATCATCTGAACTCAGGAGTCATAGGTGGTCTTACGGGTGGTGAGGAAGTTGAAGCCGTTGCGGATGTCACTTTGGTAACAGACGAACAGGAGTCCACGTTCGTGCTCTGGATCAGATTTCTGACAGGCCTTTTCTTCTGGTGTAACCTCGCCACCGTAGGAAATTCCCCGGCGAATGATAACGGCGTGGTCGTCTTCTAGATCTCCACGAGGTCTCATCTTGCGGGTATGTGCGGCAAAAGGGCACTTGTCGTGCTTGTGAATAGGCTGGTAGTCAAAGTTATTCGACTTGTGAAGAGCCGCATTACTGTCATCGTGGGGAGATTCATCAACGGGTGTGCCTATTGGATTCGTTAGTAAACTGTGAGTCTCTCTGTGGCCCCAGGAAGGAGGAGTGAGATAGTACCGTTTCTCCACCTCCCCATGAGATATGCGGCGAGCTTTTCCTTTGGCTTGGGATGATCCTTGGTAAATGGGGCCTTATGAGCATTGTCTTCCATGAACCTGAGATTTGAGATTGTCAAAATTAGTTCCAATATGAAAAGCAACTAGCAAAAATGGAATCACTTACTTGTCAAATTCTGGCACAAGTTGCTGTAGGTCACGAAAGACGAGGAAGCTGCCATCAACTGCCCATTTGGGTTGATTCATCTCATCACCCTCATGACCACAAAATATCATCCTATAATTTATCAATCACAGCAAATTAGTGTATGTGTCAGAGAATCAAGGAACGGGGTAGTTGGGGCTCACCCTGGCTTGACGGCCTTTGGCTCTTTACCTTCAGGTTCCCTATCCAAACCTGTGATCTGTGGTTGACTGAGTCCATCCTCGAAACCGAAACTAAACAGGAGCAAAGAGATTAGTGTCAGACTAACGCCAAGGGGTTATTGAGAAAAGACCATACTGCTCTTTCCCCTTCTCAGGGCGAGTCTGCCCCTCTTTGGTAAAACAGAAATCAATGACAGGATCATTGCTAACGACGTAGTTATCGGAATCGCTTCCGGCTTCCTTGAGGAAATGTTCCTTCACACGCTTGACTTTCTCAAGCAGATCTGGCCTCAGGCTTGATGTGACCATAATCACACCATGAATCAACCGTTCTTTCCTTTCACCGAAGGGCTTATATGCCTCACGAAGCTCTTCGGGATTGTCCCAGCCCTCGCCCACAAGATCGTCATACATGCCCTTCCCAAACAGGCCACCGCGAAGCTGGTTGTTTCTGAAGATAGTAGACAGCTTTTTATCTTTCTTGACTGTACCTTCGTCGAAAGTGAATTTTCCCAGCTAAAGAGAAAGGCGTTAGGAAATTTGCATTTGAAATGATATACCGGACCTTGTGTCAACCTACTGCTGCTAGCCCGGTTGAGGCAAATGAGATATTGACACCTGGCAAGGGTTGTAGTTTTGCCGGTCTGTTTTGCTTCCGAGCAAGCGTCTTCTCCTCCAGAATGATGTCCTTCATTTCACAGGCAGCCTTGGCCGATGTGATTTCCGGCACAAAGGCCTGAAGCCGTTTCTTGAATTCATCGGGCTTTCTGATACGGAAGAACAGAAATGACTGAAATCTCTTGGGTAAACCGGGCCTGGGAGGGACGCAAGTGAGCCAACTGCACATCTCACAGATGGATGAGATGCATGATGATGCCGGTAACATACCATATATCCCCTTGAATATTGGCTTTCCGGATAGCTGACGAGATTGCCATAGTGAAAAGCCCACGTCTCGAAGGTTGAGACAGTTCAGAAAAGGGAAAAACGTCAAGTTGGATTGGACCGGGGACCGAAAGCTTCCCACGATACTGCGCGAGATGTAGTTTGGGCAAACGGGAAAGGGGGTTGTTGCTTCAATTTATTTATGACATTGGTGCATTGCTAGTATGGAAGAGAAAGAATAGTAACGGTGTGACCGGACGCTCTCGCTAGGTGAGTATCAGACCGCCATTCAGAGGGAGGACATTGGTGCCCCGTACTCCGTACTCCGTAATGAGAACCCATATTGTGCGGGCTTTTGCTCCATCTCCATGAGATGAACACATATGGAGTCCGAACAGATCCAGACAAAGAGCGCCGTGCGTCCGAAAAAGGGAAGGATTGGCATGGCGCTTGACGAGTGCTATTTCCCTCAGCAAGTTGATGAGATTGGCATCGCATATGAATGGTCATTACCGTCCAGCTTATGGACAGATTGGAATGCATTGCAAAATCAAAGGATCGACATGCCCCGCTGTAGGTACTCCGTAACTCGCATATGCGCCAACCAAATGATGCTGAAGATCTTTGTGGAGTTCAGACAGGCTTAGATCCGACACATCCATCCTCAGAGATTTCCAAGAACCTCTCGGAATGCACTAGCTGGGGAGCTAAGGCAACGAGAGCGTCTGAAGAAAGTGACCGTGGCGACCTGAAAAAGCTGCAGAAGAGTGGAGTGCAACACAAGGGGCTGAGAGGCGTGGAGACAGGATCGTCGGGGTTACACGACACCGTGAGTTCACTAGTCGCTTTCGACATGCAGCGAGCTGGTGGGATGCAGGATCTCCATGCGGAGTCCAGAGTAGATTGGCAAAGCTGAACACGCGGACGGAGTACTCCGTCGACGATGATCATGATCTCACTCTTCATCCCGAGCTCGAGTACGGAGTGGGATGTGTCCGAATATGTCCGCCACCTGCGACGATCTTTGCCGATCATCAGTGTCGATCTCCCATATGGATCTCGAGGCATGCGCTAGAGAGGAGCTATGTTATGGTCTGCCGGCGAATCATATCGGTCCATAACGAAATCTCTACAACATCCACTATTGTCCTCCGTGCAGGTCCTCTGTACTCCGTATCGAGGACTGGTTTGGCCACCAAATCTACCTACCGAGTACGTACTCCGTATAGGTACATGTTGGACATGAACCGGATTGCTCCACTCGGCCTCATATATGGTTCTGCATCTGCTGCTTCCGTGCTACCTCTTGCAGCGATTTAAGGTGTTGACCTTCATCGCCAACTTGATCTTTTGTTTACCCCCACCGCAATCGCCATGAAGCTTCAATGGGCCTTGCTCCTCGGCACCTCCATTGGGGGATCCAATGCGGTCAGTTCCTTCATGAAGGAGGCAATGAACTCCGATCGTGTATCTGGCTACGGTGAATATGACATCCCTTCGTGGGAACCTTCATTTGAAGACGAGTCACCTCCATATCAGGGTATCCGAGTCCCTCGTGGGGACTGGTCTGTGCAATGTACTAGCTTCAACAACGATGATGAATGCCACAATCTCATCGATGGCAAAGATACCACGTCATGGTATAGCGCCTTCACTGCTGGCTCCCACAATGTGACGCTTGACATGAAAAACGCCTATAGCGTCAGCGCCCTAGTCATCTTACCTCCACGCGATGCCGGTGGCGATGCGTTGATTACCCAACATGAAATCTACGTCAGTGACAATGGAAGGAACTGGGAAGGTCCCGTAGCATACGGAATGTGGCCCGACACAAATCGTCAGCGAATGTCTGCCTTTGAGCCGGTGTCGGCCCGATACGTGAGAATTGTGGCCAACTCGAAAGATTCCATGCCTTCATCGGTCGGTATATCAGAACTCAATGTCTACGCCACACTATATACAATCCCCCATGATCCGACACTTGGTGCGTGGGGACCAACTTTGGACTTCCCCATCGTTCCAGTCTCAGGAGCCCAAGAGGCCTCCGGCAACATTGTGCTTTGGTCCTCATGGGCGTCGGATCAGTTTCATTCCACTCCTGGGGGCAAGACTGCTATGACCCGATGGAACCCAATAGATGGGGCCGTCTCAAAACGGATTGTCACCAATACCCAGCACGATATGTTCTGTCCCGGAATCGCCATCGATGGCACTGGAATGATGGTTGTCACTGGCGGAAACGATGCCTCTGAAACCAGCCTTTACAATTCCACTGCCGATGTTTGGGTCAAAGGGCCTCCGATGAACCTGAGGCGGGGATATCAAGCGTCGACAACGATGTCTGATGGGCGTGTATTTGTCATTGGTGGATCCTGGTCTGGGGGCTCCAATGTCCACAAGGACGGGGAAGTCTGGGATCCTCGCGCTCAGACATGGACAATGCTACCTGGGGCAGTTGTGAAACCTATGTTGACGAACGATATGGAAGGAGCCTGGCGAGCAGACAATCATGGCTGGCTCTTTGGTTGGAAAGCCCAGACTATCTTCCAGGCGGGCCCCAGTAGAGCCATGAATTGGTACTATACCGAGGGCGAGGGTGGCTTCAAGGCTGCCGGGGAGCGATTGGAAGATGATGATTCCATGTCTGGTAATGCGGTGATGTTCGACGCCGTGAAAGGCAAAATTCTCACATTGGGGGGCTCACCTGATTATGACAAGTCCTGGGCTACAAGCAATGCCCACGTCATCACTTTGGGTGAGCCGGGTGAGAAACCTACCGTCGAGCCTGCCGGCAAGGAGGGCTTGATGCACTCTGAGCGTGTCTTCCATACTTCAGTTGTGCTGCCCGACGGGAAGGTGTTCATCGCGGGTGGTCAGACTTTTGGCGCTGCCTTTAACGAAGAAAATGTACAGTTCGTCCCTGAGCTTTATGACCCCGAGACAAACACCTTCATTCAATTACAGCAAAACAATGTCGTCCGTGTTTACCATACCGTCTCCATTCTGCTCCCTGATGGTCGAGTTTTGAACGGTGGTGGCGGTTTATGTGGAAACTGCTCTGCGAACCATTATGATGCTCAGATATTCACACCTCCGTATCTCCTGACCCCGAGTGGTAATCTCCGCACCCGTCCTGAGATTCTATCAAAGCTTCCTACAGAAATAGATGTGGGTGGAGTATTCATCCTTGAAATCAAAGGAGCTGTCAAGGATGCCTCCCTCATCCGCCTCTGCAGTGCCACCCATACTGTCAACACGGATCAGCGCCGTGTTCCCCTGCGCCTGATTCCTTTGACCCGCCGAAAGAATTCATACGGCATCAAACTCCCAAATGAACCGGGTGTCCTCATTCCTGGATACTGGATGTTGTTTGTCATGGATCAAGATGGTGTGCCTAGCATCGCAAAGACCATCATGATTACTGCCAACAGCAAGAAAACTCTTGACTCGGATGGTGAGATCCGGGCAGAGATTGACGCGGCTGATGCAGAGGGATGCGACCATTGGAATTTAGAACAGTACTGGAGATATTTCTCCCCCAAGCTTGTTACGCAGATATTCCGCCGCGGTTGAGATTGTTGAGATACCTCTCAGTGTGTGATTATAAGTGTCAGATATCTCCCTCTTTCCATAGCCGAGTTAGTCTTCTTCCTCAATCAACATCTTCATGATGCATTTCGACGTCCCTCTCAGTAGACTCTGACAGGTTATGGGCCCTCGTAGCTCCGTTGACGTCCCCATCACCATCACCATCTAGCACTTCGTTAGTCTTCCTCTTCATTGTCATCAATGAGAACTACTATAGGCACCCAAAATTACTACGGGCACCCAGCGCTAAGCCTCTTTGAACATTTCTTCCCGCTGGCCGCTCCCTTTGATCCTCTAGTAATATGAAATATGGTATCATCTCTGTTTTCAAGAGAGATATCTACTATTTGCACCCCCAAAACCCACATTTTCGCTATTTGCACACCCATTTAAACCTTTTTAGGTAAGGTGCCTCTTAGCAGCTGATTTCCCTCTGATTTTGTAATTTACACTGTACCTGGGTAGTACTATCTGCGCCCTTTATACAATATCGACGTGCCCTAGCCGTATCATATTTCATACGATATCATGATCTCCCTATTTTGAAAAATGAAGCTATTCCCAATTGCTGATCCCGTACAAAAATACTGATTTGATCGAGTTTTCAGTACAAAAAGGGGGGGTTTTAGTACAAAAATAAGGCTATGCCCAGCTACTGATCCCGTATAGAAAGGGCTGATTTGATCGAGTTTTCAATGTAAAAAAAGGAGGTTTATAGTGTAGAAATGAAGCTATTCCTGTTACGAGCCAAATCTTTAAAGAAAAAGTGCAATTTAACTAAAATACTAAGACAGAGAAAGAAAAGAAAAGAAAAGAAAGAAAGGAAACTCGCTGTCGCCGAGTTTTAAAGAGTCGTCGAGTTGCAAACCTTATAAACCTCGGACCTACTCTACGATAGCTATAGTCACGTGACTTAGTCTCTAGTCTACGATCGTTATAGTTAGTATCTAATTTAAGAGCTTTAATCTTATCGGTAATAGGTATAACTTTTATAGTAGTTATAGCTAGATTTATCTTCTTTTTTAGATATTTATAAGTTATATATCTTTACTTCTTATAATAGAAGTATTATCTTTTCTTTATTAATGTCTCTTACTTAGTAGCGGATAGTAATCCGGTTATAATAGTATTCGATTCCCGCTTAATACAGGTTCCCTAAGACTAAGTAGTTATAGTAGTTATAGTACTTCTACTTCCAGTAATTAAAATTCTAGTTTAGTTCGACTTAGCTTTCTACTATAGATTAATCTTATATAATATACTCTAATAATATTAAGTAAAGGTTTTAAATAAGATATTATCTAAGTTAACTACCTATATAACTTATCCCTATAGGAGGTAGGGAAGCTTTAAGTATAAATTACGCTTCCTATTTTCTTCTATAATAATAGCTTCCTCTACTAACTATATAAATTCTGTAAGGAAATTAGTGAAACTTTCTTTAGGCTTTATCTTAAGCTTATAGTATATAGTATACGCCTCCGTTTATCGATTTAGGTTTATAAAAATACTTTATAGATAGTTAATTATATTATTTACGTTAGTATAAAGGTTTATAGAGTTAGTATTTATCCGCGGAGTAATATATAGCTAAGCCTTTTCTTTATAACGACTCTATATATAGAGTTTATAGTAGATAGATAAGAGATAATAATCTACGTTAGCTTCTAGTTTCTAATAGATAATAGTTTCCTAAGTCTTAAATCGGACCTTCTTTCTATTACTAAATATTAGAGCGTTAGATATCTTAGTAGTCTTATAAGTAGAAGCCTCTATAGTCGGTACGCTTTACTATATATTAATAAGACGGAAAGTAAGATCTCCCTATTTACGGATAGACCTAGTAGTGACCTATAGATAACCCTTATAACCCTTAGACCGCCCCGCTACTAGGGCGGTTCGAGGGTAACCCTTAGGGTCACCTATAGGTCTATAAATAGAATAAATAGGTAAATCTTATAATATATATAATTTATATAGATTTACCTTATATTTTTAAGTATCTTAATTATAGTAACTAAACTTCTTTAGGGAATATTTTATAATTATATAATATTCTAAGACTATAGAAGCTTTTAAAGTATATTTTTAATTCTATTTTCTATTTACTATATATCTATTAAGCCTTCTTAATACCTTTCGAACTCTTCTAGATAATCGAGGAAGAGGAAGTCTACTATCTTTATCGATATTATTCTCTAGATTAGATTATATCTTATTACCTTTACTTAGTAAGCTACTTCTTTATCTCCTCCTACGAATAGTATATAGGGATAGTTATAAAATAAGTAGTGATTAGGTTTATTTAACTATATCTTCTTTAGTATTACTAATTAGTTTAAATAAAGTAGTATCTATACTACTTATCTCTATTAAAGCTATAATCTCTTAGGAAGTTAGATACTCTTAGAGAATTAGACGCTAGTTCTTCTATAGATTAAATCTTATTATATATATAAATATTATAATATCCTAGATTATCTTTAGTTTTAGGGAATCTTATTAATAATAATAAATATTATATATAGAGTTAAATAGCCGCTCTATATCTATATTAATAGTTAGAATAGATATAATATTATAGATAATATTTATAAAAATAAGCTATTTATATTAGCTATTTTTCTAAAAAATATAAAATAATAAATACTATAGTATTAAATTTATATAAAAGTTAATTAGATATAATAAATTAAGATAGATATTAAGATTAATTAATATTAGATATTAAATTAGTTTATCTTTATTTAGAGTATTAAACTATAAAGAGTTATTTAACTTTAATATAAATTTAAGCTTAGATATTCTAACTCTTAATAATAAACTATTTAATAATAACTAACTCTACCTAATATTAAACTACTTTTTATAGCGCTTAACTTAGGTCTTAAGACTACCTCTATAAATATCTTTCTAAAAAGTCTTAGTAGGATCTTTAGATTTTTATTTCTTTATAGAAAAGAATTAGAGCTTTTAAATTAGAGATAAAATTATACTAATAGTATAAAAATATCTATTAATACTATTTATATCTTTATAGTATTTTAAAAGCTTTTCTAATATAGCTTTAAATATAGATTATATAAGTTATTTCTAAAGAACTTTTTTCTATCTTAATATAGTAATTATATACTTAAGATAATTAAAAAGATAATTATATATTATAAAAATAAAATAAATATTTAAATTTTTAGTTTATAATATAAGACTAATAAATCTAAAGAATAACTTTAGAATAAAAAGTAGATATTTAATCTACTTTTATTCTCTTAAGCTTAGTATAAAATAAAGCTACTTATACTATAAGTAGAAAATATTAAAGACTAACTATAGTCTTTTTATCTATTAAAGTATTAGAAATATTAAGTTCTATTATATTCTTATATTTTAGATTAGAATAAGTTTAGGCTTTTAATCTTAAAAGTTATAAAATATATTTTAATATTATAGGCTTATATTAATATAAATAGTAAGACTATAAATCTAGATAGACTATTAGTATATAAAAATAATATTAAGAAATTAGCTTATTTTATTAAGAATATTTATAATCTTATACTTTTTTTAATATATATATAGTATTCTTATATAATTATTAGACTAATTTAGTTTAGTAGTATTATTATTTAGAGATACTTTTATCTTTTTAAATAAATCTATAAAACTAATTTAGATAATATAAGTAATATATAGTATATAGATAATAATAGAATTAGTATTTAATTAAATTATTTTTACTAAATTACTTATAGTTTAAAGTAGTATTATATTATTTAAAGTATTATTAGTAATAATTATAAGTATTTAATTAAGAATATTATATTTTTATAGTATTTAAATAATAATCTTACTAAGATTTATACTAAAATAAGTACTAAAGAATAGCTTAAAGCTAAGAAAAATCTTTTAATATTCTTACTTTTATTTAAAAAGTAGTCTATAACTATTATAAATACTTACTAAAATAGTAATATTTAATAGTCTAATATAAAAAAGAGCTTTATCTTTAGTAGTAGACTTTAAAGTAGTCTCTTTTAATATTTATTAATAAATCCCTTTAGCCGCTTATAAATAGTATATTATAAGGGAATAGCGGGTATAGTTAGAGTAAGATATATATATTTAATAATATTAGTAAACTCTTAATATTTAAAAAATAAAAATAAAAGATATAATATAGTAATAAGATTTAATAGTTTCTATTTCTAAATATCCTATAAGAATATAAGAGTTAATATATTTAATATTTATATATTAGTTAATAAAAAAGATAATATTAGGAAAAATAATATATAGCTATTTTAAGTAAAGTCTTAATATTTAGTCTTTTTAATATAAATTTTATATAATTAACTTTTTTCTAATATTTATTTATAGATAAAGTACCTATATAAATAGCTATAAGATAATTAAGAATCTTTTAATACTATTTATATATTATATCTAGCTTTCTATCTTTTATATTTATTATTTAATTAAAAGACTTTTAGTATTTAGCTTAATAATATATATCCTAGTTAATATATTTAGACTTCCTAAATTCTATCTAAAGCTACTATTTAATAAATTCCTTACTTATTATATTACTATATAGGATAAAGAAATTAATATAGTTAGGATTAAATATTATAATAAAAAAAATAAAGATAGATATTATAAAAGGCTTAGAGAAGTAAATTAAGAATTATTATATACTAATATTAAGATTTATTAACTACCTAATATATAAAAGATTATAAATAGAGTATTATCTAAAATAAGATATTAAAGAGTATCTAATAATACCCCTTTATAGTTTAAGGAAGTATAAGTATTAGAAAATTATAATATACTTAATATAGATATATAAATAGAAAGATAGTAAAGAGTAGATAACCTATAGTTAATTATTTTCTTAAAGTTAAGTATAAGAGATATAAATATATAATTTACTAAGTTAATATATTATATTCTTAAATAAGCTATTATTATTAGTTAGTTTATTA